TATCTGTTTAATTTAAAACCCTGGGTGAAAGGCGTGTGGAACAGCGTATGACCGATTCCTCAAATCATGAATTTACGCCAGGAATTTTCTACTCCCTGAGGAAAATGTTAAATTTACTTTCATTATTCGACTCATTCACAGGTGGATGACATGTCAATGTTTGCTCGATTTTAATACCATGGCCGGCGCAGATAAATTTGGAAATATTTTTGTGGTAAGTCCGTTCACAATCGCTTCATCCATGAATTGTGTGTTTCGTGCCGTGTGAATGCAGTAAAAGAAGACGAAGAACTTTTCCTCTTCTTTTAAGGTTCGACTACCGACATCAACATCGGACGAAATTGATGAAGATCCGACGGGAAATAAAGCGTTCTGGGATCGAGGCTTACTGCACGGCGCACCTCAAAAAGTAATGTCTCTAACCATCTGATTGTCGCAGGCAATGTTATGATGTATTAAAATGAATAATATGCTGAATATTCGAATATTTGTTCTAGGCTGACACAGTTTGTAACTTTTTCATCGGGGAAACAGTGTTATCGCTTCAAAAAGCAACTCTCATTCCGGGCGGTTCCGAGTCCCTGGTTTACACGACAATCTCTGGTCGGGTTGGGATGCTGGTACCATTCACATCGCGCGAGGTGAGAAAATAAAATGCTAGCATCTTCATGCTCCGGGAATGAAAGGGGTCGGTGTTTGGTATTTCTTATTAATTTCTACCGAATCATCCATCACTCTACTGCTTGCAAAACAAGTAACCTTGCGTTATGTTTTTACTTTTTAATAAGAATTTATGTATTTTCCATTTTAGGATATCGATTTTTTTCAACACCTGGAAATGCATTTACGTTCCGAAAACGCACCTCTCTGTGGTCGTGATCACCTGAGCTACAGATCCTATTTCTTCCCCGTCAAGGTTAGTGTTTCCCCGTTTCATTCAGGTCCGTTTACGATTGCAATCTTTGCTGCGATCAGAGTTGCAAAAAAACTGCGGGGTAACCGGGGGTGCCACCCAAGTCCCGAGAGGAAGGTTTACTTTCAATGAGGTTTGTGAGGGAGGTTCCAAGTTGAACGCTCTAATTAATCACATGCATGCATGAACAAAACATAACGACAATATTAAATTACGCTGGTTAGCATTTGACTCGGTAACGTGATGTCGTTTAGAGGAAGGTTTTAAGAACTTCCTTATAGCAAAATGTATAATTCATAAATAGTGCAGAATGGATATCTATTACAACCGAGCGTCGGTTGGCTACAAAGGCAAGATCATACAATGATAGAAATCCCAAATGTGTTTCTTGACGTATTCCAGAGTGTTATCGATGGGGATCTTTGCGAACAGTTTAACTCGCTCGAGGCGAGTAAAAGGCGAAATATTGCGGAGGAGTTGGACCGAACACCCGCTGAGGTAAATTTATACGGAAGAAACTGTAAGATTATAAAACATATCAAAACATCACTTTTGTTCATTCATTTTCAGGTGTCGAAGAAACTGGAGGATATCAGGACAAGATATGCTTTTTAAAAATGGTTTGCCGTTCATTTTCCATGTATTATTGCTACGTATGTTTTTCATGAACGCCTCCATCCGTTTTTTCCCCTGTAAATATTCTCAACCATTCAAGCAAGACAAACATGTACAGTATCATAAGCAGTGGTGATAAAACAAACGCGCACCAAAACTTGCGACTGAGCTTATAACCTTGAGGCTCGGCCCCAAAAGTACAAATGTGTCAACCTACGATTCGTTTGGTCACGATTTCTTATAACAAGAACAGCCGTACAGTTCATTGATAAAGAACGTAAGCTGAGAACTCTGTAAACCTTACATAAGCATTACGACAAACAAACTAGTATAGCTATTTGTTTTTTCATTATATGCGAAATTTTATATGCGTAGAATATATTGATTTTGGCTATCACAAAAGATATTTTGCCCATGTAAAGAGATATTCGTTTTTGCAAGTCTCATACTTCTGAAAGTCTCATCATACCTGCAGCGAGGTCTAATCGCCTTAGTACTCGGTCAAAGACGGGAAGTTCATTGAGGCAAGGTTAATTCGTACAAATGTATAAATTTAGCAAATTCCGCGTTGTTGAAACGTGTATGCCCATATATGGTTGTGCCCTTTCGACATATCTGCGTCATTTTCACAAAGTCCTTCTCCTCCACATTTGGATCCTCACGACATCAAGTTTACCCATTACGCAGAGTATCGCCTTGAGGATATACCGATGAAACTGCATTTCCAGTGCTAGGCAGATGTAATTAACAATATGAATGAATGCAGATTGCTTGAAACACTCTAAAATGTCAGTAATCTGTCTGTACAGAAAAACAACAGGACCGGTCTGGCCGCTTTTTTTGTATAAAGGAAAGCGCACTATTACAATTTAAACTTGGGAAACTAGGTCTTTATTAAGCAGTTGACCTTGATGTCGTGATCTTTTGTGTCCGGAAACGTGAAAACAACCTCTTCATTTCAATTTCCCTTTCACTTAAATAGTCCATAATCCACCACTGAGAAATGGTTGTGTTTGTGTAAAGATTGTTCAATTATTTTGATTGCCTGGAATTGAATTGAAATAGCAATCAAAGGCAAATTAAACTATTTCGTTGCCCTTATCCACCACAATTATACAACTTAGTATACTTTAAGTAGCACTGCGGGTGGCCGACAAGTGATCTCGTGAGATTTGACCAGAGGCATGAATCACGAGTTTTGATCATTGCTCGAAAGGTTAGAAGTCGAAAGGCTAGAAGTCGAAAGGCTACAATGATTGAATTTAGTTTTTCAGCTACTTTTAAGTCGAAAAGAACTCATCTCAAGAACTGTTTCCCGCAAATTAAATCAGTGCTTGGCATAGGAAGCAATGTCACTGGTCGTAACTCGTCAATGATCACTAACAGTATTATTAACTCCCATCAGAGCGAGGCAGATATGTGGTAGAATTTAGGGATTGTTAGTGGATCACCAGGGATAGGCAAGATAAGGCCTCATTCATAACTTAGAGAAATTTGAACGTTCCTATATTTTTCTGGACTTTAATCTTCTTTGGTGAATGGAATTTATGTTATGGTTAGTTAAGCCAATTTATAGCAAAAAGTGGCGCGTTGCTATTATTAATAGGAGCAGTACAAAGGTCAGTTTACGTCAATGTTTCTTTGTGCTTCTGTATTTTGCTTAGCGATTAACTTAGTAATAAAGATATCCAGTTCCTCTTTCGAAGCCCATTACTGTTCACGTCCTCCAGTTGACCGCAAGTCTGCAACAGAAAACTGATACAATCAGAAAAATAAGAGACGCCAATGGAATCGAACTTGGTGCTCCAGCCTGTATGGGAGTACATTCTACGTCACTGGGGTGATGTTGTTTCTTTCTGGCTGTTCCCAGCGATTGTTGGTTGGTTAGCCTTCGTGAGCACCGGACTTTATTTTACAATGAAAGACTTCGGACTATGGCTGTCAGATTCTACCCGTTTGAACAAGGATCACGCCGCCTCTCCCAGGGAGATTTTACGAGTTGGAGGAATACAGGTGATCGTTTATGGTGTCATCAACGTGACCCTGTGGTTTGCGTATCCGCATCGTGTCCAACTTCCTTCTAATGCACCGTCGTTGTGGGAACTTACCCGGGACGTGGTTCTTTCCTTGTTTATAGGCGACTTTCTTGTCTATATGGAGCACTATATCCACCATAGGATACCACTGTTGTACAGGAAAGTTCATAAAGTCCATCACCGTTTCAAGTTTGACTTGTTTTCCTGGGCAGCAGGCTGGGTCCATCCTTTCGAGTTGACCGTGTTCGCTTCTTGCATGATCGTATACCCGATATTTGCCTCTCCCATTCATCCACTGGCGCTGTGGATCTACGAGTGGATTTTCGTATCACTGCTCCTGGAAGAACACAGCGGTCATAATGTCTGGTGGTCCCCTCACAATCTCATTCCAGACTTCTTTGGTGGCGCTGTTCCCCACAATCTGCATCACACGAAAGTAAGCGTCAATTATGGTTTCCTATTCACGATCTGGGACAGAATGTTTGGTACCTATATGGCGCCCTGAATGCTTACAGCGCCCTGACAAACAAAATTCGTAATTTAATTTGTATAGCATGGGTTGATATCTCATTTTGTTTGGATAATTTTAAAAACTAATGGCTAATCATTAAATCTGTTTACTATGAGGAAAATTCTATAGCAACCAACGAACTTTTAAAGGTTTAATGAAAATTTTTACCCAAATAAGGCTATAAGGAAAATTTATCATCGTCATCAACATTTGCAAACGTATAGTTATATTAACGAAATTCACGTGTTAACGACCATTGTCATTGAAACTAAAATGAAAACCAACTTGTACCTCGTTATGTATTTTGATAGGTTATCGATACAGTCAGTAATAGGGTATTTAATTTAAATTTAAATCACTTCCAAAATAATTCAGTCAGGCGTGTGATTTTTTAAAATATTTTTCAACCTCGTATCACAGAGGAGATGGCTTTACCTCTTGGGAACTAGGTTATGGGTCATCCCACTTTCAGCCATCGTGATTTGTGTCAACCTGTACAGGTCAAAGAAGATGCAAGCCAAGCCCACAGACATAAAACAGCGGACATACTTTCTAGTCCATATATAAGCAAAGTTAGCAAAGTATATTATTAGTTTTGTCCAATTTGCATAACAATATCATGTAATCATGTGGTCGTGCTAACAAGTATTTTTATCCGGTTTCACTGAAAGCACATCCGTCCCGTCTTTAGAGTCGCATTAGGTTAAAAAAAGACTATTTTATGACAACCTCCTAGAACAGATGTTGAAACAAAGACAAAAACTTGGACTATAGTTAACTGATTGGACGCAATATCGAAAGTTCAATGAGATATGGTTTTACGCTTTCGGGGTTTGCACTTTCCAGTACGTTATACATTCTTAAATGAATATTTCTCTAAAGAAACTCTAAAGAAACTTTGTAAGAACGTTGTCAACAGAGATAGCAAACACAACGGGGGCCTTTCTTTCCTGCTGTGATCCAAGTTCACACTTCACAGCGAATCGCAGGCTGCGACTGCATGCGGGTTATGTCAATCATAATTGCGATATGCAAACAAAAGACCACATGCACATCATGTCCTTAGTGTGCATTGAGTAGAACGACTGAACTAAACACTGAATATTTTGAAATTTCACGGCAAGGATAACGGCAACAAAGAAGGTGAGCTGAATTCCATCGTTTTCAAAGGTATAATCATTATGTTTACATTGTTTGGTAACTCTTAGAGAACGTAACAGCAGCCGACCCTGTGTTGTATGCTGTCCCTCGTGTATGAGAAATGGTCACCCTGAATAACCGTTCAGTTTGACCGCCAGCTGTGCTGTTAATAGTTTCAAGTCTTAGGTTCTTTACAGCGAATTTCTTTACCGTTTTTCATGTTAGCAGTTCCGTGAAAATGATCCAACATGCGTGCACATGAAATGTTGATACAAAACGGATGTTTACAAGATATTTTAATACATTCTTTTGAGCAAGAGGTTTTTACTTTTAAGCACGCTTTACAAAAAATAAAACGGGACAGAAACTGGTGCTCAATTTGACCCAGGTTTTAGTAATCGTTTCATGATGGAACTGTCGGGAGAATCGTCAATTGAATTTGGCTCTCTCTGATTTTGCTTTCAGGATATTTCTTTCTTGACCCCGGAAGCTTTATTTTGGCTAACCATTGATCAAATATATGAAGGCGTGCCTTCAAATATATCTCGTGTAACACTGGTAGGAATTCGAAGCTAAATTATGAAAATTTGAAAAGTTAATCATGAAACACTGCGGTCAATTGCTAAACCTTAGGCAAATGTTAGGTTAAGTTTTTAAGTAAATAAGTATTATTCTCAAAATGAATCACGACACAGCTGGGTGTCTTAACTGTCTTTAATACATGTGCATATGCAGTTATACTTCAATGCAGTTTTTAAGAAGGCTTGGTTTAATTTTCATTTTATAGGGACTCCTGGCCCGTCTAGTTGGGGGGCTAAATTTGCTAAAATGCAACCTGTGTCATGGACGAACAGCTTAGTGTGTGTAGTCAGATATTTTTAGAGGTGTTGGGCAGAATCTGTGCACTGCAGGCCTGATCTTGGGACATGTATTAGCATTGGCTTGCTTTCAGTAGTGAAGTAGTTTTTAGCAAAATTACAAAGTTTCAAGTACAGGCGTAACTGATCTGTGTTGTTACTTTGTAACTATAATTGTGACAACCGCATGCCCGTGAAGTCATTTTAAGACACTGTCCTCTAACTTGCCATCACAGAGACATGTAGTCCTGGTTTACACTACCACTCAATACTGTATATAGTGTGCTTCACCACTGTGGCAGGACAGATAAAGTACCAGCCACGCCAGCTGAATAAGCATTTGGAATATACCTGAATAGTTAGCCTGACTATTCAAGTATTTGTAAAAATGGCATGCCTGGCACTGTTTGGTCCAAGCACTACCAAAATTAGGGTGAAGTGTAGACCTTTGGGCGAAACCCAAGAACCTATATGTTGCGCATAGAAAATGTGGAAAAGATGTCTTTGTGTAGGAAAGAGATGCGATGATGGGTGTGTCTGCCACCCTGAAGAATATATCTAAGTTTTATAACAAAGAGGATTTTTTCAAGAGGTTAGTAGCATGAGAGATGGAGGAAGCATAATTGCTGTTATTCACCTCCTTTTTGAATAATCGAAAACTTTCAGCAGCCTAGAAGTATTTCAAATTTAGACAGTTGTAAGAGATGATAAATAAGTAGCAACATTTAAACATGTTGTGAAAAGATTTAAAAGGTCCTACAAGCAAAAATTGTGTTGCAAGTAACCATATGATTCATGTAAATTCTATACAAGACATTTGTAAATAACTATCAAAGTGTGTTATTTGACCAATAATGATTTGACCAATGGTGTAAATAGGGTTGGATGATGTAAATTTAGCACAAAATGTGTTATGAATAATCATGTGTGATTAGATTTATAGGAATATATTAGAAAATATATACCAAAGTTGCTGTGTAAAAGTCTGGACAATACTTGCTGTGAATAACAATGAAAACATGTGATTAGACCAACAGGATTATTTATACGTTAGAAAATACTAAACATGTTGTAAATAGGTTCCAAGGATGTAAATTGTTCACAGAACAAGTTTGTAAAATAACTGATGAAGTAAATTGCTGTCTGTCATGGTCTAAAATATTAACAATACAAATAAAGTTGTTTTGGTTGTCGCATAAATTATGTCATTTCTCTATTTACCACACGTCCTAAACTAATCTTTTCCGCCTTGTGACCTACCACTTAGGAAGGCCAGTTCTGCCCATTTTCTTTAACTATCTATCAAATATATTGTGTCTTTGAAACAAAGCGAGTTTCAGAAACCTTGTGCATATTTACGAATGAAGTGTTCTTGATTTTTCAGCGCAGCAAAAACATTTCTAAAAAAAACTTGAGTACTACTATAGTTACAAACTCTTAAATTGACCACAATTCTCTTGGTTTTGGCTAAATCTCTACTCTGAAGCATTTTATTATGTCAGCGATATTAAAACCCATGTTATGGTCTGTTTACGTGACCATTTGACATTTCGAGTGTTTTTCATCTGTCTCAGTTTAAGATGCGAATATCATAAGAAGCACACACAGTCTGATATTTGAAGTAGCATCTCTAAATTCTACATTTCAATTCCGCTCGTGTTTTTTTGAAAATGCCAGGCTTTATCCTAGAAAACGGACAGGCTGTCTTGTCGCATTAGCGGCTGAAGAGATTTCCTTTACCTATTATGATCCTGACGTATGTGATTATGAGAAATTAGTAGATTTACTCAAAATTAGGGATAAATTGGGGTAAATTTGTCCCGCCACTTGCGCACATCCTTAACAGTATGACGCGTTTGGTGTGTCAGACCCAAACAATTACTTGGGACTGAGTAACAAGGATATTCCCCCCCCGGGACATATATGTCCGACGTTCCTTCCCCCCCCCCGGTCACAGCTACTCCCCAACAATGACTTCATGACTTTATCAGGGACGAATGCAAGTTTCAGTTATAAGTCCAGTTATCTTAGCTCAGAATCCAAAGATTTATCACAACGGGAGAGGACTAACTGCACCTGCGTGTTTAAAAGTATCAAACTCCTCTATCTCATTTGTGGCTAGCCAGTCTGCCTACTTACCCTAATCTACGCTGACCTATTTATTTTTTCACTTTAATTTGCCCACTTTGATGTGTTTTGAGAAAATTATCGCAAACTTTGACCGCGTTTGCCGGCAATTACTCTTGAAATCACCAAAACAAACGCATATTGCTGTCTACAAAATGAATTCATTTTTATCCGCATCGAGTGACTTTTTTTCGCCCCTTAAAACGTCGTCTGTGTTCATTTCTAATTACACCATAAAGCAGAAAACTCGGCTTACCACAAGAAAGTGCAGTTAACTGCCGTTTTGGTAATGAAATTTCACATCCAATTTGACCACCTTTCCTAACTGAACAACAGTCGCAAAAGCTTTTAGCCCGTTGTGCGTTTTTCACGATAAACAAATGAGATAAGGGAAAACGGTTCAAAATTACAATCATAATCTATCAGTTATCTCGTACTAATTTTTCGTGACAATGCAGTTGCTTGCCGCGACGAATAAATTATTAAAGTATCTAGATTTTCAGGTTTTTTTCGAGTTTATATATTATTTAAAGCAAGCTGGTATTAATTGGATCCTGGGTTAATAATTGATAGACGTTTTTCTTTCTGACAAGCACTTTCGTCCCATTTCCCCCTCGTGGCCTCGGCCACAATACCCAAAATATCATTATGGTAATTAGGCAATCTGGCTGGATGCAATTTCATTTCCTTTGAAATGCTGCCTATTATAGCCGTTCTACATCCCCCTCTCTCTGCTTTTCATTTTTCTGGGCTACTCTTTGAAACAAACGGCTAAAATTTGAGCTACCGAAGGAGGCTTTCGTGAACGGTGTGGTTGTCTAAATTTTTTTTGTTTATGGGCCACATGGCTTGCCTCAGTCATGCATTGACTGCTCATCAAATATTAACACCTCCTCCGCATCTGATTGGAGGGAGAGATGCTATTATATTAATAAGATTCAATGTACAGGAATAAATATAGATACACAGTGATTGAAAATTGTGTGTACGCACAAAGTGTTGAATGGGAAACGAAGCGACGCTGATAACACGCTGCTGAACCATTCTGACCTTATACTAACCGGATGAGAGCGATCATTAACAATTCTCAAGTTGATCTAGTACGACGAGTAAGCAACGTGGATTTACACTTGGGTCAACACTTCGTGTTTACAGTGTTGCATATTTTCTCATGTATCTATAAGCGACATTTTTAGTGTATCATGTTCCATTTCGTTGGTCTTGCCCTTTTGCAGAAGCGACTGTATCATTAAGAAGGCTTTCCTCTGCGATTAAATTTCATGTTAAGATTTCGTGTGCGTCGCTCTACTCGAGGGCTCGTGGGAATGAACAAACCAGATTGATAATCATTGAAAGCTAAAATTTGATTTTACCTAAAAATCCACCTTAACATTTCTTCATCCTATATATTGTGTTTATAGCAAACATCATGATTGTTTTTCTCGAAGGCAAGAGATCAACTCTGAACACTGAATAAACATGTAAATGTGTACTAAAAAAAAGTACTGTTCATACGGGATACAGCACTTGAATGCACGAGTGTTTTGCTGCCTGTCTGGCTGGCTGGCTTGACCGTGCATCCTGATCTTATAGCGTGACTGATTCTGTTCATTTGTATTTTCTTCTAGATTGATAATGGAATTGAACGAATCTTTATCGAGCAAGGAAAAAGAGGACGGAAGCAATCTGATTCCAAGCAAAAATAGCGAGCTGTCTGAGAAACCAGGCCTTGAGGACGGTGCTGTAGAAGAGGGGGACGATTTTGAGCGGGAAAAATGGTCCAAAAAAGTCGAATTCTTCCTATCGGCCATTGGCTATGCTGTCGGTTTGGGAAACGTCTGGCGCTTTCCTTACCTGGCTTTCAAGCATGGTGGTGGTGCATTTCTCATTCCATACATCCTAATGTTGATCATCTGTGGTATGCCTCTGTTTTTCATGGAGCTTGCCTTAGGACAGCATGTCAGTTTAGGGCCAGTGAGCTCTTGGGCAGCGATCTGCCCTATCGCAAAAGGTATGAACACAAATATTCTCTCGCATGCAGTCTCTTATGAAGTTTTAACATGTGTATAGTAGCATACATGCATCAATTAAACGTTTCAAACCTATCCTAACCAGTCGAATGAAACACTAGTATATTAGCACACTCGAGACATGACTCTTGAGTATTCTGTTGTTGTTTGTGTTCTCTACCAAACTAAGGATACAACACAGTAGAGTCTGAAAAGTCTCACAGCATTTTGACGTGTTTAATTCGTTCCCTAAATTCTCGTGTTATTTTCTGAGCGGTTGTTTATCGTGTCGTAACACGACTTCTCAGTTTACAGAAAGCAAATATTTGAGGCTTGCTTATCAGGAGTGCGCGCGGAACACTTTGTGTTACAGATGATTATGTCGGACACCCGTCGTAACGTGTTTACATATGGATTCCTTTGTGGTGTAATGGCTATAATATCTCTAATGAACAATTTCAAGCGAATTTCTATGCAATACAACAACAGTTTGTCTAAAGTTACAATACATTCGTGCGACGGCTAAGATTGCGAGCTTGTTTGGTTGACCTTGATAACCTTTCGAGTGTTTTCAAGTATTTGTGAAGCTTGTGGTGTATTGAAATATCGCGACCTCTATACGACTATGTTTGTGAGTTAATAGGATAAGGCATGTGTAATATGGAGTCACAGGTTCCACAATCTGATAAGCAATCTTTGGTATGCTAAAATAAGTAACACATGCATTGGTGATTTGAATAAAAGTTGCTATCGTAAAGGGGTGGTCGGTTTTTTGTTCATCACCGTTGGCGTTGAGGTCATTCTGCTTACAAACAACAGTTAATTCTTCTTTCATCCTGTGCTTAGACACGTTACCTCGGGTACTTAAAAGCTTCACCCTGACCCTGTAATAAGGGTAATTTACTGACCACGCTCCGTTTGTACGGTTACGTTTGAGTTTTTTCTTGATAGTTTTCACTCCCGAAACAGTCGCGAACACTTTGTCAATGACAATGGACGACTTTTTTTACCTAATTTTTTACCTAGGTGATAAAAAGGACATTCTCTGTAAGAGCTTACTAAAATTAGTAAAAGTTTGGCTGCGAATTGTTGTAAATTACGGAAAATATAGCCATGCGAAGTTGACGAATTTTGTATACTTGTGTATTACGGCCGGAAGTGTGAAGCTAATTTTGTACACATTTCCCCACGTAATACAAAAGTGCACAAAATTTGCCAACTTCGCATGCCTATATTTTCCGTATTTTACAAAATTTCGCAGCCAAACTTTGCATTGCACTATTTTAAGTAAGACCTTTCTAGCAGTGATAATGTATTTCCTTGTTACTTTGGTCAAAAATTATTCTAAAGCGCAAGTCGTCCATTCACGACAATGAGTTGAAACAAATTTAATGTATTGAGTATTTCATTCCTGGGACAAAAACGACCTGGAAAAAGCCCGATAAAACGACGTTCGTTTGACCTTGACTGGCCTGCAGACTAGAGGAAATACGAAAATAATACTGAAGCAATATCAGGAATTTGTCTCGGATGCATATTAAGGCTGTGCGCGATTACTTTTAAAAGGAACTCAAGCTTGTGGTGCATGTTATTGCCGCTATTTCCAGTATGGCGTTTCAAGCATTCTTTTAAGACGTGAATACCAATTGATCATTACAAATAGATTCCACTGATGATAATGCGAATGTTTTTAGCCTCAGATCGACGAAAGCTTGGCGTTGATCGACCAATCAAAATTAACAACATAATTCGGTCATCATCAGCCTGTTGGATCAGTGGCAATGGCTGTCACCATTCAAAATTTCAAATACAAAAATGCTTCTGTTAGTTTAATTAAAGGCAGTCCGCCATTTTGTATCGAATTTCCAGTTGTTCTTTATTTAACAGATTGTATCATTAGTATAATAGTATTGGCCTTGTTGACTCGAAACTTTCGAAATTAATAGGATGACCTTTATAGGGTTTAATGACTCCATCCGACTGCATATTTTCAGATGGTCCTCTCGTTCAAATGGCGTAAAAATATTGATATACGCTCACTGTTTTTCTTTTCAATTTCAAAACACTATTTCTAACAAAAATTGAAATGGCGTCATGCTGAGTTCCATACACAATAAATTATTTACGCCATCATATTAAAACGATTCTTTGTTTCCACTCTTTAGGCATTTGTATATTCTTTAATGGCGTTTTTGCCCGGCAATTAGCAGATGTCGTCAATCATTTGCGATTCTCGCTCAAAAGTACGAATTGTCATAAAAAAAACCGCCGAAAATTGTCGAACGAATTATTGTCACCCTAAAAAACAGACCTTAACGTATTTCGACCCAATTAAACGTATTTTATTCCGTAATTAAAGATGAACGCTATATAATTGAGTTATTTTTGTATGATATCTTTTATCGTATTTCATTATGTCTTACGTTGGGGGCATTCGGAAATCTCATAAATTTGGTTGTGTTATTTGTACTGTTTGAATTGCAATTTGTTTTCAAATGTTGCCACTGCTGCTAAGATGTCTTAAGATGTTAGATTAATTTAATGGTAACTTCTCGACTTGCTTGAAGAATGGCTGGTAAATTTCGTTCAGCGGCTCAACGCTGTATTTGCGGCCTCAGCAGTCGTGTCCGTAAGCAAACGACAGATCAAGGATTTCAAGATTAGGATTTCAACTAAACCTGAACTATTTTTTGCACTATTCTTTTTTCAAGGCATCGGCTATTCCATGATGGTCGTTTCGTTCTTGTGCACCATTTATTACAACGTCATTATTGCCTGGTGTCTCTACTACCTTGCCATGTCGTTCCGCTCTGAGGTCCCCTGGCGATATTGTGGTAATTGGTGGAACACTGACAATTGCGCTGAAAAAGGAGGACTGAAATATGGTGTTAGTAGATGTGTTGTGTTGATCTTATATACTATGCCAAGTTAAGACGTAGTTTATTCGTAGCATTGCTGATGAGGTATTGAGGCTTGTCTTCTTTGGGGATGCTCACATGATGAGCCCGGTATAACCCGAGATTTAACGAATTGTGAGCTGATTTTGTGGTACTAAACTTTTCGAAACAAAACAAGTACATGCTATTGTTAGGATGACTACACGACTACCAGTATCATGTTATTTACTCATTTCAAAAGCTCAAAATTGTTAACGCTTCATTAAATTTCGGTAACCGGACTCTTATTATCCATTGCTTCGATTGCACTTGACGCAACGCCTCGTTCTTCGACTTTAGCTCCACATAGAACCATCCGCAGACGTACCGAACGTAAACGTGTCATCGTACAATTCATCAGACTGTGTAAACAATACCATCGATTACTTTATCAACGGAACGAGCGTACTTTTGAACTGCAGTCGACCGAAGAAGGAGCTCGCATCGCCGAGTAGCGAATTCTGGAATAACCATGTTCTACGTTTGACGGATGGTATTGACGAGGTCGGAGAGCTCCGGTGGCAGCTCGTGATTGCTCTAATCCTCGCGTGGATTTTGGTGTACTTCTGCCTATGGAAAGGCATCAAATCTTCAGGAAAAGTCGTGTATTTCACAGCGACTTTCCCCTACATGATCTTGGTGGTGTTATTTTTCCGCGGTATCACGCTCTCTGGAGCTTCCAAAGGTGTCTTGTATTACATCAAACCTGATTTTAGCAAGCTGGGCGATGCTGACGTATGGGTGGCCGCGGCTACGCAAATCTTTTATTCGTTGGGCATTGGATTTGGTTCTTTGGTCACGTATGGGAGTTTCAACAAATACAACAATGATTGCGTAAGGTGAGTTTGTAGGACTGGGACTAGACACTGACTCAAGAAAAACTGGAATCATGTTTATCTTGGTAGATAGACTTTATTTATTCCCACTGGCTTCTTAATCCTTTTTTACCCAAACACTGAATTTCCAAGAGGCACGTGGTAAACAGTAAAAAAAAATCAAAAAAGTTTAATCATACAAATACAGACATTAAATACAGACAGTTATTAGTTAAAGTGTTAAGGACTATATTAGATTATAAATCTCTAAGATTTACGTACCGGAATGATCAAGTCAAATTAGGCAAGAATGAATATAAAGATCTTTGTTTCTTATTTATATAGTTATTCCATAATTTTGCCGCTCTAAAACTCATCTCTTTTTGAAAAAGGTCAGGATGAGGATTAGGCAAAATAATGTAGTGGGAATTAAAGAGATGTTTAGGAAAGAATACCGCCTAACGACTTTTAACATATTGTTCTTGGTGTCACCTGTAGGGACGCTGTTATTGTAACAATCATCAACTGTAGCACGAGTATTTTCGCAGGATTCGTGATTTTTAGCGTTCTTGGACACATGGCAGATATTCTACAAAAAGATGTTTCCGAAGTCGCGCAGTCGGGACCTGGGCTCGCCTTCGTAGTCTACCCAGAAGCCATTGCGCAGATGCCAGTCTCACCCCTCTGGGCCATCTTATTCTTTTTCATGTTACTCACGCTTGGTCTGGACACGCAGTTCGCCATGTTGGAGGCAGTCGTCACGGGACTGGTCGACGAATATGGCAAAAAATTACGCAAAAGAAAAGAGTTGGTTATTTTGGCACTTTGCGTTGTTGCTTTCTTCTTCGGTCTGACTAATATTACCGAGGTGCGTATGTATCACCGAGAGTGTCCTTGCTGTAGTAAAGCAAGGAAGCTTTTCCTATTCTGGGGTAGCTTGGTGTTTTATTACGGCCACCCAACTTCTCGATAGAAAATACCCGAATTTCCTTTCTGGCAGTGAAGACAACTATACGAATAGACCTTTTTCATAATGACGTCAAACGCGGAAAGTATGATGTTACAAGAAGTTTGATTGGCTCGATAGTTTTGTGGAGCCAATCAAATTTCATGTAACATCATACTTTCCGCGTTTGACGTCATTATAAAGTCTATTGAAGTGTGTAAGTTGACAGCAACTAGATATATACAATCCATAGCTCCTATGCACTACACTACCCGTCTCGTTTTCAGACTATTGCTTTTGTCCTATAAAGCAAATTCAGGAAGTGTTATTTCCCATGCATGAGAGTCTGCATCGCACCACGATACAAACGTTCCAATGATGTTACTTTCAGGGTGGAGCGTACGTCTTGAACCTATTCAACATTCAATCAGGAGGGATCTCTCTGTTGTTTCTGGCATTCTTTGAAGTGATTACAATATCGTGGGGTTATGGAACTGACCGGTTTGTCGCCGATATTGAACGTATGGTTGGTAGGAGGATCTTGCCTTGGTGGGCGTTTGCTTGGAAATATTTCTCCCCTGCAGTCATATTGGGTAAGTGTGCGAAGAGGGGAGACAAAGGAAGGGGTGGGGGAGAGGAGGGAAGGGGTGGGGGAGGAGGAAGGGGTGGGGGAGAGGAGGGAAGGAGTGGGGGAGAGGAGGGAAGGAGTGGGGGAGAGGAGGGAAGGGGGAGAGGACGGAAAATAGGAGAGGGGAAGGGAGGGAGAGAAGAGGAGGGGGGAAAGAGGGGACAAGTGGAGGGGAGGGGAGAGAAGAGGAAAAGAGGTGGGAGAGAAGAGGAAGGGAAAGTGGAGGGAGGTAGTTGATGGTAGTTTCATAAATTTTCCGACCATTTGCGGACTATGAGTTACACGAATGGTTAAACTAGTCTATGAGTCTAGTACGCACAGCTTTGCAATGTTTTATTCCGCGATTTACTTTCATCCAAACTCGAAGTGAGATACCGTAATACCGCTGGTCTATCAGTAAATCTATACGCAAACATTTTTTTTCCAACTGCGTTTATTATATGCCACTGATCTCGTTATTTTTCATATAGGAGTGTTCATATTCAGTTTGTATTCATGGAAGGGAGTTACCTATGGGACATACCAATACCCGCCAGAGGCAGAATTCTTTGGTTGGCTGCTAGCCCTGGCTTCAATGCTCTGGATACCAGGGATGGCGATATACATGGTGCGCGAGGCACCAGGCTCCTCATTTTCGGAGAGGCTGCGCATGGCGTTCACCCCGAATCAAGAAATCGCAAAACAAATTGAAATGCGAGAAGGCTACCCCGCGAATGGTGGGGAAATGGTCATTGTATAAAGTTAGGTCTTGGTGGTAGATAGAATAATCATGTTTAAAAATGAAATATGAATATGTTCTAATATCATAGTCATGTAATTGTAGCGTTTTAAATATTTTAAGGTTCAATTTTTGAGACGCATGACCTAAGTATATTCATCGGATGTTCAACACTGGACTGTTCAGTTGAGTTAAATCAATTAAATTTTACTTTGCCGATTCTTATATATGTATATTACCTAAGCAAATGACGTATTTTCCACCAAGACCATTTTCGAACGCTGCCTCAAATGGCTATTTGACTCGGAATAAAATTCGATGAAGTAATATGATAGATATTAAGAACGGTTTTTAAGGTCATAAAACCCTTTTGAATCAACTGGAATATAGCTAATAGTAATATTTGGTAATTTTATTTCGACCATTCAATCTGTTCTTTACTTGAATATATTTATAGAAGGCTTGTATATGGTCAATATATCATCATCTAGAACAATTAATGTAAATTTTAAAACGACTAAAATGATTCTGAATTCAACTATCTTTAAATTGTATTAAAATATATTAAAACAAAGCTTCTCGATTTGTTCTGAAGACATTGCAACGCAAGTCTTCGAATATCGCTTCATGCCCAGCAGAAGCCAGTAGTTCAAGTGAGTGTTCAGATGTAATCTACGAGAGTACGAGGTGCATGCTTGTTGCCTCGGGATTATACGTGTTATACACATTGAAATACAATCTTAATTCTTGTACTTAACCTATTTTAAAATGCATTGCTAACTCTTGTAGTTTACTTTGATTTCACTTCATTAGAAATACAAAACAATCGCCGCATATAACTTATGGAAAGATAGTGTTCTAAAGAACAGGCATGCTTTATATATAAGGTTGTGTGCGTTTTAGACTAGAAAATCATTAAAGTGAACTTATTTAAATTGTTAAAAATTGCTTCCTAAGACCAATATCTTTCATTTTAAAGCATATTTGGTTGGTTTTTGGAACATTGAAAAATCGTCAAAACTGACCAAAATGGTAAGGCTTACCCCTTACCATTTTGGTCTATTTTGACGACTTTTTCAACTGTTCAAAAACTGTCTTAAAATGCTAAAAATGGCTTACTAAGACGAATATCTTTCATTTTAGAGCATATTTTGTTGCTTTTTGTAACATTGAAAAATCGTCAAAATTGAGCAAAATGGTAAGAGGTAAGCCTTTTTCAATTGTTCAAAAACTTTTTCAATTGTTCAAAAACTGTCTTACGATACTAAAAATTCCTTCGTAAGACTAATATCTTTCATTTTAGAGCATATTTGGTTGGTTTTTGGAACACTGAAAAATCGTCAAAATTGAGCAAAATGGTAAGGCTTACCCCTTACCATTTTGGTCAATTTTGACGACTTTTTCAATTGTTCAAAAACTGTCTTAGGATACTAAAAATTGCTTCGTAAGACTAATATCTTACATTTTAGAGCATATTTGGTTGGTTTTTGGAACATTGAAAAAGTCGTCAAAATTGACCAAAATGGTAAGGGGTAAGCCTTACCATTTTGGTCAATTTTGACGACTTTTTGAACTTTTCAAAAACTGTCTTAAAATGCTAAAAATGGCTGCCTAAGACTAAAATCTTTTATTTTAGAGCATTTTGAGACACTTTTTGAAAAGTTGAAAAAGTCGTCAAAATTGATCAAAGTGGTAAGGCTTACCCCTTACCATTTTGGTCAATTTTGACGACTTTTTTTGAACTTTTCAAAAACTCTCTTTAAATGCTAAAAATGGCTTCCTAAGACTAAAATCTTTCATTTTAGAGCATTTTGAGACACTTTTTGAAAAGTTGAAAAAGTCGTCAAAATTGATCAAAGTGGTAAGGCTTACCCCTTTCCATTTTGGTCAATTTTGACGACTTTTTGAACTTTTCAAAAACTGTCTTAAAATGCTAAAAACGGCTTCCTAAGACTAAATTCTTTCATTTTAGATCATTTTTAGGCAGTTTTTGAAAAGTTGAAAAAGTGGTCAAAATTGACCGAAATGGTAAGGCTTACCCCTTACCATTTTGGTCAATTTTGACGACTTTTTGAACTGTTCAAAAACTGTCTTAAAATGCTAAAAATGGCTTCCTAAGACTAATATCTTTCATTTTAGAGCATTTCTAGACACTTTAAAAAGTTGAAAAAGTGGTCAAAATTGACCAAAATAGTAAGGCTTACCCCTTACCATTTTGGTGAATTTTGACGACTTTTTGAACTCTTCAAAAACCGCTTAAAAATGCTAAAAATGGCTTCCTAAGACTAATATCTTTCATTTTAGATCATTTTTAGACAGTTTTTGAAAAGTTGAAAAAATGGTCAAAATTGACCAAAATGGTAAGGCTTACCCCTTACCATTTTGGTCAATTTTCACGACTTTTTGAACTTTTCAAAAACTGTCTTAAAATGCTAAAAATGGCTTCCTAAGACTAATATCTTTCATTTTAGAGCATATTTGGTTGGTTTTTAGAGCATTGAAAAAGTCGTCAATTATGTCTTCAAGTATTAAAATGTATTATTTTACGTTATGTATCAACACAGATGCGGTGGCCTAGTGGTTAAGGCTACCACCCTACCAGGTTGTGAGCGTAGGTTCGAATCTTGCAAGGGAGAGGTGCAATTTTTCGCCCCTAAAAATTGCTATTTAATTTAAAATTCTGCGAATAGGATTTAAGTCGAATAAAGCACAAGAGCTGTTGATAAATGATGGTGTGGCCTAGTGGTTAAGGCTACGGCCTATCAGGTTGTAAGCCTAGGTTCAAATCTTGCATGGGAAAGGTGCGATTTTTCCCACCGAAATTATTCTTTCATTTAAACTTCATCGAAAAGGATTAGGTCAAATAAAGAACAATAGCTTTCGACAAATGACGCGGTGGTCTAGTGGTTAAGACCCTGGTCTTTCAATCCCAGGACAAGGGTTCAAGTCCTGGCAATGCAAAAAAATTAGCCTGGAAAATTTCGGTTTGATTTGTAAGCTTGAAAAAGTTAAGACTCTCAGCTTTCATAAAGGCTGTAAATTTGAAAGAATTTGGAAGAAAAAAAACTGAGAAACATTTGAACAATTTTCGCTTCGTAAAAGTACGTGAAATTGACAAAAAAACGCAAGTCAAAAAAAAACTAAAAACATGTGGCTTCTAAAAACACTGAAAATTAAAAAATGTCCGACTAAAACTTTAAGAAAAGGTTAAAAATTTCCCGCCTTTAATGCTAATGTTTACTTACCTCAATAATTTTTTTTCACGAAAATTTGACAGGGTGATTTTCACGAGACTGAAAAAATTTACATTTTTTCACTTTTTTGAAATTCTCTTAGATATTTTTTTTATCAAGAAGTATTATGTCTTGGGCTACCTGTGTCAAGCCAGACACAGGTAGCCCAAGACAGACACAGGTAGCCCAAGACATAATACTTCATTTTGTTTTCGTCCTCAAAAAGATTTTTTCACTTTTTTAAAATTCTCCGAAAATTCCTTTTTGGACGAAGTATTATGTCTTGGGCTACCTGTGTCTGTCTTGGGCTACCTGTGTCTGGCTTGACACAGGTAGCCCAAGACATAATACTTCTTGATAAAAAAAATATCTAAGAGAATTTCAAAAAAGTGAAAAAATGTAAATTTTTTCAGTCTCGTGAAAATCACCCTGTCAAATTTTCGTGAAAAAAAATTATTGAGGTAAGTAAACATTAGCATTAAAGGCGGGAAATTTTTAACCTTTTCTTAAAGTTTTAGTCGGACATTTTTTAATTTTCAGTGTTTTTAGAAGCCACATGTTTTTAGTTTTTTTTTGACTTGCGTTTTTTTGTCAATTGCACGTACTTTTACGAAGCGAAAATTGTTCAAATGTTTCTCAATTTTTTTTCTTCCAAATTCTTTCAAATTTACAGCCTTTATGAAAGCTGAGAGTCTTAACTTTTTCAAGCTTACAAATCAAACCGAAATTTTCCAGGCTAATTTTTTTGCATTGCCAGGACTTGAACCCTTGTCCTGGGATTGAAAGACCAGGGTCTTAACCACTAAACCACCGCGTCATTTGTCGAAAGCTATTGTTCTTTATTTTACCTAATCCTTTTCGATGAAGTTTAAATGAAAGAATAATTTCGGTGGGAAAAATCGCACCTTTCCCATGCAAGATTTGAACCTAGGCTTACAACCTGATAGGCCGTAGCCTTATAACCACTAGGCCACACCATCATTTATCAACAGCTCTTGTGCTTTATTCGACTTAAATCCTATTCGCAGAATTTTAAATTAAATAGCAATTTTTAGGGGCGAAAAATTGCACCTCTCCCTTGCAGGATTCGAACCTACGCTCACAACCTGGTAGGGTGGTAGCCTTAACCACTAGGCCACCGCATCTGTGTTGATACATAACGTAAAATAATACATTTTAATACTTGAAGACATAATTGACGACTTTTTCAATGTTCCAAAAACCAACAGAATATGCTCTAAAATGAAAGATATTAGTCTTAGGAAGCCATTTTTAGCATTTTAAGACAATTTTTGAATAGTTCAAAAAGTCGTCAAAATTGACCAAAATGGTAAGGGGTAAGCCTTACCATTTTGGTCAATTTTGACCACTTTTTCAACTTTTTAAAAAGTGTCTAGAAATGCTCTAAAATGAAAGATATTAGTCTTAGGAAGCAATTTTTAGCATTTTAAAGCAGTTTTTGAAAAGTTCAAAAAGTCGTCAAAATTGACCAAAATGGTAAGGGGTAAGCCTTACCATTTTGGTCAAAATTGACGACTTTTTCAATGTTCCAAAAACCAACAAAATATGCTCTAAAGTGAAAGATATTAGTCTTAGGAAGCCGTTTTTAGCATTTTAAGACAGTTTTTGAACAGTTCAAAAAGTCGTCAAAATTGACCAAAATGGTAAGGGGTAAGCCTTACCATTTCGGTCAATTTTGACCACTTTTTCAACTTTTCAAAAACTGCCTAAAAATGATCTAAAATGAAAGAATTTAGTCTTAGGAAGCCGTTTTTAGCATTTTAAGACAGTTTTTGAAAAGTTCAAAAAGTCGTCAAAATTGACCAAAATGGTAAGGGGTAAGCCTTACCACTTTGATCAATTTTGACGACTTTTTCAACTTTTCAAAAAGTGTCTCAAAATGCTCTAAAATGAAAGATTTTACCATTTTGGTCAATTTTGACGACTATTTCAATGTTCCAAAAACCAACCAAATATGCTCTAAAATAAAACATATTATTCTTAGGAAACAATTTTTAGAATTTTAAGACAACTTTTGAACAATTGAAAAAGTCGTCAAAATCGACCAAAATGGTAAGGGGTAAGCCTTACCATTTTGCTCAATTTTGACGATTTTTCAATCTTTCAAAAGCCAACTAAATATACCCTAAAATGAAAGATGTTAGTCTTAGAAAGCAATTTTTAGCATTTTAAGACAGTTTTTGAATAGTTGAAAAAGTCGTCAAAATTGACCAAAATGGTAAAGGGTAAGCCTTACCATTTTGCTCAATTTTGACGATTTTTCAATGTTCCAAAAACCAACGAAATATGCTCTAAAATGAAAGATATTAGTCTTAGTAAGCCATTTTTAGCATTTTAAGACAGTTTTTGAACATTTGAAAAAGTCGTCAAAATTGACCAAAATGGTAAGAGGTAAGCCTTACCATTTTGCTCAATTTTGACGATTTTTCAATGTTCCAAAAACCAACCAAATATGCTCTAAAATGTAAGATATTAGTCTTACGAAGCAAATTTTAGCATTTTAAGACAGTTTTTAAACAGTTGAAAAAGTCGTCAAAATTGACCAAAATGGTAAGGGGTAAGCCTTACCATTTTGCTCAATTTTAACGATTTTTCAATGTTCCAAAAACCAACCAAATATGCTCTAAAACAAAAGATATTAGTCTTAGGAAACAATTTTTAGCATTTTAAGACAGTTTTTGAACAATTGAAAAAGTCGTCAAAATCGACCAAAATGGTAAGAGGTAAGCCTTACCATTTTGCTCAATTTTGACGATTTTTCAGTGTTCCAAAAACCAACCAAATATGCTCTAAAATGAAAGATATTAGTCTTACGAAGGAATTCTTAGTATCGTAAGACAGTTTTTGAACAATTGAAAAAGTTTTTGAACAATTGAAAAAGGCTTACCTCTTACCATTTTGCTCAATTTTGACGATTTTTCAATGTTACAAAAAGCAACGAAATATGCTCTAAAATGAAAGATATTCGTCTTAGTAAGCCATTTTTAGCATTTTAAGACAGTTTTTGAACAGTTGAAAAAGTCGTCAAAATAGACCAAAATGGTAAGGGGTAAGCCTTACCATTTTGGTCAGTTTTGACGATTTTTCAATGTTCCAAAAACCAACCAAATATGCTCTAAAATAAAAGATATTAGTATAAACTTACTAATAGGCTATCACTTTTCCTGCGTTCTGATTGGCTACGCTACTAGTAGGCTATTAGTGATAGCCTACTAGTAGCAAAATTCAAAACAATGGCGGAAAATTCGCGTTTCGCCGAAGTATCTGAAGATTTTTTGGACGACTTGTTGGACAATTCCGTACCAGAAAAAACAAAAAAAGCAACAAAATACGGAATTGCAATTTTTAAGGGTAAGAAAATACATAAAAATAACGTATACTCAATTGAATTTTTATATTTAAACTGAATTTTAAAACATTTTACGCGAACAACAATTAAAATATTTTCTTCCCTTTAATATACGAAATAAATTTCAGAATGGTTTGCAAGCCAACAAGAATTTTGTACACAAATTAAAGAAATGGAAAAATTAATGTTATAGTTTATACTAAAACAATTAGACAACTCGGCCTCGTTGTCTATGAGCAAATAGTCAACTCGGCTTCGCCTCGTTGACTATTCGCTCATAGACAACTCCGCCTCGTTGTCTAATTGTTAATTAGTCTTAAGAAACAATTTTTAGCATTTTAAGACAGTTTTTGAAAAGTTGAAAAAGTCGTCAAAATTGACCAAAATGGGAAGGGGTAAGCCTTACCATTTTGGTCAATTTTGACGACTTTTTCAAATTTCCAAAAACCAACGAAATATGCTCTAAAATGTAAGATATTAGTCTTAGTAAGCCATTTTTAGCATTTTAAGACAGTTTTTGAACAATTGAAAAACTCGTCAAAATTGACCAAAATGGTAAGGGGTAAGCCTTACCATTTTGCTCGATTTTGACGACTTTTTCAATTGTTCAAAAACTGTCTTACGATACTAAAAATTGCTTCGTAAGACTAATATCCTTCATTTTACAGCATATTTGGTTGGTTTTTGGAACATTGAAAAATCGTCAAAAATGAGCAAAATGGTAAGGCTTACCTCTTACCATTATGGTCAATTTTGACGACTTTTTCAACTGTTCAAAAACTGTCTTACGATACTAAAAATTGCTTCGTAAGACTAATATCTTTCATTTTAGATTATATTTGGTTGTTTTTTAGAACATTGAAAAAGTCGTCAAAATTGACCAAAATGGTAAGGGGTAAGCCTAAGGGGTAATGTTTTCTGTTACAAAATACACAAGGCACATTCAATGAGATTATATACAATAATTGAATATTTTATTTATTATTAATATCATCCATTATAGCTTGAGTCACAGTCTGTGCAAATAAAAAAAATCCAATGACAACGTAAAGGACTCCAATGACCATACCCGCATTCTTTAACCTACTAGACAGGGTCACCTTATTCGATAGAACTATCTGAATTAAACACAAACCTATAAGACAAAGTTATACAGTTGTACAGACAGTTTTGGTGATAACTCATAGGAACTGAAACTCCTAAAACACACCGGCAATAAAACTTCTACCCACCTGGGAAGGTAAAAATGAAATGGGCGGCAAAGCCTCCTACGATAGCAATCGCTTTTCCTATGTTTGGTACGATTATCGACAACCCAAGGCTGGAGAAAAACCAAATTAGCGAAGTAATGATACGCCGTTTGTTCTGCCAAGCTTCAACCTCGGCTGTTGTGAACCTACGTAGTTTTGTCCAAAGACCAAGAAAAGCTGATCTAAAGAAAACAGACAGAAATTGCAATAATTTATATACCTCGCAATGACATCGAACGCGGGAAGCCAGATGTTATACGAAGGCTGTCATTAAAACTTATTCGTAAAACCAAAGACTTTTTTCTCAGTTAAACGTAATTGTAAGAAAGGTGTATTGTTCTTATTTTGAAGGTTAAGAGCAAGCTCCTTGGCCTTGGGAAATGTCGTATGATAATTGAAGCACATATTATGTACACACTCATTCCATAACGGATAGATATAGTTTAAAAACCTCTCTCGTTTATAAAATATAAAATTGTCACTTCTGAGTTACCAAAAATAAGCTGTGGAGACCAAGTTTCATAGAAAAGGAAACAACTGACTATGGCAATTATGCCCGTGAGTTCTACAGTTTCAGCTGATTTACTCTATTTTCTCTGTTTCTTATGCTAGTGATACGACCTTTCCATGTGTTCTTACCTGCCTACAAAATGGCATATCGCATATGTACTGAATACTACCATCACAATGACTGCCCTAGCTGCTGTTACGGCGCCGTCTTTCGGGTCATAATTCAGCAATATATCGCTCTTTACGTTGTGGCCAAATGTTAAGAATCCATATGAACCTGTTACGGAGTATATAACGGTGCATATTAACGTGGACAGTGCGGTCACTATTCCAAATCGTTTCAACGTGGGATTGTGCAATTCTGCTAACACTGCAACTGATGTTACATGACACTAGAAAAATAAAAAGAGTTTATATAATTCTTTCAATACAGTCGTAAATAGAGGAAATAGTATATGGTAAAACGTGCTTGATTTTGACATAAGAATTACCTGGAAGCCAAAACAAATCACTGGAACTGCAGCAAACACATTGGGCCAAAAAAAGGGTTTTGAAGAACTATAAAAATTAAGTTGCATTAGGGACATTTAAGTCTAGGTCTATTGTGTTAGAGATATGTATAGTTTATGGACAAAAACAAAACAGATTACTTCTTAGTTGTTGTTAAGCCTTTATCAGAGAATTTCCAATGAACTTCATTGAACTTAAGTTTACGCATTACCTGCCATAGGTATAATTCCCAGTATAGAATCGAGACATCACGACTAAACAAACAAAGAAGGCACCAATACCACCAAAAAGACTGAAAAAAGTTGATTATGAAAGTTAGCTTAAAACGGAATGAAAGTGGGTGTGAAAGTGAGAGTGGGTGTGATCATTAAGATTTGCAAACTGAAAGAATGGCCAGTCTAAATAAGTAGTTATAATTATTTTTTACAATATAGCTACTCGTCGTATATGACCTATTCTGCAATCTGATTGGTCAAGCTATTGGTGAGTAGCAAAACCAAAGAAAAAGCAAAATAGCTGACCGGTTTGCTGAGGTAAATAAAAATGAAATTCTGGAATACTTTTGTCTCTCAACAAATGGTATTTGGCTATATTATAAAACATAGCACCTCTTTAGCTATCAGCTCATATACAACTCAAGCTCGTGGTATAATTGTTAAATATATAGTATACATATCTGATTACCTTGAATAACTGATCACCTTTAATTTCTTTGGAATACATAATGGTAAAATACATATGCATGAAACTACAGCAATTATGAATCTTCTGTCAAAATACCAGCCAGAATGATCAATTACTAGAAAAAATGAAATATTTAGATATATTTAGTAAATGCATCTGACATACCATTTACCAACCTCACAATCATCTACGTGATGTAACAACTAATTAGTCAACCAACTGACTAACAGCAAACTGAATCATTTTTGAATCACCTTTTGTCAATTGATCACCAATCAGAATAAGATACGTAACATCGCTTCCAAACATATAAACAACAACAATGACTTGGCAGATGACTTGGGCAATTGGTCCACAAAACACCAACACTGTATCTTGGTAGTTTGCCGTACGCCTCACTTGTCCACAAAAGCCGAGGATTAAAAATGCCCCAATGATGAGAGCAATCAGTACCTAAAAATGGCACATTTACATTCAAAATAAAAAAAACAAAGTCTGCTATTTTATGAGCCAATAATTTATACACAAACGGAAATTGATACATTGCTAAAAATTGAAACAATCATAATTCGATACACACCCAAAAATTGATACTCCATCAAAATTTGATACACCATAAAAATTTGATACATTAATAGTATAAAACTAATAAAACTTACAGCCTGAACACCAAGGGCTTCTGGTACACCTCCAGTTTTCGCATAAGCTTCAGGAAATGCTAACATTCCTGCGCCCAGCGCAGCATTTGTGACAACGAACACAGCCCGCGGTATTGGCAAACCAGGTTCATCATTGTTCTGAATGACAACACTCCCTGTCTCATTAATAGATGCACCATGTTCGCCCGAGGGTGGCTGATCATTCAAGTGATGTCTGTTGTGAATACTCTCCCTGTCATAAAAATTCCCTTTTTTGTGTTGCAGTAACGACGAACGTTCATTCGGGACAGACATTGATAGTTTACAATTGGAAAATCAAGAAAAAACCCATAAATACTTTCCTTTTGTCAAATTTCTTTCAACTTCCGTCTAATTGGTTACTTCATGTTAGGTGTTGTGTAACCATCTTTATAGCAACAATCCTATTGGTCAAAATTTGTAAGTCAAAACGATTTTTGATTGGTTGTTCGGCTGCTATACAAAAAAACGAACGTTGATTGGTTGCGTTATTGTCATGGTAACTGATGCAGTTGAAAAATGGCCGGAAAGAAAACAGAAATTTATGTTATGTGAAGAAAATGCCTCAGTTTTTAGGCGATTCTTCCCAAAATTCGCCAGGTATCGGGGAAGACCAGGACGAAGTTGGAGACGCACAGTCAAGCGAGGAACAGAATGATGTTATTCAAGAACCAGAAACGCCGGCATTTCCGGTTCAAAACTTGCCGTACGATGCCATGCGAAGTGAGCCTCTTTTGACAAATGTTCTTGTTGAACTATACGACGGTGAGACGGACGAGCAAGGATTCTTACATGGCTATGGGACAGCGTACTTTCAAGGTGGGAACATTTACAAGGGCCATTTTCAACGTGGTCTGATGCATGGAAAAGGCAAATACATTTGGCAGAATAGGACAATATATGACGGTGATTTCCTTCACAATCGTTTACATGGTTATGGTGCCTACATATGGCCAGATGACAGTGTTTATGAAGGAGAGGTGATAAATGGATTGCGACATGGTCAAGGAACTTTCACTTGCTCGACAACACCATGTGTCTATTCTGGCATGTGGCGTGATGGTAAACGTCATGGTCAAGGTATGTTGAAATACGACAAGAATGGTGTGTCATATTACCAGGGAGAATGGTGTGAGAACCAACGTCAGGGTTTTGGCACTCGTAGATATGCCAGCGGTAATGTCTATGAAGGGAACTGGAAAAACAATGTTCGGCATGGTAAGGGTACCATGAACTGGTACACCACCAATGAAAAATACACTGGCGATTGGTACAAAGGTGTTCAACAAGGATATGGTGAGCATACCTGGTTCCTAAGACGCATCAAGGGGTCACAATATCCACTGAGGAACCGTTACGTTGGTAGTTTTGTGAATGGTCTCCGTGAAGGTCATGGTGTATTTTACTATGCAAGTGGTGCCAAATATGATGGAGAATGGGTGAATAATATGAAGCATGGCCATGGAACATTTGTTTTCAAAAATGGGATGGTCTTTAAAGGTAGGAGAAAAAAGAAGTGTAAAGAAAATATGTAGCATCTCTAAATGCTAATCAAATTATACCCCCTTTTATCATAGGCAGCCCAGAAATCTGTTTATACTCAGTCTTCGACTGCATTGTTTACGCGCGCGGTCAGCTTCTCTTGCCTGTACTAATTACTGTATTATTAATATATAATACAGTAATTAGTACAGGCAAGAGAAGCTGACCGCGCGTGTAAACAATGCAGTCGAAGACTGAGTATAAACAGATTTCTGGGCTGCCTATGCTTTTATCAATAATTCTGCTTTAATTCTACCTAGGTGTATTTGATAATGACCACATGCTAGAATACCCTGACATCAACCCGTCTGGTATGATCACACCTGACATCTCCTCCGCTGGTCTTCCTGTGCAACGCCCTGCCACGCCTGCTTCATCAATTCTCAGCGCTGATTGGGCCAATGGTTTGGAGCTTAACATTGCCTTCCTGTTTGATGACAGGGAAATTGACTTGGATGAACGAGAATTAGAAACACAAGAAGTTAACTATGTCATGCTGCAGCATATCAGCAAATTGAAAAAAATTTACTCCCACTACAGTTCTATTGGTGTTGACAAATCACAAGACAACACGTCAGTCATGACACTTATGCAGTTCTGCCGTTTTCTAAAGGATATTAAAATCCATGGCAAGGATGCATCCCTACCTGAGATATTGAGGCTAATTTCCAGCGAGAAGAATACAGATCCATATTATCCCTGGGAAAATATCCTAATACGCGATTTCTTGACCTCATTGGTGATTATCGCCAATCACTTGTTTGCCGATGAGTATTGCCATGATATTAACCAGCTATTGCTGCCGTGGTGCTTATCAAGACTGGTAACAGAGCATGTTGTAAAACATGCTGGTGTGGTCGGTGGTGTTGTTTACACCAAGCCAAGTATAACAATGGAACTCTCTCAATATGCTGAAAAAGCCTATGGTATCTATCAGTATTGGATCTCCCAAGCCAAGCAAATGCAACCTAATATTCAGTGTGTAAACATGAGGTATATGCTGTGGATGTTGAAAGATTATGGCCTCATCAATGAAGGATTGTCAGCAAAGCATGTCATTGATATTCTTGCATCGGATGACTCCCGTGTTATACAAGACGAGTTTATCAACTTAGAGGTAGAAGTTTCCTTTCTGGAAGTGTTAGAGGCATTAGTCCTGTGTGCCGAGGTGTATGTCACAGACGATGCATTGAGAGAAACACCCACCCCTCATCCAACAACCGTGGCCTCATCGCAAGCAGCAAGTGCAAAAAGTCGTAATTCAAGTGCTTCTGGAGGCCGTTTAGAATCACCTGGTAATGGTATATTTGATAATATCCTACAGATACTTCTGTCCACTTTAGTGCCTTTCTTGATTTTCGACACAATGTTCCATCAGTTGAACAGTAGTTTATAGCCGTTATAGTTTAAAAAGCATACCTGTTCAGTTTCCGGTTTTGTTTGCAGAAAGCCGTATATCCAGTCACTCTGTGTTGAACGTGATTGAAGAGAAGCCGGAAGACGACCAGACCCCAACCGAGGTGGAACAGAAGCCTGCAGATGCGAAGGTTGCCACACCTATAAATGTGGGCATTCCTCTTCTTAGTATTACAGGTACAAATTACATAAAGCAGAGATGACAAAAACACAATAGTTGAATTGACATACATGTACTTATTATAGTGGATAGACTTTATCACCAGAGTGTTGCCATGATTCTTGAATTTCCAAGCCAATTATCATCTGTATTTTAGCATCATCTACAGATGAGTCAAAGCAACTTGTAATAGATGATCTTATTGATGACGCAAAGAATGAAAATGAATGTGGCGACTCGCAAGGTTGTGTATATATTAATGTTTCACTCATGGGTAGAGTTTGGTTGTTTTGTTTTTTTTACCATTAAATGAATTAAATATATTCAAAAACATGTTAATTCCTAGATGTTGGCGAAAGCCGAGCAGTTGACGTGGGGAACAAAAAGTGTAGGGATGGACAAGATGAACCAGTAATCATAGAGGATGACCACAGAGTATGGTGTATGAAAATGAGCATTTTCTTTAAGAAGAAATTTTTTGCAGCAGCTGATGAACATGAATTGTTAAACAAAATAGCTCAGAAAAATGTATGAAGCTAGGCTATAGTCAACAACAGTCAGTGAATGTACAGCATATCTAAGGGTTAAATATTTGGCGTGATGAATATGGTTGTTTTCAGTTTATATATCATTAGATGTTAATACACCAAAAATTTGCAAGTAGTTTGTACTATTAAGTTTTTGACAACCTTTATCCTTTGATGTTAGTTTTATGACTTAGCGTCAATAAAAAAGTTTAATGTAAGCCATCATATAACGAATTTCATTGTGCACCAGCCACGTAGTTGGGTGGTCATGCAGAAACTTGCAAATGACTCCACTGGTCATACTATCCAGTATTATGAAAGTGCTACTCTGAATGGAAATACTAATTAATCAGGCAAGATGAGGTGGTAATTGAAACTGTGATCTGGTCAAGCTAATTTCTCAGTTTGGCTGGTTGGTAACTCAGTGTAGCACCATCACAATAATAACTCCACTAAACCACACACACACAATCAAGGTTTTGTCACATACCATCATGTCAGGTTTCAAAGTTACTGCAAAACCATCCATAACTCCTTGCAAATAAACCAGTGCTTCTTGAGAAAATGGTGCAGTTTATTAAATTCAATGTTACCAGATTTCACCCAGCGATCTGCCTTCATCGGGGACACGATCCGGGGATCCGCTCCTACTTTACCCGCACATCTGTTCAACCGGCGTTAGAAGGGGGGGGGAAAGCCGATACTCTTTCAATCCTTCTTGTAAACAAACAACTAAAGTAATAAACTGTTTTATATAAATATTATCGAACGCACGAATTTTCCAAGACAAAATGACTACCTTCTTTCGTATTTGAAGCGGAAATTTAAATGGAGATATCCGATGACGATTTTGATGATCTGCTTTTATTCCGCCATCTTATTCCGAGGTTTGAATTTGAACATAATTGCATTTTAAGTGTATCCATTTTTATAGTGTGTTCAAGGTCGTGTTTGTATGAACATTTGATCACAAGTATACAAAAATAACATATGACGCTTTGTGATTCCCAGCAGTGGTACTTGATTTTGGGCGCTTTTCTCTATTGAAATTTCAATTATATTTTCTCTTTGATTAACTTTATCACAGATTATTGCCAAATAGAGTCAGAGACCCCTTGCACTTAATTTTTGAACAAAGCCTAGCATCTGATGATGATTCTTCGTCGTCAAGTGAGGAAATTTTTGCTGAAATCAAAAAAGGTAGTTTGGTAGGTACATATGGTATGTTTGAAGGCAGGTTAATTTGTAAACTCTAGATTTGATTAGTTAGTTATCTTTTTTTAACCAATCAGCATTGTTTACGAATCTACCTTATAGTCAATCCTAAAAACTTCTAAATGCCCACCACCTTGCACAATGGAAAATAAATCAACAATAGTGAATTACAACTATACTCATGATCAGGTGTACCTATTTTGATGCTGTAATGTTTGTTTAAGATTCAGGGTATATATTTTTCAAAAGCATCCTCATGCATATTTTAAGCCAATAGTCTTCCTGTATTGCTTATCTATGGCAACATTATCATACACTGATTGTTTTTATAGCTCATGTGAATTAAATATTGCGATAGTACTACTATGAGTTTCAATCTTAATCCATTTGGAAAACAGACCTGTTTCTGAACTCAATGAACATCTTAGTGATTATACAATTATTGAAAAAGCTTATAAAAACAGGGTGAAAGCAGTTCCAATGAAAGGAACACATATGGAGAAAATGGAGAGAAAAGTAGCATGAATATTTGGAAGTGCATTCAAAGAGTAAGTTTACAACAGAACCATAAAAAATGAAAAATAAAATGAAAAAAGGTGTGAGCTGGTATTATTCTTTATTTAGCGTGAATTGGGGCTAGGTCCCCATTCCTCAACTGGGTTCTCTGAACATGAAAAGTCGAGGGTGTTTTCAAAGTAAGAAACACCGTGTACTTTTACTTTAAAGTTTTTCAGCAGGGATTCACTGAAAACAATGGCATTGCTATCTTCAAGGTATTTACCAAATACAGTGACAGAGGTTATAAAACATCATGCAAAGGTATTTTCTGGCCATTACTCTCAAGATGGTTCCGTCTTTATGAGTGCCAGCCAAGGTATACCTTCATGTACTGTAGTAGTCTTTCTTTAATATTTTGTCATGGTGAAATTGTAGCGAAGGAAACATGGGTGACCAATGTATAGCAAAACCTATGTTTAGCTGTAAGATCGAACCAGCTGAAGAAATGTGTTCAAAAGATAATTTGGTTCTTTCCTCTTAGCTTTAAATGTTTAGACAAACTGTAAACTGTTTGAACTAACAAACTGACTTTAACTCATCAGCTTTCTGTACGATCACGTTTTCACAGATTGTCATATCAAACTTTACGAAACTGGAAGAGGACATTTACGAGAATTTCAAGATGTTGTAGCGCTGAATGTTGGCTGGAGTGTTGTGGATACCGCATATAGGTAGTAGAATTCTAGGAATAGCTGACATGGAATCTGTTATGGTTGATATTGAAACTCTGACTCACTCTTTCCTAGCCATGATCAGCGCCATTTGATCTACTCCAGTTGGTCTCCAAACCGTAAGTAAACGATTCTTATAAGCATCGTAATTTGATTCAGATGGATCATTCGTACAAACAAAACAATGATTGTGAATCAAATCTTCACCTACAGTCTACCTCTGCGACATCGCCGGCGGCTGTGAGAAGGGACAGGTTGCACTTGATATGAGGTGTGTACATACATATTGTGGGGTTACCTGGGTTGGTGTGGACCCTGCAAATGTGGTTTTGGGCTGGTCTACCAGCAGGACCTCTGCAGCTACAAATCTATTGCTATAATACTTTATTCAACAAACTCTTACATATTTTCCCCTTAGACCAGCGGGTCCTAGTTTTTGCGCATTTTCCATAAAATTCTCGCAAGATGATCGTGAAATCTTGACTGGGTAAGTCAGCCATTGCAAGCTATAGCCTATAGCTATAGGGTAAATTACCACCAACTGGTGCTGAGCTTGTCCATTCATTAACAGGTCAAACGAGGGAGGCTTGTATATCTATGACCGAGGGTGCGAGAAGAGAACTTTAAGGGTTAGTTTGAGTAAATACGGCCGAAGATATTTTAATAACAAACATTTACGGGCAATCTTTTTTTTGCACTCAAGATAAATGGCCATAGTGATGACGTGAATGCAGTGTGCTTCTGTGACAACACATCACAACTGCTGTTTTCAGCTGCTGATGATGGCTTGTGCAAGGTGCGTTTTGCCTGGACCGATTTTGGCTCTTGGCACATGTTAATAATCGGATGTTAGCGGTTGTTGGTGACGTCATACTGACAAACACGTCACATTGCACGCATATATTTGACATAACATTGAAGTGCGTCTAAAATCTAAATGGCTCGAAATTGAAATTCGAAAAGAAATTGCAGTGTTTTTGGAACATTATAATCTGACTGCTACATACTTCAAGAATGAACTTTGTTAAATATATAGACATACATAGATATAATACCAGTTTCCTCGTTCAAAGCTACTAAAATTATCATACTGGGAATACATTCAATGCATTTTATCAGGTGTGGGACAGACGTACATTAAACGAGCACCGTCCAGAGCCAGTCGGAGTCTTTGCAGGTCACGTGTGTGGACTTGGAGGCGTAGACTCAAAGGTGCGTAAGAAGGGCGTGTAAGTGACTCAAGACAATCCTCATACCCAGGGCCTCTCGGCTCCGTGCTGGTCGCCCAACTATAGTACACTTGATTGGCACCCGCCTTGATTTTCCACTTTTAACAATGAATATCGAATGAAGATTGGAACAGGTTCAGAGTTACCAGGAAATATGTATTCAACGGTATTTGGTGAATTCTCTATATAGGGTGATGGACGATACCTTATCACCAGCAGCAAAGATCAAACAATAAAACTTTGGGATATGAGAAGATTCACAGACGCTGATGGAATGAGAGTTTGTGTTCCAATTGCATTTCAAAATACCGTATTTGTTTGGCTAGGAAGACAGTAGACAAGCGAAGGATTTAGTTCAAAGACAACAGCGACATATTGGTAGCTATACCATCTTTCTTTTTCCTTTTCAAGGAAGGTGTAATGGCTGTAGCTAAAAACCAATATTGGGACTACAGATGGGAAGGAGTACCTAAAAGATGTAGGTATTTTGACTTGTATATTGTCGACAATCTTCGTGTGGTGGGGAGGATGAACTGATTTGAAGAGATTTTAAACTAAATTGATAGTTCAAAGAGACACGAAGTTGAAAGGAGATGTTTCAGTTATGACCTATCGCGGACATTCGTTCCTGAGATGCTTAATTCGTGCACGTTTCTCACCAGTTGAGACTACAGCACAGGTAACACATTGGTTAAGAACTCTTAATGTACTAACATACTGTATCACTCCAGGTATGCGTAAAGCTCAGTGTTTAGCACTAACTAATGCAGCCAAGTTCTTGCATTGGTATGGTCGAGGTAGCATTTGTTTTAGCATTTTCGCGAGAGTATATGAGGCATTTTTATTCAGCATTGTACCAGTTTATTCAACGTTCACGTCATACTTTCCTACCAGCAAATTAGAAGAGTTATTCACTTTGATGCAATTTTTGTATTTTCAGAATTTCATTTATACTGGCAGTGCAGATGGGTGCATTTACAGTAAGTAATCTTAATTCAACACACCACCCACCCACCCCTACTAGAATGCACAACAGTAATGTGATGTTTCCACTTTTTTTTCTTAAAGTTTACGACCTCAACAGCGGGATGATAGTCAGCAGACTCCAGGGTCACGTATCCTTTGTAGAGCACTTGAGTTTGTGAGCGAGATTGTGATGATGATTGTGATTGCGTATACATAGAGAGGGTAGTCAATAATGCAAAAGGTTGATTTCGTGAAAGATATTATTTCTCCTTGACAAGCGTGCAGAATGATGTAATTAGGGATGTCTCATGGCATCCCAGCAGGCCTTGCATGATGAGCTCATCAGTAAGTACGAATGTTGATTGTCGACTGTTGCGATAAGGAACCAAAGATATATTTGCCAATTTTGTATTAAACACACCGGCTTCATCAGCTATTCTCTTTCCTCTAGTGGGACCAAACGGTAAAATGCTGGGAGTATTCACGAGATAAAGAGGAAACTGAAAGATCTGATAAAGAGATTGCCGAGGATGAGAGAGACGAACGAGCCAGAAAACGCTATCCCAGCCAAAAATATTTCTTCAGGAACTAAGAGTGATTCTGCATTTTATTGTTTTGAATTTAATTGTAATCTCCTTCAGCGTTTGAATCTGCCCTTATAAGATTCTGGTCATGAAATAGCAGAGACAATGTTATGTTCCTATGACTTCCCAAATAAATCCGCTAGACCACTACTCTGTAGATAGAAACATTTTTAAATATCGCCTGATAGTTTGCAGCGGCATTATAACGTGTCCCATTGCTATAGTATGACTAAATATGTTATATTTTTCATAATGTGTGGTATATCCGATAAATTGATTGTATAAAGAATCTCTATATATTAAACACTGTTAGTGTTGCTCGATAGTTTGTTTACATCGCCTCGCAGTCTCGCACATGCATCACGAGAGGAAAGAGCTGAACGTACCGTTCTCCACCGTTTGAGGAAGTATTTGCAACTTTCAGACATGGGATATCGAACTTGCAATGTACTCTGGTAGTACCACAACAATCACTTTGAATACAATCAATGATAATCTCAAACCTTTATCCTTCATTCAACCCTCACGTCATCTCAATTTTATCCATCTCTGCCACAGGATGTATTCACACAACCCCGCAACCACGAAAGAATTTCTCAGCTTCGTATTTTCCAGAGAATTTCTCAGCTTCTTATTTTCCTGTCGTCGATACCCAAAAATTTTAAACAAACCAAAGCGGCGAGTTGTTCAGCAGACTTTTTACTTTTGTCCCTAAAACCACAAAAAAAAATTCACAATTCTACCCAGTTGTAACTTGGTTAAGATGAAGAATATGAGTAAAATTAAATTCCTACCCGGAATATGAAGTGTATTTTTGTCCATTAACACTAACGACACTTTTGAACAAACGTTCTTCATTTTCAACCTTAAAAATCAACGATAAAGTTCCTCTCATTCTCAACTCTTCTTATCGGTCGAGTTTGGATATAGAAGGTTTGCAGAGGCAGTATTTGAGACTAGTGCACACTCCCCTCACCGTTTCGTAACGCGGTTGATTGAATCCTTGCTGCCTAAAACATAGCATAAGAAATACTATTAGCGTTCTGCAACCAATCTTGCTATTCCTTTTTTACAGCAGTTTGGTTCCACAAACAATCCTGAGTAATTTTATTTGAGGGTGATTCTCTGGTTCACACACGTGACATTGCTGTTTCTTAAGGTATATATTTCATATTTTGCATGTAACAAAATAGAATAGCATTGTCACGTGTGTGACCAGAGAATCACCATTGAACATACTTAGCCCAGATAAACAAAATGCCTTTGGGAGTGAAGTCACCGTAAAGCCTCCTGTAAGAGAAAAAAAAACCACCTTAATTTTGACCCAACCTCGCAAGCCAGGCTTTTCTACCTAGGCTACGCTCCACGGACCACGCTAGAAAAGCCTGGCTTGCGAGGTTGTATATCTTCCTTCTCTGGAGAGACTGATTTCTTTTGTACGCTATTGTTAGTACGGTATATAAACATCATTTCTGAATACACACGTACCCCCCCAAATTATGTGGTCTAGCTACGCCTACGGCGCTGCAAACAGAAATTTGTTGAAACCTGTTATATGAAATATTCATCTCGTTAACATCATCTTCTCGCTTTCGTTTGGCAGACAGGGACTATTAAAAATGAAGAAAATCAAAATCACCAGGCTTGTATAATGCATGCTGTTTGATGTCAATCAGATTTCATTTCCTTTATAACGAATGATTCCGGCTGTACCTTTTCCACATTTTCTGATCTAACTCGACGTTGCTTCTCCCATTCTCTTAAATAACTTCCTAATTCCCAAATATCACTGAAACATGAAGAAATGAAAGTTGTCAAAAGCTAATTTAATTCATCCACAAACCATGTTCAAACAGTTGTATAAGATGAACTATGAGAAGTTCTGTGAACATGAAAAAAACCCTACCATAATTCCTTCATTGTTCTGCTGTGTTTAAGTTGTATTCCTTCAGGTGTTTCTAAAGCTTCGTGCATCAACTGAGCCACACAATATTTTGTGTTGGAAAAGGAATTATCGTACTCCACTGCCTGAGATGAAGACAGAGACAAAGTGAAATAGTCCTGCATTGCTGTGTATTTCCACAGTAAGCTGGTGAATATGGAAAATTTAACCATGAAAAACATTGGTAAAAATCTTACAAATTACAGACTTACAAACTTAATAAAATCTTTGACGACTGTCTGAATAGGCAATGTTCCATCCTTCCTGAAAATTAGACAAACTAATACTGTTAATAAATAGAACAATCTACAAATAACTTCATCTTGAAATACTGTTATATAGTCAACCATTATTCAGTCTGTAAATAAACAATATCCCTTGCAAAAATTATGACTCCAGTTCATATATGGAGCTCAGAGGGTATAGCGGACCTGAATACTGAAGGATTCCATTGTGCAGCCCGAGCGACCATCACAGAGTCTGTACCAGTCTTTTCTTGAAAACGCTCCATATCTTGATAGTTTTTTATATCCTCTGATCCTCCATTGCAGATAACTGGAATGCTCAATTCCTTTGCAACTCTATGGATTATGTCACTGTGCACTGGATGTCTTGGTCGTTCATGTTGCTCTCTAATAAATAAATTAATACAAAAACTTTATTGAAACCACAACAGTGTAAAACATAGTCTGTGGACCAGATCAACTTTATTCATTTTGCATTGCATTCTCAGTAATAGCTTAATTTGTACAGTTCCTTGAAAAAAAAAGGATTATAATGTATTGTAACATATGACAAACCTTCCATGAACAGCAAGGGCAGAAACATTTGTGCTCTCAATCACTTTCACTAAATGGAGAGTTTCCTCAATCTAAGAAATGAGAGAAATCATATGTACTTGAATGATTTTTCATTCACTGGGAATCCTAACTGGAAACCAGCACTTAAATAGAGTATTAAAAGGTACCAGCATATACCATGGTACTGACAAATCCAGTGAATATAAATCATAGAAAAAAATGCAATAGTCTAGATCAAGCATAACTTGATGGGAGAACTCACGGTTGGTAGGATTCTTATTTTACAAGTCACAGGTATAGAGAGACCTTTAACAAGCGATGTTAATATCTGAAATAAAGAGAAATATATTTGGAAAACTACAAGAGATTGTATTTGGAATAAGAAGTTCATGTAATAAGAACTCACATTTTTAACTTTTTCAGGATCTTTCAACAGAGCAGCTCCCATCCCACCCTGTGGTAAAATACAATACACATGTTAGACTTTTAGTGCACTTATTGATCACCATCGAGAAGCAAAAATTTTACTATACAACTCTTTTTGAAAATATACTCTAACTTACTTTGATGGAATAATCTTTAGGACATCCCATATTAACATCAACTGCAGAAACATCCTTTTCTCTAAAGAAAAAATCAAATTGTCATCATGCTTGCTAACAAATACAATATAGGTGTGTGTTGATGTTTTCACAGCTTAAGTAATTGTTTTTGCATAATGTTACTCATGACCTATCTGGTTTGCAAGTGTAACACTCCAGGAACTAAGCAAAGTAGTGGTCAGTTGTTCTGTTCTCACAACAGACAAGCATTTTACCACAGTTTACCATCTAGGGTAACATTTCTTTTATTTCTTTGAAAGATATCAATGTATAGTTACTAAAGACACATACACCATCTTAGCTGTTTGCAAGGCTCTCTCTGCATCAGATGTTCCCTGAAACAAATGATGAAAAATAACAAAAAATTCATTAGTCATTTCATCTCTTAAACATCAATGCACAATAGTAAATGTTCTTGTTTTATGATTACACATATTAATTGAGGGGGACCATATATTTATATATTCTGTAAGTCCAGGCTGATTTCTATTGAAAGTGAAATAGCCAGGCATAGCAGAATATATGAATATGGTCCCCCTCAATTGACGCCAATGTGCTTACATTTCTCATGTAAACAACTTACAAGTGAAAAACATTTACTCAGTGATTACCATTTGAAAAACAAGTTTTGACTTCTCTCTTTCACATGTTCTGAATACAACATTGCCATCTGGATGAACATAATCAATGCTTCTCACAACAGCTACAAACATAAACAATTTTGTTTCCATTGAGACATCTGAATTTAATTCAATTGTAATCCCATATTATAAAGGTACCAATGATGATGCATACCATTCTCCACTCTTGAACACCTCAAAAACCTATGATCAATTATTTCCTACGTGAATAGAATCAAATTTAATAATAAAGTTGTGGTAATGTGAAAATAAACGAGTACCATGCTTAAAATAGTAAAAAATACAAACTGACCTCACAATAAACAAGGTCAGCTCCATATTTCAAAGCCAACAGTCGCATTGGCAGACATCCTATGCGAACCATAGGAGCTAAAATCTTCAAATTTCTGAAAGAAATGTTATTCTTGTCTTTTCTGCTGTTCTCCATCTCAACCATCCTTATTTATAGTTATTATGTTCATGAAATTTTGGTAAGAAAATAGGTAGAAAACGCCAAAATTATGACAAGATTGACGACTTCCACAGTCCAGTCACTCCAGTGTCCATATCTACCAGCGCATTGAGCTGAATAGAACTGGAACGCTACTCTTAATGGAACATAAACACAGCATTGCAGCATACAGCCCTTGTTTCTTTGTATGTAAAAGAAAAAAAAATTAAAGAACGTAAAAAAAACCAAAAGAGATCATCGAGCTCTATCAAATGATATTTTAAAAACATACTATGGAACGGATATGGTTCGAACTTCGAATGAAAAATTTATATCGATCGAGTTTACTTATGTTTTTGCATGATTATATAGAGCATGACAGATTAGTAAGAAAACATTTTTTAATTCGGACGAATGCAATGAGGGAGAATGAAACAATATTTTTTGTTGAACAAAGTCGTACATGTGGACCTCGGAACAACCCGTATCTCCCCGACCAAGCCCCGACGACTATTTCCGGTCATATGACTGGTTCCCGAGAGCTTGTGCAGAAGCCATATACCCTTCGCGTTGTAAATATCATTTCGAGGTTTAGAAAAGTCCAAAGTACAGCTCTTTCGTAGTAAATCTATTTCCGTTCAATACACCGCCGTATTTCAAATGATTTTTCAATGAACGACGAAGCAAATGAAGCAAAGTTCGACCCTCCTGACGAGAACATAGGAGGTACTTCGGCGGACATACAGTTACAAGGTTTTATATCGTCTTCAATGACGTAGTTGGCTTTCCTGCGAAGATTTCCGCAAGAAATTGTTATTATTTATATGTATTTCTCTTGCAGTAGGGAGAGATGAACAGATCACGGGGAATTGCCTCATCTGCGGAGATAGGTCGACAGGAAAACATTATGGAGCGGAAAGTTGTGATGGCTGCAAGGGATTTTTTCGTCGTAGTGTCAGGAAGAATCACCAGTATTCGTGTAGATTTCAACGAACATGTGAGATAGACAAAGACAAACGAAACCAGTGTCGTTACTGCCGTTTAAAGAAATGTTTTCGTGCCGGTATGAAAAAAGAAGGCAAGTATCTATTCACATTCATTTTGCGCACGAAAGCTCTTCCGTGAAGATGTGTCAAAGAGTTGCTCTGACGCACGATAATAATATTTGTTATTGTCTCCTTTGAAATTCCCTTTTTGGGTATTTAGAAGAGTCTTTTCCGTTTACATATAAAATTTAACTATTCTGAATAGTTAGATATTGGTTGTAAAAGATATTTTTTAAGTTTACAGATATTTGATAATTAAAAACAATCGAAATTATATTTAAATTGCTAGTTGGAATTCGTGTTGGAACAGCGATATTTCTTAGTTGTTGATGAAAATATTTTTCTGCCACTTAACAAAGACAAAATATCCGTGAAATTTAACCCAAACAGCAAAATGCGTTTGGTTGTTGACTCGACTAAACATAAGTTATATAAATCAATGTTTTAAAGTTGATGATGCGACTGAATTTGAAATAAAACAACATTCAAGTAATGACATATATACCCCATACCACGTCCTGCTTAAATCACATGATCTTACGGCGATAAAAAGACATCGTCTCTAAACTAAAATGCAGTAGAAACACGCCAAACTGGCAAGTAAAACTCCTAAAAGCAGTGTTAAAGAATAGTTCTCTGCTAATGTAAACAAAATGCAGTTTCCCCCACAAATTACGCCATTATAATTTTGCATGCCTTTAACCCCTGCTGTGTACTTGTGTAACAGAAGACTAAAAATTATTCAGAAACATTTATAAGGATTATACCATTTCAGGGAACTACATATTATTTCAGTGAAAATAGTGTAAATATTTTCTGACTACTTGACCTTGTTAAAAAGGATGTTATGACTATGTTTGGGGGAGTGGCATGGGTGTTTTTGAAGTTGTGACCAGGTAGACCTCAGATGGTATTACAGCTACAGTACTTGAGCTAGACTACAAAAATTAGTTTGTCAACTGTATTTCCTAAAATAAAGCAAATTAAAATATAATTTTTGTGAGAAAAAACAGTTAAAAATTGAGAGGAAATGTTGACATCAAGAGGTCAAATGTATGACGTATATAATAATGATAACAATTATTTTCCCTGAAGCTGTTCAAAATGAAAGGGATCGTATCATTAGAAGACCATCGGAAGACCCAAGTGATAATAATGGTATCACAGCAAGCATGCTTCTGCAGGCGGAACTGCTTTCTCGACCAGCTCAACCAAATACAGGTTGGTAGAAAATATGAAATGCGTTTGAGAACAATCTATGCTGTTTTAAAAATGTATAAAGATCATATCTTATGTGAATTTAATTTTATTTCAGACAAAGCTGTTTACATTAATCCAGACAAAGAGGCTAATCACAATGAGATTTGTGAATCCATGAGACAACAACTTCTTGTCCTCGTAGAGTGGGCAAAATACATCCCAAACTTCTGTCAGTTGAGCCTTGATGATCAAGTGGCTTTGCTTCGAGCGCATGCTAGTGAACATCTTTTGTTGGGTTGTGCCAGACGCTCGTCAACTCTTAAAGATGTCCTGTTGTTGGGTACAAATTGGGTGATATATCGTACTACGGGAGAACCAGAAATCCAAAGAATTGTTAGCAGAATTTTGGATGAAATCATTGAGCAGATGAATCAAATCAATATAGATGACACAGAGTATGCCTGTCTAAAAGCTATCATATTTTTTAACCCAGGTATTGTAGCAGATTGATAGTTTTCTTTTTCTTAAAAATACCTGAATTACAATATTTAACTGAGTTGTTGTTTCTCCTTAAGATGCCAGAGGTTTGAGTGATGCAAAGACAATCAAGAAAATTCGCTTTGACGTACAGACAACGTTGGAAGATTACATAAACGACAGACAATATGAGAAACGAGGTCGCTTTGGTGAGATGCTTCTGCTTCTGCCATCACTTCAGTCAATTGCAGCACAGATGGTTGAACAGTTGCAATTTGTTAGGTTGTTTGGAACAACAAGAATTGATAATTTATTACAGGAGATGTTATTGGGAGGTAGGTTTGTAGCGAAGAATTTATATAGAATGATGTTGAATCCAACAAAAATGCTGCTTGTTTTCACTTAAAAAAGGTCTGCCCCTTTTCTCAACGACAATGGTTCGACGTCCAAAACCAACAGATATCCTAAGACCTAACAGATTTGTCAATGCTGTTAAATACAGTGAAACCTAAAAGTCATTGTCTTCTCTAGGGTCAACATTGCCTGAGCAGCTTGCTTCACTGCAAGCTATGAGCCCAGGCCAAACCTCCCCCTCACTGAGTGTAACCACACCTCCTTTGGGTGCAACCCCTCCTACACTGAGCGCTGCCCCGACTATCAATGGTCTAGCCCAGTCCACACACGGTATTGAACAGCTTGCGCAGGCCAGTATGCAGTCAGCAAGACTTGTGACGCAAACCTCCATGTACAATGCAATGAACTTTAACCTCGACACAAACGTGAACCTGAACGGCACCACTCCAGCTGCATATCCTGCAGTGGATATCAGCAGTTCAGAAGTAGTGGCAAACCCTGGTGAGGTTCTACAACTCATTCAAAATCCACATGTGAAGCAGGAAAAAAAGAATAATAAAGGAATGTAATGAGATATGTCAAACAGATGCGGTCGACAACCATCTCAACAACCTTCGGATGGTTATTTCATCATTGACTTCATCATAGGAGTCGCAAAATTAAAGCCCAAAATTATTTTCATAAAATGCAATTGTAAATTAGAATATGCACATTCATAAGTTATTGGCGGTGGGCGAGATTTTGGAAGTAAAATGCAATAGTTTACCCTGAGAAGTATTGAGACTTAGGATATACGCAAAACTATAAGCTACTAAGTAAAGTATAGTGAACCATACCAACACAACGCCGTACTGCAGGGCCATCAAAACCAGCACACATTAAGGAGCGAAACTAGAACGATATTTGAGGCGGGGTGTGATTCATATATTCTGGTCTTCCTGACGGCTTTCTTTTGTACTAAGTAAAATAAACAAAATCCTTTCATTGTTGGATCCAAGTCCCCACTTGATAATGCAGTCCGGCAATATCGTGTCTGGAGAGAGGTAATTTAATTTTAGGCGCGTATAAAAGGGTGTGGTCGATGTTTTGGGATGTACTGAGTAGCACTAAAAGAAAGCAGCTTGCGTTCACGATTTCAGATTGGGGTGATAGTTGACAATGTAAGGAACACATTTAGATGGTATCTTGGTAGTGAACCCCCCAAAAAGGTGTTTGACGTTTAGATTGCTTTTGCATAACGCGTGTCTCTGTCAGAGAAGTCAGGGGGGGTTTACATTGAAACGTTCGGAATCGCTATCACTTATCAGGCTTTTGGAGGAAGCACTTTTATGCACAACCCATACCAGCATTAAGCCTGTTTTCCACTTCCACAGAAATTGTTCGCTAACGAAATGTTTTCAGATTTTTTTTTAATTTAAACTGCATAAATAAATTAGCTCAACACGACTGTTCTCAATGCAACAGAAGATTATGCACATATTTCGCAAGCAAATTATTTCTCTGCAAGTGGAAATCAAGCCTTGATGACATTGCGCTTCACTGTGTTTGTAATCAGTAACACTTTTACAACATATTTATATCTCATGCGATATGTAAATAGAATGAACGTAAGCTTCTAGGGGCACACTTTGTACTTGATCTCAAAGTCTTCAAGCAGATAAAGGATTTTGCACCATAACAATATAATACTGTGGAATTATTGACTGTATTCATTGTAAAAATATCATTATTTTACTTTCACCATTCCCTAATTCAATTCAATCAATTGCCCAATTATTTGTCCAAACGGCTTGAAGCGAGGGTTAATAAAACGAAATGAATTATTTTTTCTACTTTTTCATTCGTCCAATTACAATACATATTTTATTGCAAAATGAACATGCAATAGAAGGCAAGATCTGAAGACATTTCTATCTGCTTTCTATTTGAAAAAAGCAATCTGATTGTGTTTCATTCCACTGCAGACAACCCTGACAAGAAGCCTTCTATTATGTGGGCAGTGGGCACCAACAGCTTGGTTTATGACGAGTCATTAACCCTGGAACGTGATCACGTGTCATCAATTAACAGGAGGGTTTAATTATTCATGGTATATATTAACCACATATTGACCCTACCTGTAGTCGGACATTGCTATCGCTTTACCGACGATTATTACGAGACACCACAGAGAAACAAGCAAAGCGTTTGAAGGTTTGTCTAATACACTTATACACAGTAAATACAATATCAATTTACTATCATTGGGTTCTAGAAATCTCAGCATATGTAGCAATCAACTTTTGAAATTAGTCATTAATTGATACAATTGTAATTTGGCCTATAAAATGGCTTTCAATCAGTTTTACTTTAATTTCCCAAGCGAGGATTACAGTTTCGTTTATTCAAGGCCTGGACGAAAGCATAAATCTGTGCTTAAGTGCCTAGCACTAACTATATCTATAAAACATGGCACGGAAGATAAGCGAACGTTCTAGTAAGAGGCAAGCAGGCGTCTAAAATCTAAAATTTATGCTCTGCCGACGTCAAAATATTAGCACAATGCTATCAGACAAAACATTCCGCACAAATAACCGCGATAATATATGCAGTTTAGATGTAATATGAGAATCAATGATCGAAATTAGCCTGCTAGGTTATTAAATTTATTCAAATTCTTGGGCGAACCCAAACATCTTCTGCATGGCTGCTACATTATGTGTTGGGTAAACTATTTAAGAAGAACGAAAAACACCTTTTGCAAGTGATGAAATAAATGAAAAGTGAGTTCGTGAACATTTCGTCAGGCAAGAGAAAGATGTGAGTTGTAAGAAGAGGTTTAATTATGTTTCGTTTGTTGACATGAATAAATTTTGCAATATCACGAATGTGGCGTGTCTTTTAGCTGTCAAAAGTCGGCAAAGTCGTACCCGCAGTGAGACGCAACGGACCTTGAAGTTTTAGGGAGTTTTCAGTTGCCACTAACGCCTAATGGAAGTTATTTTAACCAATTGCAGCTTTAATTCGGATTCCAAAGATCTATCTTTAATTGATTTTTTTTTGTTTGAAATGCCATCAAATGCGGTTTGCTATTTCAATATAATTTGGATTCTAGAAGTGCATGTTTGTCTTTGTCCTACGACCACAAATCGAGCAAACACGAAGGAAACACTACGCAATTACTAAAGTTTCTTCAGTTGTTCCTGCAGCTCTCCTGTGTCCTGATGGAAGTTAAACAACGCTCAGCTCCTGGCATTCCAGAATCAATGACCTCGAGTGTTGCAAACGTTGACCCTATCGAGTTGGATGACCAAAGCACTTTAGTTATTGTTGCATTTTCTGATGATTGTTCAGAGGAAACGAAGGAATGGCTAAGGAAGAAATTTATCGAACCAGGTATTTCAGGTGTTGTGTTTGAGGGTGAAGGCCAGCGATATGGGATGTCGCAGACTGGAAGGGGCCCATGTGGCAAAGGAACTGATTCAAGCATCATGTATTTTATGTGTTTAGTACCTGAAGGCGCTGGACTACGAGTGAAGCCGGTGTTAGACCAGGATTCCAAGAAGACATTCCATCTTTCAGCTTCGGAGAAACGTCTCGTGCAAGGAGCCGAAGGTCTCAGAATCAAGAAACGGGACAAAAATAACAAACTCAGAGAAATCACACAAGAAAATTGGCAAGAATTCGAAGAAAATTGCGAAAACAGCAACGTACGCGTTCTGAACTCTGCGGACAAACAGAGGATAATATTGGACGCTTTGAATGATTTACGAGCACCAGAAGAAATGGACGTCCCGGGATGCGTGGACAAAAAGTTGTATATTGGTCAAGCCATACGTAAGTATACGAACAGGTGACTTTCACTGCCGATCAGGAACCGGTTGTTTAAAAAGGTAGTTAACTTTTAACTATAGTTAGTGGCAGAATTGGCCAATCAGAATCGTGTATTTTCTTGTTAACTACGATTTAACTACTCAAAATGTAGTTAAGAGTTATATACAACCGGCCCTAGGATATGGACTTTCAAAATTAAGAAAACTCAACTTTTTTACACTCTTCTAGTTCCGTTGATCCAGGCATACGGTCTTGTGACCCAAATAGTTCCGTTAAACAACAGGGATGAGCTGAACTCGCTCAAGCAAAAATGGTACAAAACGTTCGAATGGCGTCAACCTCTGGGTAAGGAATTGTCCAAAGTCAAAGACTGCCTATTAGGTCCAGAACTAGTTAACCTTGGTCACTATTGGCCAGGATCTAAAAAAGCAGTAAAACGTCAGTACTATAATCAACAATATTTTTTACCGAAATCTCATCTCATATCTTTGTAGATGCAATCAAAGATTACTATGGATCGACCATCGCGATATATTTTGCCTTCCTCGAGTACTACACGTTTGCCTTGGTCCCCCTGGTTCTGCTCGTCTTCACGTTCTCTATAATCAATCTGGACGAACTGTGGTATAACCTGATATTCGCCCTCATCAATGTTCTCTGGGGTACGGTTTTCCTGGAATTCTGGAAGCGGAATTGCGCAACAATGACGCATCGTTGGGGAACGTTGAAGCAAAGTTTAGGTAAACGTCAAAAACGTTTTACAAATGAACCCAAACTTTTTCGAACTGGTGCATCGCATGGCATACAAAGTGCTACTATACGGATTCAATATTTTCTGAAAATTCTCATATAGTCTTTTTCTTCCGTAATTTTCAGCATGAATATTCTTTGCTGGCCTTTTTAAAAAGATAATCGTATCAACCCATCATAACTTTCATTTAATTTTCCTTTCTATTTCATTAGTATCATTCGCAGCAGTATCTTCCTCCATTCTTCCGCCATGTCTTTTTACACTTTATCGTTTCTCCGAGTTCCATCACTCGTTCTTCATTTTCACGCTTTACCTATCCTCCAATCCATTTCTTTTCAATCTTTCATCCCTTACCAGCTGAATCTCTCTTCTTTAAGACTAATTTCTTCCATTCTCCTTAATGTCAACCTTCCTGCAAAATAGACCCATTTCCACTTGCATTTGACAACATCCTGACTGTAGCTCATCTTTCCCCTCAGCTGAAGAACAAGAGGAGGATCCACGACCGTTGTACACAGGCGAAACACGAATCAGTCCAGTAACTGGCAAGAAAGAGATCCACTACCCAGAGCATCAGCGCTACCTCAAGATATGTTGCGTCTCAGTACCGATTGTTTTGTTTTGTATTTTTATTGCGATTAGTGTAATGTCCGGCTATATTCGTATCCAAGACAGTCTGAATGGACGATACGAGAAAGAAACGGGTTTCATGGCGACGTTTATGACAACAATGCCGAGTGTTCTCTACACTATCGTCATCCTTGTTCTCAATAATTTGTACCTCAGGACCGCTACGAAGTTGAACGACTGGGGTAAGCGAAATTTTCTTTTCGAGGATAACAATCCTTAGCAATGCATCCAAAAACACATCTTTTCCCAGGAAAGAGTCGCTGCTTTTCTTCCGTGAATAAAACGCAATGTTTCGTCACCAAACTGATGGATATAAATACTTCAGGCTACCAGGTCGCATCTCAACGCCAGAATATCTTTCTTTTTAGAAAACCATAAACTGGAATCTTCTTATCAAAACCATCTTGTTGTTAAATTAATTTCGGTGAGTTGTATGCTCTAGTGTCTAGCATTGACCGCTCCAATTTGTATTGTCTGCACTTCGTGTTTGATATAAAATATAACCACTTTTTAAACATTTAGTTTTTTTTCATCAACAACTTCTACTCGTTATTCCACATTGCCTTCGTACTTCAAGACATGGACCTACTAAGAAGTGTGAGTTTTTCCCAACAATTTTTTAACGCATTCGCATGTAGTTCCTACCGAAATCTTTAATTTATCGTAAAATATGGTTTATCCCAGCATTTGGCAGCGCTTATGATAACCTCACAGTTGACTGGTCAAGTCACGGAACAGCTATTACCCTACGTTCTGTACAAGACACGCTCGACCAAAATAAACACAGAAAGCAAAACATTGGGTCTCTTTGGAAAGGCTGAAAACGACATTGAATATCAAATGAAGCAAGAACCGTACTGGGTAAGCCAACCTTGGATATTTTGATTCTCAGAAGAAGTAACATAACCGATAATGGTAAAGTACTCTTTGAGCGCTGCAAACGTTCTCTGTACGCAAATATCATTAAAATGTGTATTATAACTCTGTGTTTATAATTTCAGGGTGTTTTTTGGGACTATTTGGAACTATTCTTACAGTTTGGCTACGTATTTTTGTTCTCCTCTGTTTACCCAATGGCTGCGTTCTGGGCGCTGTTCAACAACGTCTTCGAACTTAGAACGGATGCGTTCAAGATATGCAAGATTTCCCAGCGTGTGTTTGCCCAACCATCGCAAGGAATTGGAGCCTGGCAGGTACACCATGAACGTTTCCTTCAATATCCTTACTTACACTTCAAGATCCCTCATCACCACCACCCATGGATGAAGCTAGAACTTTGATCAAGGGGTGGAGGAAGCTAGAACTTTGATCAGAGGATATGTTTACCTAATGCCCAAATAATTTATTTTGAAGGAGATGGTTTTGAACTTATTAGTATACAAAATTAACATCTAGGTACAGCCATGCCAGCACAAACTTTGAACTTTAAATATTTCCACTTCAAACTTGTCTTTTTCACAATATTCTAGACTGCATTTGAAGTGATGGGTATCCTAGCAGTGATGACAAATTGTGCATTGTTAGCAATGTCTCCAAGCATCCAACAATGGCTACCATCTGATTTTTCAACTCTTAATACCATATTTGTGTTTGTTGCAATAGAGGTAAGCATATTATCTGGGCTTATAGTGCGTCAAATATCACAAAATATGTTTGTTTTGCCCTGACTTTCCTACTTAGAAACATGTGCACACTATTAGAATTAACAACATTTTTCCCAGCATATTCTGTTAGGAATCAAGCTTGTAATAGCTGTGCTTATCCCTGATGTGCCTGGGTGGATACAAGAGGAATTTGCAAGAGAGGAATACAAACGCAAAGAAGTTTTAGCAGTAAGTATTGTTTATGGATAAGCAAGAAGCAAAATATGCTCCACAGTCCATACTTTGTTTCATCTATACCGCACTACAACATTCATGGGAATAGTAGAGGAAGATCCCTTGGCATATTCCAAGTAACAATTGACTTCATTTTTTTTCAGAAAAAAAGACTGCAAAGTATATCATAGTTTTCAAACCAGTCTGTGAGTAAGACACTCCACATGCAAAATTTGGTATGAATATTGTATACAGAATAACAAGTATTGCTTTCCATCTACTGAATGGTAGAACATCTACCATATAAGTCTTGGGTATATTACTTTCAATTTTAATAGTACAAACACAATTGTGAAATGTCAAATAAAATATTGGAGATGAAGTTTTGAATTTCAGTCTGCACAGTAATCTCACAGCACAATATTCAAATTTTGCTAAAAATCTGTTTAAAATCTTACCTGGTTGCTCTTGACTTTGAATACTTTTACGATTAACCGTGGACAAATTCGTGGTAATTTTTCCCAGGTTGAAATTTATAATAAAATTATTTTCCAAATTCCAAATTCTTTTCAAATCTCGCGCGCAGTGCTCGCGCGGTGCTGTCCCGCGTGATCGTGACGTCAGTTATTGCAATTACATAATTATTCACCCTGCTAATTAACCTTTGACCACGTGTTCACTGTCTGGAACGGACCTCTCCTTTTCCATAGAAATTATGGATAGAACGCGGTTAAAAAACATTTTAAAAGTATTTAGTCGTCGGAAAACTATCGACTTTGACTTCGAGTCGCCATTACGTCGTTGCTTAGTTTTCTGGGACTTGTTTTTACTCGGAGTTGGAGGTTCAGTAGATGTCGCTTTGTACATTGTATTGGGAAATGTGATACGCGATTATTGCGGTCCTTCCATAGTGATCTCAATGATCATCGGATTTTTCGTCTGTTTTACAAGTGGATTTTTCTACGCGGAATTTGCGTCGTACGTCCCTACCTCGGGATCAGATTACGATTACGTTTATTCGACTTTGGGCGAGCTGTGTGGTTTTCTTGATGGCTGGTCAATTCTTGTTGGATCTGTTATTGCCACATCAGCTTTAGCCCAAGGCGCTGCTGACCTGTTGCGCTCACTCACAGATTCAGCTACCTTTGATTATTTGGATGCGCATGCTACTTTGCCGGACCACGCCCTGCTCGCTTCTAATGTAAATATTGTTGCGACATTGATTGTGATACTCGTGAACATTATTACTGCACTTGGTGTACACAGCTCAGTCCGGTTCAATGATGCTATTGTTTTAATTAATCTCCTGGTCATCGCATTCACCTTCATCACTGGACTTGTCTATGTCGACTTTGAACTTTGGTCAGGCTGGGACAAGTTTGCACCATATGGTGTTAATGGTATTCTAAAATCATTACCATATACCATATTTTTCTATGGTGGATTCATATGTATCACATTTTCGACAGAAGAGGTCATAGATGCACACAAGACTTTACCACGGTCTATAATTGCCTCGATAGTTGGTATTTTTGCGTGCTTCTTCTCTGTTGGAACTGTGCTGAGTCTGATGATCCCATACAATCAGATATCTTCAGTTTCCCCACTATCCGACACTTTTGCAACGGTTGCCTTCAAGCAGTCTAAATACATTATTGCCTTTGGTGGATTCTGTTCCTGTTTCAGTTCTGTTCTTACAGGGTGTTATGCAAACTCTCGACTTTCATATGTCATGGCTCGAGATGGCTTATTAATGAACTTCCTTCAAAAAGTTAGTATCCGCACGTTGGTGCCAGTTCGTGCGGTATTATTGTCTGGATTAATAGCTGCCCTGCTAGCGGCATTTTGTGACTTGACAATCCTAGTTGAAGTATGTTCAATTCTTACGTTATTACCCTATGTGACACTTGGTATCTCAGTTATACTATTACGTTACAAAGAGCAGAGTTCTGCTTACGAGTTATCGAATGGTGTAGTGGAAATGACCAACCATCATGACGAGGGACCCAACACCCCGGCCCAAGAGATTCCCTTGGCTACAGATAACTTGACAAATAACCAAACAAGCTTATGTCAGACAAACATTCTGTTTGAGAGCAAAACCAAATTAAGAATTATAATTGCATTACTAATCTTATTTCTGTCATCAGCAAGTATCTCATTAGTTGTTCATTTTGGGATTCTGTATGAACTAGATACACCCACATTTGTTACCTTAGCTGTCATTTTTACAATACCACTGGTGGTATCAATGATAATTATATGCAGAACACCATGTCAGATGATAAAGTTTCCATTTACGGTGCCAATGTTTCCAATATTGCCAACTGTTTGTATTGCAATGTGTACCTTTGTGATGTTTCAATTTAGTATGTGGGCATGGATACTGTTTGTGATTAACACAGTAATAGGTATGTTATGCAACCTTGGATGTTAGGTCATATATTCAATTCTTTAAACCTTTCAAAATTTTTTAGTCTTAGCATGCAAACTATGGGTATAGACAATGTTTTCATTTTGGATTGTTTATTTTTAATTCAAATTATACTATACACAAATACTTGATGAGAGAATGGTAGAAAATTCTCAACTTAAACCTAATGATTACTTACAGAACTACTTTTCTTATTAGGTATAATCATCTATCTTGGCTATGGTGTTAAGAACAGCAAAGTGAACTCTTTAAATGCTACTGTTGAAGCCACTGACCAGTTATGAAATGAAATAACTGTGCAGCAATTTAGCTTTCACAATAAGTTTATGTCTAAAAGATGTTAAACATACTGCTTTATAACTAAACAACAATTGTAAACAAATATTTAAATAATATTGAATACAAATCATTACACTTTGGCATATGTGTCCCACTCGTACACCCAAACGTAACTATGTATTGTTGCTTTGGCGGGAGTCCCAAAGTTGAAGGAAGAGGCTTCTTCATTCTCGTTCGCTGGAAATTGATTTGGACAGCCACCTGGACCACCAACCTTCTCAAAATTTCTCCACTTAAGTATGAATGCTTTTCTGAACAACACAGGATCATCAATGAAAAATTTATAAGCAAGAATCTCAGTGAGAGGCTTGTTAGATTTATATGCAAGCCCAGAATGGAAACCATGGAATTCACCACTGTTGAAATAGAATGCTGATAAGAAGAAATCTTCTGTGCCCGAAGAAAGAAATGTGGTCTCGTTGGAATTGTCAATGTTTGCACGTACACATCCCTCCATAAATGTAGGTGATTCACTCTGGATATTAAAAGTGACAAGGAATAACATTCCTGACTTGTTAGTTATATTTGAGAGTGTCACAAAATCTAAAGGAGCTAATGTCGCATTTTGTTTGTAGACTCTGAGTCGTGAACTGATTGGTATCTGAAATGACCCGATCTGCAATGGAACACCAACCAAACCACGAACAATGTACCTTCAGAAGTAAATCAAAATTCAACTTAGATGGAGAAAGCATGGTAAGCTTAACAGCCAAGCTAATAATACTCACCAAAGTGCACCTGTGTTGACTTTATTTGTCACAGTTATTTTTATCCCAGAGGTAAACGGTACTCTAAATGTATTGAAAAACCCACCACCATTAGCCTGTCGGCCAAACATTCTGGTAGACCATGGTATATTATTTTTCTGTTCAATATTAACAGACTGGCCCATGGTCAAATCGAAATCTAACGAAGCAGTATCTTCGCCATCAATATAGATCCGTATTCTTGCGTATTGGTTAAAAGGCCCATCTGCAGAGCTTGTGAACCACTGTTCCGTCACATATCCGACATAGTTGAATTTTTTTTCGAACAAGGTTACTTCTTCCCCAAGTGTTTTGTATTCGTAAGCTTTAATTGCAGAGGAAAATGAACTTCCTTGACCATCGAGTTTGATGCTAGCTGAGCAAACAGCTGCTAACAATCCAACAGAAATTATTTGCAAGGTGACAAAGGCCATTGCAAATCAAAGCTGTAAGAAGGAAAATGTTGTACATCTCAGTAATTGCAAACTATGTCATAAATTATGTCAAAACCACAAGATCACTATTTCCTAGAAAAGTCTATTATGTATTCAATATGCAACAGTTATCATTTAAATTAAGATCTGTGTCATCATTTTTTGTTGTGATTTTATTTTCATAGATAGACCTGTTGTAAACTAGAACTTGTATCTACGAACGGCAAAATTTATTTCCCGTTTTCAAGGCTAAGTTTCTGTAGTCCAGAGAATTACTGTGAAACAACTGAACTGTGGTAAAACAAAGTGCCAAGAATCTACTTTCAAATTCGACTTAAACGTAACTGTTTGCAGGCATTGGTTTGCCGTAGTTGAGATGAAGGTCCCTTGTAGTGAGACTCTGCTTAATGCCTATTGCATCCATTAACTACAACCTGAAAACGAAGGCACAAAATATTGTTTCGACAAAATATTCATTCATCCATGAGAATATTCATCTTTATACAAACAAGCTATTGTAAAAGGATCCTGGTTTTATAAACAATTAAAAATCGCTAATTTCAAGCTGTACGTACCGATTTTGCGATAAATAAGGTCTCTCCAAGAAGTGAAATAGTCCTAGTAATCATGTGAATATCACGAGTATAGGACTTAGGTAAAATGGTAAATAAACTGAAATAGAAAACATGTGACGCATATAATTATCTTATTACGCATGGAATAACCATATTTACAGCCTGTTAATTGATTTTTCAGCCAATCAGAGCTCAGCTCAGAACTTCGAGCTGGCGAACTGCAGTCAGCAGTCTGCGCTGCACGTGGTAACCAGTTGTCACGAGTTGTCCACCGAATATTTATGTAAATAACCTTGGAGTGAATAACGCCGCAAAACTATACCAGGTCCACGATTCTTAGGAGGTAGTGTTAGTGTTACTAGGCCTTAGAAACGCAAAATTAGCACCGTGCGCAATGTACCAAAGTAAAGATTCTGACATTCAATATAAATTTTCCTCTTTGTCTGCATGTCGATAGTGCTTTTGCAGAGCCATCCCTTCTTGCAAATTGTCTTTATATTACTTTATCATTTTTCATCTTCATCTGGGCATCGACCTCTCCTTTTTTAGTCCCTTTCCGGCTTCGTCGAACGATCACTATTATCTACATTATCACCCCCCTGCACACTTGGAAAAGTAGTTCTCCCCTCCCGATTTATGCCTACTTGATCAACAGTGGAGTTTTCTTGCCTATCATTATTGGAAGTTCTCTCAGAGACTTTACGAAGTTGTGACTGATCGAAATGTTCAATAGAAAACTACAAAAATAAAAGAAAAAACGGTGTAGAAAATTGCAAGATCTAAAATAAGACCACGGCCTCTATTACATAGCAAAAAAGACATCACTGTCGGCATAGACTAGGTAGGTGAAGAAGGACTGCATTTTGAAGAAGATTAATCCCAAACGCACCTGCAACTTCAACAAAGGACTAACCAAAGGTTCACTTCTATCAATTGTTTTAGTTCTTTTTAAACCAGCCTCTCTAGAAAAGGAGACGAGGATAAATATATATACGATTCACTGTAAACCCTACTTTGTCAGTTTTATCTGCTGGAAACTGTTTCTTTTAGGTAAGGTTTTTGGCTTGCCACTTGCCAGATATAATTTTGTCAACTTGCCTGTCAAAATATTTTATTCCTTCCAAGACATGTTTCAGTCTATCGATCGCCACAGATCGATGGTCAATGACGTCATCTTGCCTGGTCGTGATCTCGGGGAGTTTCCTTGGAAACGGCACACCCGAGATAGGCGGAGATGTCGAAGATATCAAACTAGATGAGGCTGAAAATAGCTGCGAGGATGAGTAGTCGAAAAATTTAGCCTGGGTCTCTTCTGAAGATTGCTCGGCAAGACTTGATCGGAGATCGTCGGATGCCGGGAGGTTGCGAACATGATCTGAGTATGTATTGGGTTCAGTGTTTCCAAGAGATGTCGGTGGTATGATTCTTGTGTCGTCATGATTTTTTTCACTTTCTGCTTCGGCTTGAACCATTGGCTTGAACCATTTGGGTTCTGAACCAGTTTGCTCGCCTGTGGAAGGAAAAGAGGAGAAAATATATTGAAATATATCGCTTTTAGCTTAGTGAAAACAAACAAAAAGTTCAAAAATTTACCGTGATGTCTTTCCATCGCAGTTCGTTTATTTAAAACTTTCACAATCTCGTCATGCTGTGGACAAAAATTATCTCATATGTTAGGCCTTCGCAAAAGTGAAACAACAGACCATCTCTCATCAACAGACAAAACTCCAACCATCGATTTAAACATTCTTCCTGGATTACCTTAGCCATATGTAGTGGCTTTAAGCCCTGAAGATTTCGGATATGAAGTGGCGCGTCATTCTCCATCAACAAGTGCACGATGTCAACACAACTCCACCTGGCCGCATCATGAAGTGGACTGTTCCCGCGTTCATTCACGAGATTCAGCGTAGCGCCATTCTAAAAAGAAAAACCTGCTCATTCTCTTCCTATTCAATCAAACAAAATCTTTTGTCACACGGGGATTACCTTGATCAAGATCGTGGCGGGTTGGATGTTTCCGTTTTGACAGCAATAATGTAACGGAGTATTTCCTCGCGCATCCTGACAATCAACGTCGGCGTGATGTTGTAACAAGAGGGAAACAATCTGGGGAAAATCAAACATGTTCACTATCCTGTGGATATACGGGGTGTTGTACAGTAGGATGGTAGAACTCTGAGGAGTATTGTACAGTAAAGTGGAAGTACTCTGAGGGGTATTGTAAAGTAGGATGGGAGTACTCTGGGGGATGTTGTACAGTAGGATGGAAGTATTCTGAGGGGTGTTGTACAGTAGGATGGAAGTACTCTGAGGGGTATTGTACAGTAGGATGAAAGTACTCTGAGGGGTATTGTACAGTAGGATGGAAGTATTCTGAGGGATGTTGTACAGTAGAATGGGAGTACTCTGAGGGGTATTGTACAGTAGCATAGTATACTACACCTTAGGATGATTGTACTGACAAGCCAAGTGGAGTGATGTACACTTTCTATTATAATCTAAAATGTTTGCAAGTGCTCCGTGTTTTAGTAGAACGCTCGCGATTTGTTCAAAACCATACAGGGATGCAATATGCAGAGCGGTCTTTCCATCCAAACCACGGCTGTTGATATCAACTTTACGATAAGGCGACGGAGTCACATCCTATGTGGAAAACAAACGAGGTATGATGATGATTGAACGTTCACTTCGTTCGACAACAGATTGAGTAATACAGCGAATCAACCGAAGTGTATATCTCTATTAATTAAGAGGAGATTTTTCATTATGTCGCGTATTTTCGCGGGAAAACGCTCAAAACCTAAAATCTTTTCGGCGTACCACTCAAAATCCATTTATTTTACCGTTATTCTTTAGATTATGTTGTGAACTAAGTTTTGAACTGTATTTGGTGAATGCAAAACACGAAACAAAGGAGTTATTACAAAATATAATTTTCAGAATATTTTGAGATTATACAGTAAACATAATTTGTGGATGCTTTTCAGGTTTGCAAAACATTTTAATGCTGAAAATTTTAGTGCTGTTGCATAAAGATATAACTGAGGCTTTGAGCATATATTACGCGACATAGAAAAATATCTCCTCTTAATAGTGAATGTTGTCTAGAGCTCCATCCAGCAAGAGTGATCCCATTCAACCGCACCCTACCTGTTGATACTTTCTGCATTTATCACATTGGCAAAGAGGATGGCAGAGATTAGGAAGAGATTCTTTGGGTGAAACAGAACTATCGTCGATATCCTCATCAACGACTTCCCACTCATCTTCCAGACCAAGCTTGTGAAACACCTGGGAAATTGACGCAAGGAAAGAGAAAGAGTTAAACCACTATCAACTGCAACATCCCGTGTCAATTTTGCCAAAGGCTCGAAAGATTTATCATCATTCATACCATTCTAATATCCCCTTCTGATACAGTTTTCAAAAATCCTTCAATCTGCATCATAAAATCAGGAGAAAATATACAATTACTGAGCTTGAAGCCTTTAAAACACTACAAGCATAACATGTATGCAGTCTGGAACAGTGCTTGAAAATGCAATCTGATCCTTTGAAAAGAATCGAACCTTAGAAATCCAGTAGAGTCCTCAATAACACGTTCATATTGATATCCTGACAATCTATCGCATTTTCACATAATTTGGACATTTGGCAACGATATAGTCTTGTTCTAAATCTTGGTCAAATTGTATTTCGCGGAATAGGGGTTAAGAGTGAAACTGGGACCGAGGAATTCCACCTGATCTCACAATAGCGACTGGATCCAACCCTGATCTTATAATCTACTAGATCTTTCAAAATCCAATTCGAGTGAGACTTTGATCAAGTCTATACCGCCATGGTGTTGACCGTGGAACAATTAGCATTCACAGACACGCCTACCTGACTTTGGTTTGGATCGATCCTCTTTGATTTGTCAATATCAGACGAGGAAAGAGGCCGTACTCTCTGAAACAGAAAACACGAGATAAAAGATAGAAACATATATTCACATGTACACGTAAACACCAGTGAATGTTTCCAACGATCACTTTGTATTTGGAAAATAATTTTTAGTTCTTACAGCAGGAACGATTGAGTCTGGTATGACGACGTACGGCGTATCATTCATGCCAAGTAAACTTTTGATCTGGTAAACGAAAAAGATTACTAGTTTAGCCTTAGGAAGAACAGGGACACTTACTATAGTTAAATCTCACATCGCATCACACTGATCTGATGGGACACTGGACAGAATAATATCCAGTTGCTATATTCCAGTGTAATATCAGATCAGTGACCCCACTGGCTATGAATTAAATGAGCTGATGGCGGCCAAGCTTCAGTACAGTGATATTATTATCATGGGACACAGGGACTGACCTGCATATTATAAGCACAATCAACTGGAGTTTCGTTTCGTTTGTTTCTTACGTCACTCAGCGCACCGTTCTCTAACAACATCTTGACGATACTCTCTGAAAAAAGGCAATGATCTGAATTTCCCGGGATGAACTTGAATAGTTCCCAACGACACTCACCCCCCTTACTTCCGAAGTCCGTCTCATTATACTGCGGCAAAATGACTTACCAAAACCCCATCTTGCAGCCAGATGCAGGGGGGTGTCACCATGCTTATTTACGGCATTCAAGTCAAGGTCGTCGTTGTGCAAATCAAAATACACCAACGCCTTCGCACACTGAAAACACCAAGCAAAAGAAATCGTAGCGTCATGATCTAACATGCAGACTTGGACGTTAGAATCAGGGAGTCTGGCAACGAAAAAGCCTGCCTTGTATAATAGGGCCCAGATACAACACCCGGCCGTCAGCAAAAGACTGGAAACCAGGCCGGGTAAATCGGACGAACAGTAATAGGAAAGAGCCTGACGAACCTCCTCGTGACCGTTTGAACAACACAGGTGGATTGGAGTGTTACCATCGTTATCTTGCGCCAAGATATCAGCAGAGTAATGAAGCAGAAGCATCTGGGAAGGAGAACGGGACGTGTGAGAGGGAACGGCCAGGGTTTGGGGATGCAAGAGAGGGGTGTACACCCCATTCTTGGCTAGACCGTGTAGGTGATGACGTGGGGCGTGAGGTGATACCTTGTGATATGAATCAAAATACAAAAATACCGTGGCTTGTTGGTGCCCACGTTGACAAGCGAGATGGAGAGGAATGTTGCCATGATAATCAGCGGCATTTACAACTGAACCTTTTTGGACGAGTAAATGAATTGAGCTCGTATGACCTGAAATAAAAGGAACAGTTAGGGGAAGATGAACTGGACCCAGTGAGATAACTAGTGGTTGCTCTGCTAATGGTTCCTGTTTGATACCAGAGTACCACAAGAGAAAGTCTTGCATTCCTAACTAGGGGGATCATACAGCTGCTAAACATTAGTAATCCCCCATCAAATTACAGGAATAGTGCAGGAATATAAATAATCAATCTGGGCATTACGTCACAACTAGACAGTCAGGCAAAAGGGCAAACAATCAGACACTTTCTTCATTGATTCTCAACTTGTATAACTCGGGTTAGATACTGTCAAGTAGTTGAAAGAACTTAAAAGTATGATACAAGAACGTACCATAGTCTGCGGCAATGTGTAAAGCTGTCCTTCCTAAATCATCCCGGGAGAAAACCGTCACAGCTTCGGGATCATTGCGGTGTCTAATGAAATTCCCAAATAATTATTCAATCTTTCATTCTTTAAAGATAAATTTACTATCAAAGCAATGGCATTGATTCTTTGGTTAGTTTTTACCTGAGTAACACGTTTTCACATTGATCACAGGAACACAGGGGGTGACAAAGCTTGACTCTCGTTGAACTGCTGTTTAAAATTCTCCTCACTTCTTCATCATGACAGTGGGTGACATGCTGCAGGATGCAAAGAAACTCTTCAACGATACCCGGGGGGAGAGAATGTGGCAGAGCAAGTCGACTCTCAACTGAAAATCATGTCTTTTCTCTAACAGACAATGATGACAGCGTGGATACCCCCTCCCCCCCGGGGGAATAACCACGGTTTACCTGAAAAAATACTTCTAGTGGCGACGGTCCATCACTGGGCTTATCTTCACGTGAACTCCCTCGAGCCAACATTTCTCGGAAAGTAGAAGAAGTGTCTGAGGATTCCAAGAACTTCTACAAGACCACAGTATTTAAAGAGAGGAGTCACGAATAAATCCTAGTTAACTCAGAAATACACGACTCTGATTGGCCAATTCTATCCTTAACTACAGTTAAAAGTCCACTAGTTTTTTATACAACTGGGCACTGAATTGTTATATTTCCGAAAATATGATGTATTGTATATCCTGCACAATATTGGTTTAAATAATTATGAAGTAGATTTCGTGTCAAGACGAAACATGCGAAATCTGAGGCCTCTTAGGTCCCTATTCTTATGTGGAAATCGTCTTGCATTACATACGTAGTATTACCGGTTTTAGTGAGACGTCTAATCTCCTATCGTGAAGGTAGGAGTTCTTTATGTACTCAACAGCCGCTTCGAATGAAGACATATAAAACCTTGGAGAAAAATATTTTGATTCAGAACTCCAAGTGTGTATTATGGTACATAAGGGTAAGTGTACGTAAGTGTACCTAAGTGTACATTATAGAGCCACCACTAGACTACCTGAATTCATCGTAAGTTTTGTTGGAAAATCGAAAGTTATGTAGGTAGGTCAGGTTAGCCATCCTGTAAACATAAATATACAAAGTTGGTGGAACGGGGTAATAATTCACTATCACAAATCACGCTCAATCATTGATCTTGACTACTTTCTCACCAATTTGGTACATCTGATTTTATTACAAGACACTCTAAGATTGGAAGAAGATCATCCGCCGTAACTGCCAAAACTTTGCCTAAATTTCGAAAGAACGTACACTAAATTTGGATAACACACCGAAAAGATTTGTCCAGTTTGTGTTTTTCGGTCTGCGACGCGCCCATTTTTATACTATTAAATGCAGGGCCGAAACTAGAACGATAATTGGGGGGGTGTTTATTCATATATTCAGTTCTGCCTTGCGGATTTCTTTTGTAAGTGCAAAAGCTCACAATGGAAATCCGTCGGGCAGAACTGAATATATGAATAAACACCCCCCCAATTATCGTTCTAGTTTCGGCCCTGATTAAATGACCAGGGACCGGTTGTATAAAACTCTTTAACTATATTTTGCATACAGTTAAATCCTAGTTAACTCAGAAATACACAACTCAGAGTGGCCAATTCTGTCCTTAACTACAGTTAAAAGTTAACTAGTCTTTTATACAACTGACCTTTGAACATCTTCGTTTAAACTTAAATCAAGTATACTCAATTAGCATGCGTATGCCACAGAGCGCAATATGAAACTGAATGGCTAACTAGAATTATACACTATAAGTCGTTTTCTTCCATAACTTTACCTTGAGCCTGACTTTTTCCTTCTTTTAACATTGTGACTGCAACAATAGTTTTCTTTAGACAGTTGAATTTCTCCAATGGAGATGTATACTAAAAAATTTAGAGGCATTTGAACAAATTGATGAATCGCTACTCAAAAGTAGTATTTGAAAAATGGATCTTACGTTGTTTAGAAGGGAGAGTGTTCTTCTGCCAGATGGTATGTTTTGCCTAAGAAGTAAAATATATCCACATATATCCATGAATATACACACAGATTGCAATGGCCACTCGAGGATGCAATTGTAAAAAGGGAATTACCTTAAGGAGGGTTTGATACCAAGATCTTTAAGCTGGATATCCGATAGGTTGCGAACAACTTTGTTGAACGCTGCATCCTAGAATCATTCACATGTTCTTAGGTTGACAATGTACAGCTAGAATGTGGCCATGCTTTGGAAGAAAGGAAATGATTACCTTCTGAGATGAAAGTGAACAGACTGCAGGGAAAAGTTTGATGTGAAGTTTATGAATAACATAAGTCTGAAAAGAAATGGTTAGATACATATTCAGCATGAACTTGCTTATATTCCAAGTTTGTTCCTGGTACAAAAACACTTGTACAAATGCACAAATGAGCAGGATGCAGTGGCGTAGCCACCCTGACAATTTAGTCATGCTATGCTAATATTTTGGTATTCATTGACTGTGAAAACAATAAATTTGTAAAGAAATGAGTAATGATAATGACGTAAAATTTGCATAGCATGACTAAATCGTCAGGCTGGCTACGCCACTGGCAGGATGGCATACCTCCAGAGCAAGTTTGGTCGTCTCTGTGAAATTCCCGCTTTTAGCAGTCTTTTTCTGCAAAGATTACAAGCAATATTACCTGACATCAAAACCATTCAATATATACTTTTGCTTTACAAAAGAACACAACATATCCTAACCAAAATATTCACATTACCAAGTGTGATTCTTTCATTAACATTGGAAAAAACCTGTTCAGGACTGATATAACACTCCCCTGTCAAGAAAAGGACCAGAATGTGAAATTTTAGTTTTTGCAGAATATTAGAAAATACAATGTGAAGCTGCACTCACCATTAATGATCCTAGAAGGGCGTATTCCACATTCCAAGAGGCTAGAAAGGAGTCCAACGAACGATCTATTTGTTGCTTTGATGTATAAGGGCCACCTTAAGAGGATGATTTACAGTATGAATACAGAATTTTTATCATGAGTGTGATTCGTCATGATTCTTTACTCAGCAAGTACCATAAATAGAAGAAATCACCTCCTGCCAATATTTAAATAATGTACCATTTTAAACATTGGCAGGGGGGCAAATGCTTCTATTTATGGTACTTGCTGAGTGACAAATTGAGTTGTCTTTCTGTTTGGTGCTGGTATTCTGTGGTACGTATGAATGATAGAATTGAAATATCTCAAATCCTTCAAAATGCAAACGTCTGGTTAGACTTACCGTAAGGTGGCCATAAAAATTCAATACAATCATGGATGGATTCCAAAGGCCCAAGAGCATTAGTGCTTATTGCTGAAACACAAATATAGTGTACTGTTGGTTTTCTAAAGTGTTGGCATGTCTGTTAGTGAAGGAGTCTTATTATTAATAGATGCAAACTATGTGGATCAGATTTATAAGGCCAAAATCTACATCTGAATAGATCAGTGGAAAGGAACTGGGGTTCAGGCAATCTTCTCTGTAAAAGTATTAGGTACATGTTTTCGGGCAGATTTGAGGCAACTATTATATAAAGACATAAAACATGTAACTATGGAAATATATCTATAGTGCTATGATGAAAATTTGCAATCACCGTTTCCTCCTTCAAGTGGTCGTTCAATGCAAAGAATACTGAAACTCTCTTTGTTCGCATTGAAAAATGTCTCTTCAAATAGAATTTCAACCTGTAAGTAGAAACACCTTGGTGATATTGCTAAGATATTTTCCTGTTCAAAAATAACTGCTTAGTGTTCAAACATTTTAAAATTAGAAAACAGTTCAACGAAGGTTGAAAACATTATCACAGGGTTACCTGTCGGACATCATGGAAACCAGACGAAGTCCGCAGCAAATGTCCATCAACAATAACCTCCTGAAACACAATTTTGTGAAATCATTTGATATTTGAGCATCAATTGGACAAGCAAAACAGAATGGAACTACAAGTTTTCTTGTCTGGAGTAGTATTAGGTTATTCTTACACAGCACAATTGACTAATTGTTTTAGTCTGTCTAACAATAGACAAATGTGGATATAATAATTTCAGATAGGTCTTGCAATTGTCCAGAAATCTAAGATGTAATCCATAGTTTTATGCATCCCAATTGCACAAACATTTGTACAGGCAATGAGCAGACCAATTATTCCTGTCTCCAAAATATCCGAGAGGCAGGGTCATTTACCATTTTTCTATATTTTTGCCTAACAATCTGCTAATGGTTGCTGTTTGATACCAGAGTACCGCAAGAGAAAGTCTTGCATTCCTAACTAGGGGGATCATACAGCTGCTAAACATTAGTAATCCCCCATCAAATTACAGGAATAGTACAGGAATATAAATAATCAATCAAAGATACCCTATTGTTGAGAGTTGAGAAAGATTTCTCAGTGCCAGGTTGAGGAACTAGGATATGATTTTCAATATCTTGCAAACTGGGTGCAGGTCTACCCAAGGAACCATATCTTGGAACGCATATCTGAAAAGCATCAACAAAACATTATTGAAATGAGATATTGTCGCGACAGCTCACGTGCAGTTTGATAAAAAAGGATCACAAATGAAGAAGTAACCGCAATGGTGAAATTAAATCGCTGACAATCACATACAGTGTAACGCTTTGCTGAAGAACTTTCGTATATATGCTTATATTTTCCTTTTAAAGCCTTAAAGAATGGATTATCCAGGACATTCTCATCGTAACCAGCCGCCATGAAGAATCTAGTCCTTGCAAATTGTCAAAGTCACGAGATTTGATGCGGAAAAGTCTGAAATCTCATGACATTTTACGTCGATCCGATTGCAGCCTCCCTTGAGGGTCATATCAAACAACTTTGAATAACAAAAATTCAGCTCTTTTATAAAGTTGAAGATATTTTTTACTTAGCACCCAGGTTGTTGACATATTAAAATAAAGTGCCTAGATTTTTGTAGAGATTTTTGTTTACGAAGCATTATATTACTTCAAAACAAACATGGCTTCTTGGAATCCTGAGCGATGTTGTTTTGTGATGTAATCCCCATGTCAAATACAGTAGATACAACTCCCCCCTCCCCTTGGTATTTGGCGATTTGCCCTCCGTCGCATGCCTCTCTAGCGAAGAGAAGCTACCCCTTGGCAAAGACACTGCTTTCAGGAAGAATATCAATATTCTACTCCATTAAAATCTCGATGTCAACATGTCGACAGTCATGTTTAAAAGTGTTGGTGCCATTACCAGGGCCTTTGTAACATCAAACATCATCACCCGTAAAACACAACATCAGCTGTGTCGATTATTCTGCGTCCAGCCGAAACCAAAACCAAGGGATGTTATTTTATTCCCTGGTCAGGGAAGCCAATATGTTGGAATGATTCCTCACCTCACAAAGCTGCCTTCAGGAAAACGATTGTTTGAGATTGCGAACGAGATCTTGGGTTACGATTTGTTGGGAATATGCCTGAATGGGCCCAAGGCTGAACTTGACAGAACAGTGCATTGTCAACCAGCTGTGTTTGTGGCTAGTCTAGCAGCTCTGGAAAAATACAAGGAGATACAGAATATAGGGTATATAGGCTAGGAATATGGCCTTTTTCAGTCAGGGATGAATTAAGTTCCTTTAGCTAAGTAATTGGTTGGATATACTATTGTGACCACTCACTGCCTGGGGCACTCATAAAGAGTACTAGTTTTTCTTTTCATTTTTAGTCAGTTAGAAAAAGAGAGCATTGTTACAGCTGGATTTAGTGTTGGAGAATTCGCATCACTGGTTCTGAGCAAAGCCTTGACATTTGAAGATGGTAATAACGATGCTTGCTGAAAATTAATCGCCAACCTTTGACGACTTTAGCCTATGCAATTTTCTTGCAACTTGCAATGCAATTATAATTTTGAGGGATGTCAAATTTTTAAAGAGTGTTCGAAATGCTAAGAAAACGTAAGGAGATCATAAGAAATGTTCGTATTTGTCAACTTTAGATGCCTCAGGAGTAGAATTGCATTGCAAGTTGCAAGGGAAATTGCATACTGTAACACTGCACGTCAAAAAGGACATTTACACGTAGTTGGTTGACTTTGTTCGGTAATCTGGTCGTAACCGTGACGTGAATTTACGACACATTTACGACTAAATGCGACCGCAGATGCGACGGATATCCGAAACCAGACTATTGACGTCATCAGGAGTGGAATTTCAGAGCTAGCCTAAACCAGTCATTCAAAATCTGTGCGATTGCTTCATAAAAAAAAACTTTCAAAAAAGTCTTCCCAAAAAAATCAGACATGACAACTCCAACGAAGATAATTAGTAGGATTATTTTCTTACCGTGATAATGGCTGATTATGATAATCTTTTTCACGATAGTGAATGATGACAGCGGTTAATACAAAATATTTTAACTGAAATGCCTTTTAGGCGTAAGATTGGTCGACATCAGAGCGAAGGCAATGCAAAGAGCTTCGGATGAGAACCCAAGTGGCATGGTAACGATTACAGGCGTAGATGAACAAGAAGTTGAGGATCTTTTGAAATCAGTCCGTGAAATTTTGAAAGAAGATGTGACGATAAAAATAGCCAATTACTTGTATCCTCGAGGATTTGTATTAGCAGGAGATAGAAAAGCCATCGATTATCTCTTAAAACTGCCCGTAAGCATAGACGAATTCTTTCAAACGACATCCAAAAGCCATACATTTTAAAGCTCACCTTAATTTTGGGCAGATGGCGGTCATAACTATTATTGCGAAATTTGATATTTGCGTAATAGGCTGTCCTGCGGAGGAGAGTGGGAAACACTTACCATACCTCTAGGAAGAATAGTTTAATGGTTCGTAAGAAAGTTGTTTTAGTAATCCCCTAGCCATTTTTCTTTCAGAATGGACCGAAGATAATTGAACTTTCGGTAAGTGGGGCGTTCCATACAGCGCTGATGAAATTTGCCCAACCATTTCTGTCTGACGCCTTGGATTCCATGGACGTGCGTTTGCCAGAGATTGAAGTTTATTCTAACGTTACTGGGAAACCCTACGAATCAGTCGAGGACATTAAGAGGTCAGATGTGCTTCAGTTATTTCTATTATTTGCATGAAAAGTTAGTCGGCATTTTTCTTCTGATTTTATTTCAGATTACTTCCAAGACAGCTGGTGGAACCTGTGCAGTGGCATGCGATAATGAGGAGCATTTGTGGATCAAAATACGAACAGACTTTCTACGAAATTGGCCCTGGTCGACAGCTCACGGCAATCTTATCCAAGTTAAATAGAAGCCTGGTTAGGAAATGTAAGAACATTGAAATTTGAGCTGGACATTGACTAACTAGAGCCCCCAAGACATGATTGTCAGTGAAATGTTTTCTAGCTGTTTTTCCCTCACAAACCAGGAAACATTGCATGCCATTTTAAGCCTCTATAGTTAAGTTTATCAGACTGAATAATTATTTCGTCAAGTAATTGCCAAACTGGCTGGGTGCCTGGCAAACTATGAAATACTGTTCCCTGCCAATGCATTATATATATAAAGGCCAAGGTGGAAAAACAGGAACAATGTTTTCGTAACAAGGGAAAACCTGCGAAGGAACAATTTTGTTTCAACGACAAGATTTCATAGTTTGCCATGTGTTTCAGTTGTAACGAACTAGTCGTGCAAGACACAAGTTCTGGATTTACTGCGAAATGTTTTTCACGCATCCTTCGTGCTGCGGGGGCGGAGTCGATGAGGAATTCCTATGTCGGGGGAGGACAGACGGGGAAACGTAAAAAAAACATCCGGAAATATTTCCTGATCTTTCCGTTGGAGAAAGGACAACTGCATGCACAACAGTTGAACATGTAAAACGGGTCTACGACTTAATTGAACTAATTCAAAGAATATGTGCATTGAACTTCAACGAAATAGAAGGCAAAACGCCCTTTTTTTGTGGTTTGTCACGCACGTGTGAGTATGTAAGATGGATTCATGATGCGCGGGAAAGACGACTGCGATGAAGAATTCCCAACAACGTGCTTACCCTCATGCATTTGGCTATTTCTTCAGCGCGTTCGCCTCCTATAGACACATGCGTTGTCTCTCCGCCCTATTTTAATCTCTGTGACAGAAATATAGCGATTGTGTGTAATTCCATGTTGCATAAGCCTCTCACGTGAAACATCTATACACGAGGAACATGCATGACAGACTTACGCACGTGTATAATTAAGAGTGCGTCAAATACTGATTAGCTAATCTGGTTTATCCCCGGCGGATAAGAAAGATGAGCGGACGTTTCAACTTCAAATTAATCCCAAGTGAATGGAAATTATGGCATTCAGTTCTGCACGCGAAAAACCCCAACAGAGAAGTATGCCTCCCGTGGCCGTAGGAACTATATAATTCATTTATCCAAAAAAAATGATTTCGCATGACAAGGATTTACATTGGTTTTAATCAGTGCTCTCTGTTTAAAGAATATTAAGTTTGACTTACAATGCCTTGCAATTTTTATTAATTATATAACAAATAACTTTAATTTCCTAAACGTACTATAATATAAAAATATCTGAAGAAATCGCTCATAAGCTTTGCATTTCTGTTTGTGAGTTTCCGCCCAAAACCACCCGAGATCACCGCAAATGAACCGTTTATTATTTTAAACAAAAAAAGCTAGAAAAGCCAACTATCTTCTGGTATCTTTCGCATTTTCCTATTTTATATTTTTATCACGTTTGGGTAACTGAATTGGTTATATTGTTATAACCAAATGAGGAAAGGCGAATGTTGTAATATCTTTATCCATGGTAAAACTTTCCAAGGAAATCCTAAGGTTGCAAAACAATATATTCTGACGCCAACAATGACAAACTATATACAACAACCAATATCTATCTCATTATGATATGACGTCAACGTGACGTCCCACTGTTAAACAGCTTTATTTAATCAAAACAAATGGCCTGGTTCAAAAGCGTGAACAAAACAGAAAACAAGGCAATAAAAATTCTAGCGAAGTAGTTGTTTTTCTAGTTTTTTCGTTTAGAATTAAAAAGCAAGATTCATTTCATTTCGAAATTTTCGCCTGCGATATTCTCCCTTCAACGTTTCGATCAAAGGGTCTTCGTCAGGGAAGTTAGTATGAAGGTCTTTGCTGGAAACGCCGAGAAGTTTTTGCATGCTAAAAGCAGCTGCTGCAGTGCATTTGATGAAAGTTATTGAAAGAAGAAGCAGCCACGCTGCTATTTAGATAATTTTGAAACATATTTTTACTCTTTATATGTTATCACAAGGGTTTAACAAACTTAAGAAGTCTTAAAAGAATTTGTAAAACCAATATCTGAGCTCACTGTTAGGAAATTCCTAAACGCAAGAATGATTTTGTCCTTGGCAAAATTTCAACTGTAAACAGAGTAATTTTGACAGGATAGATCGGGCCCTTAGGCGAAGAGATAGATGCATTTTTTCTGTTTACATAACTGCTTTATTTGAATAGTGATTAGTAAAAGTTTTGTAAAAGTTTGAAACATTCACACTTATAAGCTAAATATATAATAAACAAGCTCTTATCTTTCTCGCATTTCTAGATCTTACTAAATGTTCTACATTCTCATAGTATTACTACATTTTTTTGATATCTTTACTTTGAATTTTTTTAAGAACCATGTGTTAAGGTATTGTGTTGCACGTTTTTAGTTCGCATGCATGAACAAACTCGGATATGAACTTTGAAACTTTCACACCTCAACACAATGCAAGATCTATTTTCATTGCAATTTTAAACGGGTATGCTTTATCTCATTCACTGACTCGAGCGAATATTCAATTAAGTTTTAATGACCTAGATTTTTAATATCTGCGTCCATGATAAAAAAATGAAATCATAGCCATGGGCAATTACAAAAACTTAACATTTTAAGCATATGAGCATGCAAATTATTGAAATTCTTGCGTACGTTTTGAAGTTGAAATATTGATACAAATAAACTGCAACAACATGGGCTTTAGTTTTCTCTGCGTTCCAAATGGCATAAAATGTCGCTACATTTTGATTGTAAATATGCTAATAAATGTAGAACTTTTCAAATTGATCTATGCCGGCCGCACAAGGTATTAAAACAGAAATGCTGCTTTAAAGCGATTCTCTTCAGTATAATATAAACGAAAAATCTATATATCCTAATTACAAAATGTGTTAACTAATTTCAATCATTCGCCCCAAATAACAATGTTATCATAAACTAATTTCCTTACAAGCACTCTCTCGATTCTGCTTCGCAGTTGGGCTCGACTTCAATGCCAATAATAATGTTTGAAACAGTTTTTTTTCTAACTAATAAAGAATATTACTGCATCTTCGACGCGTTTTTGCTTGCGTATAAACAAATATTAAACAAATATCAAAGTATTAACATCTTGGACAAGTAATACTTTTCATATTTATAAATCTACTTCTATAATCTAACGTAGGCATGTCAAACTAGACGGTAAAAATGCAATGCTGTATTTAGCTACCTTGAAATGAAATATGCCGGAATCTCAACGATACGACCATAATATCTCGCGGCAACAAAAACCTACATTTTTGCGTATGTTTCAAGATAACTACAAATGCATACACTACTGAAATGGGATGTACTGTCGTTCCATGAGAATTAAAATCACTTTGATTTTAATAAAACCATCAAACGTCAATGCATCCGCGAATAAGTGTGCAAATTGATAAAGTTCTATATCTAAATTTTGGAATGAAGTTTTGAACCTTTACATGAAAGAAGTTGTGGCTTTTTTAAATGCAGAAATACGTACTTTGTTAATCTATTTCTGCTATACCTACGGCTACGTTACTAATCTATAACTATTCGATGCTTTGTGTGAGGGCTTTCAATTTGAAAACAAACTGGAATTTTAATGTTAGGGCTTGTTGCCCTTCGGCTTTGCCATTGAGATTAATTACAACCTAGATTCTCATCCCTGCAATAGAGTGAAGCTAGCTAAATGTAGCAAGAACATCGCTTGCCTAACAGAAAATTTCAAAGAGAAACACGCACGACATTGATTACGCTCATTGTTGAAAAATAACCAATATTCACTGAACTGATATCGCAAATTGCAAGACGAAGATAAAAGCACTGCCTCGTGGCATAATCAGGGTTTTTTCTCATGCAAAAATCGTGCCATATGAATAAAGCATAAACACTGAATTTTGAATCAACTTTTTGTATCTTCGCCCTAAAGCAGAGATAAGAATCCCATTTTTAACGAAATAGATAAAATACCGAATGAATTCATTCACAATATTTTATAACGTAAAACTATGCAATTTGTAAACCATTAGGCAACATGCCCGACTAGTGAAAATACAAAACACAATTGCTTTGGTCGTTTCTTGGGGAAACAACACTAATAATCCAGAACACTATAAACCAGAATTTCCGATTTATTGAAAGTCAAACAAAAGCAGTCGAATTTTGGCTAAATCTCCCGAATAAATGGGGCTGAAAATGATCAATTATGTCCAACAGTGGTTTGAACATTAAATATTGCTCTTTACAATACAGAAACTCTTGTATACTTTCCAAATTATTTGTTTGCGAAAACATTTTTACGACATATGCAAAAGTTTTAGAATGCTTTTGTAGCTAAATTGTGACATTTTTGTATCCCTAATGACTGCAATGAAAATAACTTACAACTTCGTTCCGTTTCACAGCCCGAAAAAACACAAAAAACTGCAAACAAATTCGCTTGTTAGTAATGGAAAATAAAAAGAGTTTCTGTAATGCAAGTGCATGGAAAAATTGCCGCTTTTAACGAGCCAAATTAGCGTGGAATTTCATGCCGCATTGCATGCACTCAGAAGGAACTATGCTCGCTGACTGAACTACTTAGAATATTTGAATGCGATTATTTCCAAAATCTACCACAACTATAAGTCCATCTGGTGTAACACATATACCTGAAGGACGATCCAGTTGCCCGGGGCTGCATCCAGGGGCACCAAACTTGCAGCAAAAGGTACCATTCGCTTGAAAGACTTGAATGCGATGGTTCCTCGAGTCGGCAACGATTATATTTCCTTCCTCGTCGATAGCGACTCCTTGTGGCCGTAAGAAGTGCCCGTTGTTGGTGCCTTCTATGCCCAAAAATCGTGCCGTTTGGAAGTCGGAGCTGATCACAAGTAGCCTGTGATTGTTGAAATCAGTAACAACCATGTGGCCTTCGTGATTGAATGTGACGCCACGCGGCGAGTCGAAGTGCTTCCATAGCCCACCCTCGAAACCATACTTGTTTACGAAAGTGCCGTCTGCGCTGAAAAGCTGAACACGGTGATTTCGCGTGTCCGAGACCAAAATCTGCCCTTCTGTGTTCACAGCAACATCCCAGGGATAGTTAAACTGTCCATTCTTGCTTCCCTTCTCACCAAACTTGAGTACGAATGTACCATTGATCTCAAACAATTGTACACGATGGTTGTCCTTATCTGCGACTATAACACGGCCTTGCAAGTCACACGTCACCCCAGCAGGCCTGTCAAACTGACCATTTCGAGAACCGGCAGATCCGAACTTGTAAATAAAATTCCCTTGACGGTCGAAGACCTGAATGCGGTTGTTACTGCGATCGGCTACGACGATGTTACCATCTTTTGTACAACAAACGCCCCAAGGTCGACACAACTGCCCGTCTCCTTCACCTTCTGAACCGAAACAACAGATAGGAACACCGATATTTTGGTAGTTTCTCCCCTTCTTAACGTTCACGCGAAAAGGAGAATCCCTTATTTGCTGTCCGCGAATTGTTACGGATACGAGATGGAGTCCTTCGACTTGGGGTCTATACGTAACAGCATAAGTCCCATTCTGTCGGTCAAAAACTTCGCCTCGTAAAAACAGCCCGTCCGGGGTTTGTATAACGACATGTGGAGTATCACCACCCGTACAACGATTCTCGCCATGGTGGTCTTTAGTTTGAACAATAAACATAGCAGATTTACCACGAATTGCCCGCTTTTGGCCACTACCCTGGGCTATGCTAAAAGAAGCACATGCATTGCTACTTACAATACCAAGCGATCTGATGGCCGTCTGTAACGCTAGATCAGGGGGTGTAAAAACAATCGTATCGTCTTCGTGGACATTCATTAGACTTCGCTTCATTCGTAGCTCGTTTAAACACTCAGACAAGGCCGCTTTTGCTGCCCGAATGCCTTCGTCCTTTTCGGTGTCGAGTGCTTCTTGTGCTGAGTCGCAAGCGAGCGTCAGACTAGCTACACTCGACTTAAGTTCGTCTATCTGCACATGCAATGTTTTACCTTTGACTTGTCCAATTTTCTCAACACGACGAAGCAACTCTCTTTCTCTTTCTTCCAAAGCAGACATGTGCCGTCTTATGGTTGTACGAATTTCTGAAGAGACACTCTGTGCTCGGACTTGTACACGTTCGCTCATAGCACGTGAAGCCACGATGCATTCGTCAATAACACCACTTTCTCGCTTCGCCTCGGCTACAAGTTTTCGCAAAGAGCTTGCATTATTCGCTACGGCATCTTGTAGATAAATAAAGCTATGATCCCGGTGCTGTTTGATAGTACATTCACGGCAAACGGGCGCAAAACAAGTATCACAGTATAGAATAAGCACTTCGGATTCATGTGTTGCACAATATTCTGTACGAGATTGACGAAAGCTCGCTTCTTGAGTGGACAATTCCCGGTCAGCTAAAGGCACGATTTCGTGGTCTTTAGTCAATCGTACTCGTTGATGGGCTCTTGTGCAATTGGCACACAATAATTCGTTACAAACTTGGCAATGTGATGTTACACACAGCCCTTCTTCACAGTTACTACAAATGCGATTGGCGAGACTTGAACGTGCTGTCGGATTCGTGCCCCTCTCAGACGTTTCTTGTTCGTGTTGTGGCGAAATGATACCTAAGATATTCTCAATAAACATGTTAGCTCTCAAACCGTCGACACCGTTTTCGTTTAGCGGCACATGTCTGTAGCAACTCGGACAAGCAAGCGAGCCATTCGGGTCTCTATCCACGGCATCCATGAGACACCTACGGCAAAACGTGTGTAAACACGGTAGGATCTTTGGATTTTCAAACTGTTTCCCACAGCCAGGGCATAAGGGCTGTGAAGCCGATCGATCTGAAGCAAATGCCATGTCATTATACCAAAATCTCATTGACAAAAGCGTACCGATAATGACTTTTTATAATGTACCATTGGGGATGACTTCTGTGTTCATGCACTGTCATGCTCAGTCTATCTACAAAGGTACTCGTATTTTCCGGTTTAAAATTCCATTGTTTATTCGAGTGATACGCGCCAATAGCAGCCCGTCATGGGCGGTATGGAAAACTGCCAACAAACAAATTACACAAATTCATTTGGAGCTTTTAGCTCTGCGTTGTCAACATGTAGAAAACAACAGTGTCTTGCAACGCACTCGGGATATTGACACAAATCTCGAGCACACATAATCCACCGATCGATTTTAGAAGCTTGCTATTTGCTGACAATCTGTTGTGTTCTAAAAGGTGTTTTTAATTGTTTGTGTTTGTGAATGATTTGTGTAACACAGCTTGGCTGCTAAAGTAATGTTCATCGTCACTCACGAAGTGACCGCAGTGAAACAAGCTTGCTTCAGATATTTTCCGCAAAGTCGGAAAGGCTTAGGTCCACGGGAGCCTGAGTTTGGAGATTTCGCTTTCAACTAACTAACAATATTAAATTCATACAACACAATCAGCTGGGCTATTATTTATTTCATATTTTCCTCATTTTTTTTTCATTAATATACTAAGTTTGCTTTTCAGGTAAACATTTATTAGCATGAAAGGAGATCTGCCGAGAGTTTGTAAGCACAACATCACTGTAAGTTGTTGATTTCAGTAGTGAAATGAACATACACATGTGATTTATTAGTTCAACAAAAGAAGCATTAAGTTTATTTCGATTTTGGAAGTGATTCTCCTAAAGTTAAACGCTTCACGCAAACACCCAGCGTAATAGAGTGGATAAGCATCAATTTCTGCACACTAAATAACATTAACCCCGCTGTTTTCGTTCGCAACAGACCAGGACTGTAAATAACCGAAAGATTAAGTTGCAAAATGACGGGGACAGTGGTCCTTGAAATCAGATTCTTTAAGGCAAAATCTTGCTTAAATTCTGGCATATGATTTTCTGCTAAAGAGTCGCACTTTGAACGTATCAAAGCCATGTATCAAAGGCCCTTTGCTAGGGATTTGGCGGTTGAGTATGACTATCTCTTATGTGGAAAACACCAAAAAGCTACAACAAATTTGCTCAAAGTTCGAACGCATGCAAACGCTACAATGATTATGTTCGAAATTATTGGGGCATTTGTCATGCTGGTGATTTTATTGAGAAAATACAAGGCATTTTCATTTAAACATGCATCTAAGGCATTTCCGGCCCGGATTATCAATCGGCAAATTTCAAAGGGTCTCGTGCAAACTCATGTTGAAAGTGGCGAACGATATCATTTGAATTGTATGAATTGGAATGTAGTGTATTCACAGTATTCACTGTAACAAAGTAACGGAATTACAAAAGTTACATTTCTCATTCTTTTAGTAAATGAATTCCTTTCTTTCATTTCAGTTTCTGCTTTGTAGCATCGCCAAGCTTTGCAACTGTAGTTTATGTATGTATGTAAATTGTTTATCTAAAGCCCCTAAATAGTTCTGGTTATCAAATCGTCAATGTCAAACGCTATATATAAACAAGGAACTTTAGCAATCTTCATACCCCAGCAGGCCATTGTTTCAAAGATAGTCGTCCAATTGTTCTTCCCACTCCACAAGTAAACGAGCTTTTTTGCGGTGGTGTATATATCTGCATCAAGTTAAAGGTCAATTCGGTTTCCGCTTTTTCATACACATAATTTGGCCTCTTTCATCAGTGAATGTATCTTGCCGAGCAATTGATTTGGCCACAGGGCAAACAGGTAAAACGATGTTTACGTGGGGAACTATGTTTTTTTTCGGGTCTTCTTTGACTGATTTATTGAATCATATGGATTTTATTTAGTACCATAGCACAGACATTGTAAAAAAGGTGTAAAAAATGGGTATAACAACTAAAGAATAGTTCCTAAGTTAAAAAGCAAGACAACGTGCTGTTTTTTTTGCGAGACCCATAATAGTGATCTTGTGTTAGTAATCGGCATTTTAGATTTGCTTCGTTTTGAATTTGAGTTGACACACACACAATACGAGTGTCCGCCACAACGGCTAGGAAAAAAAATAAACGCGATAAAAAAATAACGATAGCGCCCCCTTCGGCTTTGGTGACAAAGTTGAAAAAACCTTTATATTGAGCGAGCATAATCACTTAATATTGTCATTGAGCTTTCCAAGGCCAAAGACGAGAGTACTGCTTACGCAATCTTTCTAGTCTCTACTACCCTTTTCTATCGAGTTTGAAGGCCACCCATTATGCGATCTACCCCATTATGTGATTTGTAAAAAAAACCAAAGTCAAAAAGTCTCGAGAACTCTCAACTCTCCATGATAGCGGCCGCTATTTCGCCTTGAATCTGTTGTGTTGCGCAATTTTTCTATGTACACACGGTGTTTGTTTGTCAACGACATACTGTATACGTAGTACTGTACTATATATTTGCAATTCAAATTAATTGTGAAATCCCAGTTATTATCTCGATATCTGATTAAAGCCCGTATTAAAGTTCGTATTTCTGAGTGGGGTTAGACAAGCAGTATATTTTATAGATAAAAATGTTCAAATTTGCGCTTTTTGCTCAGAAATCGCCAATTCTGCTTGTTCTACGTCCCAGTATTGGCAGTAATATCAAGCCATCTTGCGTTTCACTTCAGAAGAGGAATGCAACGGCCAACGGAGCACATTAAAATTGTTTGCGTACGGGCATCTCAACAATTGGAAATATGCTAAGCACGACGTTCGTTCAAACATTATTACAGCGCATCCAGATGTGATCATTTTAGAACTGTAGGTCGGAAATGGGAGAATATCCCTCAATTCTGTTTATCTGATTCTGAATGACTAGAATATGCGATGAAGAAAATGAAAACTAATTTTATCATTTTGACAACTTCAAGATGAATAGCGCAAAAAAGCTGCATAGTAAAGTCGAAAGACGACAACGGAATAGGTAAGTACTGAGATTATGTGTGCAATGCGTAGGTTTGTAATCTTTCTCAGATGATATGGAAGATCACGGCCAGAAGTCCATGCATGCAGCGTCGAGTGGATTAACTGCCAAATTTCCTTCTGTCACTACAATATCTGATCCTAATTGAATGTTTCAAAGCTTTCAAATGCCTCCCAAAGAAAAAGTGCTGATTTTTCCCACAGGAGACAGAGATACAAGGTCATAGATGGATATTTTGGAAAGACGCCAAAAGGCGGCATTTTTCACTGCTAGCTCACGTGGCTAATATTACTCGGGCGCTTTTGATTTTCAACCGTGCTGCGGGTTGTACGCGCGTGTAAAATGGGAGGGCTCCACGCATTCGAACAAGATTATGGTAATCCCGGTAATCCTGGTAATCCTCTCCACGTAGCCATCTTTTTCATGGCGATATATGGATAACAAAGGAATATCATGGGTAAAATTAGTTGACACTCTATTATCCACAAGTGACCCACGCTGCAGTGAAGAACAGTGGTAAAAAACAGTCACCCATTTGTGTTGATTTTTCCACGGAAGCACAAAATATTTTCATTTGTATATTTGCAATTGTGAAATCACTGGTATTACAAACCCTAAATTAAAGAACTTCCCTAATATCGACTTGTCATTTTAACGAGTAAACCGTATCATAAAACTATGTTATTTTCAGATAAAGTCGCATTTACAATCGTGTTCCCATTCATGGATCAAGTGAATTAATCACTATCGCTGCTACTACTGCCAGAGGAGTCGGAAAATGGACGATCTAAACAAGATATAATAACTCGTTAATCAGTAAATTTTGAAAGAAAAAGCCATACAAAGGCTCGATTTCCACCTTGCAGAGAAATGGCTCGCTTGCGAAGTAATTGCATATTCTCTTTTGAAATGAGAACAGTCAAGCTGAACTTATTTATCCTGTCAAAACTCAAGAGAAAATATGGAAACATTTCGCTAGCGAACTGTCCCTTCTGCAAGTGCAAAGGGACATGTCGCAGAGCTCGGAAGCTTTCGTCCAATTGGATAATGCTTTTCTACGCTTTCCAAAGAACGAAGCTATGCTATTGGTCGAAACAGAAATGTATTGTAAAGTTCAGCCAATGAAAATCATTCTTGCGAGGAGCTGCGACACTACCCAGTGCAAATCCACCCTAAGTTATGCGGTCTGCAATGTGTCTTTGAACAATGGTGAAAATCACTTATTACATAACACAACGCCCATTGATTCCGACATGCCAATTAGACTGACTAACCATTAATTAGCAGTGTTGCCTTTTCAACGTTATAGATTTCCAAGTTCGCGGTCAGACAAAAATTCCAAGAATTTCAAGAGTCTTAACAAGTTCTCAAGGGCTTTCCCAGACGCAAATTGTTTTTAGATTAAAGATCTTTCTGAGATTTTTAAGCACCTCTGATTTACCTCTAAGGACTTTCAAGTCCTAGAATTTTTTAAATCGAATATCTTTCCGGGATTTTAAAGGCCTCCGATTAATAAGGAGGAGTTTGAAATCCTAGAAAGGATTTTTTTAAAGCCAGGGTAAAGAATGCTGTACAATACGCGCTGAAAGTCATGCCGGGCGAGAACAAAAGACTTGGAGACATTTGAGGAATGCGTGGGATGTTCAATCGCGCCCGGTGGCATCCAAATACCATTGCAATTTTTTTTTCTGTCCTAGGCTCTTGTTTTTTTTTGCCAAATATTCATATCTAAGTCATGTCTCCTGGTGCTGCAAGGAAATTGGTCAGGTAAATAGCTTATAAATTAATACCCATTTAAACCAACGCCATAACTGACAGAGCTCTAAACCGGACGATTACGGATGTTTAATAGGATTCGCTCAATTTTGTGACTTAGTCGCTTACCATCCGTAATAATGACACGTTCTTTGCTTAGCCTCGTCTTCCACGGTGAGTAAAAGAAGCCATAATTCATGAACAAGCCTTCGTTGTCGTCTTGAACGTCATGAGCGAGCCATGAATTGCATTCATATGTTTTAGTTGTGTAGCATTTTCCAGGAGCGAGAACCTTCTTCTTCTCCCATTTCCCCTTGTAATCCACCCAGACAAGCTGAACTGTCTTCTTGCTGCGATTAATGAACTTCACCTTAACTTCGACGTTATTATCTTTCTCAGAGGCCAGCTCTTTCGGTTTATCTGTAATTATAAATAACAAAAATCTGCTCTGGTTTCACAAAAAAAATCATTGGGCGTACGAAGATTCAAGTGTACCATAATTCTTATAGAAAACCAAAAAATGTTTAAGCAGTTATAATACGGCATGTATAAATAATAATTGAAATTCTCTCCCGTGTCAGAACACAGGATTCCAAATCCATGATTCATCAATTTCCAAATGCACAGGGGGCAGAATACATGTGACCTAGGGGGGGACCCAGAAAACTCTTGTAACTCTTGCTGGTGATGACTCATGACTTTGTTTGTTGAGATTTGAGAGAGGCAGAGGGGGCATCAATTTGCCCTGGAGCCAATGATTTTCTGACCCTTACAAAAATCATCTATATTACCAGGTATTACTAGTTTCATGGTCAACCTACCTGGTCCTTTATTAATCTCTGCCTTCACCTTATTTTCTCCATCCTTCTCTGCCATTACTGTATACACAGTGTTATTATTGATGATAACCTGTCGTCTTTTCTTCTTCTTTCCCAGGGCAAAGAAGACATCCCCTTCGTTGATTTCTGCCTTCTCTCCCTTGCCATCCTTTAGCTTCAAGAACTTGTGAGGTTTTCCATGCTCATCAATCCTGCACAACATAACTTTGGTGCCTGCTCTATTCTCAAAATGACATTTGATCTTCTTAGAACCTCCTCTTGATCTCAAACCTAGGGGGGTTCATTCCATCATTATCACTGTGAATTTGTGATCATCACCAACTTAATTAATATCATTATGACTGTCATCACTTCATCACCAGTAACCTTATTGTTATCAATTTTTATCATCTTCAACAGAAGGTCTGTTCACACAATGCAATTTTTGATGGATCCAAGTCAATCGGATGGAATGTAGTCTGGCATTGATAGTTCAGCAGTGCTTTGGCTTAAGTTGATTTGCTACTCATATACATTGCAAGTCAACAGACCATAAAACATCCATCAGAGCTAGGTGAATTGGGTCTGATAAAACTGAATTGTGCCAACATACCTTTGCATATACTGACTATTTTTAAAACATATTTTTTACAGACCTGGGTCTCCTGGCTGGCTGTCATCACTGTCGTTCCCAGATGACTACAATATTCAAAATAAATGATCAGAAAAAAGACTAAACTAGCATGCCTCAGCATATTCCTTGCTGGTTGGTTTATCATTTTACCAATGTAGTTTATATTTTTACATTTCATTACTGAGGTTACTCTCTTTACTGATAAAATTGCCTGGTTTAAATGTGCATATTTTAGATGACAATCATGTATATCATTGAAAAGTAATAAAACTTACTTGTTTGAAACCAGCTGGGTGGGGGTGGCCAGGCATACCACCAGGATACGGGTGGCTAGCACCTGGTGGTGGCATTCCATATGGTTGACCATATCCTGGCTGACCAGGAGGGGGCATTCCGGGTTGGCCAGGTGGGGGCATACCATAACCAGGTGGAGGCATACCATAACCAGGCTGCCCAGGAGGGGGCATTCCAGGTTGGCCAGGTGGAGGCATACCATAACCAAGTGGGGGCATACCATAACCAGGTTGGGGAGCATATCCCCCAGGCTAAATAAATTGAAAGTAAGTACAAAGGCTAGTACTAGAAAATTTCTATAAGGTTTCAGCAGACAAGTAGATAGAAATGTTATCTGCAATCATCAAGACAAATATTGTTGAAAATTTGAGACAATATAAAACCATACTGGTGGATAGGCACTTTGAGATGGATGTGGAGGCCCCTGGCCAGGGGGATAGGCATTTCCTTGTTGGCCACTCATTCTTGTCTAAATCAAAATAAAACATATTTTAAACCATTTTGAATATGTTTTATGCCCTGTCATGAACTGCATTGATAACAGATCAATTTGTGATGGATTACACAATTGAATCGGCAGGTTAATTACCCCATTATCACTGCAATTATTCGATATTTCAGTAATCTCACTAATCCCCAATAAGTCAAAACAACGCTGCCGTCTGGGACAATAAGATGACAATTATGCATTTCCCTATGGGTGGGGTTTGTAAAAAACTTCTTGATTACTGATTATTTACAAAACATTTCCCAGAAATTGTACATTGCACAATGATCTCGCAGTAAAATGAACAGAAGTAACCGCACAGAATATCGGAATATGGACGGGAAGAAAACAAATACACCCGAATGCCATTATTTGCTAGCAAAATAATACGAAAACGTTGAAAATAACGTTTTAAAACGAAAGACAAGCAACAAGGTCTTAAGGATTACATCTATGAACGGTTAGTGTCTAAAACATTGCATTAAACTTACCGTCTGAAATCGGAACAATGTACAGGTTTCAAGTGTTCTTACTCAAAATGCAGACTTTATTTATACCGACCGTATCAACAAATGTCATCGCCACGACGTCATCAACATTATGTAAATAATATCCAAATTAGAACGCATAATATCGGTGACGAGGCAAAAGTTTTGCACTTAAGCAAATATATGACCATTAACACTGTGTTTTGATCAATTACCAGCTTGCTCTTTAAAGTCCAAAATAACCTCGAAGTGGGGTACCTCAAGGATAGTACCTTGTTAATTTAAACCTTGTGTGGGTCTAATGATATATTCTTAACTCTTAGGGATTAATCCAATTAAACCATTCCAATTAAACACTTAGAAAAAAGTTGTGGTGAATATCTTTATGAAATAGATTTTCTTAAAAGATAAAGAGACATCAATGTAAATGAACGTTTTTATTCAAATGATCATAAATAAACTTAACTTTGTTTTAAATGCCGATTGCCGATTGCAAATGCCACATTGATACTTGGTGTTCAACACTATAATATATGCTAATAAATATTTTATTAAGTTAATTACATATGATGAACAATTGTGTAGTGACTGTGACTAAATTTGATGGTGCCTTCTACCAACCCATAGGAAAAAATTGTATGTGCACATTAAGTTATTTCCATCATTTCAAAAAAGATTTTTGGAAGAAGTATGTTCTAACATTTCTACAATAATAGTTAAATTGTCTCATTACAATGACTCAGACCAAGATTCTGCCCTTAGTATCGAAAGGCAAAGACAGTGCTGCTAGGAATCCAACAACCAATGAGATTACAAAGAAATATTTTGTCACCTCAAAGGAGACATGAAACAGTGCTTCTGCTACAAATGGTGCCGTCAGCATTCCAATGCGACCAAAGACGTAGGCAGATCCCATGCCTGTTGCCCGGATGGAGGTGGGGTAAGCTTCGGGGGTGTAAACAAATACAACAGCGGAATAACCAACAAGGATGCATCGAATGACCATCAGTAGAACAGTAGCACCACCTCGATTAAGGCACAAGAATAAAAGACTTTGACAAGCAATTGCAATAAATGCTTCCACATACAATGTTCGTTTCCGTCCAAGCGAATCAATAAATAAAAGTGTTATTAAGACACCTGGAAACTCTCCAAATGATGTCCAAATTATGTCAACGTAGTCCTTACGAGTGAAAACTTTACATTTGCATATCTCCTCAGCCTCAGTTTCATGACATATATTATCATCATAACGATCAAATATCTCAGTTGTTACATATACCGAGGAATAATACATCATGATACTAATGAACCATATCAGCCATAAAGTGATGGTCATTCGGAGATAACCGGAACGCATCACATCCATGATACTTCCGCGTTTCTTTACTGTTGATACGGGGGTTACGGTCAAGGTTCCTGGAGGTAGGGTTGAACCATTCACTTTTGCAATGTGCTTCAGCATTTCCAAAGCTTTGTCGCCCTGACCAGAGGCAGCATAGAATCGAAATGATTCAGGCATCCAGTAAAATGACCATAAAAACAGTATGCCCGGTGCACACAATGCGGCAAGCAAGACTCGGAAGCCATAATTCGGCATTATCCATAGGGACAGGGATGCTGCAAATATGAAACCAATTGACCAGAATATCGTGATAAATGTAAGGACCTTCCCGCGAGCCTTTGCAGGTGTGTATTCGGCAAGGATGGTTGAAACTTGTGGGAGGGAACCAATCCCAACACCAACCAGAAATCGAAGAATCAACAACCATTTGTAATTGGGTGAGAAAGTGCTGAGAAATGCAAAATAGATGAACCAAAAGGAACTGATGTAAAGACCTTTCTTACGGCCATATGTGTCACAAACCCAACCCCAGACTGGAGATGATAGCATCATACCAAGGGAGGTCAACATTGGCAGCAATGTCTCCTCTAGATAGGTCAGACTCCAGTGACATCGAAGGTAGGGTGCTAGCACAGACATAACAAATATCTCCATGCCTTCAACCATCCAAACTAGTCCCAACACTAGAACAAGTTTTATGTGGAAAATTCCAAATCCGATATGAGAAATGGCATCGTCAGGTGTGAAGGTTTGACTAGACGATTCAGAAGCCTCGTCACTCACCAATCCTTCCAGTTCCACGCTCTCTTCCGGCAGTGTTGAATATCTAGCTCCGATCTCGTTTGTTGGTGAACGGGCTCTTCCCAGACGGTTGTTAAAACGATCAACAAGTTTTGACATCATGATTCACGTTCGTTTAAATCGAGTATCTTTAAGAAGGGCATGAATGTGAACGATATTCTCTTTGAAAACAGACTTATTACGAATCTAAACACTGTATTACTTCGGTTTCATTCTTGAGGTACTTCTTCCTCTTTTGTGAAAGATGAGAGTTTTAATCTCTTTCAAATTCCGCCTGCCACGTCGTTAGAAAATAAAACTAATTGAGGATAATGTTTTTGTGTTGAACCTGTTCAGACACAAAAGCTTCTTTCGGTACAAAACGATTATGAATACATAATGACATAATCTAGATGTTTTGAATATAAAATCTCATCCGTGACAATATACAGTTGCCTGTTGGACAGTTTTCTTTCATAAATATTCACCACGCTTTGTTGTCAATATCGAAGAGTTTTGAAGAGTGCACGTTTATAGATTAATTACATTTCTTTTTTCCAACAAGTCTCGACATTATATTCGTACCTGTAAATTAATCGGAGATTTGTAGTTGTTTCCAGAAATTACTATTATATTATATTTAGAACAATTGGAACTCCGTAAAAAAAAGTTATCATAATCCATGTCTAGAATCCACAAATTTAATCCTCAATCCAAATATTTAAGGTTAATTATAAGGTCAGGTTTAGGATTAAAACTAGGATTATATTTGTGGATTTAGGTAATTCCATATTCAGAATCCACGGATATCATCCCAAGTCCCAACCTCAAAAATTTTATGATTTAAAAATAGCTATTGATCTCTAAATTTTCGCGATCTTCCAGTCAGGTTTCAGAGGTCAATTTCAAGTCATTTTCCAACAGCCTTTCGCCCACATATTTGCATAAGCCAAATTAAAATAGATATATGACTATACCCTTCTGTCTCGGAACCAGCAACCTACTATATTTTGCTGGTCTCAACGGAAGAAGGATTTTGTTTTCGGCTTGACAATTTCGATCACAGTTAAATTCCTTTTGAAACTGCACGAAGTGAGCGACTGTATGGAATCAGACCTTTTACATGCTCATCATTAACCTGAATAGGAACGTTCACAAAGCGTGATTTTTTAATGTAATATTTTGCCACGATACTTAGTCTTTTTAAATACCAACACTTGTTCAACAAAGTTACTTACAGACTATTTCAGGGACTATTAAAAGGTCTGTTCAGTAATTTAAAAAAGATTTATCTAGAATATAGATATCCTAATAAAACTCACATATAATATTATGTTAATTGTTTTGTAACAATCATAAACTGTTCATCAATCCATTTTGCTCACGCATTTGCTGTTTCAGAATTGTCTAAAATACCTTCAGAGTTTAGATTACCAAACAGAATCGGCAGTGGGCGGTTATCTTCGTTTCCGACGTTTGCTGTCCTCGTACAGAAAGAGTTTATCAGCCTCTTTATCCACAAGATCTTGTTCATTCATCTAAAAAAAGAAAATGTCTCGTTTCAACTAGAAAACTGGAAGCTGTAGATGATGGAGCATATCCGTTGGGCCTTTGGTACCGACTTGAACCTTTCCTTGCAAATTATTTTACTAGTAAAGCCTGAAGAAATATCATACTTACTGACTGAACTTCCAACATCCAATTTTCTCCTGGTTCATTCCGAGAGGAAAACACGACAAGATCATTTCCACCGATAATTTTCGGAATGCCGTGGTCATCTCCGGCGATGTTTTGCTGTGATGAGTAAAATAAACTACCTCATGCATGCATGTATACAAACTATAAGACAGACATCAAACATAACACAACATACACGCCATCATTTCTAAGATCTCTCCCTAAATGGGTCGGTAAAGTTATCGGACCAATGCTTTGATGAATTAGCAGTTGCAGAAATCATAGTGGAGGTAGCTATACTCTTCACGTGGTGCTACGAAACAGAGGAAACAAACGAGAGGTAAAGACATTCACATTACCTTTTTGAATCGCTTCACGTTCTTCAAAGTTGTACTCAATTTCTTTCCTGGTACTTGTGCCTTGGGAGGAACACGTTTGCCCACCACTAGCTCTATATGTTCCACACACATGAGATCGCTGGGATAAGAAACACTCCTCTCCAATTTGACAACAACTTCTTCAGAGTTCTAAAAGTAAAGCACGCGTGAGGAATCCTACAGTGCGCCGAATAAACACGCCTGGTTTGTGATAGCGACCTAACCGTTTGCTGTTGCAACTTTGATAAAAATCCTTGATTTTCTCTTTGGGTGTCAACACCAGCGTTTTTTCTTGAATTTGTTTGGCTTAAATCCTCTACTCCATCATGGCCGGTATTTGTCGAGGACTCACTCAGGTGACTTTCTGACTTTTCCTTTTTTAAACTGAAAGATCTCTTCGACATCCAACCGCTCCCTGGTGGTGAAATCCTGGAGTTTACAGCGGATAAATCCTGCACTCCCGAAGTGCTTTCATGTAACACCCTATTGATGTGAAGATAGTTATTCCTTGAGGATATTTGGTCGATTCAAATTTTAGAAAGATAACCACTATCGTTGCTTAGAGAATAAGGGTTACCTGCACAACAACATGAAATACAACGCGTTTTTCAACTGAATTAGTAGGAATTATAATTTGCTATCTGTTGTCTATCAAAACTTTATCGATTACCAACCAACCTTTTACTTTTTGTCACAGATAGCAACTTCTTTTCATTTAGTTCTCGTTTTCCACTTGGTTCTTTAGTACTTTCTTCTTCATTTGCAGTCTCCTCCTTGGATGTCACTTTCTTAACACGAGACTGAACAATATTATCCTCATCAGACAAACTAGTTTGAGATCTTTTAAGAGAAAATAAAGAGTCATGGAGTGTGGGTTGTCCTACACGCGGAGGACTTGCGCTGGTTGGACTACGTTGTGTCTCCCCGATTATTGAGCGTTCGTTGTCGTGTGGACGAGTCAAACATGGCGAAGCTATCTTCCGTCTCTTTGAGGTAAAATTAATTTCCGGAGAAGGCGTTTCTTGAATCTTTACCACATCTGGGGTAGTTTTATTGACAAGCACAACATTCCCGTTTTCTCCAGAGCGATTAAAATCGTATTCTCGTTTCATGGTTTTTCCAACACCACATTCTTCAACCTCATCCTGGCTTTGCGAGATATGTGTTATATCGACCGTATTTCTATCACGAAGCTTATCCTCGCCTTGGGACGCCTGAGTTTGAGTGACGTGTGTTATATCAGCTTTAGAGCGAGTCAATCTGAATTTCTTTTCATCTGGACTCCTGAACGGGACAAGTCGTTCATGTTGCGACTCCTGGCTTTGAGAAATATGCGTTATATCGACGCTTTGTGAAATGGCTTTGCGTTTTTGGCCAACAGCTGGTGTTTCTTGCAAACAAAGGCTTGGTTGGGCTGGTTTCTGACCGTCTTCACTTTCCGAGATATCCTCTATGTCGTCCACGCTCTTCTTGGGTGTTGTAAAAGGCGCTTTTTTAGTTGACTGGTCTTGATTTGGCGATTTTTTTTTCAGCGGCATTCCAGGTGATTTGAACTGCGACTCTGGCGATTGAGAGACATGAGTGACATCACTGGATGAGAACTTCCTGCGTTTATTTTCGACGTGACTGGTCTGTGGAGTGTCGAAAGCCAAGGGTATCGACTCGTCAGAGCTATCGCGAGATCTACAAGAATATGGAAACAGAGATAAATTCAAGATATAAAAACAGAAATAAATTCAAGATATAGAAACAGAAATAAATTCAAGTTTGAAATGCCGCAAAATCTTTCACCACGAGCCTTTTTTTGGAATCCAGTGGAGTCTCCATGATCGTGTTTGGTTTGGAATTTTCATTTTTCATCAGAAACGGTTTCTACAGAACGAAAAAAAGCTTGACTAAGGGCGAAACACGAAATAGCGTTTGATTTTAAGAACCAAACACACCACCTTTCCAGGAAACTCGTGCACGAGGATGTTTTGTGATTCGTTCATCCGTTGTGACATTTCCTCCATACTGCTGATGCTCTTTGAGACAATCTGCTTCGTAATTCTCGGAACTACAAGAAGACCAGACGACGTTTTTCTATGATTTTGTATTTTGTCACTATTGCGAATTGCACGTAATCTTAACCAGCACCATTTTTAATTCATTCATCTTGGAGAGGGGAACAAAAGAGCTTTGCATTGGTGTTGTGAAAATATAACCTCTATTAAAATATAAACACTAACCGCAGTCTATGTTGGAATTGCAATATTCGTTCAAGGATACATGAAGAATGGCCAAACCAATTTCAGTTTCTGCGATTGGTCTTCTATTGACACTAATTGAATGATAATTCAAACGTTTCAAACATCATGTGCAATGAAACCTCACAAAGTGTATCACAAAACAAATCTACCTTGTTTACAAAGGTAATTCTTACCTCTTCAACATATCTCCAACATGACCTATCCAGATTTGTTTCTCTTCAGAGACATTTGTCTTCCAATCAACAGACATCACTAGAGTGTGTTCACCTGTCAATATTTCATCATCCTCTCCAGACACATCACCAGTCTCCTTCAGCAACGATTGGCCACCAGCCAATGAGATTGCTTGCTCCAACCTTTTGTACTAAAGCAATTTAAAAACATCGAATCAAATCATATTATACTGGTATAAACAGCTTTAAAATTTAAAAACCACATTGTGCAAGAACAGCTTAGCATCTGTGTTAGATTTATCTAAAAATTCCTTTTATAAAATTGGCTTGCCTGTTTTTTCTCCAAAAATACAAATAGTTTTTCAACAAAAATAGATTTTCTAGCAACATTAGGATGGAATGAGACCACTTTGGTGTCGATGAGGTCTTCCTTTATTGGAGGCATGTATCTGTAAGTTCAGGAACAAGAATGCTTTATATGGTGGAAAAAGTTCAAAAACCATTAGCAAAGGTGATACAGCATACTTTTCAGGACATGGCATATCAGTCTTTGAGTCAATTGCTTGAATCAGATCATCGAAAAACGATTGAGTAACAATCGGGTGACAAGACGCCAGAGCATAAATGACCTTTAAACCACACAGGATAGGAAAGATATGGTGAGAAATAATCATGTGGAAATATTTGAGAGGCAACCAATTTATAACCAGATAGTTATGCATATGACAAGTAAATTTAGCAAACCTTAATTGTGAAACTGAGTGAATCCATCACAAGATGAGAACATTCTTTTTGCCATTCGTTTACCAAATAACCACCTAAATATATTCATTTGTAACACTGTTTTACTGTACTGCATTTAGATACTAATGCTGATTTGTATAAGAATTTCAAGAACTTTAATCTAATTACCTAATTTGCTTAGCTGAGACTTCAAATTATTCTTCACAGCACTGTTCAAACATGATGCATAAACCACAAGTGGGTCAAAACTCAACCTAGGTTTATAAAAGAAAGCACTTAGCTTTAACTCCACTTTGGAGGGTGGGAATTGGAAAAGGGGTAGCTGGATATCCTATTTCAGGGAAGGGCAGAAAACAAATTTGAGTGAAAGCAAAATAAGTGACAAATATCTAGAAAGCCAACTACCCAAGGGAAGAAGAATTATTTTGGTACCTGTATGAACAATTCTGTGTCCCAAATGTAATTATATCATTATGGTGTAGAACTACAGCCACTGATTTTTGACATTTAGTGCCATTGACTGAACACCCAAACTTTGAAACATCTTTCAATGATACCTGTGCCTAAATGCAACAGCACATACAATGAAGATTTTTCTACAGATTTCAAGATCCTGTGCATACACGCAAAAATAAATTACAAACCGAAGCAGTTCCACTCTGGGACACAGTGATCCAAGCATGTTTCCTGCTGACAGATTGGTCACCTTCCACTTGGATTTGACAATCTAATCAAACAATAAATAAATGCATGACAACCAAGATTTCTTAGGATTGTAGTGACATGGATATTGGATACCATCTAACCATCATCCCAATTAATAATAATAATAACTGATTATTCTGTTATTCACCTTTTCTGCCAACTAAATGTTCTCCAACAGTCAGGTAGTAAGGTTTCTCATCTTCGAAACCTAAAATAGTTATTTTGCAAAACTCACATACATAGTCCATAGACTCCAAATACTTCAAAACAATTTTTTGAGCTATCGAGAGTCCTTGCAATTCGAGTTGTGTATTAAATGTAGTTATAAGAAAAGTAATGCTAATACCTTCTTCACTTCGCTTTAAGCTCCACATGAATGGTCTAAAACGATTTTCATCGGTATTTCACGGTAAAATTGTAAATAAAAACTTAAAATTCAAAACACTGACTTTACTCACATCGTGATTTCCCACGTGCACCTCTGCTGCTGAAATACCACACCACTGAGCTACATATAAAACCAGCATATTACATATATGTTTACTCGCGACATCCCCCCCCCGGCTCTCGTCCTTAGTTGGAATGAAAAGTAGGGGGTAACACTCCCTCTGTTGAGTCTGGCCCCCCCACTAATTAAGTTACAAAAGTAAACAATTGTATGTCAAGTAATAGAGGTTTTTTGTATGGCAACACCAATCTTAAAACTTTACCATGCATGCGAAGGTCAGCCTTACCTCTTGTCTACAATATGCTTGAATTTGTTTTATGAAACATTTTTATATTTCACAACAAAAAAAAATTGTGACAAAAAAAGTACACGAATAAATATATTCAATTGTTTTCTACCTATACACTAGAAGATAGTTCTTGCTTTATACTGTAAATCTGCTGTGTTTCTGTGTTGCAAGTTTAACTGCAATTCCTTTTTCATTGATAGAACGTAAGACATCAGTTAAAAATTTGAATTGTTCAGATTCACAAACATAGTGCCCTAAAAATAGACCTTCAAAGTTTGTAAATTTTGTTTTTATTAAAAGAGAACAAATATATAAGGTTCTATTATACACAGAGCTAAATAACTAACTTATCTAAGAAATATCATTTAGGGCACTACAATTTGTGAGTCTGGACTCGATTTTTTTTTAACTTTTCATTCTTTTGCTCATTGGCTTGCTACATGTATATAGTCCTTTACAACTAATCACATTATATAGTTAGATATAAATATAAATATATTATATAAATTGCCCATATGATTTGTCTCCCGGGGTCCAGTTGTATAAAATGGTTAAATCAAAGTTAGTTTAAAAACACATGGCAGATCATTTTGATCAATCAAAAGCATGTGTTTTTAAGCTAACTACAATTTAACCACTCAATACATCTAACCCCTGACTGTAAAATATGTTTGCATTAAACTAAAAAGCGAGTATGTTTTTAGTAAGCCTCATTATCACCCTAAAGACCCCTCCAAATTTGACAACTATTACTTGTAGAGAAAAGTTTCATTGCTGAAGAATAAATTGGGAAAAATAAGCGACTACTTTTAAATCAGTTTGAAAGAAGTATGTATAGAACTGTCAAAGTTCAACTGTGTAATTTTAATTCTAATAACTAAGGTTCTTTACCCTAACTGTTGCCTAATGAATTCACTATGAATCCTCACAATAGAATTAATCATTATTTGCATATTTTTTAAAAATTACTCAACTTTGCCTAACTCTCTCTTCCAAATTGTTTAATTCGTCTACAATTGCACTTGGTATATCTGTTGATAGTTGATCATGGAAATAATTTCTGATTGCCTCAACTTCTTTCAACCAATAATCTTTAGGAACACTCATCAATTCCCTCATATTAATCTCACCAAGACCGTCGAGATTCAACGAATTATTTTTGGGAAGAAGGCCAATAGGTGAAGGTGCTGCAATGTCCTCTTGGCCGTCACAGCGTCTCAAGATCCAGTCAAGGACACGAGTATTCTCACCAAACCCTAGTTAGCAAAAAGTGTTAGCTTTTACGATTATTTTTGGACAAATTTTTCATACACGTACTGAAGTCAATTGCAAAGCACTAAAAAATTATGCAGTAGCTGCCTCATTACCTGGCCAAAGGAATTTGCCATCGTTTCCTTTTCTAAACCAATTCACATGGAAAATCTTTGGTAAATTCAGATTGGGTTTATCTTGGAAACTCAACCAATGCTCCATGTAATTGGCAAAGTTATAGCCAAAGAATGGTCTCATTGCAAAGGGATCATGCATAACAACTTTTCCCTTGTGTTCTGCTGCAGCAGTTGCCTCTGACCTCATGCTTGATGCTACAAACACACCATGTTGCCAGTTGAAAGCCTCGTACACAAGAGGTATACCCTGTGGTCTTCTGCCTCCAAAGATCAAAGCATCGATTGGCACTCCAGCAGGATCTTCCCAAGCAGGATCCATTACAGGACATTGGCCAATCGGTGCACAGAAACGCGAGTTGGGATGTGCAGCAGGTCTGCCAGAATCTTTGGTCCAGTTTTCATTTCCAAGCCAGTCAGTTATGGCTACATCAGATGGAGTTTCTTTTTCAAGTCCTAAAACATGGCACTTTCAAATTCACAATTCTTGACTCTAAAGAATCTACATCACCCTATATTTTATGTCAAGTTAAAATAGGATACTGAGGATTACAAAACTCTCTAAAAGTCAGAAGTCCAGTTACCTTCCCAGTAGAAGCCACCATTACTTGTTTCTGCCACATTTGTGAACACTGTGTTCTTTGTAACTGTTCTCATTGCATTGGGATTTGAACTCATGTTTGTTCCTGGTGCAACACCAAAGAATCCATATTCTGGGTTGATGGCACGCAAGACACCATTCTCATCAAATTTCATCCAGGCTATGTCATCCCCAACACATTCTGCTTTCCATCCCCCTGGTAGGGTTGGGTTCAACATTGCCAAGTTTGTCTTGCCACATGCACTAGGGAATGCTGCAGCAATATATTTCTTCTCTCCTTTTGGATTGGTCAAACCCATGATCTACAATTTGTAAGATATTGTAAGTGTGGATTTAGTTTGCAACACCTTTATATCAATGATCAACTTCACTTGAACTTTTTAAGCTTTCACATTATGTGATTGTTTATCGTCATAAAAATCTTACCAACATGTGTTCTGCAAACCAACCCTCTTCCTTGGCCATGACGGAGCCTAAACGCAAAGCCAGACATTTCTTTCCGAGAAGTGAATTGCCACCATAACCGCTTCCAAATGACACAATCTCCCTCGTTGCTGGAAAATGTGTGATCACAGTCTTCTCAGGATTACATGGCCATGCATAGCCTGTATCTGGGGCAGGCAGAGGTTGGCCAACCGAATGCAGGCACTTCACAAAGTCGTTATCATCAAGACGTCTCATCACTCTATCTCCCATTCTGGTCATGATTCGCATGCTTGCTACTACATATGGTGAATCCGTCAACTGAATGCCAATCTTTGATAAAGGTGACCCAAGGGGACCCATACAGAATGGAATAACATACATAGTACGACCTAAAGAATTAAGATAGATACTTCATGTCAATATACTTGAAAGAAAACCTTCGGAATACATTGGACTTAAACCATTGTAGATCACATCTGAGGTTGCTATTGCCCAGTGCAATGAAGGGTGCAAAATTATCGCAAATGTCAAAAAATTTTCCTGGAACACGGTGGTGACTTCCGGTTTATTACACACCTTTCATACAGCCTGGAAAATTTTCTTCGAAAAGTTTCCTTTTCATCTTATCTGGTGCCTCCCATTTTCCCAATCTCCCTTCGACGCCTGGAGCTGGTGTAGGAATCGTATCCTCCCGCCTCTCTGTGCAGATAAACGTCTTTGATTCAACCCTTGCAACGTCCGCGGGATCTGTGCGCACGATGTAACTGCAAAGCGAAAGGCATTAGCGCATTCGTGAAAACCGTGAAATCGATGCGCTTTAAAACGCGATGTGCTTAAAATGAATAAAACATTAAAAAAAACATTGTTTGATTTGTTGACATGTCACAAAATTTTTCTCACCAATTTTCGTATAAAGGTAATCGTTTCATCATTTTCGCTTCAATCATTTGGTTCACCATGAAGTCATTTTCCTCCTCTGATCCATCACAGATGTGTATTCTTTCTGGCTGGCAGAGTTCTTGCTTTTCACGTATAAAAGCTTGCAGTTGAGGGCCAAGCGAGTTCACTGGGGTATCGTTCATCGCTGCTTGAATTGTAGTTTGAAATTGAACGCGACCTATTTTAGGCAGTTGTGTTAGTCGGCTTAAAATCTCCTTCGGACCAAAGTTTGCTGATCTAAAGGGGAATACGGCAGAGAAGGTGTTAATGAAAATATAAAATTTAAAAATTCGGACGTGGCAGGTTTACAAACTTACAAACATATTTACGATTACCCAGGACGGAATTAGATGTAATCGGTTACCTTAAAAAAATCCTGTACATTGCCATGGTTTTGAGAGTTGTTGGAGGCTTCAAATATTGCTGTTTGTTTGAGAAATTATTTTTTTATATTTCGCAACGTTGGCAAATGGTGCCGGCCGAACGACTTCGAAAGATATGACTTAGCTTATGTCATTAGACAACGAATAGGTCATATCCGCTTCCCCCAAGTAGGGAAGGGTAGGGGTTTGTCACATTACATAACACACTTGAGCTTTCGTATACGTGTTATCCTAATGCAAAGACCGATGCTTAAAAAGGGATTCAACAAGAACTACTTCGGCTTAGAGAATCCCTTTTAGGTATCTCAAAATCAGTCCAATTTTAAAGCAAAATTATTTGTTCTATACCCATACACGCACAGTCAAGTTTGTCGGGTTCAAAGTTCGGTTCGAAACGCCCATTTGACAATGACGCACCTTTTAACCGCCTTTTGTAATGTCAACATGGAATGTTTGATACGCAGAAGTCGAGAATGATTATTGAAACATTTGAATCATGTACACCTGGAAAAACCAGGCTTATTGTCCAACTGTACGAAAAGAAACCAGGTCTGATCTGTTTTCTTAGCGATTTGTTAGTTTTCTTAAAAGGCACGCTTCACTAAGTTGTATAATAAATACGAAATTACGTTTATATTATTATTGTTAGCAGGAAGAAAATATTACACATTGCTCGAATTTTTTTTCTGTTTATGATGTGTATGCTATCACCTTCGCTAATCGCTATTACAAGTACTTTAAGCATAATGCCAACAAAATATAGGCTACGAATATAATAAATTTCAACTTTTGCATAGCAGAAGCTGCGGGTGGCGTTTTTGTGGAGGCATTTCTCCCCCAAAACGGTATGAAAAATTGTTCCGTTCTGAATTATGATACGCAGTTTAAATACAATATTGTTAGTACGTAACTCTTTCGTAAACCAAGTTAGAATTAAGAGAAAAAAATTGCGTGAATATTTTTAAGTTATAAATCAGCAAAGACAATTATCTACAAATTTTACCATACCGATTAACATTTAATAAATCAAATATTAGAAAGGAAAATGCAACATCTGCTTTCTGGAATAATTAAAAACTTGAAAATAAGACAAAATTATATTTTAAGATGATGTACTTACAGTTTTTAAGCTCCTTTCACTTTAACCCAGTGTTGAATACTGCAGTACTGATTGCCGACGTGGAAGATTCTATTTATATCTTTTTTTATTCTGTGACGGCGTTAATTGACCAAAAGTTACGTACAACAGGAAACAAAGGATGGTTTTCATCATCTCTCGTACCCACTCATAGCAAACTAAAATGACAACAATCTTATATGTAATACGTTTTCATAAAATTAGTCTAAAAAATAGCAAATTAAGGCTATTTATAACGTAACAAATAGAACGACATGAGTTTGTGTTATGTAAATCATTTTTACCGTTTGAGACAATGCAAGATTTGAAAAACGAAAGGGTTACCATGGTTTACAAACAAATACCTCTCCGTCCTCTCGTATCAGTGTTATATAACCAAATACGACCTCTGATCGTGTGGCTCTAAGGCCCGAAAATTAGTTTATTGTAGGCTCAAAAATTAACGTTTCGTGTGGTTTCTAAAAAGTACTCATGGTATAGAATTATTATTTAGTTTGGCGACTTTGGCAATACAAGTTTGTACACTTTGTGTAGTATATATACAAATGCTAATCAGTTAAACCCCCGGGAACACCCACTATCTGCCAACCTCCTGTGACGGTGTGACCATAGCAATTCGCAACAAACACAAAAATATTTTTACTCTTGATTGATAAATATTAGCGGTAGTCACTATAACAGTCACATATGCTTTCCTAGAACAACAATGACAGTAAAAGCGGTTTTGTGTAACAAGGGCGTTGATTTAATACGAACCGCCCGTCACTGTCACGAGAAACTGACAAACATCTTCTTATATCGACTAACTTCCTGGTACCCACGTCAACACCACTTATGTGGCTCAGTGACGTTCTTCTGTCGTCAAACCCACGAATTGTTTCATCATCTTCAGCACGTTTTGTTTCTTTATTTGGTTAACCGTGGGTTGATGTGTCACGCATATCATATGCTCGACCAGTTGACCTACATCAGGACAAGTAAGAAAGGAAGAATTTTGCCTTACGTGACTGCCATTTAAATGGGAGTTTTGCCACTGGCTTTATCGCAGTTTAAGCAAGTTTTTTCCAACAACGGGCAATGTTATTTATTAAAGGTCTGTTCATACGATCCAATTCACTTCCGACGTATGGAATATAGTCAATTATTGATGAAGCAATAGTGCATTGGCTTCAGTGGATTTGCTGCTCGTATATATTACAAGAGAACAGACTATAAAACATGCATCAGAAGTGAATTGGATCCAGCGAAATTAGATCGTATGAACAGACCTTTACGAAGCGTTTGCATGTTGCATGTAATAATAAAAACACTTCTAATCGATATCTCATTCCCCATTTTGATCGTTAGTTGGATCCTGGTTGGGATTGGGAACGAGTATCGTTGCTACCAAGCTTACCATGTCAACTGGTTCCCAGGTTCATCGTGGTAACCGTATGAAATGTTCCATTTTTACTGCATTATTGCGCGAAAAATAGCAAACAAAAACGCAAATTCAAACGAAATTTTATTTCATAAACACGTCTTTCCTGCCAATTTTGACCGTCATACCATACAATGTGCGTTTACACCATAAAAGATCGCTTGTATGATTCCTTCTTACATCATATAATATCCCTTAACGTCCCTGGCCTAAAACTGTCAATGGCCGCCTTAAATAAAGCTACGTTCAAACGGATTCAACATCGTTTATTGGACACCTGCAGTAACTTTTCAAGAGGAAATTTGGTTGTTTTTTACTGTTTAATCCCATGCAAATATTTAAAGGCATACTATTTTACTCGGATTGAACAAAAAGGTTAGGTTAATGAGTGATGTGCTAATATTGTTGCGCCTGTTTAAACGAGCTCAAGCGAACCCATCTTGGACTTGGCCATCTGTAAAGCAGTGAAGCCAACTTTCCTATAAAATCGTGGTCGTTTGAACCAGGTCACGGTTGCTCGTCCAAAATACTCCGGAGTCGTCTGCTTATCTGGAACGACTGGAAACAACTCTTTAGTGAATTTGGAGGATGTGTAGATCGATACGTTCAACAACTCTGATATGGTCAAAACACCAGGATGAAGTAGAAAGCAAGCCGGACCAACGTGATTACTTTATGAACGAATGCAGTTAAAATATGCTACACTGTATATCCACAATACCGTACGACAAGCGTGTCGAGCCGTTCGTTGATATAGAGAGATAAACGAATGCTTGAAAAAATATACAAACGATAAGATTCACGAGTGATAATGATAATAAAGCCACGCGAATCCAACGACAACCACGCACAATACTAGTCCAATAATCGGGAACGAATCGTCGCTCGAGGCTTCGCTATCTTTCATTTTCTTCTTGATTTCATCGACTTTGTTTGCGAGGTTTCTCTTTCGTATCTCTGTTGCCTTTTGACGCGTGCTCGGGCTGAGAAGAAACAAAACAGAATGAAACATAAAGACATATTGCGTAACTATAGTTCTATACAGGACGGAATCTAGGGGGAGGTAATTACTCGCAGCAGTATTGTCATGAAGAGACGCTGTACCTTGCTTTCGAATCAGTGGATTGACCACTCGGAAAGAAACGGGACATGCCAGGAGAACCCTATTCCGTTTATTGCGTTTCTTAATTGAAGTGCGTAAAATAATTAGCATAAAATACGCATTCGTTCCGAAATTCAATCCGAGAACTTGCAATTTGTCAATTAACCGAACGAATACTGGGGCGAGTCTTCATGTTAGGGCTTAACACCGATCATACCCAACCCCCCTTTTCTTCCTTCCCAAATGTTTTCATGGTTGAATGGTGTCTATGGGTGTCTTTCTAGACTACCAGAAATATGCATTAGAAACACAACGTTTATTCAAGAAACTTTAGACGCAAATCAATGTTCAGATTTTGCGGATCATAAAGATCTTAGTGGATGAAGGATCAGTAGGTACACAACCTTTTTGTGTCTCTATCCTCGTCATATCCAGCGTAATCCTCCGCCTCGGCATCACCGTTCACGGCTGGTACAAATGTGACGGACTTCCTTTTCGCACCTTCCAACGAATTCCTTCTCATTGCGGACCTCTTTGGTCGTGGTTCTTTCGGATCTTCACCCTCCTCGGCCTCTGCACTCTGCCATCTACCAACTACTCTTTCAACGCTTGTACTATGGCCAGCAACCTCTCTTGAAGGACCTCCCTCGGTGATGACATCATCCGAACCGTAAATATGAAAATCACTCGGGAACTGACCGGAACAAACGCTGGATAGACTTGGCATCTCACTCCTGATGTCGACTTCACTTTTGATATCAACTTCGCTACCGATATCACTTGGATTCTCGGAAATCGGACTCGTGTCGTCAATTTGACCTGAATGTTCCTGATGACTATCAGACCTTTTTGCTATTATTGTCTCTGAAGGTTGCCTCTCAGAATTATCACCATAGCTGCTTGCAACCTGGTTATCATCTGTAATAGGGGTGTCTGCGATTGGACCGTTTTTTTGTTGTTCTTGTTGTTGATCGATTACGTCGCTCTTGTCCGCCTTGAATTCGGTCACATGTTCCTCGAGCTCGCCTGCAATGGCTTCGGACGACGCGCCCGTGACCGTAATCTCGGGAAACCCCAACTGCTCTGGAATGTTCAAACATAGATTTTAAAACAAAACAGGGTTGTTGTTAATGGATTCTGCACTGGTAATCATCAATCGATCAATCAATCAATCGATCAATCAATAATCAGAGAACACATACCATTTTCCCTGCTGCTTTCCTGTTTACTCTCCTCTCTAAGTTCATCACCGTTCTCATCTGCAGATTCTTCACTGTTTTCATCCCCACCTTCATGACTGTCAGGTCCAGCTTGATCGTCACTGTCATCTTCAGCTTGTTCACTACTTTCATCCCCCACTTCGTTACCATGCTGTGCGCCGATATCGACTGGTTCATCTTCACCACTTTCAGACTCTGTTTCAGAATTTTCATCTGCAAACAAACAGCATTAGTTTACCAATGTGCTGCTCCTAGGCAGGCCAGAATAGTTGTGCCCAGTTTCATATTGCAGTCAGTGAGTCACAGACATCAATATGAAACTGGATGAATACTAGGCTCCCCCAGGATGTACTTAGTGAGTCTACCTTGGACAGCTGCACTGGGTTCTTGTTTAATTTTTTTCGCATCTGGTTGTCCATCGTGCTCACCATTGGTCTGTCCCTCATCAACCTCCTCTTCATCTTGAGGTTGAACTTAAAAATTAAAGAAAAACATAGCAATATTAAATTTTTTATGCTTCCAATGTTTAGTTAAACAACTACTCAAGGTTTGTTCATATCAGCAACTTTCTGAGGGATGCAGTTGAAGTGGAAAGCAGTTTTACCCATGCTCCAGTACGCTGTGCTGTAAGCTGAAGGTGCCACCATGTTGGCCCCTTCAAGAATCGCAATATACGAAAAGTGGAGCTGCTCCGTGGTCTGAATAAGCCCTGGCCTGTACGTCCTCATTTCAAGAAGTTTGCTTCTTACATCATAATCCATCATATCATCTTTTTCTTTTATCTAAAACAAGAGTATATAGATTTTGGATTACATTTTTATTAAAAACTTTATACTAACTAGCTTTCGAGACATCTGTCTCCAGAATGAAGGAATGTTGACATTACCTCAGAAAGTGCTGCATCAATGAGAATAAATGTTCCTGACCGCCCAATTCCTGCACTGTTGGGAAAAATACAGAAATTTGTTGTTTAGAAACAAATTTGTTAATAGAAAATGACTATGCCTGAGAATGAGATACTGATAATAATTGGATAAGAGGACAAGCAGATTGATTGAAAATACTTGTACCTACCTGCAGTGTATAACTGGGGGACCAATGCCCTGTACATTTGACTGGAACTCTTGAACAGTTAATAAATATTTTAGAAATGCTTGTGGTGATGAAGGAACACCAAAATCAGGCCAAGCAATGTAATGGAAGTGACGTATGCTTCGTGTAGCTCCTTCCTGTTTGATGGAAAAGACCAGTTAGATCATGAAAGAAACTGCAAGTTATTGGTAATTGAGACATATACAAGGACATTGACAATGATAGAGCATGTTGCTCCAGGCTCCAGGATGATGTTTAGCAGATTATGAAGAAGAAATTTAAAAACATTACCTTTAAATGTTCTATTTCTAAATCTCTGACGATAAACTCATTGTGATCCTCTTCATCACCAACAGTTATTTTAATATCACCAGCAATCATGGAGCCTTTCAATGGCCAGTACTGATGGCATTTGAGCTACAAAGCAATCAAAGTTGTGCATTTACAAATGTTCTAGAAGACATCTTGCATTTGAATATAAACTTTCTAAAGCTAATACTTCTCCACAGGAGGGGGGGGGGCTAAGACTGAGCTTCATTTTTCAGGAAGTAGCTTTGTTTTAGAAACTGTCTTTGGAAACTGAAGTTGAACTGTCCATAAATATATTACAATGCCTAATTTAGCACAGACCAGCACAACATCTCCCTCTCACTTTCTAAACATGTAGACCTACTATAATGAAAATAACATTACTTATATTGTGCATGTAAACACGCATTCTCATGCATACTTAAGTCCTACCTGATTCTTCTCAATGACTCTATTGAGCATCACAACGCTATAGGTATTCTGCTCCCAAATCATTTCCCAAAAATGTTTGCATGTGTGCGATAAGGGTCCCTGAAAAGATGAATACTGCTTGGAATACATACTACATTATAAGTACATACAATTACTACAATACCAGCTGGATGCAAAGCCAGTAATAATTAACTTTAACTTTTCAACTGACTTCATCAGTACTAGCACCTCAGAGTCAAACCAATGCTAATATAATTTGTAAATAATTGCATATCTGACTTAGGTTCTCTAGTTATTAAGACAAATCATGCATGCACATTCACGTCACTGATTCTGTGTACATATCTCTGGTATGTAAAGTATTATTTTTCATTGTGTCTGTGACAATTTTGTAATAAAGTAAAAAAATTAAACTCGTATATTTCCCTGTTTTATTCATAACTTATATTTAAAGATGGGCTTATTCTTCAGAATTTGTTTCCTTTTATATTTTCAATAACAGCTGGGGTGATTTAGGTTAAAGATATATTCTGCATAGCAATTCATGTGATTATTATAATTATCACCACAGAATGAACATATATTGTAAACATTGTGGTTGGTTTTACCTGTGTTAAAATGTACTCTTTCCGAATTGATGGAACCTAAAAACGAAAACAATCGAAGGGTGAAACCATGCAGTTCCTTATTCTAATTTAGGGTAAAACGGTAGATTTAATGGGAATTCCTTAGAAAAATTTAGCAAGTCCCCACAAGAAACAAGTTGTCATTAATTGTTGGCAATATAAAAAACTGTTCCTAAAGAATTTGCACCCCTTCTGTCAAATTAATCACCCCTGTGGTGATGTGTTGGATCATATTGTTACGTAATTCAAACATGCTTCATCATAACATGTCAATCACATAATCATAATGGAATAAAGACCACCATATATCCTGACATATCAGACCCAAAACCACATGTGGAATAGTATGTTTTCCTCTAAATATACCAATATAAGAAAAGGACTAGGTCCTCACTCCTGTGATAAACTAAAAACAGTCTTACAAGTCCAATATGAAGATTTTTATATGTTCAAAACAATTAAGAGAAATATTGATGAGCTACATGATCTGTACTGCAGCTTGCAAGAGTGGGTTGTCTATATATTGATATAGACATGTCACACACCATTGCACACAAGCGTGAAATAATGGGCTTTTGCCAATCTTTCGCCGAGTTAAATGGCAAGAGAAGCAAAGGTCCTCCAGGAATAACGATTTTCTTCATAACTACACGGTTATTGCGGTATTTTACGAAGTACGAACCTTGACAAAGTTTGCGTTTATGTACTCTGTGTCGCTATTTCGTAAGCGGACCAAACTGTGGTCATCTGTCGATAAAACATTGAAAACAAATATCTTATATTAAACAGGACATAAAAATACCAAGAGAAAAACAAAGAATATAGAAAAACTTGTTATGTTGATCTACAAAGTTTTTCTTTCATTATTTAGTGAGAATTAAAACGCAAATGCAAGTTTTAAGACAAGAAACAGCACGACACAGGAAATTTTATAGTTATAGTAGTTTTATGATACGTACAAGGCACAACATCTCTGTATCGGTTATAATTCCTATTTTCCGGACTTTTTCCAACTTTCTGCGAGCCAGCATTTGATTTAGCTTTTATGTTCAGACGCTGTTTGTTAAAAAAAACAACAAAAATAGACATTTACTTGTTGTTGAGCTATATAAAACATGAACGCTATTATATTTTTACCACTCAAGTGCAACTTTCCTGCCAGGCGCCACAGCTATTCGGACATTTTCCAGCGCTAAAAACAAACCTGAAATGTAGAATGCCATCCTCCGGTCTCGTCCATATGCTGTACATCTTGAAAAATCATCGCGGAAGCAAGGATTTAAACGTGAAATGCTAAACTTTTTACATTGAAGCGACATCCATGTTAATATATAAACATTTATAGACATTTGTTTCACTATGACTTCTACCGCTGAGCGGAAAGGGACTGCAGTGCCTCATCAAATTTGTCATCGATATTAATAATTCATTTTCAGCACACCCTCCTAATATATGCAAGTGTGGCCCCCTTCCTTCCTGTCCTCGTTAATTTATTCTAGTTTGTTTTCCAATTGATGATATTAAGTGGCAATACACAACAATGCCCCCTCCCCATCAAATCATCAATTGGCAACTTGTGGTCTCCCTCTGTTCCACAAAAAATGTTTTAGGATAGACTGGGGGCTTTTGGCAGGAATGAGGGGTGTTTCACATTGGAGGGGTGCCCCCCAACTCTTCCCATAGATCAATGCCCAGGAATAGATTTGATAAAACTTTTTATTGTCAGGTTTCAACAGGTAGCTATCAAGATGAATGTAAAAGGGATTCTTACAGCATATTATTACAGAGTTTATGCATTGCACACAACTTGTCACAGGCATGTTTCAAGGTAAATGTTTGACCATTGACAATGAGCAGCCATACTACAATTGAGTTTTTTACATATTTGCTCTGTTCATGCACTGTTCAGGTATATTCAGTTTGTTAAAATTTACAGAAACTTCACAGTTTAGGAGCTAGTTATATGAAGGCTGGATAGCAATGGATGATAGCAACAGCTTAATATGGCAAGAACATAGAACAACAAGCAATTTCAAAGCTATTGAAAAAATCACTACCAGAGGTTTCCTCACTATCCAGCTTTCAAAAAACGAGCACTGAATTGAAAAAAGTAATTTGAGACTGTGATGGATTTCAGTGCAAACACTGCTTCCAAAAGACCTTTCTTTGCATCGACCTGGACCTTTCTCTCTCTTTCCATCTCTTTAAGAACTCCTCTTTAAACAGCCTATGTCAATCTTGATGCAATGCAGTAAAGCCAATGATCCATATTACCTAGAAATAATTGGAATGGGGGCATTTTGTAATCCATTCAAAAAAACTAACTGGAAATGCATGAAAAATGTTCAAAAATTGAGTATACCAAAAACAAGGAAAAAGAAGTAAAGAAGCCTTCTTTAGTTAACTCCATAGGACCACCATATTCTTCATCATCAATTTTTTGAAAGTTTGTAAAATAAACAAAAAGCACCCCGGCATTAATCAGCGCGAACCTGTGAAGAGTCAGTTATACAGTCAGTTGAATGGAACTTAAACGAAGAAGCAGATGGTTGTCTCAATTTCAAGAAAATATCTTCACAAAAAGGAAATAGGCATTAAAATACTCACAATACTAATCCAACAACACCTCTTAAAGGAATGATTGCCCATATTATTCCTAGAATTATTGCCAGAACTTGTCTTAACCAATATATCACATCAAGAAATTCATCCTAAAAGATATACCAAACACAAAATATCCTCTCTTTAGTGACTACATCCTTCTCACATTCAAATACCACCAGTAGTTTTGAAATATAATCATAAAAATTGTCAAATTTGGGCACTAAGCCCACAACACCATATCCCAATATAATGAATAGATGAATCTCTACTTTTAAACAGTGCCCTTGTTCTTCAGAAATTAATGATGCTGTAAGCAAAGTTTGATTATCATATAAATATGTTTTTCATACACAGACCATAAAATTGACCTCAACATTTAATAACCACACTCAAAATTAACTATTACTTAATTATATTGATAAAATGACTTGTCCTAGACTGCTATCTATCGGCTGCTGTTTATACCTTGTCGTCCCAGGTTGAACCAGCCGAAAATGCCTTGCTCCAGACAGATTCTTCTTTTTCAACTTCTATTCCCCTTTTTCGTTTCTGGACGTTCATTGTGGACCCAGGCAAACTTTTTTACAACAAGGAAAAATTTTGGAAAAATATTACTCTTATTGAGCCGCCATGTTCTGCATAAATTAATTTTGTTCATGCCCCCCTGTGTCCTACTCATATCCCACACATATCCTCCCATTCATGATCCCTTTTATACACAGCAAAATAGGAAGGTCATAATTCTAAACAAGAAGAAAAACAGACATATTTCGGCATGCATTCTGCCATTAACATATAAAATTAACGACCCTACACCCAACCTACCGTACCCTCGCCCCAAATTAAAAACAACATTGGACTTTGAGTTCAACTCTACCTTTCACTTTTGACCCTATGCTCACCCCAAGGCAGTATAGGAAGGCCATATAAACAAGCAGAAACACACTAGCATATATTTAACCACGCCTTCTGCCATCAACACCCCACTTCCCCACTCCTGAATGAAACAAACAGGGAAAATAAGAAGGGAACGAAGGAAAATTGTCAGGGAAACGCAATGGAGATAAGTGGAAACAAACCTCCCATGATTCAAAGCAAGCCCACTTTTTCCAATCTTTCTTTTTGTTTTGGAAAAAAGGGTCTGGGTATGTAGTTCGAAATCCCTCTATTATTTTGCAATCTTATTCCCTTTTCTTCTACTTTTTCTCCCATAAGAGCTATTCGTTATCAACCCTCATATTCATAATTCCTTTCTTAAATCCCTGGGTAATTTCCATCTTAATTTTTGCATCTTTGGTCAATTGTTCGGTCAGTTGGTAAAATATGTCATATTTGTGATTATATTTCATGAAAGTAGAAATATCAACGGAATCTCAGCACCTAGTTTGGCGTAGAGTATTTCCAATGCGTATGAGTTTGAGAGTTTCCTTTTTGACCTATATACTCGACAATTAACAAACTTTTATGATACCATAGTGTCGTATTTATAGTCATATACTACACGTGTGATATCCAGCAAAATTAAAGTGCATCTTCAGAATTTATCTGATTTCCGATTTACTGTGAGTCAAATTAAATAATTTGACTAAATTTTAACAACTGGCCATTGTGCCAAAAATATTGAGCAAAACCTGAAAGTGGCAACAGTCACAAATAATTGAATAAATATGTGTAAAAACATCACTGAAGAACTGATTGTTTATGTTTTAGGGGGTTTTTAATATAATCCAACACCATGGCTCCAAAACACAATAATATGATTCACAATAACCATTTTCACAAAGATTGGCAACGATACGTCAAAACCTGGTTTAACCAACCTGGACGCAAAAAGAGACGCCGTCAGGCCCGGGCTAGCAAGGCTTTGAAAGTTGCCCCACGACCTGTTGCTGGTGCCATTAGACCAGTTGTACGATGCCCCACATTCAGATATAATACAAAAGTGCGTGCTGGCAGGGGCTTCACCCTTGAGGAACTCAAGGTACAACAAAATGAACTTTTCAAGAAAGGAACCAGTTGACCAGCTGGTAATACCCTTCATTATTTTTTCCTTGTAGAGTGCTGGTATCTCTCGCAAAGTAGCACCCACCATTGGGATTGCCGTTGACCATCGTCGTAAGAACAGATCCCAAGAGTCCTTGCAAGCAAATGTCCAGCGGCTCAAGGAGTACAAGAGCAAGTTAATCATCTTCCCAAGAAAGGCAAGCAAGCCCAGACAGGGAGATAGTGAGGTAAGATTTACCTATAAAGCTAAGGGATGTGTTTTCTTTACTAATATTTCAATGTGCTTACATGGTTTTTAAGGGTCTTTCCAGAGACTGTTGTACAGCCAGTTTTCTAAAGGGTTGTTGACTTCATGAGCTTGTTAAAAGTTGTCAAAGATGAGCTAGAAAAACTCTACCCTAGACTAATTCAAAACTGTCTTCTCTCCCAGGCCTCAGAACTTGAGATGTTCAATCAGCTCCAAGGACCAATTCTGCGCATCCAAAGCATGACACTGCCGATCAAGGCAAGACAGGTGACTGATGAGGAGCGTAAGATCAGTGTATTCAAGTCCATGCGTATGGCACGTGCTAACAAACGTCTGTTGGGCATCCGAGAAAAGAGGGCGAAAGAAAAAGCAGAGGAAGCTGCATTGAAAAAGAAATAAATTAATTTTGGAAAGTTAATAAATCTTTGAACGTGAATTTCGTGTCTATGTGTTTTATTGTCTGGGATATCATAACGTGAGTTGGACGAACTGGGAACTCCTTTCAGTGGTTTCACCTCGTTTAGGGCCGTAAACTCGCGTAATTTTCACGAATCTTATTTAACTCTTCTCGTAAGCCGCGTTTACACTACGTGCCTGGACCAGGCCTAGGCTTACACGTGAACAGCCTGAACCTGGTCTAGGCCACAAAATCCAGCCCGACAGTAGAAGGTAGCCTGGATCTTACCTGGAGCACGATTTTGGTAATGTGAACAGGCTTTCCTGACAATTTTTTAACCTAACAGTACGATTTGTATAGGACCATATAGTATTACCTCTTTTCGGCGTGTTTTGGGTCTTTTTCCAAGTATTTTGTCAATTACTTTGGTTATCCGATATTATCAACAAGGAAGACAGTGTGAACGTGGCACATATTACTTAGACCAGGTCCAGGTCAGGTTTAAGCCTGAAGTGTAAACGCGGCTTAAGTTTCACGGTTAATCAGGTGAACCATTAATTATATAATCTTGAATATAATTTAATTTACATTTTTGACGGTGTAAACTCATTAATTCAATGTATAGCGAAATAAAAAATAAATGAAAAATAGCACTTTGTCTGTGAAGATGTCATGCCACCCGCGCCTTCAATTTTGTCATGAATCTTTCACAACATGCCATTACCTCAAAAGCACACAGTGAAACCGAAATATTACGTCACACAGCTGTTTTCTGTTGATATTGATTGTGTCATATTTACCGTCGAGACTGCAAAATTGAATGAACCGAATTGGATCGCAAGCATAATTTCAAATTAAATATATCAGTGCAGCCACAGTCGATCATTCATAGGCTAGTTTTGATCGAAGTGAATCTGCCTTAATATATAATCTTATAGAGTCTTCGCAGTATTTCATTAGTACGTGTTTTTCATTAGGGGTGTGTTTATTTAAGGCAGTGTCTATCTTTTTTAAAGCAATGTTTCCATAACGCGTGGGTCAGTGATAATAAATATGTCTCAGCTCTCGAACGAATCGTTATTTAAAAATGATACTAATCCAAACCACAACACAACGTGCTCATCTGAAAGCGAATTGGCGCCTAATTTCACCATGGTTGAACGAACAATACTTGCAGTTATCAGCACGGTACAGTTGCTCAGCGGAATCTCGCTAAACAGCACGGCCTTACTGATCCTGCTGACAAACTCTGGCCTGCTGCTTCAGGTTCCAGCAAACAGGATCCTTTGTAGTCTTATGGTGAACGACTTTCTATCATCAACAATTTTTCTACCCTATCACATTCACATGTTTCAACATGAATGCCAAACATTGGTTGAAATTCGTGTATACCGCACCGCGGCTGCTTTTTGTTCGACTTGGTCTGTGTTGAACTGTCTAGCGATCACAATGGACAGATTTCTGGCTATTCTATACCCTCTACGCTACAATGCTTTGATAGTCTTTCTCAAGGTACGAGTAATGGTTGTCATGGCAGTTGGGGTGACCACAGTGTTTACGTTGTCCCTTTTTGCGGCCTCGTTTCTTGGACGAAATGACTTGCGCCTGGTACTGGAGTACATGGCAGTGGTGACACTGGTTCTGCCAGTTCTTCTCTACTGGAGAATCTATCGCTCAGCACGGAAACAGATTAAAAAGATCACAACGGGCTGTAAAACGAACGCGGAGGAGCTCAAGATGAGTTTAAAATCCGCGGCGAACAGCGCGCGGGTCGTCGTTCTCCTCGTTGCAAGTTTTGTTCCGCTTTTGACGTATGCGATTTTGGTGGAGGAAAGTGAGCGGCCGCTAGCAGAGAAGTCCCGGTTCCTAACGTGGGCAGTCTCGTTCTGTTTTTGGAATTCGTGCGCAGATCCTCTGCTCTATTTCATATTTTCTAGGAAATTTAGAACGATAATTCGCGCGAGTTTTCGTCGCTGGCGGCGGTTATTTGCAGAGAGATGTTCCACTTAACACACAAATTAAATTTATCAATGCATAATTTAATAATTCTTAAGTCTCATTTTTTGGACGTTCGCGATGATAGACAATCCATTCTATTTAACAGATTTGAATAATCTATGATATTTAATATAAATCTAATTGTATCAATATTTCCTTTAGGAGCTCTAAGTTATTATTACTCGCTAACCAAGAAAGCTTTTTACAAAGTTTGGAAACACCTCTGTTCGGTGGATAGCGTCATCGTTTAGCAAAATTAAAACAGATTCTGGAAGTAAAACGGGAAAGATGAAGTATATGTGACACCGTTTTGCGATTTCTAATGTTTAGATTAGCAAACTAAACATACCGTTTTTTTTCATGACAAGTCGTACACTGATTACATTTATGACAAAACATATCATCACATTTAATTAAAACTAAACAAAGTAATTTAGGGGCGTTTATGCTATACGCCCTGTGCATCTAATGAAAATATAGCTGATGTCTAAATCGAATATGAACTGATTCAGTGTACGATTTAAGGTTTGTAGGTTTGTTAGTGTACGCGTTCTTCACATAAGACGTGAGATCTGTGATTTGTCGTTTGATATACACAGCGAAAACTTCGAAAAACTGTGTGACTTCCTAAACATTTTTATATGCTTTCATTTTTGTGAAAAAAACCAAGATAGCTCGCTTTTATAATATATATGATAATGTTGTATAGATCTAATTTAGTTGTGTTATATCAGTTCACTGGCATGTGTTCTATGATGTTGTCAAAAATAGATTATATTACTGTCCCTAAAATATAACCGACAGTGATTATCAAATGGCTGATCTTATACTTCGTTACGTGACTTTTTTTACAAATCACACTACAAAAATAACTTTCTTGCCTGTTCCAAAGCGTGTTTTTAGCTGTAATCCTGTGCAAATCCCTTCCTAAGGCTAAGCCTACTGCTATTTTTTGCACAGCAAGGCCTTAGGGACACTTGATAAGCGTATTAGAATTGACATGCGTCCGCGCACGAGGGGATGTGCATAAAAACACGCCTGGCTGAAAAATAGCCCCCTAGTGGCTTTAACAGGATAAAAACAAACGTCTGTTCTCTCGACGTAGGAGATTGTTGAGATGCATGACCGCAAAATGCTATAATTGTATGCCGACCTCATAATATATTAATTCAACTTTGTTTGGAAAACAGGATTGTTGTGAAATAAAATATATAAAAAAAAGCAAATGCGCTATATATAGCCTGTTTTGGAAAGGGTGCAAACACTTACGTAAGAAAAACAAACAACAAAAATGACGTATTTACGGGGGCATTCATATGGCGTACTCTTGCTATTATTATAAGCATAGCATGTGTTGGAATATGTTTGCCCTCCCCCCAGTTATTTTACCTCTCAACTGCCCCCTCCTGATCGTAAAATCAACCCAGAATGATCAGCAAAACTGAGATAATTTACAGTTGTGGTTTGTGTTTAAACTGCACAAAAGAGCCGAATATCTTCCGTTTGAAGGAGCGCATCGCAGAACGGCAAAGAAGCGGCCATCTCTTCATCTTAGGACGAGTTCACGCAAAAACCACGACGGGAAATCAACGCGGCACAGTGAATTCCCACGCTTAAGATAAGCCATTAATAAAAAAAAAAATACATGCGTTTAGAAAACACTGCGATGCACATTTTCCACTTATACAGTCAGATCGTCAGACCGCTGTTTCAAGATTTTACAATAAGACTTCTATTGATCCACAAAATATTTATGCAAAAACATGTTCAACTTCATAAACAAGCGATTAAAAAAATTGATGTGAAAATTTGAGTTAACCCTCGGTTAAGCTAACCGGCTTTTGAACAACAAACAGGCCCCAGGCTTTAACTATACGATTTAACTATATATGCAAAATGTGCATGGTTATAGAGTTTTATATACAAATAGTCCCAGAAATTTCAGTGGATTGATTCATTCAAGAACACATCGCCAGTGGGAAGAAGAGCTCAACAAACTATATATAGGAGTGTAATATTTCAGATTTATGTTGATGTATATCCTAGCTTAGTTTACTTTTTACACGGTAATTTATATCTTTTAAGCCTATTGTAGAACGCTTCATTTAACTCTTATAATAAATTACTTGTATTGTGTTTAATTTATAAGGCTGTTCATCGGTTTCCTAATATAGACTTCGTAATCTGAGAAAACCATCGGCCATTATTCGCGAAGAACTCCTTTTTTTTGGAATTTTTTTCGTCCGCAAACCAGAAGGATTTTGGAAAGATAAAAAAATCTCCATCGGAATGTGTTAATTCTTGGGAATTTTTGACCTCATTGGCGACCCATTTATTCCACTTCTGACACAGCATTTCCGAAGGATGTTCGTATATATAATTCATAGATAATGATTTCTAGTTTTCTCAGAATTTAAGAATATGTTCGTATATATTTCACAGATAATGATTTCTAGTTTCTCAGAATTTAAGAATATTTACACGTGGTCTTTCTCATACTCACATATGCGCATATAGAGTATTAGAAAAATTTAGTAATTGTAATTAAGTCCATGTTACAATTTTTCCTGCAACTTGCAATGTAATTCTTCTTTTGAGAGATGTAAATTTGGCAACTACCAAACTTTTGTCTTTATTACACTCCATGTGGCGTATCTTACGCTCACATTTTGAAGACTCTTCACTAGTTTACATCTCTTCAAGGTAGAATTGCACTGCAAGTTGCAAGAAAAATTGTACCGTGTAACATGGCCTTTAGTAGCAAGGGACTGTCAGATTTCAAAACAACTCTTTTTTAGCATCCTGCACGGACATATCGTCTGGAATAATAAGTCTTGCCCGTTAAAGTTAAAGGCCGACCTCTATCCGGTAGCGCGGGTCAAGATTTCCTCCGTAGAAATTGTAAACCAGCCCCGATTATATGACAGACGGTGGGGGAACATCGTACGTGTTCTGACGTGCCAGCATTCCCACCAAGCGACGCCAATATCCGAGAATTATGTGCCGTAATTTCTCAGAAAACATACAGTACACGAGCGGATTGACACTGGAATTGAGGAAAGCCAAACACAGCAGCCATATTGTATGGTCATTGAAGATGGATATCGGAACGGATCGGGCCTCGTTGTAAGCACCCAGTGCACAGAGTGGTAAATAACTTGCCGTGAAAAGAAACACAATGCTTCCGCTTGTTTTAGCTGACCTTAAAGTTCGCTTGAAGACCACGAGACTCGTCCTTCGAATGTTACCCTCGTTCGACTTTATCAACCGGATTTGTCGACAGGCTGCGCGGAAAATAACAGCGTACAAAACGAGAATCGTCAGGATCCCGCAAACGTTCAAAAGCGCTGAAATATACCGGATTCCTTGGAGTCGGGCACGCATCGCCACGCAAAATATCAACGCGTACGTTGCAGACAGCAACCAGTTAGAAACGAGTGCATTCCGTGTTCGAGATATGGTGACCAATATGTTGTAACGTAATGGGTAAACAATCGCGAGAAATCGATCCGCCGTCAAAATTACTGTTCCAACCATACTCACTGTTAGTGAGAAGACGAGCATGGTGAGATGCACATCATTCTCGTTTACATGAAGTATTCCAACGTACACATGATATGGTAAGACAACGGCACTGGCGAGAAAGTCTGAAATTGCCAAACTGAGTAAGATCACATTGGCGGGAACTTCACGTAGCCTGCGATCAATGGACAACACAATTATCACAAATCCGTTGAAAAGCGTCCCAGATATGATCTGGACCACGCTCAGCACGACAAGAATTGTAACATTGTTGATGCATCTATGCTGAGCAGACGCGGTCGTATTTCGTGCGTCAACCGGCGTGCTGCTGTTCATCTTGTGTTTGCACCGACGAGGAAAAACAAACTGTTTTTAAGACCTTAATCCATCTGCTTGTTTAGGTTTTGAATACATTAAGATATGGTTTAGATAATTGATAGGCATGAAGCCAGATATGGAAATATGGAGATGGCGCACTTTGAAGGAAGGCGTGGATATATCACGCAGAATTCATTAAAGAGTCTCAAGGAACTTGGATTCAGTTACCACTGTCTAAATCTCTAACTTTTTGAATAAGATCTTTGCGCAGAGGTCTTGTATTTCCCCAATCAGATAAATGCTGTTTCCCTTTTAATGTAACCACGTTATGAAAATTTCTCAGATCTGACTCGGGACGCTCTCTCCGAGATTCCAGACGTTTTCATCGTCTGTCAAAACAAATTCGAAGAGCAGCAAGAAACTGGAACGATTTCCAGAGATCCTTTAACACCAACTACAAGCTATGCAACTGAGCTTGTGGAGGTGTAATCTCGACAGAAGACGGTTTCTCCTTTGCCTCTGGAAACGCAAGTGGCGGCCAGAACACACACAGGACACGAAATAAACAAGACTCGCACACAACACTTGGCGTGACGTCCTCTGAATTCCCAAACACTCTTCCTCCGACTAAAATAACTTTTTTCCACCTGTGATATGATTTACATAAACCACAGCTGCCATTTTTCTTCCACTGCACGAGATGTTTGCTCGCGAGAGATACTGCAGTTCACTGACCAAAATAGAAACCAGTCTATTCGCCTTTAACTCTCAGAAGGAACAACGAAGTTAGACGATCTTCTCCTGCCCACTGAAGTCGCGATATGACTGTCGCTAATTACGTAATTTACCAATCTGGAAGGCACGGTCAGAAAAGGAATTATCAACACTTCAGCAATCAACTTTCGAACAACAAAACGTGACTTTGAAACACTTCACTTAGGAACAGCTGCAAACGAGTTAATTTTACACACACACGCAGCTCACGCGAAGTGCAAAGCGATGCTCAGAAGTATTGATAGAATTTTAATTGCATGTATATACTGTGTCGTATTCCGGCTATTCCTGGGACAGAATATCCTAAGCCAAATTACCAGAATTCCTTTATAACTCCAGTTCACGATTTAACCACGAGAGCTTTTAGCGTATATGACAGTAACTCCAAATTGATTACAGTAATTTCAACGTTGTGATCAAAATACCATCTTCCAAAAAGAAAAAATTTACAAGTATTTGAGGAAATTATTTTTCATTGTTCTGTCGCCTGCCAGTTTTCCATATGGTTCTCATTGCTCGGAATTAAAAGAAGTAACCTTTGGCCGACATGATCGAGCGTTGTAGCCAAAACAGTGTTTTACCGACAGGTACTGACGACAGCGGCGCTGTGTGATTCTGTTTTGGTGTAGTATTCGTCTTTGCATGTCAAACTGTTTGGAGGTCATGGAAAGTTCATGCATGGCGAGAACTCGGTTGCGTAACGCACGATGATTTTTTTTATTGGCGACGAGGAAGGTTGAAAAATAAGTGAAGCACTGAATAAGACATTGCAAAGCGCCGATAAAAAAAACAACTATATACTAGTCAGCATTCAAAACAGTTTGAGAAAAACCAACTGACATCGAGGAGGGTTGAAAATGAAACAAATAAAAATGCAGAACAGTAAGTTCTAGGCTATTCAGGGATAATTTTAAATCAGTTAAATTCAACAGCAGAAGTCATCAATAGGAATGATCGAGATTGACTAGCCATGATTAGCCAAGTTTAGCGCCCAAAGGTCTTCTAGATTATTATAATTATTATATAAGACTAAAGTAATTTAAAATAGTTTTTTAATTATCATCTCCTAAGGAATAATAAACGCTGAATGATAACTCTTTCGGTGTGTTCTAACCAGGATGGAGTGGATTGTGAACTTCCAAAATTGTCCAAACGCTCGAGCGATCGCCATATTGCAAAAACAAAGTATCTAAAATTTAGTTCAGTATTTAGGTTTTGGCGCGCGTTTCCAGCGATCCCACGTGATGGTATTTGCAAATGTTCCAGCTCTGACTAAGTTTGAAATTGTTCGAAAACGGAAATGAAAACAAATCCGTGACGCCAAAACACAAACAACGAACGTCAAGGGTCAACATCGGAACAAAAATCCCTTCTTTAAACTACTACAATACGACTCGTATTTTACGGCATACCTCATAAAATTAAAATCAGCTTTCCCATCATTCGTTCTTTTTGAGATCATCCTGTTTATCCTCTACAAGAGCGTCCTCACTGTCACCCCTCTCATCACCATCTACCTCGCGTTGTTCCTCGTTACCCTCTTGATGCTCCCCAGTGTCCTGGTGTTCATCATCCGACGGACCCTCCAGACAACATATCATGACAACGAGAAACCCGAATACGAGGAACGGAAGACCAAATATGACCACTGCCATGAGGGGACTGGATGCCCAGATTTCCTGGAAAAATTATGAGAAAGATAGGAAAACTTAAAGCCGATGCTACCGAGAATCACGGGCGTAGCAACGATTTCTGAATGCAAATACACAGACAGGACTAGACCAATATATGGCACAAGCAGTTGCAATTTTTAACAAATTGCCTCTCTCCAAACCTCACCCATGTCCCAAACGGGAATCTTCATTAGATTTCGCAGAATATTTTCACGATGTAGAAAACTGGTTTTTAATATTCGACCTGAGATTTGAGAGATTGGTATTAATCGAGTTATACTCAAATTTTACCTTTGCAGAACTTCGGACGTCCCACCAGATCTGGAATGAAATAAAATACGTTCAGTTATCTCGATGATGGACGAGCCATATTGGAAATCAAACGGACAATCGGGTTAGAACAGGAATGATCAATCCATTTAGTGAATCCTCATAGAGGAACACGGGAACAAAGATGATTGGTACAACAGAACACTTAGGAAATCACGGAGCCACGCTAAGTGTATGAGCCTACATTATTTATCTTTTGAGCCTATTGCGGTTTCCCAGTTATTATTTCATGTGTGTAACAATGAAATTAGTCAAGTACCTGCAAACTATAGTTAAAAGGCTAAGGAACTATAAAGTAAAAAGTGTCACGAACTTACTCGCCAAATCCTCACAAAAAAGCTTTTGCCACCGTGTGCCTATAGAAGAAAGTAAATTTTAAACTTCGATTTTTCAATGGGAGAACAACAAAGGAGTGGACTTTTAGTCCTTCTTCTTATGCTAAATTTGATTGTTCTTGTATCATGAACGATCGACGAATTCGGATATATTTTGCTTACCACCGCTTTTCCATCTAAAATGCTCTGCAAAAAACCCTCCAGTTGTTCTTGATTAAAACTCTCAGATATTTCTGATGCGGGCATTGTGTAATAATGTCGTGTTTGTGGATCAAGAACGAGCACAAAGGGAACATAGACAGAGCTAAAGAAACGAAACGTCCGCAAGTTATTCTCCTGGTATTGACTTCGGAGAGTCTCACAGAAAATTTGCATGATTTCATGAAAATTGCATGAAATTTCGAGAATAATTCTCTGATTAAAACCATTAGAACACCCGTTACCTCATCATAATCGACTCAATAACATCGGTGTCAAATATGCCGGCAAATTGGAAGTCTCTGAAATCACATAAAATTTATCTCTGAATAGGATTTGGGAAACAGAATTTGGGGAAAAAATTCATCTCTGAATAGAATTTGGGGAACAGAATTTCGGGAATCGGTACATTTCCAGAGCAATTTTCTAGAAATGCAGAGGAGAAGATGAATTTCTCCTCTTGAGTAAAAGCTAACTTACTTGCCATAAGTTGCGTACAGTTCGAACGCTATTTTCTTTCCAACTTCACCCATCCTGAGAAACGAAAAAATGTTGGACCGTTTGGTTAGTATTTCTGGGAGAAAACATCCATCATGCAAGCTTTTAAAGAGTTTACATACTTTTTATTAATTTCACTGTGATCTTTGCTTTTGGAAAACGTTAAAAAGACAACCTTCTTGCCTAAAAAATAGTATGGCATTTCTATTTTTGATATGAAGGAAAAAAATCCTGCAAAACATGGGTTTCCTATGGATGGAAGGGGACAGCACAATTCTTCATATTATAATTATAATAATTCAATTTATAATTCTTCGTTACCTGAGTCAGCAAGTTCGTTAATATTAGTGTCTGTAACGAACATGAACGGAAGAAATTTCTCAGAATCAACCCATAAGGAAACAGTGGTCTTATTAACTGGTTCTCCTTTCTCTAAAAATAAAATAAAATGCTAGTATCAACGCTCTGTCTTAATAGAGCACATGCAATGAAAATGTACATACCTTCAAAACTGTAATATTGAATATCTTTGAACACCAGTAAACTTGGAATTTTGTCCACCTTTACACTCTAAAATATCAACAATCAATACTTTTCATGTAGAAAGTTGAAAATGAGAGAAATTTTATTTCCAAAGTCAAGAAAGTTGACACTTCAGTGTGGATGAGTTAAAACATGTACCTCAGGTAACAATGAACTTGCAATGGAGTAGAACACAACTTGGGCGATCTTTTGTTCTGCAATGTCTTGAACAATTTTCTGCAAGATAAAGTTCATTTCTTAAGTGCTACTATATATTCATGATGTCATTCTTCCAAATATATCTGCATCTAGGAAGAGGTAACTCAAGACGGTACCTTATAGTCCTCAGACTCCTGGCTATCATCTTTAACAAAAAGAAAGAAGACGTCTGACTTCAATCTCCTCTTTTCAAACTCTTCAGATGTTTTAAATTCAGTCAAAATTGGCCTGAAAAGTTTAGGAATATGAACATTAGCTTTCAAAACACAATTGCACAATTCTTCGACAATTGATTCTGCTATCTAACCTTGAAGATTTTAATGCAAACTCAACAAGACCATCTTTTGTCGGTGCTCCATTGTATCTTGCTGAGATTTTACCACGGAAACTGCCGAAAGAAATCATGAATACGGTAAAAATTTAAATCGAGTGCTAAATGAAAATAGTATGACTGGACTTACAACTTTATTGTAGGGAATCCACGGATCCCGTTTTCTTCAGCAATGGCTATGGGACAAAATAATACTTCATTACCACTTTGGAAGATCATCAATTGATCATAGCAGCTTGCACTATAGTCACCCCTAATCCATGCATGCAAGGGCAAATTCATGTTCTCACCTCTGTTTTTCGTGCAATCGACCTGTGCAACAGCAATATTTTTATTTAGTTTTGCTAGCTCAGCACCAACTTCTTTCCAAATAGGTTCCAATCGTTTGCAATGTCCACACCATGGGGCATAAAACTACAAAACATTTTGCGGAATTTGCAGTAACTAAGTGAGCAATTTTTAGTTGAAAGTGAGGTAATTTTCACTGAAAACAGTGATGAGTCAGGCAAATTTGTAATCAAGATTCAAGAAATGAGGATTATTCATGGTTATTATGTTTATAGGCCTTTCAATCTGCTTATGAATTTGTAGAGACTGAGAAGAGTGGTATCAAGAAGCAGACCCAATAAGGAACAACTTGATGTCTGATTCAAGGTCTGTTTTAAGGCCTTTTAAGACACAATTTCCGCCTACCTCAACAAACCAATAACGACCATCTGCTTTCATTTCATTGAAGCTAAGCAATAAAAACCACTGGGATTAAATAGTGAACATAATTGTACAATTCCACTTTCTGGGAAATGTATTATTAAAGTTCATGTGCAAGTACTATGGTTCCTAGTATTAAATCATGCACAACTTCATATGAATGAACTTATAGACTATTAAATAGGAGTACTGACTTACGAATTATCCACGTTAATAACATGGCTGTGTAGCTGCACAACTAAACACAAAGGCAGAAAATACAGTTTAAAACAGAATTTGAATGCAAGACATCTAAAAAACATTCAAGCGTTAAATGCTCACCAAGAAAAGCCGAAGAAAGAAGAAGAAATTCAAACAGAGCCGCCATATTGCACCTGTTCACTTTGTCACCATTATCCTGTTTTATCCACGTTTTACTTACCCTATCACCGAGTATCCCCGTTCATACATCATATGATAAAACCAAAGTGGTTATACATTATACGTTACAGGGTGTATGTATGTGGATGTTAGGTGCCCCAGGTTGATGGTACCATTAGAGATGGTATCATTAGAGATCATGGATAGTAGACCGTGTTTCTGTGGCCAAAACAGTTTACTAAATTTGGATGAAAAGGACTATTTTAGGAATACCATTTTTTATTTTTCCGTCTTTCCGCTCAGCGAAGTGTGACACACCAGTTATGATCCGGCGGAAATAGCAAACTGGATTACCCAGCCACAACCAATGAAAACGCTTCTCTCAACATGCGTGGTGGTTTAGGCATAGGGAGGGAAGATTACGTGAATGTTCGAAGCGATTTGTGTCTGCTTAGTTTTGGGAGTAATGTTCGTAATACATGAATGAATACTACCACAATTTTACAAAGCAGGGGAGAATAAAATGTGGTTTAAAAGGGGGGGGGGTGGGGGGTGGGCGGGCGGAGGTAGAAACATTTAATTAATTAAGATCAAACCAGGAATGTGGCGAAAAATGCAAATCAGATCCTCCAGCGGGAATCGCACCTACGCCTCGGTGACCTGAACATAGTGCTCATACCATTACGTTTACGCGATAATGTTGCTTGTGGGAGAAGGTGTGAGTGAATTCACGTACGTATTAATGTTTGGGTCGTAAGGTATCACATAGGATCGTTCATTACACAATCGGGTAAGACCGGTGAGTGATACTCTAAAGACACGATGTTTGATTTCATTTGATAAACCTTTTTGTGCCAAGAGAACATCCTGTACGGCTGTAACACACACAAAACGTGCACAACCACAAGTCCGTAGTTTTAGGATGTCGAGTTCCTGAGACCATTGGACTGATACAATAAAACATTCTTTGTTTTTCTCAGTTGGATCGTACTGAATTGAGTCAAAGCTAGCGGCGACAAATCTAAGGCATGCCTCAATGAAACGCGGAGGGTGGAATAGGGTCATTAAATAGCATTTGAGAATATAGGATTTCGAAAATTTCGTGCGTCAATTCGTCACAGTACCTGCAAAACAAAACCACTTTTGAGTTGCACACCGCCTGGGAAGAAGGTCGATGACCTCAATTGCATCACGATAGTTAACTACAGGAAACAATCAATATTTAGTAATCGTTTACACTAATTATTTTTATATTATTTATCCCATGTGTCGCTGGCAAGAGCTAAATGTCAAAAACACCGAACTTTTGAATAAATTTCTTGGTAAGCAAAACAATCCTGAATTCAAACGTTTGTGGTTAGTAATGTTGTTCTCTCCCAAAATTATGTAAATCGATATCTTTCAATGCTTCGATATCTTTCATGACGTGCAGGAAATATCAAACCAAATTGATCACGCCTCCTATATAAAAGCATGCAACATGATTTAAATATATCCATAACAATACGACGTTCATCAACTTCAAACCACTTGGAGTTGGAGCACAGTTTTATCATAGCCACAACGCCGGAAAGTCAGAGAAAAACCCGCTTTTAAAATCAAGAAACATTGTTGCGATTCTGGTTCTACTATAAAGTGAAAGAAACTTGATATAAAATATCAAGAATTGCAACGATTTACAAACAGAAATGACTCACGAGAAGCGCTTAAGCGATAAAGAATTAGCGAAGATGATATATGGAGAGGTGAGTCCGTGAAATCATATCTGGTAGCGCCTAGTAATCCAACATTTCGTATTGATAATGTTACCACTACCAATGATTTAATACAATCAATGATTCACACACACCGAGGACCTAAGAAGCATCACGCAAGCATCTGTACACGTTGTTGAGTAATTGGGTTTATTTAATCAACCGTTTGATAGACACGAGGGCAAAGTTAGTCGGTGTGTAATGTGCCTATCTACGGGCTACGGCCGAGACCTTATTTCTTTAAAATAGTGATATGCCATTTCATTCTTCACAAAACTTACTTGCAAAATATCCTGATCTCGCCAATTGTTATGACAACGTCAGTTTCACCCCCTTTCATTTCGGAAATTTCGTTTTTAGAAACCTGAATTTTTTATATTACACAACAGTTGTTGTTGTAGAATCAGTGATATATTATGGAGGAGAGAGAGTATATATAAGTTTGTAATTCTAGTTTCATGGTCAACTTCCAAACTCAAATTTTACTGAGAATTTTAAACGATTTTCCTTCCCATTTTGACTAATGACGATTTTCCATATCCGAGGGAAACAGACTTACTGCATATTGTACTGTGTTTATAATAATTATATTCATTCAAGAGATGGTTTATGAACATTTTGCAAATGAAAATAAAGCGTACTGATCCTCTCTATATTCTAGTCCATGACTCGATTCAGCGCATCATTCAGACACTTGGCAACAGAAGAAGTTCATATAAATTCTATTTTTTATCAGTGCTTTACCGTTCGATTTTTTCTATTCATTTTTTTTCAAAAGCAAGTTTGGAATGTTTTTGGGAATCCGTTTAAATCATCTCACAAATTATAAACCTCTTTTGAACAAAGCTTATCGTCAAATGCGAACTGAGGAAAATTCGTGCAAGCCATGCAGCTGTTGTTTCAAACGCTTTTGTTATCCTAATGGCACGGGAAACATTTATAACCCAAGTGTTTGACTGTTTGCATTAGTTCGCGCGAAATTGGCAGACGATAGTCGAAAGAGACAAATGATTTGCATGAGCAATTAAATATTTGTTAAACAGCATGCAAACCATCTGTTTCAACACGGATGTAACGTGTTTACGCGTTTAATTCAATTTCCTATAAAACTGCATTCCTCTAAATTGTGGTTCGTCTATTAAAATTGTTTTTGATATTCTCACACACTTGCTGTATTTCTCTTAAATTATCACACGACGCGGGGGAGACAATTACGTCATCGAAATTAGCCATCGCCCGTGTTATTTTATAGGTCATTTTTTAGATACTAAAGCACGCATATAGATCGATATTTCCTACACTAGCTGTTATAGAAAACGTCAGATCAACACAGGAGTATTTGACGGTAACAAACCTACGCAGTCTACGCCTTTTTGAAATGTTCCTGATAGTTCCAAAGTCAGGTCATCTGCTATATTCAGATGAAGCATGCAAAAATGTAAAGCGTAGTTTATCCGTCGTGTGACAAATCTCGGGAATAAAACCTATCTGATCTTTCCATATTGGGGCTACAATCCTGAACACTTAACACGTTTGTAAGTTTGGATATGATGTTTCTGGGTTGCAACACAACATTGTCCGCTCCTGTTTTCAATAACCGCGGGAGAAATGAGTTTTCAGTCCCGTAGAAAACGAATTAAACGAAGCACATGAACACGATCTTATATCCACAACGGAAAACCACAGTTTCCTGGTTTCACGAGTTGTTATTCCCCTGTGCGGAATAAACATGCATATTGAGATTTACACCGTGCAGAATCACTGACACTGTCTGCCGGGAAATTATAACATTTGGGGCCATTCATCAGTGTAATCTTTTGATTTGTATTAAGTTCCGTACATGTCATACAGTATGATTATTCACTTGAAACCTATTCATAAGTCCTGTTTTAATCCCGTTGTTTTAATCCCGTAGCCTCCCCTAGACAAGAGTAACCCTCGTATCAAGTGTTTAGAAGAACATCAGTCGGCGCTTTGTAAAAGAAATCTTCCTCGAGGCATTCGCCTGTAGAAATTCTTCTAAGTTTCTTATAACAAATCCAACCCAACTCGTGTAATTGATTCGATATTCACTGAAGTATGAAATCTCGGAAGTACTTTCTCATGCATGCATGGTGCCACCGAGCCGCCCTGATACTCTTCAGTCAATTCTCTATGATTGTCAAAGGTTCATTATCACGTGTATGTAAAACTGAAATACTCCGATGAGTCCGATCATTGGTTTTGCAAGGAAATCACATTAAATTGCAGTAATATTCTCAAGCATATCTCATCTTAGAAAGTGGATTTCCGCTTTTTAATCCCACGCTAATAATCGGGTAGATGTCTCAATCACCGATATTTTTGAAAAACATTTGCTATAGAAAAAGTGTAATAGTCAGTTTACCACGGATCTACACTTGATCCTCTTCTACCGATCCTCGGTACAGTAAAATCTATAGAACAGTAAAGTCTATAGATATATAGTCTCTTCAACCGTTGTAGGATTACTGTAGATTGCCTTAGAAGCAAACGCCTCTCAAAAAGCGAGTATTTACGATTCCTCATGCATAGACCAGAGTAAATATGAAACAGAAAGTTCCGTCCTCGTCCAGACAAGTCATCGATAACGGAGCCGAAGTCGCCTTCACCACTTCAAATTTAACGAGTTTTCTCCAGTTTACTTTCAATTTTGCACGTTTCAGTCGGGTGCGACCGATAATTTAATGCCTTTTTGAAAGAGGACATCAACACGGATGTGTTTTGCTGACTTGAAGTGGTTGCAAATAGTTTACACTCGAGTATTTTGGCTCGTGATGCGGCCAGAAAGATATTTATTATTGAAATGTTTATTCATGAAAGCTCCAAATATGGATGAAATATTTTGCGAAACATACGCCTGTATTCTTTAAGCTCACTCACACTCATTGGGTGAAAGATCTCAGTCACGTCGTGACAATTCCATGACAGTATTTCCACTCGAGCAAGACTTTTATTGTTTTTACCTTAAATCTTCCCAATGATTAAGAAAGAGCTTTCACATTGATCACTAATGACTTCTTCTATTTCAAACTTAACGAGTATCAGTAAGTAGCTTTTTAAATACAAGTGATAGACAAGAAGACCAAAGAAAAAAGAGTGCGGGGAATCGGGAAAGTTCTTTAGTTTATATCATAAAAATAAAAGGCAGCTAACACCTTACTCTGTTGCCACATTCAAGTCCAAAACAGGAAAACATTAATTGTCACTGAGGCAGGATTACGAAAGGATTTGTCTGTCAAACGAATTAAAGATTTTATCCATTTCAATAAAGGAAAACAAAGAGATTTTACGAGCACAATCAAAGCATATTTTTTCACGTAGAAGTCGATACTTAAGAGAAGCCGCTGCGAAAAGTAATAATGCGTAGTGCTTAGAGCCGGAATAACTGCACTGAAACTTCGTAAGCCAAGCGGCACTTCCGATCCAATTTCTTTGTAAAAATTTCAAATATAGTCAAGAAACAAATATCAATAGACATATGGCATACAGGACACAGTATTGACTTAAAGGCCGGTTCTATAAATAACAATGATGAACACAAGAGCTAGAATATGGGTCGGTTCAGTATGATTGGATCACTAGTGTGTCAATCTTTCGTGATTGGGATATCCCAAGTGATTCTTTGGAGATGAGACTAAGCCACACTGCATAGCACTGTCAGATCCTCGAGTGGTCAAAGAACACAGTTCCTCTATTGCCAAGCGGTGAAGAAATATCTCTGCAATATTAACACAATGTAACTACAGTAGGAAATCGGTTTCTTGAGGAAAAGCCGAGGTATTTCATAGTCCAAACGAGCCGGAAGCATACAATATGGTCAGACAATACAACGAATGATTGAAAGCGACATACTAGCGCTGGGATGGTCTCATTTTAATTCTCCCAACCTGTAATTATCTCGAGTGAATAGAATTAAATGGGCAACACTTAAAATACTTTTCTTCCTTATAAACCAGTTCGTAAAGACTTCTTTATATTCTAATTGTTCCTTGTAACGATAATATCGCCCTCGGTAAATGGCTAAATGCTAATTGCGACGTTTCGAAACACAAAATTTTCACGAGCGCGTGTTAAAGAGCATAACATTTGGCAAGATGATACGAAACACACGAGTGACACTTGAAAAATAGTTGGCTGCTCTCATCACCTCGAATACCTGCATACAAAATACGGACAGTGTGGGCATATAAGACTAGTTGCAGTAGATCAGACTCGTCAAAACGCACACGAAGCTTTGTGTTAGTCATTCGTACGAGCGACGTTTTTAGAATCAGGACTTAACCAGAAAGGTTGATTATCCATCGACAATGAGGGAAGATATTATTGTAAGAGTATATTCTTCATACGAGGGGCAATAGCCTTTGCGATTCATTTAAAAACTTAAAATGACCCGTTATTCTTACCAGGGTAAACTATCTCAGTTGAGTCAGTACTGTGACAGTTCGTTTCTGATCTTTATAGGAGAACCTGGAGCAGTTTCAAAGCAATGATCCACTGCGAGGAACATTACGTGGAGCGGCTCAGGCGAAACGTCAACATCTTAACCGACAAATCTTTAAAAATTTACGACTAAGAGATGGCGCCGAGAAAATGCTGCAAGCCACCAATCAACAACCGTAAGATAATTTTGAAAACTTCTTGAAGTAAACTTGGGTTGTAGAACGTGCCAGCTTCATAATAAGTTTATGTTTTTCAGAGGCACTTGCAGTTTGAATAACAAGAAGGTTCAGGATACATTGCGATTGGAAATAAGTTTTTATGATTCTCGTCTGGAGGTTTTGTACAACGAGCTTGCTAACTTAAAGAGTGCTTTTGACATCTATCAAAGGTTAGTCTCATTTACATTAATTCCATGAAGCCAATATTCAAGGAAATAGTCAGTATAATTATTGTTACTTGGTTACCCAGTTGTAGGATCATTCATTCAAATAACAGTCTGCAATTAGAGGTTTACAAAGCAAGTTACACGATCTAAGAAAAAATATCTCTCATATTTCGTTAATCACGATCTATAAGAAAATCTTTCTTTCACTTTTTTAGCGCAAAAAGAACAGGCTTTCCAATGATCGCAATTTCCCTGAAGGATACAGTCGATATTGAATGGAGGGAAGTTATAGAGGTAACATATCCCCTTGAATAAAAAGCAGGTCAACTTTTGCTACAATATATCAGTGGTTATATGACTTATATCTTCAAATCTTAATGTGTCATATTTGGTATTTTTGAAGGATTTTATCGAGAGTCATTACCATGAGAACCCAGAACAGTTTCGAGACGAAATTGAAAGATTGGTTGAAATGCGACAGGTAAATAATCCATCAGATGTGCCCGAGAAGGCGGGAAGGGGAGGGATTTGAGAGGTGAATAAGGGATGGAATTGTGGACTGAAGCTCAAAGGGGGTGTGGTGGAGCAGATCACACAAAACCTTCAAACCTCTTACGGCTAAATTTTGAATCAATTCCAGGTGATGCAAACTCCTGAAAGGAACGAAAAAGGAGTGAAGATGTTGTACGAATATTACAACCAACTGACGTTACTTGAAAAAAGGCTGTTCAGTGGTCAATCATTTGCAGGCATACAGTTTGTCTGGTAAGTTGATGCTAGTTTTGCCATTATTGATACGACAGACGTCTAGAGTTAAACTCTAGATGCGATTGAAGACTGATTCACCATAGTTCACCAATTAAAAAAATTTTCGTTTCCAGGTTTGATTCTTTAACGGCTCACCAAACACCGAGCACATCGCTGGCCTATGAAAAGGTATTAAAACCATGTTCTTTGTATCACAAATACTTCTCCAGCATTAACGCAACTTTCTCCGATCTTGCAGGCCTGTGTTTTGTTCAACATCGGAGTATTATGGACCCAAATAGCAGCGAAAAAGGTGAGTTGTTGAATCACACAAAATTTGCACAAAACGAAAGGTCTCGAATTGATAGTTTTCGCATGTTTATACGTGATTTTCTGCTCGTGATTTCCAGGAGTTCACCACAGAGATGAAATCAGCCCAGGAAGCGATAATCGCGCTCCAAAAAGCAGTTGGTAAGCTTTGACGTTTTATCAAATCTTTTAGGAAAGGAAGATGTTTTAACCCACACGGCGATCGGACAAAATATGCAATTCCTAATTTCAAATTATATTTTAGGAATATTTTCATACCTTAAACAAAGTGTTAAAAGTAAACTAAGCAAAGATCTATCGCCCGAAGTTCTTGACGTATTGGTGGATATCTTTAAGGTACGAAGATGTACGATTTCAGGGTAGTTATTGAAGGTTATAAAGATTCATTTTTACGATGAGAAATCCTATATAATTGCTGCATTCTTTGTAAGCGAATTGATTCCTAAAACACTCGTATATCAGGATACGCGTGGTTGGGATAATGTCTTCCGGTTATTTGAGCGAAGCGGGAACTAATATATATCTTCACTATCTTTGCTGTAGGTGCAAGCACATGAATGTACTCTTAACTGGGACATGAGAGAGTCCGATAAGGAAGATGTTGAATGTTATAACATACTGGCAAGAGAAGCAGCCCAGGTAGGAGAATGTCATGACTATACGCTCTTTTCATTTACACGAAATACATGAAGTACCTAGGAGTGCTACGACTAAGAGACGTCGTGTTAAAGTACCCGCTTTTCCTTTTGAAAGCCTGTCTTTCACGAGGCAGAATTTTTCGCGCAGGGAGGAATCTCTGTCGGTGAGATTTTTTTTGAAAATTCATTGGAAAAATTCCTCTCCACGCGCGAACTAATTTCGCATAGTGAAGAACAGCAAGAGCTTTTTTATATCCACAAAGCGTCCAAAACAATTCATAATTAGTAGAACTAGGATCTTTAAAAAAATTCATTTTTTCTTCAAGCTTTCTGGAAGATACGAAGCTTTGAAAGATTCCATGACCGAGACGGCCAGCATTCCACCCTCCTGGTGCACTTTAGCAGAGGTAAAGAAACAGTCATTATATCATAAATGATAATAAGGAGCGTCATATGACTCTGAGGTATTGAAATGAGTATATAACATGATCCTGGCAGCAGGGTTGGTAGATAGCTGCATATTTGAGGCCAAACAATATCACACTAGTTCTTTGTTTCCTTTGTCTTTGCCTTTTGTTTTCTTTGTTTTCTTGATAGCACTAATGACAATTTGGCCTCAAATATTTGCATATCTACCAACTCTGCCTGGCAGTGATGTGGTCGTCCTGACAATAGCGTGTCCTTATTTGGTTTCATGAAGACTTATTCTCATCCTTCAAAATCATCCCACGCTTCGTTGAATCTCGGTTAACCGGGGTCACGTACACAGCTCCTTAAACAAGGCTCATACCTCGCCCCATACGACAATTTTTTTTATCTAACAAGTTCTTTTGCTTTCCAGGTGAAGTCTCTACATTTCAAAGCCATTGCTCATTATTACGCTGCATTAATCTTACTGCAGAATTACGGTAAGTCCAGAATAATCGTCGTAACTTGAAGTTTTAAACTCCAGTAGATCAACTCAGAATACATCATCGAGCCTGTGGCTAGTCCTGGTACACGGCTAAAAACTCATCAGGTTGTTGCATCAACATCGAACAATGTTGTGCTGCCCATATTGTTTAGAGTTGTTATCAACTTGGAACAATATTGTTACACCCGATTCAGTTCCAACAATATTGTTCCAAGTTGATAACAACTCTGAACAATGTGGGCAGCACAACATTGTTCGATGCTGTTCATATCAATGTTGCATCAACCTGATCGTTTTTAGGCGTGTACCCTTGCCGCCAGGCCAAACCCCGATCTAAAAATATGTTCTACTGATCTCTATAGATCCTGATTTCACGGACTGCGATCATGACGTGGCCGGATCAGAGAAAAGGTTGTCGACGTTGGTCGAGGTAAACAAGATCGCCTCGTGGTTAATGAACGAGGACTGTCGCACGGACAAAGCGAAAAGCCATCTGAAGAAAGCGATGGTCACGGAAAGCAAGGCAACGCAGATCGCAAAAAATGACAGATTCATTGCAAGGATCAAGAGCATTGATAAGGTAACATCACGTTGTTTTCTATAAAATGCTGGAAAGAGATCTTCCTTCGGAAGAAATAGAGGTTTCATGATTCTATCTTCTGTGTTGGTAGGTTCTGAACGGCTTCTCTAGTCAAGTGAAAAATAAACTGTCATCGATTGATATCTCTGGTGATCTGGAATTTATCGAATCTGCTGATGATATCAACTGTAAGTAGTATCTCAAATATTCCTATATTGTAGGTCTTTCGGTATACCACTATTAGGATTTCGTGCGTCACAGACCGTGATACGAAACTGGACATAAATGCTTCTGGAGGAATCTGGACTACCTATAGGATTTTATATCAACAAAAAAACAGATCCACTCAGCCCGTCTTTGAATCCCTACAGGGCTGCGCACACCCTCACACCAGTCTCAAACCAAACCTTTGTCAATCGTTTACAGGCTCAACAGACAAAAAAGACAGAGCCATTCAACCGGAGTTTAAGAAGTATGAAGTCGAAGATATCCTGGCTGCATTGGTAAGTTTTGAGTTGTACGGTATAATATAATTATCAACACTTTCACGAGATATCATCGCCCATGAATCAGACGCATAGGAAATAACTAAGGCACGGCAAGATTTATCAGAACATAACAAATCGTGTCAACTGGGTTCATGCAATCATTTTTCCTTTCAAAATGGCCACTGAAGAAGTCTCCTAATATTTTCTCTCATATCTTGATCTTTTTACTCCAGGGTCCGCTGAATGTATTCAATGCTAAAATATCGTATCATCCGCCCAAGACGGTCACGTTGAACAGAGACGAACACGGGGGGTTGGGGATATCAATACGCGGGAACGCACCAACAGTCATCTGCAAGATTAGTCCCCGAAGACAGGTAGGAGATAAACACTCCAGTTTTATATATCTTCTTTGTATGTAGTTTTGAATCAAGAGAGACGACTGACCGTTCTGATTTCTTTTTTAACCTCTTCCAAATGATGGCTTGTTTTCCAGCAGCACTACTTTGTGTTGATAAAGTTAAATTAGAATCAATTAGAGTCTTGGTAATTGCCTTATTAGAACAATTACTTTTCATTTTAGCATGTTGGAGTACAAGTTGGTGATATCATAGCAGCCATTGGTGATCACAATACCAAGTGTTTAAACCATAAGACTGTGTCAAAACTTATACAGGAATCAGGACAGAGTGTAACACTGACTTTGCTGTCAGCAGTCTCACCAAGTGTTGTACTTCATGCATTATAGTACAAGTTGGAAATCAACCTGGGTTCTTCGAAGTGCCCCTTTAAGTGTATATATGAGAGTTGAGAGTGCTATGGCCTGTGGACTAGATAGATCAGAGTTCTTTTTTCTACGGTTATCAGAAATATAGAAGTATAAATATTCCTTAAATCTGTTATGTTTTAACTAAAGGAATAAAACACTGTGGTGATGAATTTTTCTATTAGATTACTCATTCCTATATATTTATTACAAGGACATTTGAAAGTAGTAAAATTTTGTAAATATAGAGTTAATAAAAGAGTATATTTATTACAACATTTGCTTGAATTTAGTAGTCATACTTAAGGGCAATCCTGTTACAGTGTAACCAAAAATATTTTAGAGATAAAAAATAGCTAACTTTTTTTAATTGAGGCATTCATGTTGTTTTTGTCAAAAGAATGATTTATGTCCAGATTTGCATTTGAATAATGATTAGTGCTTTCTGTATGAAGATTCATGGATCTTTGCTTTTAGCAGATGATATCTACACACTTCCGTTATTGAAAGACAATGCTATCCATCACTCATGTTTGACCCGACTCAAAGCAACATAATGCTTACTCTTATCGTCCAGATTGACAAACCCAATTGGTCCTATCTCGCAGTCCGCACATATCAGATACTTGGTTGTATCAACAGTTTTTGAAAAACCAACATTTTCAAAAGTATACATGTCTATCACTAACCAGAATTGAGAAAGCGTTTCTCTTTCCGACTCCTCGGGGACTTCGTGCTTCGCAGATGTGAATGGTAGAACATACTAAAGAATGGTGAATAGTGTAAGAATAACTTGACTGACAAAAAAAATATCACTTGAATAGAATAGAAGCATGTGCCCAGGTTTCATGGACTGGTGCATGCCGAGTTTTGTCATTGGGCGATATCACCCTCTCCCTGCTAAAAAGGGGCATGCAAGGAGGGGTATGCAAGGGGGGGGGAGCATGCAAGAGGGGGCATACAAGGGGGGGGAGAAAGCAATACCTTCCTCTGTTGAAGTATGATCTCTTTATCACTCTCAGCTTTACACATTCAGCATACTTACGTCTTTCTCAAGGTATTCTCCCTTGTTTGGTTGCAAAACCTTGGAATCACAATGAGGGCAGAGCAACCATTTCAGGTTTTTACAATTTTCTGACACAAGCCCTGTTTTATCGACGCATTTCAGCTTCTCCTCGTTCGCCGTTTCAACCACTTCTTCCTCAGAATTAACACTGGCCATGGGTGAAGTTTAACTCAAAAGATTGCAAACGTTTCGTCTTCAACAAGCACATTTATAATCAAGTGACCCCCACGTTCTGAATTTTAGAAGGAGAAAATCCCATACGCTAAAAGTAGCTTCGAAAATCAAAACGCCCCCCAGACCCCCAGCGGAAATTTTTTGTGAGGATAAAAATGGGAGTAAGAAGGAGGATCTAATGACAGAAGAAAAAAAGGAAAATGTATACAATGCATGGAAGTTATAGAATAAAATAATAATTCAATTTTTAAGCTTATAATGCGACAGCTTAAAACAACGCCCTCGGATTAGAGATCGGAAGGATAGTCGGATAAGGTTCGGAATATGACGAAAAAACGTGATTGACTTATTCTGAACATTTTTCACTCTTTCAGAGGTCAAAAGCCTCTAAGAAAATTGCACTCAGTAAAAAAATTAGAATCTACACGACTAAAATCATAAAGAAAATCTGCCAATCGCCCGAAATGCCGGTATCATAATACTACAGTGACTTCGGAAACGACGAGTCATGACGAAGGATGAACAATGACGTCATTATAGAATTAAATGTACGTATATGATTTTGGGAAGAATGTAAACAAACATTACATAGCGTTTTCTGTCTTTTTTGCCAAGAACGAAATAGAAATTACGTTATCTTTGCATGGAATATCAGTACTAAAGCGGCTTCAGAGGTTGAGTCAGTAAGTGTACATTGTAATCAATGGAGGAACAAGAATACGTTGAAACTCAAAGTCGGTGGGTAATTATGGCCATATAAATTCTTCAAGCGTTAAAAGTTAAAACCAAACCAACCAGCGAAAATTGAAAAATGAACTCCTTGCTCTCTCCAAACTATAGAATTACATCAAAGCTTCCAAGGTTTATATATGACTGTTCTTACTTCTTATTTTCAACTTGATAGGCGAGCACTGTCACATATATCTTGGTCAATGATTAAATATGTTCACTTTTATAATTGGTTGCATGAAAAAAAATGTTGATTTGACATATTATCACCCCCTTACACAAGTTATCCAGGTGACACAAGTCTGTCTTTTTTTCTTCAGTTGGTATTCCAATTGGTTTCGATGGCGTCCAACATCCGATGAACTGCTCAGGGACGCTGAAGCTAGAATTTTGAAAAGTATGTAGTGTCTCTTATCAAGGGCAAGTTGAAGACTATATCCTCAACCTTTTTATAACATACTGTTTGCATTATTCTAGAATTGGATGTGCCTTACAAGGCACGTTATGTGACAACCTCACAGCAAGAAAAGATATGGACAGTGTCATTCAATCCAGAAGGAACGAAGACCCCAATTTTAATGATACATGGTTTTGGTGCTGGTCTTGGTATGTGGGCGTTGAATATAAAAGAGCTGTCAAAAGACCGCCCCGTACACACCTTTGACGTGCTGGGTTTTGCTCGGAGCTCTCGGCCGTCCTTTGATGGCGAGGCAGAGGCGGTTGAAGAGACATTTATCAACTCAATTGAAGACACAAGAAAAGAATTAGGCCTGGAGAAGTTTATTTTATTTGGGCATAGTTTTGGTGGATATTTAGCTTACGCTTATACCATTAAACATCAAGAGCAAGTGAAATCACTGATCCTTGCTGATCCCTGGGGGTTTTCTGAAAAACCAGAGGATTGGGATAGCAATGTTTCCATTCCAATATGGATCAAACTTGTGGTGAACATAATGCAAAAATTTAATCCATTTTCTGGGATTAGGGTTGCTGGACCATTAGGTATTACATAATTCATTGCCAACTAAAGTGTCCATATCACTAAAACATCTCTAGTGTTATATGAGCTACGTTAAGGATTAAAAACATGGTAATGAAAACATTATCTTACTATATAGGTCCATCGCTTGTGCGAAGATTTCGTCCGGACTTGGAGAGAAAGTTCTCAAGTCTTTTCGACGATGATACAATACTTAATTATATCTATCACTGCAATGCTCAAAAGCCAAGGTTAGTGAATGCATTTATAAGTTATGTTTAGTGTAAGTTTGTTAGTAAGTATACTGTTAACTATAACTTTCACGTTGTGACTCTTCTCTACTTTTAATTTTAGTGGTGAGGTTGCATTCAAGAAATTAGTTCTACCTTATGGTTGGGCCAAGTTCCCCATGATTCACCGAATGAAATACATCAATGCGCAAATTAAAGTTACCATGTTGTTTGGTTCACATTCCTGGATAGACAACTCAATGACTGAACAAATGGTGAAAGAACATCCAAATCAATTCAGTACTTACACAATTAGTGGTGCTGGTCACCATGTATATGCTGACCAACCTCAGTATTTTAACAGTGTGATGACAGGAATTTGTGAGTCCTTTGACAAGCAATTCGATTTAACAATAGAAGGGGAATAGGTCGTTGAATACATGTAAATAGTGTAGATAGAATATTACAATTCCATTTTATAATAAGATATATATTTGAATCAAGGACACAATATATGGAAGTCAAAATTGCTCAGATCTTATATATTCTTATAACGAAATTAATCAATTGCCAGTAATTCAATGTATATACTTTGACCAATCGAATTTGTTGTAAACTAGGCTAGATTGTAAATAAAGAATTGCTTCGTAAAAGAATGTCAGATATCACAAAAACTCTTTCTCTATACTCGTTCAAAAGAGAAGCTTTCCTAAAGTTGTCTTTATTGCATTATTAATAAGAACTAGTGTGACGCAAATGCGGTCAATTGTGCGTCATTTACTGGGTCACGAGATGTTTACATATTTTTAATGCTTTAGCTTAACGTTTTCTTCAAGGAATTTCAGGAAACAAGGAACTCGATATCTCAGAAATTCTGAGAAAAAAAACGTAATTCAATTTTGAAAGCTTTAAAAAAATTAGCGCATCGTTTAATGTAACTTTATCATTTCGTAAATGCCCTTGAGTTTGATGCAACGCTTACAGAATTTCTCGGAAATAGAACGTTCGCAAATTCTCGGAATATTTGTTTGGGTAGAGGGAAATTTTTTATTCCATGTCATGGAAGCACTGTTTTGACTGGGAGTGACGTATCAAATATGTAAACATTGTCTCAAAATTTTACAAATACGCACGTATATTAAATTACCTAAGGCGAAAATCAGGTCGTTTTTTGTTTTAAATATGTACAAAATACGTGAAAATATCACAAGATGACCGTAGTTTTGTCTTGGATTTAATATCCTGCGTAGCAACATGAGTGAAATCGTTGAAAATCCCGCAGAAAATAGGTGAGGCAGTTTAACAGTGCGTTTTGGAATGTTTACAATTTATTGTTAATCCTAATGATTTTACAGCTCAACACGTGAGAACGTTGCCGATTTTGTCACTCTTTATAAAGTGTTTCAAACTCCTATTTTTTTTTGTAGTTGGCTTTGGAACTGGCTAAGATGGTGCCCAACATCAGAATCGCTTCTCGAAGACGCCGAATCGAGAATATTGAAAAGTGAGTTGTGGTTTTAGATTTCAATCAACTATTTACTTGCCGGTGTTTTCTCTTTTTTTTTCGGCATATTATTCAAGAGTTTTTCATCTATTTCCTGTATTAAACTCTGGATATTTTTTCAAAAAAAAATTGACAAGAAAAATGGAAATCTTGGCTTGAAAATTAGCAATATTCCTATTCACATATGGATGATTTAATATCACGTGCAGTATTTTATTAAATCCATTTTGACCCGATTAGACCTTGTTGTGACCTTGAACGTCATAACATGCAAATATTTAACTTTAATTTATCATGGCATGAAAGACTAAATAAAGAGCATTTCATGTATTGTTTTTAAGTTAACCAGACCCGTACCGAAAATTTTCCTCAGGAAGGTGCGGCCATGTATAGGGGTGTCTATAGGGGTGTGTCTATAGTCATTTGCATGACATTTTGCACTGAATGAAAATCTACCTTTAAACAGAAGCTCATGTCAAAATATCTAATTTATATCTCTCAACTTGTAAATCTTAAAATAGCTTTAAACATCGACCAGAAAGGACGGTACATCACAACCACCCAACAAGATCATATCTGGACAGTGGTCTTCAATCCAGATGGTAAAAAAACCCCGGTGTTGATGATACATGGACTTGGAGCAGGCCTTGGTATTTGGGTCATGAACATTAAAGAACTTGCAGAGGACAGGCCGGTATATGCAATTGATCTCTTAGGATTTGGCCGTAGCTCAAGGCCAAATTTTGATGAGGATCCCCAGATTGTTGAGGAAACATTTATCAACTCAATTGAAGATACTGTAAAGGAGTTAGGTCTTGAGACTTGTATTTTGATCGGACACAGTTTTGGTGGATATCTAGCATATGCCTACGCAATTAAACATCCGGAACATGTAAAATCATTGATCCTGGTTGATCCTTGGGGATTCACAGAGAAGACGCAAGATTGGGAAAGCAACGAGTCTGTACCAAAGTGGATTAAAATTATGGCAGCCATGTTAAGTCCTTTCAATCCCTATGCTGCTTTAAGATTTGTTGGACCACTTGGTAATTATGACTGAATAAAACAGCAATATCCTGGTTACATACATCAAGTTAGTTTTAGTACTTAGGTAAAATCAACAGTTAACCACAAACCTTTCCTCCTGGATTTCAAATGTGGTTCCAATGAAGCATCATCTTTTCTCAGTAAAGATTCAATCGGTCCAATCACCCAGTCACCCTTGTCCATGATCCACAATTCTTATACCTTGCTTTAGGCCCTGGCAACTCTAATCCCAAGAGAAACTACCTTTAGTCTTTCAAAGAGTTTACCATACATCTGTTCAATGTTCATAATTCAATCAATTCACTGTTGCAGGTCCAGTCTTCCTACGGACGACGCGACCAGATTTGGAGAAAAAATTCACAAGCGTCTTCAATGATGACACAATACCAAACTATTTGTACCATTGCAACGCACAGACACCCAGGTAACGTCTGTTTAGTTTTCGTTCTGTTTACAAAGCAAGGCGATTTCATTTTCAATTATTTTCTTGCAGTGGCGAGACCGGTTTTAAAAGGTTGACCATTCCATATCTTTGGCCGAGGTTTCCAATGATGCGTCGCATTGAAGACTTGAGTCCTGAAGTCAAGGTTTTCATGTTATTTGGCTCCAGGACTCGGATTGATGACAGCATAACGAATGATATTAAACACAGAAGACCGGAACAGTTTGAAATATGCAGCATCAAAAATGCAGGCCATCACGCCTTTGCTGACAGACCCGATGCATTCAACAAAATGGTCAAAGATATTTGTCAAAAAGTTGAGACGACTTCGACTTAACTTAACTGGCCGCGGGAAGCATGCATTGTTATGTTAATCCGCTTGTCAGTTCTTAGAATTGTAAATAGCTTTCGAGAAAAACAGGAAGTTGATTGAGGTCATGGTAGAGATACGGTAAAATTTATAGGGGTACGCAATTTTTCAATTCACGAGACTAAATTTCTACGGAAAATCTCGCGTTTTAATTTACGGTGAAATCAGGCTCAGCACTGGGCAAAGCCCACAGCCACAGGACTTGTTTTAGTTAGTAAAATTATGGGAGCATATAAATCTGGTTGAACATACAATGTAAATAATATATGTGCAAATTATTTAATCAATAAATATAAACATATATATATATATAATCCCATGCATATAAGGTGTTCATTTTATGATCTTCAAAACTATCACTGTCACTGCATGATGACCAGGAATGCGATGAAGGGTCAGTGCGAGTGCTTACGATAGCTTAACTTAACGTACGTTGTCTTGTGAATTTCATACATACCCTAAAATGACCGAATTCACGGCGATGTACTCAGTATGTTTAGTGCTAAAAAGTCTACATGCCAATTAAATTTCAAAATAGCTACCTAACAATATTGGAGATTTTCTTATGCCAATATTATAACCATGCAAACTCGCTAGCCAGGCTTTTTTACCTACCCTGCACGGTTGTATTATTATAACTCAACCATCAATATACCTGACAGTTATGCAATTTCATATCTTTACAGCCCTAAGTTCTCAAGCATTATTATACCTGACTATATGAACATCCTCGTGAAGTTTCATTATTATCTATCATCATTCGTTATCTTCGCGGCGTTGGCGCAATATGCCTTGAACCAAAATATCCAGTCACTTGCTCAGGAACCTCAGCGAGGACACATTTCGCCAGGGCGGCAGGTGAAGACTATATATATAGGTATACGAAAGGATTAAGTACTGATATTGTTCAAAGAAGCGGCGAATAGACATCGAATCCGATGCTAATGGAATTAAGCGAAGTAGCCAACTTACATTTTGAAAATCTCTAAATGGTACAAACTGTACGATATCCCTTTGCGCTCTCTTACCACTCGGAGAAGTTAGTCTAAAGAATTAAGAATAGGTTTATGGAACATTGATTCAATTGGGGAAACATGAGTGCATCACGCATAGAAAAATCTAGAGCAGTTTTCAAAACGTTTTTCTGAATCTGACTTGATTAGCATTTGGAAGTGTAAAAATATTTTAAGACCAGAAACTGGGAAATGCCACAAAAAATAACACCACCGAAATCGTACGTGACCGAAACCATTTGCTTCAATAAATTCTAAATATCATCGCATACATTACATACAGATTGTCATCAGCATCAAGTTCTTCCATCATATCAAAATCAGCTGCTCCAACTCCAACAATGATGATGGACATCGGCAGCGAAGAGGCCTCTACGATGGCTGTTTTTGTCTGGTCCATGTCAGAAATCACACCATCAGTGAGAATGAGTAGAATATGGTAACTCTGTGAGCATGTAGGAGAGAATATGGTTTTGAGAAATATAGACGTTCTTTGGTTAAAATATTTATTATTTTACGAGCTTTCGAGTGTCAGTCTACAGTCTTCAAAAGGTGGAATCTACAGTCTCTCAGTCTTCAACGGCATTTTCCCCACCCGTTGTTCAAAGTCAGTAGACAGACAGTCGAAAGCTCGTAAAATAATATTAACTATTTTACCCAGAGAACTTTTAAATATTTTAACGTCTATATTTCTCGATATGATCACGCATCAAATATATTTAAAAGAACATGCATGATTTATTATAATATTAGAGGAGCGAGTTATAGAATATAGTGAGATACAGCATTAGGATTTGAGAAACTTCAAACCACCAGCCGGTGCATTACTTTTGAGTGGAAAGTTTTATAACTCAAACTTGGAATGACCTGTTCAGAAATAGGACGTACTTCAGCGGCGACGCTTTGTCTTGCAAACGACGCCACGTGATTAATTACTGGCGAGACATTGGTTGGACCATACAGAGTGACACTGGGTAGACAGGACTGGTACGCTTGGACGATTCCCTGAATACCTAGTGAATACAAACGTGTTTGTACAGTGTTCAGTATTTAATTACCACCGAACTGCGGTAATTAAACTACTTCGTCTAAACTACCTATGTATGGTTAGAGCCTAAACACTATCTGAAATGGATATTTCTCAAACGTGTTAACGTGATGGTCCAGTGAGAGTAGTATCTACCGTTCAGCTGTTATGGTTTGGGTCTGAACTTAGTGAACTATCGGGAAACAATATCTCAGTCATGGAGGTCTAGTGTGGGTAGTATTGTAAGATCATAGGGGACACTTTCTATGGTTTCTTACCAGCGCAATAAGGATTTTGAGGATTGAAGTTCAATGCAAACATATGAGATACCTGAAAATGAGCACATTCATTTCAATTATAGCTCTTATTCCAGTCTATGGCATTTATTAAACTTTTCAAACATACATATATTGAATCTCTGGCATTCCAGGAATCGGATATCTGAGCAATTCATATACCTGGTTATTTGGAGGAAGCTTTGCTCCAAATCCATAGCAAGGATAAAGATTATCCCTACAAGAAGAAAAGGAAATTCAGATTACTAAACTAAATTGAACCAAGCATAACATTTCTGTTGGAAGATCCAGTAGCAGTCAGTGGTTCAGTTGAGATTGACCTAAAATATTCGCCCAATGTCGGTCATCCACATTGAATTTTTCTTTCTCTAACGTTTACCTGTCATAGTCCTGTATAATTTGTCCAACAGCCGTTAGAGCCTTCAAGTACTCGTTTGGTTGATATGGGTTGATATAATGTAATGAAGTATTCTGTGCAGGGTGACCATTTGAGGCAGTGAAGTCGATTGCAACCTAATTTTTTGATAAAAAATGCCTGGTAAATTCAAGAAAGGCTAAGATTGGAAAGTACAGACTTTTGATATTCCAACAGACTTACAGAAAAATTAAGTTGTAGTCCTGCAGAGATGAAGTCCAAAAAGGAATAACGTTTTAAAATCTATAGCAACAAGAGAAATTTAGAAAGATAATCTTGGATTTTGATATAAAGTATCTATATTCCTCATATAACTTATTATTTTTATCATATAAATGACTCTCAGAATAAAATATAAATTAATGACAATGACAATTGGGCATCGGTTGTGATGGTATATGAAGATATTGACACATTTTTTCTTGGAAAGGGATGAGGTTTCCAGCTCTTTTTCATACCTCACATCTTGACAAGTATATTATTCCAGAATTATTGTAGTTTTTCTTCTTAGACATTTTTTTTGGATTTATGCAGGGCCATGAAATCTGTAAGGTTTAATACAGCAATGGTCAGAAGTGAATTGACTCACATGAAGCCAGGAAAATATGATTTAAATATATTGTCTAATAGTAATGGTGATTCACCTCGTGCGGTTTTCCAGCCTTTTCCATTTCATTAAGATTTGTTGTAAACTGCCCAATAAAGTCATTGCTACCATCGCTGTCCCAATCGTAACAGTCGACCTTCGATTTGCACAAATTAGCAATTAAGAGCAATTACAATCAAGAGCAATTTACACAAATTAGCATGGTCATCATAACAACTTTACTTTGAACATAAACAATTAAAACAAGTTACCTTAATTGTTCTGTTTAGATCAGCATTACAAAGGTTGACAACACTCAACTGAAAAGGTTTCCATGACGGGTTTAGCGTATTCTTAACGACCTGAATAGTTTTAAAATGATGAGATGAAAATTGTATTGGTGAATTTGTTTGAAGCCTATTCTGTTGTAGGGTACCTCTGTTCTGTGGAACACAACAAAACTGCCATCCTCCTTTGCTTTTGAAAACTCCAAATAAGGATCAGATTTACCAAAGAAGTCCTTGAAAATAAATTAATACTAACTTATACACAACATATTGCAGTTTATATGTAGGTCCAAGTGGATGTAATCACCTTTTTATCTAGCTTGGTTGCTCTAAATGTGAAATCAACCAAATCATGATTTGTAGCCAACTCTTCAGCTGCAATCTGCAATGTGTAAATATTTCCAATACATTAACACTCTCTTAGATTATGCATGACTCAAAACTTCATACTTTATCTTTAGAAATGATTGAATGGTAGATAACAAGATATGGCTGACCGTTATTGTTCCTGCATTGGTGGTTTTAGGCAATTGTAAAGGTTTTGAATACTTCTGTGAACTGACAAGCTATACAATAGAAGAAGCTAGACCACTTTAGGAATTAGAAAATAGTTCTAGGGCTTATTTTCCAATTTTTCACAAGATATACCATTTTTTTTATCATACATATTACTGATTAAATGATACATTCAATTATTATTTTAACAATGTACCTGTCCAAGGGTAGTTTCAAGATTTCCTAAGAAGTCAGCTTTACTTAAGTTTTCTTTGGGATCATCAATATCATACACAGAAAACTTTAACTTCTGCAGTTCTTCAAAATGATAGTCTACTATAATGGACTTTGCAAAATTTGGGTTCAAGTTGTCTTTAATCTGTTCTGTCCTCCCAACCTAAACATTGCAATAAAACAAATAATTTCATGCCTGAGCTGCTCTTGTGTTAGACTGGGAAAGAAAAACTAGAGTTGGTTATATAACTGACTAGTCATTAGCACAAATTTGATAGATCAATGAGGGGAACAGGGGAGTAATTAGCAGAGACACTCTTCAAATGACAAGTATGATTGTCTGCTATTAGACAGAGTAAATAATAGTTGTGGATGTACTTTAGTTATTTGTAGTTGCATGGTGTTTGTGGAAAGAATATTTGAATGAAAACGCAAACGAAAATATATATAGACATTTAACCAATGTAAAGCACTTTCAGAAGATCTTCTGACAAGAATTTCTAAAACAACAGCCAGGAATTTCTAAAACAACAGCCTACCCAGCAATTTGATATATTGGCTTCGCGGAGTTCACGCTGTTTCGCATATGATGATTATTTTAAAAATGCTATCTCCTAACTAAAAAACGTTGAGATAAGTCAAATAATAAAGGCATTCCTAGTTTGTCATTTAACTACATCCTGTATCCTGTTTAACGCGATTATTTGTTTGAGATTATTAGCACTATATTAAATTAATTGAATCAAGATATGAAAATACATATTTTGAATTTTATACCTCAATCCATTGATTTCCTGAGAAGAGGTGAACCACGGCCAAAGGATCAGACTTTGAGAAAGTATCCTTGTTGATCAGGCCTTTGCAAGAAATAGAAAGTTGAACTTGGGTCACCAAATTTGTCGGATTAGTTGGAGCAGAAGGAGCAGCCGTTGCATAAGGTTGAGCCATTTTGCAAATTTTAATAAATATTTGTTATACGAATGTCAAATTGCCACATAAAAAAAAACACCTCAAATGTCACATCTGATGCTTGTCAAAAATAAAATACCAGAGCCCGAATTAGTGTCTTATCCTATATGTCAGGAATCATGCATTGTCTCAAGTAATAATTGCAAAAACTTTAGGAAACGCCAACTCAATTTCACTTTCAATTTCAATTTCAAGACCCAAGAATTTGAAACATTTTAAATTTCTTTTCAATAGATCTAAAGCATTTTAAATCAGAAATCAGTAGAAAGAACTCAAAGAAGTTAATGGAAATCTCAGGAGTTGTTATGGTTGTGCCTGGAAATTCAAGATATTTTTAAAATAAAAATTAGGCGTCATAGGAATACTTCATGTCGTCTGTTGTATAACGTTTTCAATCATCCAACATGGCGCAGTTTTTAGGGAGGGTGATTGGCACAAAAATGGATAAAACAGCCAAGGTTTTAGTGACAAAATTAAAGCTTCATCCTTATATTATGAAGGTAACATACAGTTTTTGCATTAAGACCTAAATATCTACCACATGTCATTTTTACTTGCTTGTGAAAGGTTTGAGAGCCTTCTCCTTTTCAATCACACAACTCTGAAAGGTATAAATCATTCCAACTCCATTGCCTAATATTTTTAGACCCACTTCATAGAACACTCTCTGACAAATTCTTTAAGTTGACCATGTAGATATTTCTTTAAATTCCAAAACTTCCATTATGTTCGAAGTTCGATATCTCAACAGTTTCTTTGTCATCTATTTTGTTCCTAGTATTATAACCACAGAAAAGTTTACTTTGCACATGATGAGAACAATGAATGTACCACAGGCGATAAGGTTTTGATTGAAGTGTGTCCAAAGATGAGTAAAATGAAGCGTTTTCGGATCTCACAAATCTTGGAAAAAGGACCAAAAGTTGTGGACCCAGAAAGTGGCAAGGTGCACTTACAGGACAATCGAGAAGACTACCGAACAACCAGATAGCAAATTAATTGTAATTTTTATACTAAAGTTTGAACCTTGAATGTATTAAAGAATATCAAATATTTATTGTTGGACTTTAGAATGGTCTTAACCAAATCGACTTTTGTCTAAAAATGTATTTTTTACAGTTAGTTATAGATGAAGATATGAATTTTCAGTGTGAAATAGAATTTCCTAATTATTTCTATTAGAACGCTCACTGACCTGCATTACGTTTCTGGACTGTGACTGATTTTGTTGTTTTTTTTAAAAATATTTCCCGCCTCCTCTCAAAGTTTCAATCAAAGATGGCGGACAACAAAAAATGAGAAAAGACTGAAAAAAAGTTTAAAACTATCAAAAAACAAATACACTGCTGAGACTAACGCTCAGAAAACAATTTTCTAGTTTTATATGTGGATTAAAAACTACTTTCACACGGTGGAAATCACTGTTGAGAATCCTTTTCGTGCGTTTTGTCTTTAAATGGATTGGGTCCACTGCAATACGTGTTTTGTACAACCTGGAAGCAGCAGTAAAAAGTTCTTTTTAACAAGCTGCGGTCATGTATTTTGTCAAGAATGCATACAAGGTACTTCCTATATTGTTTGCAAAAAAATGGTCCGAAACGGTGATAGCTTTTAACAGCATAATGCCTCGCTTGAGGTTGGATTATAGGAAATGTCTTTTTTCAAATGATTTTCTGATTATTTTAGCAAGCACAGCCCAAAAATGTGTTGTGTGTAAGTCATCATGTAGTGTTATCCCTCTGACATCAAATGTAAGTCTTTGGTAATAAAAAAGTCGATGTTCTTGTATGAATTTACTATTCTACGTTTCTTGGAACCTGTTGGATAAAATGCTACATTTAAAACAATACTTTCAATATAGCTTAAACCAGACGTAGAGATATTTTTCATGGATCCAGCCGATTTGCTGAAGAAACAGCTTAAGCCATATTTCCAAGTATGTCTTTAATTAAATGAATAAAACCTTAATTTTAACTTATCAGTTTTCTAAAATTTGTTTCAATTTTTTTGCTCAACTCATTTATTAGGTCCTGGACTTTCAAAAATCACACCGAAAACGTCTTGCCGCTCATCATCAAAAGGTCAATGGTTTGCGCAAAAAAAACGCCCAGTTTCGTTTTATATACAATAAGGATATTAAAAAATGGTCTTCTCGTTTAGATGACTAACAATCCTGGTGATCCCAGCCAAAGTAACCGGCGATGTCAGGATTTAGAGAGGCAAGCAACTAAGCATCCATGAAAGTCGGGATAAAATTGACGCATTGTTGTATCCAGGCTGATTTAACGCCATGTTTGATGAAATTTACTCAATTACTATAACCATAAAAGTGAACGTGTTTACAGGGAAATGCGAAAACTCCTGGAAGAAAATAACATGATGAAAAAAATGCTTGGTGTGACGGTTTGTACAAGATTATTATTTAGATTGAACTAACCAAGATAATTTCTTTTCCTCGTCTTCACTATTTTCTGCGTTAGATTCAGCTATTAACCCGAAATCCTTGTGTTTGTTTTCATCCTAGAACGGTGATCCAAAGAACAGAGGAAGTTTGTCAAGGTATTGAAGCCTATGAAAGTAAAGGAGTTGAATTCAAAACATGCACCATAGGCGCAAGGTCCTAAAAATTTTAGGGGTAGACAGACGAATGATTTCCGGAAAAATTACCCGACTCAGAGTACAAATTTTAGTACAAATTTTTGTTAGATTCAAATATTTTTGGTGGGGTAGCTTCCCCCATGCAACATGCTATTGATTTACAATGTGCTGTGTTGTTCTCTAGGGCAGGGTCCGTAGGGACACCCCACAGTATAAGGGGAGTATCACCTGGACAAAACCCACTTCGACAAAATCAACGAGGTAAAACGAGCTAATTGTACCGTATTTCGGGGTTCCTGCACGACATATTTCGTAAATCGTGTGTATTCCCCTTTCAAAGGTCATTATAACTCCTCCACTCCTCACGGACCGCTGTCTCCATACTCCAGATCAGCCCCAGTCACGTAAGTCATTTGACAGTTTTCATAAAAATTACAAGTCGTTGACATGTTATCAAAACGTACAAAATGACGTAGTTCCTAAAGAGAGGTACACACCATCCTTTTATCTATGAATCCAGGTTTTCTAATAAACTATACGTTCTTTTAACAAACGTTTTGCAGACCGCAAATGATGAACGCAATGAAAGGGTCGCAACGTGATGTAAGTAAAAACGTCCCAGTTGAGACAACCACTCTGACCAACCCATGTACTCATGTCACCAATTCCAGTAAATCAGGGTAGAGTAAGATGAATATTGTAGCAGCATCGATTCACTCCTTCTGTTTCATCCGAAGACACCCAAGACGCCAGCTGGTCCCATTCGATTAACAGTACGCACTCCTCCATCAAACGGAATGATAGGACGAATAGGTAAGAACAACCCACTAATTACCATTAATTCACCTTCTAATTACCATTCATTTACCCTCTAATTACCATTCATTTACCCTCTAATCACCATTCATTCACCCTCTAATCACCATTCGTTCACCCTCTAATCACCATTCATTCATCCTCTTATTACCATTCATTCACTCTCTAATTTTTTTTTTCACTCTCTAATTACCATTCATTCACCCTCTAATTACCATTCATTCACCCTCTAATTACCATCCTAACAATTCATTGCTACTTCTGATAAGGCACGCCACCTTCGGGACGTCAAAGAAGTACCCCAGGAATTGTAGCGAATCTTTTGAGGTAACTTGATGTCATGCATGTGTTGTGGTAACTATATTCTAAAACTACTCTATCCCGACGGAAAATTCTTTATCTTCGAAGGGCTGGAAACACGCCTGGGGCCGGACACGAATCGTCTAAAACACCTACCGCAATGAGAACACCGTCACGAGAGTCAAACAACTCACAAACGAGGTACGTCTTGCTCAGAAAACTCGCTTAGTCAACACTTTATTAAATGTTTTATCGATGAAATGACAGGTGTAATAGTGTCGTTCCTTCTTAAGCATGTTGTCCGAAAGAGTTTCACCAAACCGTGCACTTTAGAGCAGCACTTCTCCAACAAGGAATGACACTAATATCTGGACTACCACAGGCAGAACAATACTTACATGAAGTCAGATTGATGTTACTTCACTATATTGTATCTTTATATATAGTCACTCAAGTAATCTTTACAGTCAACAGATGGCTTGGTCAAGTAGCCAGCATGCGTCTCAAAACACCACCCAACAAGGTATGTATAAACTTCACCTGTTTAGCGATTCCTTTCATTTATCGTCCTTTCAAATGCTCAAGTTTCTTTCTTTTACAGTGAGAAAACCTGGAGGTACTCCTGTAGATCACAGTCGAAGACAAATTCACGTAAGCTTTCATTAAAAGGGCTACAATTTGCGACCAACCAGTTTCCTAAATCTCACATTTCTACCATTTTCTTTTACCAGTTACATCACCAATCACGCTCAACTGGTCACCAGTAAAAACACAAAGGACGAAACAGAATGCAGTTAAATGAAACACTCTCTTTCTGTTGTAAAGATTAATTTGGACGGAATCGCAAGATAGTTTTGTTTGAAAAAACAGCCAGTATCACATATAAACAGTCCTAATTAATCAAAATATGTTATTTAATTAATTCGACACTTTCTGTAAAATGACTAGCTTTGAATGCTACCCAGCTAGCGTCAAGTAAAAGCAATTTTCATTCAATATGTTTTTTCAGTTCCCTCAATTATAAATATATCGTTAAAATCTCTATCTACGAATTCCTAAATTGATTTATTTACCTATTTTTTGCGTTGCTCAGACGGCGAGCTTCAAAAAAGTTCGACGTCAGAAACGGGCCTTATTCAAGTCACCTAATGTCTATTTTAAGACGGAATCTTTACACACAATAGATTTCAATACTTCAAATTTCCTCTTTTGATTAATGTGAATGAGCGAATTAGCCACGAATGTTCTGCCTCTAAGTGCATCATCCGAACCGCACCCACTGAGTTCAATGACCGTACCGGACTTATTCACTCATTCTCATCTATCAAGAGTATAAAATCAAGGCAAAATTGAGTGAACTTGTCTTCACGTGACATCTCTCTATAATATGTGCTTCGCACATAAATTCGTAAATTCAGCTTGCATAAAAGGCAATGTAAATTCTGCTTTCATTTTTAACAGTTATACTGCTCAATCAGTGAATATAAATTGTACCTAATTAGTAATTAGAATGTATGCATTTCTGTTATATATTAGGTATTGTATAAACAATTCTGAACTTGGCTAGGCGAGGTACTTTCCTTCAATATCACTCATCAAGGCTGCTGTAACTGTCACACCAAACAAAAACATACCAATCACAACATAGATTATACCTATTGCCAAACCTAGCTTTCTTCTTATTTCCATTGGATGATAGTCTTGTAACATGAGTTGAATTAGACATAGACCTGGAAACAGAAATTTCATACACCATTTTATATTTACCAATGATTACAGCCTCTTATTAAACTTTAAATCCTCCAGCCTCACCTGGAAAAGTGAAAATAAAATGGGCAGCCAAAGCCCCGACAATGGCGATGGCATCTGCTATGGTTGGAACAATGACAGCAATGCCCAGACTGCTGAAGAACCAGATTATTGATGTAATCACACGACGCTTCCCTTTGTAATTTTCTATCTCAGCTGCAGTAAGCTTTCGTATATTACACCATAAACCAATTATTGCCGACCTAAAATTGATTGCATTGTCTTACAACAACAGAAAATTTTAACTTCTGAACTAAATTGTACAAATAATCGAGGTGAAAACTCTAATTGCTCTGCCTGAACAGGATGGTCAGTTGAGACCTCATTACCTTCCAACAAATTGACAAATAGCAAAAGTACTAAACACAACAAGCACTATAAAGACTCTTGCTGAGGTAGCAACATGATCCCCATGACGATAATTCACCAAGATATCACTGTTCACATTATGCTTGAAAGTCAAGTAACCATAGCTACCAGTCAGAGAGTAAAGTACGGCGCATATGAGCGTTGCAAGAAAAGTGACCAGGCCAAATCTTACTAAGGTTGGTCGACGTAGCTCAGCATAAACAGCGACTGCTGTCACATGACACTAAATATAGATAAATTTATTCAACATAATACAATGTAACCAGAAGATCATTTGAGTTCATCAATACGACTCTCACCTGGAAACCAAAGCAAATTACTGGTACTGCAGCGAAAATTTGAGAACTTGACCATTTTTTTTCACTGGAACAAGAACAATTTAATATGATAAATAAGAATACTGCTTTTTGAAAAAGAAATATAGTTCAACCGTTTTACCTTGAGTTCTCGGGAGGGCTGTAACTGCCAGTATAATACCTTGATACCACCACACAACAAACAAATATAGCACCAAAACCACCAACAAGACTACAGGCAATGGAGTGAAATGAATAAAAAATATTAGATATAGATTGAGGAAAGTTTAGGATGATAGTTAAGTGAGTGCAGTCTAATATAAAGATTGCACTGACCTGGAATAACTCACTGCTTTGAGTTTCTCTGGTATGCATAATGGTAAGATAAAAACACAGCAAACAACAGTAATTACAAATCTCCTGTCAAAATACCAGCCATCGTGATCAATTGCTATAAAAGAAAAATAAATGATTTTCAAGAAAATTTATTTTTTTTTAACATCTGTGGTGAGAATTTGATGAGTACCCAGAGCATGCATGCATGCAATCATGGTTGATGTTGATTGTGGTTCTTATATACACTCAATGGCAAAACAACTGATGAGTAAACAGGATTTCTTTGAGATTTTATAATTTTAAAATAGAATACGAGACAATGGGACTTTATAGATTAAAACTCTTTTTTTTGCAAAAATGCAAAAGTATACTTATATTTATGGGGCTTATTCATCCCACTAGTTAAAAAGTGAATTTTAATGCTCAATAAAGATATACCCTTTGTAAGCTGGTCACCAATCAAGATCATATGTGTAACATTGCAGCCGAACATATAGAGAACAACATTAATTTGGCAAACAACTTGCGCAATGGGACCGCAGTAATCTCGGATGGTGTCCTGATAATTTTTAGTCTGACGCAGTCTTCCGCAATAACCAAGGATAAAAAATGATCCTATTATCAACAGAACAAGGCACTAGAAAAAATATTGATAATTTCAAATCAATTACTCTATTCCTGGTATCCTTCCTAGAGCTGTGCTATAAGCAATTCATTGTGGGTTGATTCCGAACTGCCACAACCCCAATTATGTCTGGATATTTAGTCTGTTTAATTTATTGTGCATGTGATTACTGCATACTACTTCTTTAGGGCCTGTTTGATCCTGCCTGCAAGCTACATCCTTCATTCATGATTTCCATATAAACAATTTATCTAAGCTAAGCGGGACGACCTTTTACTGACCATGCCTTTGCAGGGCTAAAAGTAATTCTTTTTGAAAAACCTGATCTCACACACTTAATCTAGATTCAACATGGCATTGCTTTTTCCATACATGCCCCATCCCGCCTAGTTGGACCATATAAACAGGACCATATATATATATCCAGGATGACCAGGCAACTCACGGTTTGAACTGTCAAAGCATAGGCCAAACCTCCCGACTTCTCGTAAGCTTCAGGAAAGTTTAACATGCCCGCGCCGAGTGCCGCGTTGGCTACAACAACAACAGCCCTGTGTAATGGCAATCCATAAGCGCGTGTTCGTGAACTTGTTGAAGATCCGGAGGCCAGAACTGGATCGTCACTTGATGAATTTATTGAATTATACTGAACTTCGGTCGATGACCCTCCAAAAGGACTGAAATAATTAGATTCGTCACTCCTTACGATTTTATCTTCCATAGTCCTCAATTTGCTCCTTTCATTCCCCATATCCTCTGTCACAGAACATAATTTAGTAGAGCTATCTTCATTTAGATAACCATTATTGGCAGTCCTATTGTTAATTTGTTACAAGTTCATCAAAAGATGGTGACAGCGCTAATGTACAACGTGTGACAACGAGTGCAAACGACGGTATTCTTCGGAAACATTCGGAAAGGCTTCGTGGCGTCTTGACAACGCGTAAAATAGCTCATGTGATGGAATTTCGACGCACTTTTTCGACGTTTTATTTACACAAGAATTGTTTGTTATAAAAGCAGATTTGTGGTAATTGTGATATCCTTACAACCGTTTAGAAGTTATATATTGAAATATACTATGGTTACATTTTGACATTTTGCCCTGGAAAACTTAGCAGAAATCGAAAAGCGCATCTGTGAGCGTCATGAGCAAGTTTGATATTGTCCCGTTGGGGAAGAAAAGTCCCACTGATAAACGTATCGTTTTGAACAATTGCCAAAGTGGAATCGGGATTAAAATTGCAGGTGGAAAGACGAGTAGTGGGCCTAGTTATGGAATATTCGTGAAGAGAATAATAGCCGGTGGTACTGCGGAGAAAAATGGTCTGCTAAAAGAGGGTGACAAAATTACTCAGGTGAACAATGAGATCTTCCATGAGGTTAGCAATGAAAAAGCCATGAATGTTCTGTTAAATGCTGCTAAAGCGGGGACTGTAACATTGACGGTGGATAGAAGTGTTAAAGCTGCACAAGAGTATGACCAGTTACATGGAGTTTTGAATAATGGTTCCCCAAATTATTCCAGTTTATCCCGAAGCGGAAGTTTAGAACGGTCTGGTGTAGTCTCACCAACATCTATGGAGAAGAGGTCATGGGTTTTAACCAATGGTAGAATGTCACCAATGTCGTCTAGGAATATATCACCCAGAAATCTAGAGTTTGACAAAAGTGATGGAAACACAAATGAGGTTTTGCTAAATGGTGAACGACCTGCATCTCTCGCTGAATCAAATGTCGACTCAGGATTGCAGTCTTCATCGTCCACTTTAAAGAGCTTAACCAATGTCATGGTGGTTCACGTTCCTCTGACAAATGGACTGGGCATGAGTATCACAGGAGGTACCAACCACTCAGATGGTCCGATTGTCACCGTGAAAGAACTGGTGAATGGTGGTGACGTTTTTCATGATGGTCAAATTCAATCTGGTGACCAAATTATTAGCATCAATGGTGAGTCATTTGTTGATGTTACTCATGAGGAAGCAAAGATGAAACTGACTCAGGTAAAACTTCATGCCCAGAATGAATTCGAGATTACATATGTGCCTGAAGGTCAACCTCGTACCATGGTTGGTGGAGAAGCAAATTTTGGTGAGGGTACAGGTAACCAGGTTAACCATAGTGGTGGGAAGCCAGACAGACAAGTTGGGCAGGATCAAAATAGTTTTGATGAAAATCATAATCTTGGTGAAACAAGCCATTTCTCATCCATCATGGGATCATCAATTCAACCATCATCTATACCTTTCTACCTTCAACAAGATTTAGCGGCTCCTCATGAAACACCCATCTCAAAATATACCATGTCCAAAATAGGTAGGAAGCCGCCAAAACGTCGACTCTCTTTAGCACCCACATCAAAACTGCGCATTGAAAAGCTTGAGGTAGCTCTGGAGTACTTGGGGATTCATTTAGCTCCAGAACAACAAAGAGAAATCAGAGGACAGCTCCACATTGACTTAGGTGGACATGTGTCATATGGTGACTTCGTCGATGTTGTTCAAGATGTTTTAAGTGAGGACCTTAAAGATCACAGCGGGATACTAAATCGAGGAAAGCTGCATTTTGCTTTAACTGATTTACAAAGAAGTGAAACTTCTTTTTTTCAGACCTCCTCAAATGCAGAACAAGTGCCTGATCCAAATGCACATATTGAAGAGTTAAGAAGACAGCGTGATGATGCTTTGACAGAGGTTCGGTTTTTGAAAGAAGAGTTGGATGAAAAGCAATGCTTGAAGTTGTCTGAAGCAGAACGTATTGAGAGCATAAAAAGAACTGCAGAGGAAGCATTAGTGGAAAGTGTGGCACTCAAGGACCAGGTCTTCCTTGCCAGGCAAGCAACAGAAGCTGCTAGCAGAAGAGATAGTGACTATGAACAAGTTATCAAGTTGTTGGAAGATGAGCTCCACGTCTTCAAGACACAAGGCATTCCCAAACAACAAGAATTTGAGGATATGCAAAAGAAAGTTGTTGTTTTAGGATGTCAGTTGAGGAAAAATGAAGTGATGAAACGAACATATGAAGTCGCAACTCAAAAACTACTTGCCCTCGCAGACCGAGTTCATAATTGCCTTAAACATGGAGAGACCTCCCCAGCGAGTTCTCCTGCCTCCCCACCACAAGCCTCTCGTTATCCATCACATCCATTGCAAGGAGAAAAGTTGCAAAAGCTTGCGGATGAAGTACTTGATGTGGCTCGAGGTGTGAGAGTTTTATTGGAGGAAGAGCCTTTGCCATTTGGTTGGGAAGAAGCATACACAAATGAAGGAGAACGTTATTACATAAACCATATGAGCCAAGTAACATCCTGGTTACACCCAGTAACACACACAACAAAAGTGCAAGATTAAAATATGTAAATATCATTTTCTTAGGAGAAACATCAACCCCCCATAGATCTCACTTTCCCATAAAGGGATTGGCAGTTCATCAGCAAGCATAATTAAATCTCCATGTTTAGTCTAAGAGCTAACATATTTTAATTTATACTATATTTATTTTAATAATTTTATAGCCAAAAAGAATTGATAATCATTTTATACTTTAGGTACATTGATTTAATAGTAGTTTTAGTAATGGATTAGGAACCTTTGGAATTATTCAGAATAACATATTGATAAGTTTAGTACCTTTATATCAATAGGCTGTACATATTTAATAGCCATGAATTTCTTCTATGTTTTGTACAAAATGAAATGCAGTATAATTATGAACACTTGTTTTACTTAGTTATGATTTTTGGCACTTCACTCGAAGCAGGTAAATTCTAGAGGTTTAGAGGGTCTTAATTTCGAGTGGAATTATACACACTTCAAATTAAAGCCAGGAACAGTTGATGGAAAAATGAGTCAACTATAGGTCCTCCGGCAGGAATCGAACCTACGCTTGCTCTTGTCAGGTACCTCTGTAGCTCAGTGGCAAGAGCATTGCACTGGCATCGCTTGCTCTTGTCAGGTACCTCTGTAGCTCAGTGGCAAGAGCATCGCAAAAGCGTAGGTTCGATTCCTGCTGAAGGACCTATAGTTGACTCATTTTTCCATCAACTGTTCCTGGCTTGAATTTAAAGTGCGTATAATTCCACTCGAAATTAAGACCCTTTAAACCTCTTGTTTTACTTAGTTTCACTTCACAAGTAAGGATACATATTTTCACAATATATTATGATCCCTTGTATAATCTAGTATGTTCTCTGTCTTCTTTGAACTATGCTTTGGTAATTCAAGAGTCATTTGTTGCATTTTCTACTCGAAATTGTTCAGCTATTTCTTTCAACTTTGTCATCAATGTTTCCTCATCGGCAGCTGAGGACTTGGTCCATGCAAGAGGAAGATGTTTTGAAACTGCTTCACGATCCTGGAAGAACGCTCCACTGGGAGTTTTGATTGCTTCGTTGGAAATGCATAGCCAGACAACTGTATCAGCTCCTTGCTCAGCAGTTCTTAACTTTCCTTGCATTTTTCTGTGAAAATCTGGCATGGATGACTTAACAGCAGGAGTGTCTGCCCATCCTAATAATCAAACATATATAAAAAAGTCAACATTGTTGTCCACATATAAGTATTCCTGATTTCTTGTATATATACCTGGATGCATGGATGAAAAGTGAATGCCGGTAGCCTTGTACATTTCTGCCCACTTTTCCGTCATTATAACCTGTTGACGCTTATTCTGGGCATATGCCATCACCCCTTCAAATGGATTCATCCTCTCAAATTGTAAGTCGTCAACGTCAAGCTTGACCGTAAGCATTCCACCTGAACAGAAAATCTACATATTCTCAGGGGATCTTGAACCCAGGTTTGCAACCTGACCTCATGACCCAAACACCTACCTGATGATACCGTGATGATCCTAGGTTCTTTACTTTTCTCTAAAACACTGATCAACCCAGTTGTCAAAATATAAGTCCCTAAGGCATTGGTTGCAAAATTCTTTTCCAACCCTTCTTCGGTGATTGTTCTTTCGTTCACCATGCAACCAGCATTGTTAACCAAACCATTCAGGCTTTTACCAGACTCTGCGAAGCCCAGTGCAAATTCCCAAACTTTCTTTGGCATGGACATGTCAAGCAGGTGCAGATGCACCTCCTTGTTCGGGCTGGCCTCCAGCAACTCTTGTTGTGCTTGCTCTCCTCTTGTTTTATCGCGACAAACCATATGTACTGTAGCACCGCGTTTAGCAAGTTCCAACGAAACACATTTTCCTATACCACTATTAGCTCCTGTCACCATGTACGCTTTTCCACCGAGGTCTTTGTAAGTCTCAGTGTTGAGGTCCTCGAACTTTTTTTGAGCTTCGAGATAGCCGTTTAGCGTGTATTCTCGCAGTCCTTTAACGAACCAGACGGTTTTACGATAGATTGTTGACATTTTTGTAGAATAAACTTCTAAAGATCGCCCAATGTTATAAGTTAGTAACCATTCCCCAATATTATCCCCAATATGGTTACGTAACTTTATTATGCAATTAATGATGTCATATGATGTTGAACTCGTGGCAAGGTCACATGTCAACTACTATCCTGGGTTGGTTAATAACCAAATTACCATTTTCCGATACATTATAACATGGTTACATGACGTTTTCAGATGTAACAAATTACAAACTGATTGAGGGAGTAGGATATTGGAAGAGATTTAATACAGAGACTCGAACTGTTTTTAAGGTGACAAAAGTATGGAGGACTCCCAACTTGCTAGGTCAACAGCATTTTTGGAACTAGAATCATTCACTGAAGAAGGTAATACTGTGGTGCCAGAAAAGTATCGTTTTGGTCATTGCCGTAATGTTATAGAGTTTGAAAAACTGAACCGAATTGGTGAGGGAACATATGGTGTTGTCTACCGAGCAAGGGATACAAAGAGCAATACCATTGTGGCATTAAAGAAGGTTCGAATGGAAGAAAAAGAAGGACTACCAATCAGTGGTCTGCGAGAGATAGACTTATTGTTGAATATTGAGCACCGTCATATTGTTCGTTTACATGAGGTGGTGGTAGGAAGTCATCTTCAGAGTATATTTTTAGTGATGGAGTATTGCAATCATGATTTGGCATCATTACTGGATAACATGAAGATGCCATTCAGTGAGGCTCAAGTCAAGTGTTTGATGTTGCAGTTAATGAATGGCGTAGAGTATCTTCATAAGAAGTTTATTGTACACAGAGATTTGAAGGTGTCAAATCTGTTAATGACAGACAAAGGTGTTTTAAAAATAGGTGTGGATCTGATTATTACCTTTCTTATTTTAAACATTTTTAATAGTAGTTAATAGTAGTTGATATTCACTATTTTTATTAAACTATTTATTAATATTTTAGCTGATTTTGGTCTAGCCAGGAAGTTTGGTTTTCCACTTAAACCAATGACACCAATTGTTGTGACACTTTGGTACAGAGCACCCGAGCTATTGCTTGGTGCAAAAGTCCAAACACCTGCGGTAGATATCTGGGCTTGTGGTTGTATCATGGGGGAGCTTCTAGACAGCAAACCGTTATTGCCTGGAAAGTCTGAGATCAATCAATTGGAGTTGATAATAAACCTGCTGGGTACACCTAATGATAATATTTGGCCTGGGTTTTCAAATTTGTCTGTTGCGAAGAACTTCACACTAAAGCAACAACCCTACAACAATCTAAAGCATCGTTTCTCGTGGCTTTCATCTGCTGGACTTTCTTTACTGAATCAAATGTTTATGTATGATCCGGGAAAGCGAGCATCTGCAACTGAATGCATGGAAAGCTCGTATTTTTGTGAAAATCCACTTCCAGTTCAGACAGATATGATGCCTACTTTTCCTGAACATAGGAATCTCAAATCGAAGGTGGCCGCTGAAAAAGGCAAGCGTGAACATGCAGATGCAAAGTTTGGTTCTGCTTTCGATAGTACTAGTAAAAAGAAAAAAAACTAAAAATAAAGACAATATTGTTTGTTGTATGGAGTTGTAAAATAAAATTCTTTATCATTGTCCAAGTGGAAGTGGTTAAAAAGGGGGGATAAATTCTAGGAATACTTAGAAATGAGGAATGTGAAAGATATTTGGAATTTAAAAATTAAAAATTCTAGAAGTGAAATTTGTAGTCAAGCATAGTGGAAGCACATCAGTATTCAATATGGCGGTCGTGAAGGTACTTTTTGACAATTTATACCTTTTTCAAGTTTTTTGACATTTATATTTGTTTGAATGTGTTTTGCGTGACATAGGGTGTTTGGTAAGTTTAGTTCATGCATGATTTTACACATATAAATACTTGCTTTTTGATGTTTGAAGAACTTAGGTAAGGAGGAGATTGAGATAACGCTAGAAGATCAACAGCAGATAAATACGTTTGCAAGACAAAACACAAGGATGGAGGAACTGAAAGTTGAAATAGAAACGAAAAAAGTACGTGATTTGAAAATTGATATATGGAGCAAAATAAATGAGCCGTTACATTGTTATATATTAAAGGTGCAAATCGAAAACGAGGTTCTTGGCTTGCACTGTTCCTAGAGCTTTTGAATTTTTCAATATCTTGTTTTGACTTTATACAGAATGATCTCAAAAATTTGGAAGACGCTTCAGACGAGCTCTTGATGGTTGAAGAGTCTGTGATATCGTATCCTTTTGGTCCACCTTTAGTAATGATTGGAAAAGACATGAGATGAGCACTGCTTGCTTGCCTTGCAAGTTGTTTGCCAACACATTGAGTTGCTGGCTATAATTGTACTCAAGAAATACTTATTTGTTTAAATCCTTCACTTGATAATACCCAGGTATAAAGTCGGCGAAGTTTTTATCCAAATGGCACAAGAGGACATAGAAGATCATTTAGAAAAGGCAAGGACCAGAATGAAAGATGAAATAACAAGTTGCGAAGAGCAGTTTGTAGAAATACAAGAAGTACTGAAATCTTTGAAAGCTAAACTTTATGGAAAATTTGGAAATAGTATTAACCTAGAGGCTGATGAAGAATAAATTAACTAATAAAGTATATAATATTATTGGGAAATGTTTAATGCAAAGTCAGTTGAAAAGCAACAAAGTGAACTATGTCTTTACAGAAATTACCTTGATTAACAAACTCTTAAAGTTTTAAAGTTATCTAAAGTTTTTGGAAGCTAAACTTTCACAAGAAAAGATTTGTGCATCCAGTTTATAACTATTAAGCTAATAAAGCTAATTAATATAAAAACTTAATGAAACCTAATAATGAAAAGGTCTTTATCAACAGAACATTAAAATAATTGTCTATTTTTCTAGGATTTTGAATATTGAAAAAAGTCACAGAAATATTCTTAAAATGTTTTGATATATAAACACCTTTGCTATAGTATTGACCAAAAATATATTCCTTTGCTGGTCTGGGGTTTATTTATACACCTCGTATTTTCTGTTGAGATATTTTGTAATTTCCTCACAGAGAACAACCCACTTCTTGCCAAGATTTTTAGCTTGAAGTCGATCAGGGTGATAATGCAACAGGCTATCTCGTAGAGCTTTCTTGACATTTCGATTTGCTCCACTCAGCAGCGATTCGTTGAGCTTGTGACTCTTGTTTTTCGGTGGATAGGCTTTGTAGATGTGCCGCAAAAGATCCCCTGCATCCTCTGAAAGTTCTTCTAACTTTTTAATATCATCTTTCAACTCGAGCAAAATTTCTTGTTTCTCTGTTGACCAGGCTTCCTCTTCCTTCCTCACAGTTTCTTGCTGGTAACGTTTAAGTGTTTCGGTGGCCTCTTGGTACCATTTCTCTGTGGTAAACACCCGTGGGTACATGGAATTAACTAGTTCAAGACACCGCATGAAATTTTCCTTTGCTTTGTTCTTCAACTTCAGCACCTGATCGTAAACTCTGCCTAGCCTGCTGTGGCCAATTGCCTCGAACTCAACATCTTTCTCTCTCGTTAGTAGGATTGCTCGTTTGTACCAATCAACAACTTCCCATACCATATCAACATTAAGGTTGTCTTCCTCAAGGAGTACTTTATCGAAGAGTTTGTCCCCAGTTGTGCGTGCTTGGATTGACTCAGCTGTGCACTGGTGGACAAATATATCAATCTCATAAACTGACACTTCTGTGGTCACAAATGGATCGCTGTTGCTAAATCTCCTGGCTTCTTCAACAGGGTAATAACAATCATGCATTAAAGTTAAACAATCTTTGTATTTGCCTTTCGAAAGTGCTGAAACTCCTGCCTTGAAAGTTGCATCAGCAAGGCTTAAAAAGCAATGTGCTTTCAGACCATCCTCACTAATTTCATTAGCAATGTCATAGAGTAACTTTGACCTTTGAGGAAAATTGACTATGTTTTGTGAATATAATATTGCATCATCTATGAACTGTCTTGTGCTTGTTAGCAAAGGCTCAATCCAACTTTGAGCCTTGCCAGTCAGCCCAGCGTTGTAAGCGACTGAGAAATACTTGACAGCTTCTTTCAAATGGTAAATATGCAGATATTTTTCTTCAACAATTTCAGCAAGACGCCACGACGCCATGGCCAGATTTTTCGCCGCACTGGACAGCTCGTCGTCATTCTCTTGTGTTTGAAAAGCGTTAAGATAAATGTTTATGGCTTGTTGTAGCCTTTCTTTCCTCAGAACGGGACTTAGATTGGCAGCCGAAAGGTAAACTTCGTTGCCTTTTTTTCGCCATTCACAAGAGACTGATTTCGAAGACATCTTGCAACGCAGCACTTTCAAGCAAGCACTTTCACTTTGTCATTTGATATTTTTATGCAAGGTTGATATGAAACACCGGAAATTACGATAGGAAAAAATTATCATTTACCAAAAGGTGTTGATACTTTCCTCAGAGAGACAGAGACCACTTAAAAGGAATAAATCAAAATTGACTATTTTAATAATTAAGGGGCGGACCTTATTACTGTAACTTTAACAGGTGAGGGGGTGGTGGGATGGCGAGCCAGACAACCCAGACTTTCCGAATGGAAGATTAAAATCTAAATACTTCCCGACAAAAACAGACTGTTTTTTAAATAGTTTGCAGAATAAGGAAACGTCGCATTTTGGTAGCGTCGAATGCATTCAAACAATAGATAATGAGATGATATAGTAATGAGGTCAAATTAAATAGGTTTGTCATCTCTTTATCTATTGTTTAAACTAAATTTGACGCGGCCAAATGAAATAGTTAATCAAGAGTTATGCCTTATTATCTATTGTGTGTTCTGTACATGAGATACACGACGTTTGTTTGAAATAAGCCTCACTGCTAAGCTTCATCGGTGCATAAAGTGCATTGTCTGTGTGGTTATCGAGGTAATAAAAGGTGGTTAATTCAAGACAAAACTCAGACTTGGAACTCTCGAAGAAGAAGGAACACTCGAAGAAGTGCAGGGAAAAGTTGGAGGAATGTTGTTTAGGTACATGAACATGGTTGGTTAAAGAGTCTGTTATTCTGTTGGTTTGATCTTTCGCTTTGCATCGTTGTTCGTTGGTTTGATCTTTCGTTTCGTGTGGGTTTAAATAGCCAGAAGTCATTAGCGACTGGAGGTATATAATATTCTTGCCGATTTTCACTGCTGTAAAGTATGAGTTATCTTGTATAATTATATCGATTCAAAATGTGAAATGTAAGTGAGCTGCCAACTTGATCATGATTTCGTTTTTTCTTCGTTTATTTCAGAACGAACTACGGCGCAGAAAGATGGGGAACGCGAAACACAAGCGCTCGCTACAGCGAATAATAGGTATTGTTGATTAATATACGCGTATTTTGCATTTGTGATTTTAAATTGCACGACTTTATGGCTAAAACTTTCCCAGCTGCCACAAGGAGTTTTTCGGACACGGTTGTCGTATCGTCCGTCAGCACTTTATGTACTTATCATGCTTGGCTTGACATGTGCCGAGTTATTTTAGCCAGTCTATTGTAGTTATCTGTAGTGATTCTTTGCTTCCCGTTTCAATTAGATTTCAGTACCACAAACCAAAAAGTACTCGGAAAGCAAGTTACTTTAACAAGGCTTCACTTCATAAGCCCGTTTAGTTTAACCGAAGTTTTCTTTTTAGAATGAATGAATGAATTGTCGGAGTCAAGAGTTGTCGGAGCTGCCTTGGGGCATTTATGCACGCAAATACAAAACTCAATTCGATTTCGGTGAAAATATGCATGAGTAAAATTGCATGGGATTTGGCTTTTTTTACTGAGATATGCTAAACACTCTTCTGTTTACCTCCTTGATTTTTAACTTTCGGATTGCGGTTTTTGCATGGGTCTGGTCGTGTCAAGCGCATGCGGAGTAAATACAAGTGATTTGGGGCCCCATCACTTGTATTTTCTCCATCTTGAACAAAAATATCGCTCACAGAGCCTCTAAAACATAAAAATGCATGAGAACTGGATTGTATTTCTTGAAGGAGATAATAGTCGAGTGTTTTAATTTTCTCAGGAGCATGAAGAAAACGATAAACATTTCCTACAAAATGTGCATGACAATTTGTATTTGCGTGCGCAATGGGAAGGCCTTGGACGAGTGGCGTAGAAGATGTCAAAGGTCTATAAGTGATCTTTTTATTCTAAGTGTTTTATGCATAGTGAAATTTCTCTCTTGGAAGGAAAAATAATATTTTCGTATCTACGTTAAGGATGTGGGATCGTCGCAGGATCAGATGATGAAGGATCGCCGATCGTCGCTGGTCAGATGATGAAAGATCGCCGATCGTCGCAGGATCAGATGATAGACGACGCCGACGGGTGTACAAGTAGAAGCTGGTTGAGGTACATACTGTTGGTATACTATTTAGAGTAATGCATGGTTGTTTGTGCATGATTCTTTGTGCATGGTTGTTTGTGCATGATTATTCCGGGATGAATTCCTGATGGTGGTCTAACTAAGTATATTCACACATCAAGTGACATTTCACCCTTTTCGACAATGCATGATAACAGGAAAATTCTCACAGCTCTTACGAGAGCGTTTTACGTTTTCGTGGTCTCTCGATGAAATCTTCCTCGTTTTTGTCACTTGCGTGTGAATATTAACGACTTAAAGTGGTCTTATACAAAAAAACTTTCATTTTATTTTGGAAAATATAGTAAAATACCAAAAGTCTGTCAAGCAACTCTTGTTTTCAGTTTATCGGAGAAAAATATGCATGTGTATAGACGACCCTGAAAATTTTATCCACTTAGCTTTAATAAGTCCTTTGCTCAAGAGTTAAAGAACTGTGAAAAGTTATTAAAAAGTGCATGATTAAATATCGATCCTTCGTATGAGACCACTTTTGCGGCTGGGGAAAATGCATGATGGTTTTAAAGCGTTGAAATGAAAGTAGCAAAATGCAATTAGCATGCGCGACGCGCTCGCAGCGAAAAAATATCATCGAATTCGTATTGGCCTAATTTTAGATTAATACGAAGGAAATCGCGAGTACTTATATGATCATATAAGTTCTCTGTTCAGCTTGTTATAATGCGACCGCTTCGAAGAACAGTCCGTCAGTGGCATCAAAAATTATACTTTTGCATGAAATTATTGAAGTTTGAAATGAAAAAAATATGAATATTTGATGTTAAGACACTAGCACTCTTCTGTTTCCCTTTTTGGTAATAATTTTTCGAATTGCAGTTTAAGAAATCCGGTTGATCTCGAGCATGAAGGAAATAAACGTAATCTAATCATTTTGACTAACTTGATGCAGTTTGCATAAGAATAAAAATATAGCTGCTATATTACATGATACATTACAATGCATTGCATGATAACAGGACTTGCATGATGGGGAGTATACTTTTTCACAGTAGGATAATATTGTATAGTACCTCTTGCCTAAAAAGCTTACCCTTTGGACTTGTATATGATGTGGGATATCTGGGGGTAAACTGTTTAACTGTGGGATAATATTGTAAAGTACCCTCTAGCCTGAAAAGGTCACCTTTCAAAGAAATCTCCCTTTGTATTTTGACACACTTACTATGTTTTTGATTCCTTGCACGCTCCACCGTCGAGATGATGATAAAGAAGAACCTAGTTGGAATGCAGCGAAGAAGCAAGTGAGATTCAGTACATTGTTTATACCAAAGGTAATTATACGGTACGAAAGGTAATGTACATTATTGATTACTATATTATACCAGATATTAATTAAGTTGCATGTTTATCCCGATTACGTTTATCTCCTCCATTTCCGGCCAACCCTAATCCAGAACGTATAAAAAAAGAAATAAAACGGTGCATGAGGTGCATGTCTTAGAAGTGCTAGTGTTGTTGTCTACATCAGTTTGAGACGAAAAAAGTCGTGATTTTTTTCTACAATGATGCCAAATTTCCAAAACTGCATGAACGTGATGCGAAATTTGAATAATTGAAATAATTTTTGTTGCCATTGTCGGACAAAGCGCAGTTTGATTTCCGGGGGGGGTTTGCGATATGATAATACGCGGGCTGCGCACGTTAGACCACCAGCAGGATCGAATCAGTGACGAAGCTCAAGAATTGCATGGCAATTCCTGGGACTCGGTTCGAACGAGCGGAACTGAAACGGTGAACTATAGATAAAAACTGATCTGTGATTGCGGACGATTTCTAATGAAAATACCAAATTCGGACCGCCGGTCAGGTAACCTGAAACTCAGGTTACCTTTGGAGGGTTTTTCTCCGGGCACTCCGGTTTCCCTCCTTTTCGTTTGGCTTTAAAAACAGTGTCCATGTCTGGGGCCAAACCGAATTTTACAAAATTGAGAAATCTTATCTGTACACGAACTGTTAAAAACGCAAGTGTTTGGCTTCTGGGTTCGATTCCCAGAACACTGTCCTGGTGTAAAAGAATTTTAAAAATGTGGTTGTGGAACCATTACGTAATTAATAATAATTAGAAAAAGGAATTTTTCAATTTCTATAGCTCTTAGCCTCTTACGTAATTAAAAATTCATTGCTGCACTTGATAATTCTTAGCTGCACAGTGCACTCGACAATTATGCTCTTGAAAGCAATTGCTGAAGCTTTTTGAAATCCCTTGGCAACTGTAAACTCTTTACGTTTTTATACCTAAGTGGATCACGTGGAAAATTCCGACAAAGATGAGTTTTTCTCATGCCTCTTGTGTATATAGTTTGACGTTCCTGGCATATCGTCTATATTGTTCAGTATGGGAGCGAACAAATCCACTCCAGAAAGTGGCAAAGTTGAAAGCAAAGATGCAGGAGAACACACTCCTTTTCCGGAGGACGATGAACCTTATAAAGGTTCTCCTCTCGAGTGCTTATCGGTAAGCTTTCCTGTTGAAATAACAAGCCATTTTGTGTCTTGTTTCAGCGCTGGCAAAACTGCGCTAACAAGCGATCTTGACGCTTATTATCCTACCATCACCGGCTACTTTGAACAGGGCTACACATTAAATACTTTCTACCGAGTACCAGGGACATTCGTTAAGACAGGCTTTCGCCAAATGCAAATACCATTTGAGGCCTTGTATAGCAGGCCTGCTGGGATAACGTCATGTGAAGACAGTAAACAGTTATTGATTGAAAAGTCTACAATCAATGTACAACAATCTGGCATTGGTATCCAATCAAGGCCACGTGAAACAGTTGCAAACAGCTCGGATACCATGAATAAGATTATGCAACATAGTTCTATGGGTGGACGGTTGATTTGTGTCGAAGTCAATGGACAGGTCACCACCCAAGGAATTTTTGAGAGAGGTGTTGGCGTGGATGTGTTCTTTGAAATTCCCAGCCAACCAACACCAGTTAAATATGTCTACCAAGCTATCAATGTTCCCATTGGTTACACATTCAAAAGAGGTCTCCGGCCTAAACGTACCTTGGATTGCGACTGGTTGGGCACCTTGGCAACTTACTTAAATCAAGGTTGGAAGCTAGTGGATATTATCCTTGATCGATTAGAACAGCAGAATGGTGCATTTACAATGTCTGCCAGCATAAATTCCGTGTGGATTTTCGAGAAAGAGTCGCATAAGCTACAAGATCCCACTCCAGTTTTCGAGGGTGCTGTCCTCGAGTATTTTCACAAAGTCGTTCAGGGATTCGAGCGAATATCTGTGAAGTCAGATTGGACTCCAGTGATTGTCGAGATGGGTAGACGTGGATGGGAGTTGGCGTGTATTCAGCAAACTCCCGAGTTCTACCGGTATGGTTTCATTGTGAAGTATGAAATTAAGTTGATCATGTTTTTTCAAAGAAGGATCGTTGCTGGAGAGGCAATGACCACACCACCTCCCAACCCTGGTCCGCCATCTTCGACGAACCCCCTTGATCATACTTTAACAGACTCCTTGCCCCCCCCCCTGACCACCCAGCTGAAAACCTTTTAGAACGAAATTTTTTTAAAAAAGAGTGGCCATGTCTGGGGCCAAACGAAATTTTACAACTGAATTGAGAAACCTTATTTGTACACGAACTGTTAAAAACGCATGTGTTTGGCTTCTGGGTTCGATTCCCAGAACACTGTCCTGGTGTAAAATAATTTTAAAAATGTGGTTGTGGAACCATTACCTAATTAATAATAAATAGAAATAAATAAGATAAAAAAACCCCAGATAAGATTACCTTCTTTGTTTACTACGTTTTTGTAGCTGTTTGTGAATAATAATTCCTCATTCTTCACTGTTCACCTTATCAGTTTATAATCTTGGTGAGCTGAACATCCATAGAATCTTTGTCTTGTATTTGTATCGGAATTCATACGTGTAGACCATCACGTGCTCTTGACAGTCTGTCCTTTTTTGCTATAAAGAGTTTTGTTTCCTAGGAATTTTTCAATTTCTATAGCTCTTAGCCTCTTACGTGTTTTGTCATATCGTAATTAACAATTGTTTGCTGCACTTAACGACAATTATGCTAGTAGCGCTCTTGGAAGCAATTGCTGAAGCTACAATATAAAATATCTTGGCAACTGTTAACTCTTTGTTTTTATACCTAAGTTGATCACGCGGAAAATTCCGACAAAGATAAGTTTTGCTCACACCTCTTGTGTATATATATAGTTTGACGTTCCTGACATATCGTCTATATTGTTCAGTATGGGAGCGAACAAATCTACTCCCGAAAGTGGCAAAGTTGAAAGCAAAGATGCAGGAGATCATTCTCCTTTACCAGAGGACGCTCAATCCTACCAGGGTTCGTCTCTTGAGTGTTTATCGGTAAGCGTTCCTGTTCAAATGACACGCCATTTTGTGTCTGGTTTCAGCGCTGGCAAAACTGCGCTAACAAGCGATCTTGACTCTTATTATCCTACCATCACAGGGTACTTTGAACAGGGCTACACATTAAATACTTTCTACCGAGTACCAGGGGTTGTCGTTCAGGCAGGCTTTCGTCAAATGCAAATACCATTTGAGGCCTTGTATAGCAGGCCTGTTGGGATAACGTCATGTGAAGACAGTAAACAGTTATTGATTGAAAAGTCTACAATCAATGTACAACAATCTGGCATTGGTATCCAATCAAGGCCACATGAAACAGTTGCAAATAGCTCGGTTATCATGAATAAGATTATGCAACATAGTTCTGTGGGTGGACGGTTGATTTGTGTTGAGGTCAATGGACTGGTCACCACCCAAGGAATTTTTGAGAGAGGTGTTGGCGTTGATGTGTTCTTTGAAATTCCCAGCCAACCAACACCAGCGAAATATGTCTACCAAGCCATCAATGTTCCCATTAGTTACACATTGAAAAGAGGTTTCCGGCCCAAACCTACCTTGGATTGTGACTGGTTGGGCACCTTGGCAACTTACTTAAATCAAGGTTGGAAGCTAGTGGAAATTATCCTTGATCGATTTGAACAGCAGAATGGTGCATTTACAATGTCTGCCAGCATAAATTCCGTGTGGATTTTCGAGAAAGAGTCGCATAAGCTACAAGATCCCACTCCAGTTTTTGAGGGTGCTGTCCTCGAGTATTTTCACAAGGTCGCTCGGGGACTCAGGGGAATATCTGTGAAGTCAGATTGGACTCCAGTGATTGCCGAGATGGGTAGACGTGGATGGGAGTTGGCGTGTATCCAAGAAACTCCCGAGTTTTATCGGTATGGTTTTGCGAAGTTCGAAATTAAGTTGATCATGTTTTTTCAAAGAAGGATCGTTGCTGGAGAGGCGATGACCCCACCAGCCCCACCACCTCCCTACCCTGGTCCGCCATCTTCGACGAACCCCCTTGATCATATTTTAACAGACCCGTCGCCCCCTGACCAACCAGCTGAAAAGCTTGATCCTCCCTGTTAGGGTCGATTTATTCAAGGAACCTTTAAGAACGATTTGAAAAAAACAGTGGCTAAAATGTTCTATATAGCTGTTAGGGTCGATTTATTCAAGGAACCTTTAAGAACGATTTGAAAAAAACAGTGGCTAAAATGTTCTATATAGCTATATATTTGTTTGTTAATTAGAGAGTAATTAACGATGCTCGAAATAATGTAATTATCCTGATTGAGTTGGTCAATGAAATCTTACGTGAAAATACAATGAAATATATACGTATATATATTAAAGTGTGTATTATATAAATTATGCTAATATATATAATGTATATTCGAACCCTCGTAACATAAAAATATAACCCGTCATTCCTTGGCTTTGCGTGTGATCTCGCGTGGTGCTCGCGAAAAATAGTTAATTTGCAATATTTTGTATGCGTAATGTAACTAATGTTGACAATCAAGTCAGTTAATAAAAGAATTCGTCTCAGTGACTACGTTATCTGTAATTCAATCGATATTATTCCATATGGGGGCGATCATATCTATACCAGAATTAAGTGGAAAGAACAAAGATGCGGGAGAACACACTCCTTTACCAGAGGACGTTCAACCTTACCAAGGTTCGTCTCTTGAGTGTTTATTGGTGACCATTCCTGTTCAAATGAGTAGCCATTTTGTGTCCGGATTTAGCGCTGGCAAAACTGCTGTAACGAGCAATGTTGATGCCTACTATCCCACCATTGCCGGATATTTGCAACAGGGTTATACATTGAATACTTTCTACCGTGTACCGGGGGTAGCCAATACGGCAGGTTTTGGTCAAGTCCAAATCCCATTTGAAGCTTTGTATAGCAGGCCTGTTGGGGTGACGTCTTCTGGAGGTGGTAATCGGTTATTGATTGAAAAATCATCCATGCATCTACAATACTTTACTGGTGGCATCTTCTCAACTTCAAAGCCGCATGGAACCGTTGCAAATACCTTGGATATTATCAATAAGATTATGCACCATAGCTCTTTGGGTGGGCGGTTGATATGTGTCGAAGTCAATGGACAGGTTACCACCCAAGGAATGTCTGCTGCCACTTCTGGGAGAAGTCCTGCAATTGGTGTTGATGTACTTTTTGAAATTCCCAACCAACCAACACCAGCAAAGTATGTCTACCAAGCTATCGATGTCCCCATTGGTTTCACAGTTAAAATGGGTGGACCAACGGTGCATTGTGATTGGTTAGGAACCTTAGCAACGTACCTGAATCAAGGTTGGAAGCTAGTGGAAGTTTTTCTCGATCAATCCCAGCAACAATCTGGTGCGTTTTCAACCTCTGCCAGTATGAATTCTGTATGGTTTTTTGAAAAGGAATTGCACAAACTTCAAGATCCCACTCCAGTCTACCAGGGTGCAGTTCTCGAGTATTTCCACAAGATTTCTCAGAGTTTTGGGGGAGTATCAGTGAAGACAGATTGGACTCCAGTAATTGTTGAGATGGGAAAACGTGGGTGGGAACTGGCATGCATTCAAGAAACCCCTGAGATGTATCAATGTGGTTTTGGGAAAGTGAAAATAAAGTTGATCATGTTTTTTCAAAGAAGGATCATTACCGGAGGGACCATGATGAGCCCACCACCTTACCCTGGCCCCCCACCTTCCATGAATCCTCCAGATCAAAGTTCAACAGCTCCTTATTCTCCTGAGCAACCTGCTGAAAAGCAAGATCCTCCAAATTGATTAAACCAACTAAATCTTCTTAGAACATGCCCCTGTGAGCTGCTGAATAAATGCTGTATATATATATTTGTTTCTTAATTTAATTTAAGTGAAGTTGTATGATGTTCATAACCATGTAATTATTCTAATCAAGTTGATTAATTAAATTGCCTAGTGTGGCGTTGTGAGTTCATTTTGTTTGAGATCTTATGCAATAGTCCAGTCAGTTCAGAGTAAATTAGAATGTTTCAGTAAAATCACCTTTCCTCTGTAAACTCTACTCTGTAAAAACGTTTGCCATTAGACAAAGTGAACTGACATGCTAAAACCTCTAATATGTTTTCTTCTGGAACACCACTTTCTACTACCAAAGTGTTTTATTCGCTGAGATAGACCACCTGGTTCTGTCGTCGTAATTCACAGGCTGTTGTCATGCGTTAGAATATTTCGGTGTTTAATCAGACAATCTGGAAGGGTATGTTGCTAAAATTTTATTTTACATTACAGATCACACTTTACAACGAGTGCTTTATCAGTACTTGATATTCGAAGGAAGTTTCGTGAAAATGAAACGGGTCAGAGAATAATAGAAAAATAGGTCAGTTCCAATACATTTACCAGAATTATATGACTTGTCCTCTATTTTGCCTGGACCACGGAGCACCGGGGTTCAGGGGGAGTGGGGAATTTGTCTACCCCACCTCCTTTTTACCTCTACATGATTGACGTAATATTTAAACATCGGCTTGTAATATTTTCTTATAATATTCTATTCTGTTTACCATCCAGCTAAAAGTCTAAAACTGCATGAAGTCTATGTTAAAAGTAGATAAAATCAGTAGAACTTTCGGTCGGAAACCTTCAAACAACGTGAACAACAGGCTTCGCTTGTAAGCCTAAGATTCTCGTTGTTCTCGAGCTACCAAAGCTTCCCTTCATTCTTCACAGGCGTCGCAGGTATATGGACATCTTATCTGATAAAATGTCATCGTACAGGCGGATGGTCTGCGTCTGACCCAAGTGGGACAGTAATAATACTTGTCACGACATTCTGCGGTCATGTGTCCTGCGAAAGATTGATTAATGTGATTGGTCAATTTCCCGCCATCAAAGGGAAATTATTGTTACAGACAATAATTTTGTTAAGTCCGATAAGTCGTGTAAAATTACTGGCATAACGTGTACAACCGAATTGCGAGAACTGAGAAGTGATCATGTAAGATTAGCCTTAAAAACCGATGAACAAGATCTCTTCTGATCTATCACTGGTATCAGCGCGTTTGTGAGGTAACTCGTTAATCCTTCTTAATCGTTAATCGTTAATCTCTTACCACAAAAGCCACAGGTTTTTTTACAGACTTTTCTCATGTAACCAAAAACGTAACCATTGTAGCAGTAGCCAAATTTGAACCACCGTGAACAACTCCTGTTCTCGTCTGCACAAGCTAAAAAGAGGTTTATTGATGTTAACTAAAGTTAGTTACTTCTTCCCCCCCGTCCATCCTCCTGGTATTATCTTCGTACCTTCAGTTGTGGTGGAGTTAGCTGTAGTATTTCTCGTCACAGCCTGGGTTGTACTGGGGGGGACCGTTGTCACGGCTTGGCGAATTGTCGCTGCATTTGTTCCTAAACCAGAAATAGAGCATACCAGTTAATTGATAAGCCTTGGAGTTCAGAGGAATAAAGTGATAAAGAGATTTAGAGATTGTTGCTTTGTCAATATTCTGTTGATAAATGTTCTTTATTTTTAGGGAAGATGCTCCCAAGAACAGCTCACAGCCATCGGAACAACCATCAGAGTTGAAAGGTGTGTTCAACTTTCTTTCTAATTGCAATATACAATTAGCCTTGGCACTTGTACGCTTGTTTTGAAGAAAAACAAAGGCTCACATCCTGATCAAGCAGTTCGTAAAAATATCAACAAATTGCTGCAATTCCAGCCACGGAAATATCCAGCGACGTTGCAGTTTAATTTTAGCATCAATGCCTACAGCTCTCGAAATTTTGCCGTGCAAAAACACCATTGTCGCATAAAACTAAAAAATCATAAAGCTTAAATCCCTAAAATCTCAACATTCATGTCAACTTGTAAACGTCTTCTAGATCTTACTGTATGACGCCTAAACTCAGCATGTTTTAGGGAAAGAATTTAGGATATCAAATGTATTATGCTTTTTAAAAACAGCTCCCTAAGTTAGTCAGCTGAAATTAGTGCCCAGTCATGCTGCATCATGAATATAAACCACAGTGATCTTGCAATTGCTGCCATGGAAACGATTATTTCAACTACGGTTTCATAAACAACAATTAACAAAGCAATTTTCAGGCGTCATGTGAAAATTTCTTAAGGTGTTAAACCAGGAAATAAAAACTTAAAAAAAAAGAAAATGTTGTCTATCCTAGACTATCGATTTAATGGTAATATCCCCGTAAGATGAATCGATCATATCCGGTTATACCCAGAACACTACGACTTCACGAAGCTTACGTTTTTGCATAATTCGCGCGCTAATAGTACTCTTTAAATTCGCTTTCAAAAGCTGAATGTTTGTTCTTTGAGAATGGATGCTCCGAGAAATATTTCATACGAAAGAAAGTGTAGAAGATACAAGAGAATATGGATATATAATTAAGGTTTCACACTACAACAGACAATGCTAACTTCGCAACTCCTGATCGACACATTTCGCCACAAACATTCGCCACAGTTTTCATTAGTTAACTGTATTACATGGTTAAGCAACCATCTTTTTTCACGAAAGCCTTTACCGAAATATTCACGTTAAACGGTGCCGTTAAAAAGTAAGATCTTAAACAGTTTACATGAAATTTGTGGTAAAAAAATAGTTGCATACCTTTGACGTGAAGACCTGAGAGGAATACGCACATACTCAGGACGAAAGCGGCCAAAAAACGAGACTTCGAAAACATCTTTAGCTTAGCGGCTGACACTCTGTGAATTTCGATCTTTGCTTTAGGTAATACTCTCTTTATATAAGCTCACTTGCGTGTTCGTGATAGGAAATACAAAATAACGTAGCAAAATATTACCTTGGCCGGACCAATGCGAAGTGTGATTTGTGTATTGTTTTTCTAACTGAGTGGTGCTGCACTGTATTCTTATTCAACAACTATTTGTATCGGTGGGATACGGTCTGGTTTCCATTCAATATTCTGTTGACACCTTAGTATGGGTCCGGCGTATCGTCGGAAAGAGTTGCCAAAAGATCTGCACAACGGAAACTGGAGTATTGGGAACATTCACGGGGGCTTCATTCCTATTGCAATAAATATTCAAATCTGCATTCCTTCAAAATGGATAACTCGGGTCATATTAGGAGCTTTGAACTAGCAGAATTAAGCACTTATTTTTCATTATTTCTTCAGTCAGAGTCTGAGACAAGATGTCTTGAATAACATATTGATGACATTAAAACTGTATTTTATTATCGGATCAATTTTCTTTACGTGAAATGAATGATGTAAACATGAAGTTTTTATTGGTAATGCTATTATATCCCCTTTTAGACTCTAATGTCCCTATATATATCCAATTGTTCTACAAGGTATCGAAATGGTCAGCGGCACCAACCGCAGCTTTTTCGGCAGTTTATTGTCATGTACCTATACTGTCTTATGTTGTAATAGTTATAGCGGCAATTTCCAAACCGAGCCCAATAGGAACAGTAGGTATTAGAATCCCGACAAATTGGTCTGACTATAGTTGGTTTCCCGCTACATGAACCACAACAGTTTGGTTTCATGTAGAGTGGATTTCGGCTGCATTCACCATTTCTGGCCCAAGAGCGGCAGTTTTGGTTTCTATCATAACAGTCTGAAAGAAGAAAAACATCACATTATATGTAAAATTGAAGTTAAGCGTTCACGTTTCGCAATTTCGCCCGATATATCGTCGTATTACTTTTTTATAGCATTCGCTGATACTTACTGGGCTTTGGGCGTGTTGGTTTTGGACGTGTTGGCTTTGGCGGAGTTGGGACAGGGGGAGTGTCTGGTTTTGGTGGCGTGGGCACAGGGGGAGTGTCTGGTTTTGGTGGCGTGGGCACAGGGGGAGTGTCTGGTTTTGGTGGCGTGGGCACAGGGGGAGTGTCTGGTTTTGGTGGTGTGGGCACAGGGGGAGTGTCTGGTTTTGGTGGCGTGGGCACAGGGGGAGTGTCTGGTTTTGGAGGTGTTGGAACGGGAGGAGTGTCAGGTTTTGGAGGTGTTGGAACGGGGGGAGTGTCTGGTTTTGGAGGTGTTGGAACAGGGGGAGTGTCTGGTTTTGGTGGTGTGGGCACAGGGGGAGTGTCTGGTTTTGGTGGTGTGGGCACAGGGGGAGTGTCTGGTTTTGGAGGTGTTGGAACAGGTGGAGTATCAGGTTTTGGAGGAGTTGGAACGGGGGGAGTGTCTGGTTTTGGAGGAGTTGGAACAGGGGGAGTGTCTGGTTTTGGAGGAGTTGGAACAGGGGGAGTGTCTGGTTTTGGAGGAGTTGGAACAGGGGGAGTGTCTGGTTTTGGAGGAGTTGGGACGGGAGGAGTTGGAACAGGAGGTGTGTTAGGTTTCGGAGGTTTATCTGTAACTACTGTTCCTCCTCCATCTTCAAAGAAAAAGAGAAAACCCAATTAGTTTCACGATCATCAAAATGTTTCATGAATTACGCAAAACGTACTTACTTTTGCAGTCCATTCTAAATGACGGCGGTGCTTTACCTGAAATAAGTTTGGAAAAAAGATATGATACATCAATTTCACAAGGCAGTTTTTCTTGCAAAAGTTCTCTATGGTTCCAAGCGAAAGTTATATCGCAACTTATCCGTATACACTATCATTAAAAAAGACTTCAACATACCATTTTTGGCGTCGCATCGCTTGAGAAAATTGTTTTGACATGGAAACACTTCTTTCACCAAGTTATAAAGCGTGGGATCGTAAGTACGTAATTTCTCTCGTGTGTTGACATGATTATGTACTCCGTTTGGCCTTTGCGAGTACGCGTTGACATTAAAGAAACTTTGGGTTCCTTCAGCGAAATATTCGCGGTCCGTACTCAAGGCGTACGTGTTCCGCCACAGTCCCGACGAGCGCGCTCGGTTGTAAGCGGCCCGCAAGCGGGCGTCAAATGATGGAATGGCTCCAGTGGCGCCCAAATTATGAATCCCGTGCACAAATTCATGCAAAAATATATCCTCATTGTAGTAACGGTCCCCGGACTCGCATAGTAGATTCTCTTCCCCTCCGGTCGAAATGGGAACCTGGATAGTAGCGCCCAGTCCCCGTGCGCGTTGGTTCCACCATGCTGGTAGGAAGCTGTGCTCGGGAATTGTCGTTGTGCCTTCGGATCTGGCCATTATACCAGCACGGCCGTTTCTTCGGTAAAACCAATCGCGGACATCTTTCCGGTCGGCGAACAAGAACCTCATGACGTAACAGGCTCGTTCCAGGGCTTTCCTCTTTACGCGGCTCGAACTGAGCACCGGTATGCCGTACGCATGCGCGTATTGGGTGTAGAATGTGCTCAGGCGTAATCTCCTGCGAACTGCCGCTGGTACACCACGTACTGTGCAGTCGTAATTAGTCGGCGCGCTGGCACCAGAACGTTCAAATCCTGGATCTGAAAAAGGGACAAGAAATCGATTAACCAATGAAGAACCCAATGAAGAGTGTTGAAAGTTGATATGAAAGAATTGGTTCACTTGCTAGAACGCTCAACTTTGATTCACACCTACAGAATACTAAGAAATTAATAGAAATGATTGTGTGTTTGTACCGGCAAATGAGCCGCCTAATGAGTTGCATTTTGCGGTAGACTTGTATGTGCAAGTGTAGTGCAAGGTATAAACTGGTATGTGGTGATAATATCACCCTTCCGGCATTGCAATCTTTCTTTGTCTCCAGGAGTCAGGAAATTAATCATATGAAACCTTGACATTGTCTCTCCTGCTGCTGTCGTCGATCGCATGCATCATGCTTAGTACAAATCGTCTGCCATGATAAGGCTTTACGGGCTGTTGTGCCCCGGTAACAAAGCTACCCATGCGATTTACTAATTTAGCAATCAAGCAGAATCTGATCATTTAATGCGACGTGATCCCACACTGCAGTAACTTACCAACTGTTAGTTGAATTGTTCCATTTTCTACTGCATCTTTCGTGGCGTTGATAAACGCATCCTGGAGACAGGTTTCACTGTCTAAATAGGAAGTGGAGATATCAGAATTGCAACTGGCTGTAAAAATGTGCTTGTTTTATTCTATTAGTGATAGCCTTCTCGAAATGGTTTTCATTCAAGGACCTGTCATGATACATCTTTTTATGATCGCAGTGAAATATATTCCTCTTGAGAAACATATTTTTCCTGACGTCGTTTTTTAATCGGGCATTTTTTATAGTCGAGTAAGTTAAATGAGCACCCATTTGTTATCACAATGCAATGCATGGTTTTTAACTCGCAAAAAATAGCGCGAATATTTACTTTAGAGTGTGAAAACCTCCGTGTTTACTTTGTTAACGCAAAATCCAGCAGCCATTATATATAAAATGTGATATAAAAGGCAATCAGAATTGACTACGTTTGTGTTTCTACAGCAATGAGAATCTCACTATAAGGTTTACTTCTATGGCTATGATCAAAGTGTGTTTTCATCCAAACCTCGACAGTATTCAAAACAACGACGGTTCTTTTGAAGTTCCTTCAACACAGCCTTTTATCACCGAAGCATTTAAAGTGAAATTAAAATCTCCTTTTAATTAATAATGCTTATTTAGCATGTTGCTGTGAGTGTTAGTGATAATCAAACACGGTTTCCACTGCGCAAACTATTCATCAGCAGCTGAGAGTACTGCGCAATACCGCGCAAAGCAAAAAGTCTATCATGCTAAACAAAGGCACAAAATAGGAAGAAACGGCTGTTCCAATACACACGGGAAAATTATGCTTTTTTGAGGAGGAAGGGAGAGACTTGATTGTGCCATAAAGTCTGCTTCACCTATTTCTCATATTTCACCATTGTGTCTGAAAAAGTACTTCTCAAGTACTTCTCACTCTCTGATGATTCTATATTCATTATATTTCATGCATATTGTATCATCTAATGGCATGATATCCCTATTTGCATGCACTTACTTGTGCTAAATAATACATGGTCCTGCGCAAACGTCATATATTGTCGTTCATATTCATATAACATACGTCAGACGAAATAACCGCTTTTCAAGAACTTAGTAAACTCGCCCTTCAATGGTGTCGCACGCTTATTAAATATTATCCAACAAACGCAAGGGGCATGAATAAACAATACAATGCTCTAGTGAGCGAAAAGAGTTTGGCGTTTTCGACGCCATCTTCGGAAGTTGAAATGAATTATTTCGAGAATAGCATTAACTGAGCGAAAACGATTTCACACAAGCCTACCTCTAGTTTCAGTTGTTGGCTGCAAAGTTGTTGGTAGCGCTGAGATTTGTGCAAAAACAAAACAAAGAATTCCCACTGCAAGCTGCTTCATTTTGAACAAGAACGTCGTTTATGTTGCTGTCCACAGTGGCGTATATCCTTGCTGTGAGCGATGGTGAGGGTTTATATAAACATTCAGTACCCATGGGAAGCATAACACCTGGTAGATCATGTGTCCAAAGACGTCAGCAGTCAGCACGGCCAACGCAGGGAGGGAGGGAATGGATGTTGTGCAATCGATCCGGAAGAGCATGTATAAGCCGAAGCGACGCTAAAACGATACGGTGCAACGCCCAAAATGTTGCTCAATTCATTTGATCGCATGACCATATCTGAAACATTCTCTTTTATATTTTCTAAAAAGTACTTTACACGCTCAATTCTCAACGATAGGTCTGTGTATTTTAAAACCTTTGTTGTCTAATGATGAGTTTTTCCGGGGTGCGTCTCGTCAGAGCCAGAAGTACTATACCATCAACGATTTGAAAACATCATTTTTGCATAAAATGATCAATAATGATCTGTATAAATACGAAATTTTGTGCCAAACCAAGCGGGTGACCAAAGGCAAGTGTTTGAGAAGCTCTCTGAGAACAACGTAGACCGGGAAGAGAATATACAGTGGCGCTGAATGCCATCACTGCATGTGATGCCATAAAGATCTTTTGTTGCAATGCCGTCCTCTGAAAAAAGCATGTAATTTCGTTTACCTCAATTCAATATCATGCTACGAACTGAACAGATATTTCCCAAGAATATTCATAAACATTTCCGCCCGAATGTCCGCTAAAAGAGGTTAGATATTGCATTATAAACTCAAATATATTTTGGCTCTATGATGGCTAAACATGCAAAACTGCTAGTGACTTCCTATATCGTTCCTACAACACTACACTGTGACCTCTTGCCAAGTTCATATTCCTTCCTGGTTTTGTAAGGGGCTTTTGAAGTGCGTAATTCTAGTTTTCTAGACGTGTGTAGCTTAAAAGACAGGAAGTCGGCGCAAAACAAGATTAACTTTTTTTCTTGTGCTAAGAAAGCGTGTCGACAAGGTCAATTATAAGATTTAATGAAAGTCAATATCACAGAGTTTCCGAATTTTATAAAATTTTGAGTATACAAAATCTGTCATTTGCAACGTAGCATTGCTTCTTTAAATGGGGCGAAGGTGTCGCGACCAGCAGATAGGGTATAGTGTAATAAGAGCCTAGTTTTCGACAGGAATCATGATTTGGTTACGCTGGTAAACGCGCTGCGTCAACTTCATCAGAACAAGGCTCGTATTCACGGGCCTTAAAATATACACACGATTACATGCAGTTGTAAAACTATTGATAACCGAGGATTGCCACATCACTTTCGCCGCTGGATGCGAGCCCGACCTTTCGAGGGTAAAAATGCTTCCTCTGACACCCGTGCTACCAATATCATATGACCATTGATGGTGTTGACACTTCACTTTTTTTTCACGCCTCCGCGAGCCATCAGCAATTCTCAAACTACATAAACACCCAGCAAACAGCGAAGGCAGTTGCGCCAAGACTCACTCAGCAACGAACGACATTTGTCTAACGGCGACGCTGAATATGACGCACTGGATATTCATTTTTGGATTTTGCCTGTTCCAGGTTGTAGACGCTCATGTAACCATTGTTACAAATATCACAAATGTCACAAATGTCACAAATCATACTGATATTGGTAAGCTATGTTTTCGCATCTTTGCATCTTTCTTATCATCGTCTGAACTATTTGCTGGCGATGCGCACAAGTGCCAGATTGCTAGTGTTTTATTTCAAATACGCCGCTGTTTTCTGGCCGTAAACGGCTTCGGAGTTCGCTTATATTTGGAGCAATCCTGTTCTCTAGAATAAAACGCGGAAGAGCCTGTTTCTAAAAAGGAATAACAAACGTATTTAATGAACATTATTACATACATCAGAGAAGAGATATTGTTTCGGACAGCCCACCTTCGGACAGAACTTTACATATTATTATTTATATTTGTTACGTCATATTTAATTTATCTTGATTATACTTTGATTCAACTTGATTTGCTTGCAATAGGATATGTCTTGATTTGTAATTTGATTCGGGACAGTTATATATATTAGGATAAGAACAAAGAGATTTGAGTTTGATATTGAGCATATAGCTTGTGTATGAAATGAAATGAAGTGCTGTTTCAAGCCGTAGAGACCCACTCTTCAGGTACTATAATCTTTATTTGTAATGTGTTAAGTTCTTTATTCACCAATCAATAATATAATGTAATCTAATCAAACGCAATCATTTTAGAATATATAAATAAATATTACGAAAATCTCTACGGTGTTGAGCGTGGTTTTGCCCATTGGAAACAGATATGATGGCTTAGGCCATGAAAGTGAAGTACGTGCTTGCTAATATGTTTATTTATTACATATTAACCTTTCAGCGCCAGCAAATTTTGGGTTGTTGCAGAAAACCGAAGCGTTGGCAATAGCAAGTGGAAATACAACTGGCATCGCTTTCCAAATTGGTAAGGAAATCAACGTTAGAGTTGCGCAGTATTGCAGCAATAAGGTTACACAATAGCTTTGTTACGGTCTGTTTATATGGAGCGAGTTATCCCGGCTAGGCAAGGTGAAAAGCGCATCACATCAAAGGCTTAACCTGATTAGTCTTTCATTATATGCAGTTTTCACCTCGCCTAGCCGGGATAACTTGCTCCAACATAACAGGTCCTTAGAAAGAAGTACTGTGTCGCCGTAGCTAATAAAACCCTGGATGCCCTTTAGTAAATTACGTCTTTTACTGAGCATGGCTTTCCAACACGAGTTACGTTTATATCATGTTCTGCAACAAACTTTCAGGTCGTCGAGGTGGACGTGGCGTCGCCAGGACAGACTATGATTGCACCGTCCGACGACTGCCCCGAGGGATTCGCCGTGAAATGAATTTGCATAATTTCTATCAAAAGTACGCGCATGCGTATGGCGTACCAATCATCAGCTCCAATCGCGTGGATGACCGGGCTATTCAACGTGCCTGTTATGTTGTGCGTTTTGCTCTCGCGGACAGAAAAGACATTCGTGATCGTTTACACGATCGCTATGGTCGTGCTGGCGTCATCGCCGAACGCGAGCGCACGACGGACATCCCCGAGCATAGCTATCTTCCTGATTGGTGGAACCAGCGCGCAAGAGGCTTAGGGGCCACTTTAGATAAACCCATTTCAACAGGAGGGGAGGAGAATATTTTGTGTCGACCGAGTGACCGTTATTACGGAGGGGGTAGGGGCGAGGATATATTCTTGCATGAGTTTGCACACGCCGTTCATAATCTCGGACTGACAAGGTCCATGGATCGAAGAATTGGAGCTTTATACAGACAGAGGAAATACGGCCAAGATCAGAGATGGAGGAATACTTATTACATGAGTACAGGTAAGTAAGTTACGATGTGAGAACAGGCGGAAGAGAGTTCCAAAACTAGTAAAATATGATACGTTAGTTGCAAAGTATTGAGAAAATACGTGAAAATAAAACTCTGCGATATTGGTAATTTCTAGTAGCGCAATATATTAGTTTATAGATGGTTGACCAACTTTAAACACAGTTCAAATTTAAATGAGTCGCCCATTGGAGGGATTGAAGACCTTTTTTGCAAGATATTGGTCGGTAACATTTCAAACACCGTAATTCGGCTTTATTTTTTTACAGATCGCGAGTTCTTTGCCGAAGGTGTTACAAGCTTTTTTGACGTGAACACAGAAACCTGGGATGGGAAACCAAACGGAATTCACAATCACGTCAACACAAGGGCTGAACTTCGAAGTTACGATCGTGAACTGTATAATTTAGTCAAGGAAGTCTTTCCGTGCCAAAATAAATTTCTTGATAGATGTTCTGCTTTAAGAGGTGCTGGTCTACGATATCATGTATTTGCCTTGTGTTCAAACAAAATGTGTGTAGTAACCAAAATTTGTAGTAATTTTTGACGAATGTGAATTCTAATTCTTCTGTTTAGGCAAAACACCTCCAGCTTTCAGAATGAACTGTAAGTAATGCAAAATGTATTTTTGAAAAACAAAACTGATTATATATAGCGATGTTAACGATTGGATTTGTGGTGGAAATTTGAAGACGTTTACACATTATCATGGTGAAGTTATCAGTCGCTCTCGGCTCGTTGGCATATTAGCCCATATACGACTCGAGCTTAATATGGCTGAATTGTTAATGATGGCATTCGCAATATTTTAGGTGATGGAAAGGGAGGTGGTGTGAGGCCAAAACCAAAGCCAAAACCCAAGCCAAAACCAACAACACGCCCGAAAACACTGCCATTACCAACAACTCCAGCTAGAACTGGTAAGAATGCTTTAGTTAACCACGGGCGATGATTTGTTTTGGGCTGATTCAGAGATCAGAAACAGCCTTTACTGAAAAAACTCTTCCAGTGTAGCTCGCCCAGAGTTGGTAGTCTATTGTCCCGCCTCTGCGGCTCATGATTGAAATATACTTTCAGGTTGTGTTGACAAGAACGTTAATTGTCCAATATGGGAGAAATATTGCAACAACAACAGGTACAAGACATATATGATGCAAAACTGTGTAAAGACTTGTGCAATGCAGAAGGTCAATTCTTTCCATCGAAGTTACTGCAAACAATATGCGACTAAAAGTTATTGCAACTACAGCGTTGTCAAGAATACTTGCAAACCTGTTTGTGATTGCCTGTAACCCGGTGGTTAACACTTTATTAATGGATTTTATTAATCAAGAAAAGGGGAATGGATTAATGTTTTTTAATGATTTATTACGGGCTGTACGGTTTTTAGAAAAGATTATCATAGTTTCTCTCTTTGTACAGACAAGTTGGGGTGATGGGGTCGTAAATATGGTATGATGTATTCATTATATCAAAATCAGCAGACAATTTAGAAAACATATATAAAACAACATAATCTCAAGATCAACAAGGTTTCACGTATCTATAGTTATCTATCACACAGATAGTATAATAAGTATAATACTTCAAATAAATCTTGCATTTTTTACGTTTCTTATTTTGATATTTTGACTTGAATCATACCTCACTGTATTACTATAAACGCCGATATGTTGTGATTTGTTACAGTTGGTTCTTCAAGAAGTGTATTAGGGGTGGTGACTCGGTCATGGGGGGGGGGGTGATAAGATATTTCCTTCAGGTGGGGAAACAAAATTGGAGCCATATCAAAGGGTGTGCAATGGTAATGACATTCGGCTGTTCACTACAAAATTTATATCTTTGTTATGTTTTGGTTAAAAGTCATTTGCTGGGCTTTCATGTTTCTTTTTAAATTACGCTCCCTGCTGGGTGCATGGCGCAGCGATATGTGGTTACCAATTACCATTTATGTTTCTGGAATGTTCCCAGTCATAATATAGGATTCAGTCTTTTATTCATCATATTGATTCATGACATGACGTCTTTGCAATGAAAATAATGATGTAAGAATATTTGCTGAGTCTCTTGCTTTTTCAAAACCATACCGCATGCGTCCAGAGTTTTGCTGTTGAGAAAATTTGTCTTTTTAAACACATTTAAACTATTAGCGAAGATTAACGAAATGTTGTTGGAAGGTTTATTTGTCTGCGGTCGAGAAGACGCAATTCCATTGAAAAGTCTTTCCGTACGAGCGTTTCTTCAGGGTTATGTTGTTGGCTTTCGTTCAACGTTGACCTACGAAAACAATACATCAATCCCGCTCGAAGTCTTCTTCCGTACGCCTGTCGATGACTCGTATGCTGTTGTCGGTTTGGAAGCTACTATCGATGGTAGAAAGGTCCAAGCTAAAGTACAAGAGAAAGAAAAAGCGAAAGAAATGTACAAGGAAGCAATATCACAAGGAAAGACAGCTGCGTTTGGAGAAGAAAAGAAAGGTGATATATTTAGTTTGGTGCTGGGAAACCTTCCCCCAGGTGAGAATGCTGTGTTGCAACTGACCATGGTGGGTGAGCTTGCTGTTGAACCTGATGGTGCTGTGAGGTTTGTTCTACCAACAGTTTTGAAACCACGGTACACACCCCTTGGAAGCACAGACCCCCTTGCACCAGAAACGTCTACTTCAGGAAGTGCCACAGTACACCATGCAACAGGACCACCAGTATATGAATTTGAGATGGTGATAAATGGTGCGCCTAGCATTGCCGAGGTAACATCTCCATCCCATGAGATCCATGTTGAGAACACTGGTCAGAATATTAATGTTTGTTTGGCTGAAGAAAAACAGACTGATATTGTGATACTGATTCGGTCAAAAGAAGTACACAAACCTTTGGTAATTGTTGAACCTGGTATGTCAAATGGTGAGAATGATTTCCAGAAAAGCACAGCAGTTATGGTCAGTTTCTTCCCCGAATTCAAAGGTGACAGTTCTTGCCTCCAAGCTGCTTGTGAGTTTGTGTTTGTGGTTGATCGTAGTGGAAGCATGGAAGGGTCCTATATCAGAGATGCTGCACAAACACTCTTGCTTTTCCTAAAGAGTATCCCTGAAGGCTGTTATTTCAATGTGATTGGTTTTGGAAGTCGATATGAGAAGCTATTTCCTGAGAGCGTTCCTTATGACCAGAAAAATCTGGAAAAAGCAGTGCAACATGCAGAAAACCTTCAAGCAGACCTTGGTGGTACGGAGTTGTTTGACCCTCTAAAATATATTTACAGCCATGACCCAATGAAAGGCTTACCTAGACAAGTTTTTGTTCTCACTGATGGAAGTATCAGTAATACAGAATCAGTAATCAAGCTTGTTGCAAAGAATTCAACTAACTCAAGGTTTGTTTTATACATTAAAATTTTTAGAGAAGAATTTACATTTAGACTATTTAACTATATGTCAACAGTCCAGGGGCCGGTTGTATGAAAGCCAGATAACGCTTATATCCACCAGATATTGATTTTTTCAATCACTTTAAAATCGCCCATTTTTGAGTATAACTTTGATTAAATCGTAGTATTCCTAAATTGAGGATCCTCTTTAACAAAAGTTGGCTACAAAGCTCAAATTTTATAGCTATTCAAGCATTTTTAGAAGGGTTGAAAAAGCACTATCCGGTGGATAGCGCTATCCGGCTTTCGTACAACCGGCCCAGACCCTAAGATTTACACACCAGGAGAAATTCATGATTCCTGGGAAGTAATTATTTTGTTTAATTTATCCTTTTAAGAAATCTTTTCCATTTTAAGATGTTTCTCTTTTGGTATTGGCTCTGGAGCATCAAGCACTCTTGTGAAAGGAATTGGCAGAAGCAGGAAAAGGTTGCTGCAGAATTCATCACTTCAGGAGGAGAGAAATGGCCAAGGTCAGAGCAAGTGTGCCTTTAAAATAGTTTTCAAAATTGTTAAAATTTGATTTGCTATAAATGGCTCTTGCAGCTCAATACTTTACACATTATTTTGACAAATTATTTATTCTGAATCTTTACTTGTTTTAGAAGAATCACTTTAAATCACTTTTTGTAGGTTTAAAATTTTTTCTTGCAATTTGTTTGAAAGTTTCTTGTAGGGACTTATAATTAATGTAGTGGTTGGTACATATATGGATGTTTGACATGCGAATTAGCGCTAGTCATTGTCTTTAACCATTAATTAGCGCTAGTCATCGTCTTTAACCATTAATTAGCGCTAGTCATCATCTTTAACTATTAATTAGCACTAGTCATCATCTTTAACTATTAATTAGCACTAGTCATCATCTTTAACTATTAATTAGCACTAGTCATCATCTTTAACTATTAATTAGCACTAGTCATCATCTTTAACTATTAATTAGCACTAGTCATCATCTTTAACTATTAATTAGCCTAGTCAATCATGTTTAACTATTAATTAGCACTAGTCATCTCTTCAACATTAATTAGCACTAGTCATCATCTTCAACCATTAATTAGCACTAGTCATCATCTTTAACCATTAATTAGCACTAGTCATCATCTTTAACTATTAATTAGCACTAGTCATCATCTTTAACAATTAATTAGCACTAGTCATCATGTTTAACAATTAATTAGCACAAGTCATCATCTTTAACTATTAATTAGCACTAGTCATCATCTTCAACCATTAATTAGCACTAGTCATCATCTTCAACCATTAATTAGCACTAGTCATCATCTTCAACCATTAATTAGCACTAGTCATCATCTTCAACCATTAATTAGCACTAGTCATCATCTTTAACCATTAATTAGCACTAGTCATCATCTTTAACTATTAATTAGCACTAGTCATTATCTTTAACAATTAATTAGCACTAGTTATCATCTTCAACCATTAATTAGCACTAGTCATCATCTTTAACTATTAATTAGCACTAGTCATCATCTTTAACTATTAATTAGCACTAGTCATCATCTTCAACCATTAATTAGCACTAGTCATCATCTTCAACCATTAATTGGCACTAGTCATCATCTTCAACCATTAATTAGCACTAGTCATCATCTTTAACCATTAATTAGCACTAGTCATCATCTTTAACCATTAATTAGCACTAGTCATCATCTTTAACCATTAATTAGCACTAGTCATCATCTTTAACTATTAATTAGCACTAGTCATCATCTTTAACAATGAATTAGCACTAGTCATCATCTTTAACTATTAATTAGCACTAGTCATCATCTTTAACTATTAATTAGCACTAGTCATCATCTTTAACTATTAATTAGCACTAGTCATCATCTTTAACCATTAATTAGCACTAGTCATCATCTTTAACCACTAGCACAAATTGTCAGTAAAACTTTGAGTATGAAAACAACAGAGCTTTGCAAGATTATTTTGAATTTCCAAAAGCAACTAAGATAGCAAGACACTTCCACAACAAAGACACAGTACAGAATTAAACTGTCGATCGTACAATAAAATTCAAATACCTGACCTAGTAAACCAAGTAATATTCGTATGCTGTTGAATGCAATAATCTAGCCTGCAGAGAGCCAACCATCTTTCACTGCTTGTGCAGGAAAAGCAATTATATGTTGCACCTTTCAGGTAATCAGTTCTTTAAAGAAAGCCATGCAACCAGCAGTTACCAACACCCAAGTCTCGTACACTACTCCTGCTGGTGTGACAGTTACTTCTGTACCAAAAGGGTCTCTTCCAGCAATTTTTATTGGAGAACGTTTAATAGTTTATGCCATCCTTCATCACAGTTCACTTTCTTCTGAAACACAAGAAGGAACGGTTTGCCTGACTGGTGATTTACTCGGGGCAAAGGTTGAACACAACATGAGATTTCAAGTTCCACTGGCGGTGACGAAAGACAACATGTCCCAGGTGTCAACTATTCATCATCTTGCTGCTAAAAGATCCATCAAGGAAATGGAATCGAGCAATGACAGCAGTCCAGAAATAAAGCAGCTCAGTTGTGATTCAAATGTGATATCTTCCCAAACAGCATTTATCGCCATTGATGAAGAAAGAAAAAAGGCGGTGAAAGGAAGCCTGCAAACCTGGGATATTCTGCCTGATGAACATCACATGGAGACGTTTTGGTACAAGACAACGAAACGTTCTCGGTTCCGCCGCCCTGTGAATGATTCATGCGTTTACGGGGAGTCTGATACACACTTTAAGAGCTTAAGAAAACGTTTTAAACGATCCTCCTCGCCTATTTCTGCCCCGGCAGCTTCATACCCGGCAGAACAACTCTCCAGACCTACTAAACAAAGCATAACTCATTCCTCGTCCTCACTCCCTAATATAGTGCTTACCCGCTTCTCAGAGTCTCCCTGGCCCCCTCCCCCTCAAATGGCTATGTACGAGACGAGTTCTTCAGAGTCAACTGCAACAGAGAATCCACTCGCAACGATCATCAGCCTTCAGCTCGCCAGTGGTGCGTGGAAAATGTCAACATTCCTGAGCGATGTTATCTCTAAAACCACAGAAGAGATAAAAGATGCGTGTCCAGTGTCTTGTGAAGGTGATATGGAGTCAATCTGGGCGACAATTATTGTCTTGACGTATCTGCAACTTCGCCAGTCAAATTTCAAAGATGAATGGGAGTTGATTGCCCTCAAGGCTGAAACATGGCTGACAAAACAAAGTCTTCCTCAAGGATCTTCCATACAAGATTTACGAGAAAAAGCTGAAGCATTTCTTTCTTAACTTACAAAATTACAATAAAAAAGGGTTTATAAATAATCTGACGAACACGTATCAACAACTCGAGAGAGTGTAGTATGAAAAATGATTAATTTTGTAATGTAATTTCAATTTATGATAGTACCATGTAACCAATATCGTAAAACGTCGACTGAGAAAGCGTTTAAGAAGTTATATCACCAATATTTAGCGAAATATATAATTCTTTCCGTTACACAATTGGTATTTCTTACTTAATTCAAACAAATAACTGTATTGACGAAGATAAAGGTTACAGTAACCATTGCGTTTTGGTTAAACAGACATTTCCAAAACTAAAAAAGCGGCAAATTTTTCCCCAATGCAGCTTGATATTTTGCTAAAAGGACGAGGTCTTAGAAGACTTCACCATTCAAAACCTTTAGGAGGGAAACGTAGGGTAATATGTTGCAATTTTTCATAGGTTATCAGATCCTTAAAGAAAGCCATGCAACCAGCAGTTACCAACACCCAAGTCTCATACACTACTCCTGCTGGTGTGACAGTTACTTCTGTACCAAAAGGGTCTCTTCCAGCAATTTTTATTGGAGAGCGTTTGATAGTTTATGCCATCCTTCATCACAGTTCACCTTCTTCTGAAACACAAGAAGGAACGGTTTGCCTGACTGGTGATTTACTCGGGGCAAAGGTTGAACACAACATGAGATTTCAAGTTCCACTGGCGGTGACGAAAGACAACGTGTCCCAAGTGTCAACCATTCATCATCTTGCTGCTAAAAGGTCCATCAAGGAAATGGAATCGAGCAATGACAGCAGTCCAGAAATAATCCAGCTCAGTTGTGATTCAAATGTGATATCTTCCCAAACAGCATTTATCGCCATTGATGAAGAAAGAAAGGAGGCGGTGAAAGGAAGCCTGCAAACCTGGGATATTCTGAGTTTTCTGGATGATGAAGATGAGTATTGTTGCTATGCAGATTGCGACGTGAGTTCTCTGGATGATGAAGATGAGGATTTAGGAATGGAAGGTTGCTATGGAGACACCGACGCAAGTTTTGGGGTGAGCTGTCTTTCCGCTGAATCCGCTCCTCCAATGCCGAAAGCTCAAGCGAAGTCTGGCTTGAAATCAATATTTTCGGGGCTTTTTAAGCGTAAAGAAGTAAAAGAACTTACCTTTCAGAACACGGTTTATAGTGCCCCTTGTCGGCCTGCTGATAATGAATCTTCTCTTTTTTCCCTTCCTCGTTCCTCTCATTCGTCTCGTCGTTCTTCAGAGTCAACTGCAACAGAGACTCCACTGGCAACGATCATCAGCCTTCAACTCGCCAGTGGTGCGTGGAAAACGTCAACATCCCTGAGCGATGTTATCTCTAAAACCACAGAAGAGATAAAAGATGCGTGTCGAGTGTCTTGTGAAGGTGATATGGAGTCAATTTGGGCGACAATTATTGTCTTGACGTATCTGCAACTTCGTCAGTCAAATTTCAAAGATGAATGGGAGTTGATTGCTCTCAAGGCTGAAACATGGCTGACAAAACAAAGTCTTCCTCAAGGATCTTCCATACAAGATTTACGAGAAAAAGCTGAAGCATTTCTATCTTAACTTACAAAATTACAATAAAAAACGCTTATAAATAATCTGACGGACATACATATGAACAAATCGAAATAGTGTAGTATGAAAAATGATTAATTTTGTAATGTAATTACAATTTTTGATAGTAGCATGTAACCAATATCGTAAAACGTCGACTAAGAAAGTGTTTTATATCACCTATTTTTAGTGAAATATATCATTCTTTTATGTTGCACAAACTCGTACTTCTTAATCCAAACAAACAACTGTATTGACGAAGATAAAGAGGTTACAGTAACAATTGTTTTGGTTGTACAGACACTTCAAAAATAAAAAAGTGGCAAATTTTTCCCCAAAGCAGCTAGATATTTTGCTAAAAGGACGAGGTCTTAGATGACTTCACCATTCAAAAAACGTAGGGTAATATGTTGTAATTTTTACATAGGTCATCAGATCTTTAAAGAAAGCCATGCAACCAGCAGTTACCAACACCCAAGTCTCATACACTACTCCTGCTGGTGTGACAGTTACTTCTGTACCAAAAGGGTCTCTTCCAGCAATTTTTATTGGAGAGCGTTTGATAGTTTATGCCATCCTTCATCACAGTTCACCTTCTTCTGAAACACAAGAAGGAACGGTTTGCCTGACTGGTGATTTACTCGGGGCAAAGGTTGAACACAACATGAGATTTCAAGTTCCACTGGCGGTGACGAAAGACAACGTGTCCCAAGTGTCAACCATTCATCATCTTGCTGCCAAAAGGTCCATCAAGGAAATGGAATCGAGCAATGACAGCAGTCCAGAAATAATCCAGCTCAGTTGTGATTCAAATGTGATATCTTCCCAAACAGCATTTATCGCCATTGATGAAGAAAGAAAGGAGGCGGTGAAAGGAAGCCTGCAAACCTGGGATATTCTGCCTGATGAAGGTTTATTAAAAAGTTGTGGCTTTTCAGCCTCCGGCATGGGTCAGCCTCGAACGGCCCGCTATCTTTCCGCTGCTCCAATGCGCAAGGCTCGAGCGACGTCTGGCTTGAAAACAAAGTTTTCGGGGCTTCTTAAGCGTAAAGAAGTTAAAGAACTCACCTTTCAGAACACGGTTTATAGTGCTCCTAGTCGGCCGGCTGATGATAGTGAATATTCCCCTCCTACCCGTTCCCGTTTATCTCATCCCCGTCCTCCTCGTTCTCGTTCCTCTAATTCCCCTCCTCGTTCTTCAGAGTCAGCTGAAGCAGAGACCGCACTGGAAACGATCATCAGCTTTCAGCTCGCCAGTGGTGCGTGGAAAACGTCAACATTCCTGAGCTATGCGATCTCTAAAACCACAGAAGAGATAAAAGATGCGTGTCCAGTGTCTTGTGAAGGTGATATGGAGTCAATCTGGGCGACAATTATTGTCTTGACGTATCTGCAACTTCGCCAGTCAAATTTCAAAGATGAATGGGAGTTGATCGCCCTCAAGGCTGAAACATGGCTGACAAAACAAAGTCTTCCTCAAGGATCTTCCATACAAGATTTACGAGAAAAAGCTGAAGCATTTCTATCTTAAATTACAAAATTACAATAAAAAACGCTTATGAATAATCTGACGAACACGTATGAACCACTCAAAATAGCGTAGTATGAAAAATTATTAATTTTTTAATACGATGTCACACTTTCCTATACTACAGGGTGTCCCAAAAAAAACGCAACCACTTAAATATGCAAGAATATTAATATTGTTCGGGTTTGCACCATAGTTCAGCTAAAATGACTTTTAGCATTGTAAATGAAGGATTAAGAGCCATTTTCAATTCCCAGAGGTGCTTATCTATTACACTTTAGAGGCTTTAGAGCTGTATTAATGTTCTGCATATTTAAGTGGTTGCTTTTTTTTTGGGACACCCTGTAGAAGAAGACCTATACTTCTTATATAGGTCAGTGGATGTAAGCAACCAGCTTTATACATGTAATCCTGTAGTGTATTCCATATTATCTTAGCTTAGTATTATTTATAATATAATCTGTTATAACTAAGTATTCCTACTAACAATATTATATTAAACGATTCAACTAAAGTTGTGCTTAAATTAACAATTTATTCGACCACTTTTAACGAAATTAGTCAAACACTTCAAAGTTTAGAAAGATGAAAAAAATTTGACTAACTTCGTAGAAGAATGTTTGTATATGTATATATGAGCTCCAAATATGCGTGCAACTTTACATAGGACCAGAATTAGACCATTAAAACAGCGTGGTTATCCATACAGGTATCAAAATATTTGACATCATAAACAAAGCATGGTTATATTGTTTAATGTTTGTATATGAGCGCCAAACATGCTGGAAACTTTACATTGGACAAGCATTTGACCATTAAAACAGCGTGGTTATCCATGTCAAAATATTTGACATCATAACCAAAGCATGGTTATATTGTTTAATATTTGTATATGAGCGCCAAACATGCTGGAAACTTTACATTGGACAAGCATTTGACCAATAAAACAGCGTGGTTATCCATGTCAAAATATTTGACATCATAACCAAAGCATGGTTATATTGTTTAATGTTTGTATATGAGCGCCAAACATGCTGGAAACTTTACATTGGACAAGCATTTGACCATTAAAACAGCGTGGTTATCGATGTCTAAATATTTGACATCATAACCAAAGCATGGTTATATCGTTTAATGTTTGTATATGAGCGCCAAAGATGCTGGAAACTTTACATAGGACAAACATTTGACCATTAAAACAGCGTGGTTATCCAAGTCAAAATATTTGACATCGTAACCAAAGCATGGTTATATTGCTTAATGTTTGTATATGAGTATGAAACATATGTAATTTTTGTCGGATGTGGATTTAATTTTTCTGTTTAGGCAAAACACCTCCAGCTTTCAGAATGAACTGTAAGTAATGCAAAATGTATATTTAAAAAACAAAACTGATTGTATATAGCGATATTCGTGATTTGTGGTGGAAATTTTGAAGACGTTTACACATTATCATGGTGAAGTTATCAGTCGTTCTCGGCTTGCCTTGTTGGCATATCAGCCCATATACGGACTCGAGCTTATGATTCAATTTTTAATGATACCATTCGCAATATTTTAGGTGATGGAAAGGGAGGTGGTGTGGGGCCAAAACCAAAGCAAAAACCCAAGCCAAACCAACCACACGCCCGAAAACACCACCATTACCAACAACTCCAGCTAAAACTGGTGTGAATGCTAAAATTCACCACGGGCGATGATTTGTTTTGGGCTGATTCAGGGAATAGAAAAAGCCTTTAAAAAACACCCTGTTTCTCTCTGTACAGACAAGTTGGGGTGATGGGGTCGTAAATATGGTGTGATGTATTCATTATATCAAAACCAACAGACAATTTAGAAAACAGATATAAAACAACATAATCTCAAGATCAACAAGGTTTCACGTATCTATCTCACAGATACAAGTAGTATACCTATTTCGACTTGAATCTTATCTCACTGTATTAAGGCATCCTAGAAACGCCGATATGTTGTGATTTGTGACTGGAGGTTCTTCAAGAAGTGTATTAGGGGTGGGTGACTCGGCGATGGAGGGGGGAGGGGGATAATGATAAGATATTTCCTTCGGGTGGGGTGATAAGTTATTTCCTTCGGGTGAGGAAACATAATTGGGATTTGGGCCCATCACTTAATTCATAAATTCATACCTTGCAAAAGATGTGTAAGGGCGGATTTCCACTTACAGCGAAATCGTTCGCTAGCGAAATATTTGAATATTTTCTTTTGAATTTTAACAGCATAAATAAATTAGTTCCACTTGACTGTTTCGAATTCAAAAGAAAATATGCAAATATTTCGCTAGCGAACGATTTCGCTGTAAGTGGAAATCCGCCTTAACGGTAATGACATTCGGCTGTTCACTACAAACTTTATATCTTTCTTATGTTTTGGTTATAAGTCATTTGCAGCGCTTTTACGTTTCTTTTTAAATTACGCTCCCTGCCGGGTGCATCGCCTAGCGATAAATGTGATATATGGTTACCGTTTATTATGATTCGAATCATTCGATCAATGACAGACGTCTATTGCAAAAAAATAATTATGTAAGAATTTATTTGCTGAATCTCTTGCTGTTTCAAAATCACACCGCGCGCGTACGTCCAGAGTTTTGCTGTTGAGAAAATTTGTCTTTTTAGACACATTTATTAAACTATTAGCGAAGATTAACGAAATGTTGTTGGAAGGTTTATTTGTCTTCGGTCGAGAAGACGCAATTCCATTGAAGAGTCTTTCCGTACGAGCGTTTCTTCAAGGTTATGTTGTTGGCTTTCGTTCAACGTTGACCTACGAAAACAATACATCAATCCCGCTCGAAGTTTTCTTCCGTACGCCTGTCGATGACTCGTATGCTGTTGTCGGTTTGGAAGCTACTATCGATGGTAGAAAGATCCAAGCTAAAGTACAAAAGAAAAAAAAAGCGAAGGAAATGTACAAGGAAGCAATATCACAAGGAAAGACAGCTGTGTTAGGAGAAGAAAAGAAAGGTGATATATTTAGTTTGGTGCTGGGAAACCTTCCCCCAGGTGAGAATGCTGTGTTGCAACTAACCATGGTGGGTGAGCTTGCTGTTGAACCTGATGGTGCTGTGAGGTTTGTTCTGCCAACAGTTCTGAAACCACGGTACACACCCCTTGGAAGCACAGACCCCCTTGCACCAGAAACGTCTACTTCAGGAAGTGCCACAGTACACCATGCAACAGGACCACCAGTATATGAATTTGAGATGGTGATAAATGGTGCGCCTAGCATTGCCGAGGTAACATCTCCATCCCATGAGATCCATGTTGAGAATACTGGTCAGAATATTAATGTTTCTTTGGCTGAAGAAAAACAGGCTGATATTGTGATATTGATTCGATCAAAAGAAGTACACAAACCTTTGGTAATTGTTGAACCTGGTATGTCAAATGGTGAGAATGATTTCCAGAAAAGCACAGCAGTTATGGTCAGTTTCTTCCCCGAATTCAAAGGTGACAGTTCTTGCCTCCAAGCTGCTTGTGAGTTTGTGTTTGTGGTTGATCGTAGTGGAAGCATGGAAGGGTCCTATATCAGAGATGCTGCACAAACCCTCTTGCTTTTCCTAAAGAGTATCCCTGAAGGCTGTTATTTCAATGTGATTGGTTTTGGAAGTCGATATGAGAAGCTATTTCCTGAGAGCGTTCCTTATGACCAGAAAAATCTGGAAAAAGCAGTGCAACATGCAGAAAACCTTCAAGCAGACCTTGGTGGTACGGAGTTGTTTGACCCTCTAAAATATATTTACAGCCATGACCCAATGAAAGGCTTACCTAGACAAGTTTTTGTTCTCACTGATGGAAGTATCAGTAATACAGAATCAGTAATCAAGCTTGTTGCAAAGAATTCAACAAACTCAAGGTTTGTTTTATACATTAAAATTTCCAGTTTTCTAAATGTCAACAGTCCAGGGGCTGGTTGTATGATAGCCAGATAATGCTATCCACCGGATATTGATTTTTTCAATCACTTTAAAATCGCCCATTGTTGGGTATAACTTTGATTAAATCTTAGTATTCCTAAATTGAGGATCCTCTTTAACAAAAGTTGGCTACAAAGCTGAAATTTTATAGCTATTCAAGCATTTCTAGAAGGGTTGAAAAAATCACTATCCGGTGGATAGCGCTATCCGGCTTTCGTACAACCGGCCCAGACCCTAAGACTCACACACCAGGAGAAATTCATGATTCCTGGGAAGAAATTATTTTGTTTAAGTTATCCTTTTAAGAAATCTTTTCCATTTTAAGATGTTTCTCTTTTGGTATTGGCTCTGGAGCATCAAGCACGCTTGTGAAGGGAATTGCAGAAGCAGGAAAAGGTGCTGCAGAATTCATCACTTCAGGAGAGAGAATGCAAGCCAAGGTCAGAGCAAGTGTGCCTTTAAAATAGTTTTCAAAATTGTTAAAATTTAATTTGCTATAAATGTGCATGGCTCTTGCAGCTCAACACTTTACATTATTTTGAGAAATTATTTATTCTGAATCTTTACTTGTTTTAGAAGAATGACTTTAAATCACTTTTTATAGGTTTAAAATTTTTCTTGAAATTTGTTTGAAAGTTTCTTCTAGGGATCCTTATGATTATAAAGTAGTGGTTGGTACATATATGGATGTTTGACAAGCCAATTAGCACTAGTCATCATCTTTAACCATTAATTAGCACTAGTCATCATCTTTAACCATTAATTAGCACTAGTCATCATCTTTAACTATTAATTAGCACTAGTCATCATCTTTAACCATTAATTAGCACTAGTCATCATCTTCTATTAATTAGCACTAGTCATCATCTTTAACCATTAATTAGCACTAGTCATCATCTTGAACTATTAATTAGCACTAGTCATCATCTTTAACCATTAATTAGCACTAGTCATCATCTTTAACCATTAATTAGCACTGGTCATCATATTGAACCATTAATTAGCACTAGTCATCATCTCTAACCATTAATTAGCACTAGAAATCACCTTTAACCATTAATTAGCACTAGTCATCATCTTTAACCATTAATTAGCACTAGTCATCATCTTGAACCATTAATTAGCACTAGTCATCATCTTTAACCATTAATTAGTGCTGGTCATCATCTTGAACCATTAATTAGCACTAGTCATCATCTTTAACCGTTAATTGGCACTAGTCATCATCTTTAACCATTAATTAGCACTGGTCATCATCTTTAACCATTAATTAGCACTGGTCATCATCTTGAACCATTAATTAGCACTAGTCATCATCTTGAACCATTAATTAGCACTAGTCATCATCTTTAACCATTAATTAGCACTAGTCATCATCTTTAACCATTAATTAGCACTAGTCATCATCTTGAACCATTAATTAGCACTAGTCATCATCTTTAACCATTAATTAGCACTAGTCATCATCTTTAACCATTAATTAGCACTAGTCATCATCTTTAACCATTAATTAGCACTAGTCATCATCTTTAACCATTAATTAGCACTAGTCATCATCTTTAACCATTAATTAGCACTAGTCATCATCTTGAACCATTAATTAGCACTAGTCATCATCTTTAACCATTAATTAGCACTAGTCATCATCTTTAACCATTAATTAGCACTAGTCATCATCTTTAACCATTAATTAGCACTAGTCATCATCTTTAACGATTAATTAGCACTAGTCATCATCTTTAACCATTAATTAGCACTAGTCATCATCTTTAACCATTAATTAGCACTAGTCATCATCTTTAACGATTAATTAGCACTAGTCTTCATCTTTAACCATTAATTAGCACTAGTCATCATCTTTAACCATTAATTAGCACTAGTCATCATCTTGAACCATTAATTAGCACTAGTCATCATCTCTAACCATTAATTAGCACTAGTCATCATCCTTAACTATTAATTAGCACTAGTCATCATCTTTTACCATTAATTAGCACTAGTTATCATCTTTAACCATTAATTAGCGCTAGTCATCATCTTTCACCGTTAATTAGCACAGAACGCAGTACAGAACCTAACTGTCATGCCATAAAATTCAAATACCTGACCTAGTAAACCTGGTAATATTTGTATGCTGTTGAATGCAATAATCTAGCCTGCAGAGAGCCAACCATCTTTCACTGCTTGTGCAGGAAAAGCAATTATATGTTGCACCTTTCAGGTAATCAGATTTTTAAAGAAAGCCATGCAACCAGCAGTTACCAACACCCAAGTCTCATACACTACTCCTGCTGGTGTGACAGTTACTTCTGTACCAAAAGGGTCTCTTCCAGCAATTTTTATTGGAGAACGTTTGATAGTTTATGCCATCCTTCATCACAGTTCACCTTCTTCTGAAACACAAGAAGGAACGGTTTGCCTGACTGGTGATTTACTCGGGGCAAAGGTTGAACACAACATGAGATTTCAAGTTCCACTGGCGGTGACGAAAGACAACGTGTCCCAAGTGTCAACCATTCATCATCTTGCTGCCAAAAGGTCCATCAAGGAAATGGAATCGAGCAATGACAGCAGTCCAGAAATAATCCAGCTCAGTTGTGATTCAAATGTGATATCTTCCCGAACAGCATTTATCGCCATTGATGAAGAAAGAAAGGAGGCGGTGAAAGTAAGCCTGCAATTAACCTGGGATATGCTGAGTTTTCTGCCTGATGAAGATGCGGATTGTTTGTACGGACACCCCGGCGTGAGTTCCCTGGATTATGGAAATGAGTTTGGTTGCCACGAAGACCCCGAAATGTGTTCCCGGCCTCATGAAGATGTGTCTGGTTGCTACGATGTCCCCAAATTGAGCTACCTGCCTAGTGAAGATGTGTATGGTTGCAACGACTACGATGACTCCGGCGTGAGTGTTACGCCTGATAATTATATAGATATTTTTGATAACTACGAAGTCCCCGACATGAGTTCCCGGCCTCATGAAGATGTGTCTGGTTGCTACGATGTTCCCGGCGTCAGTGTTGTGGATGATGGAGAAGATTATTGTTGTCACAGAGACTCCGACGTGAGTTTTTTGCCTGATGAAGATGCGGATATAGGAAGAGATTCTTCCTCCCCAACCTACGACGCGAATTTTGGGGCTAAATCCGCTCCCCCCAGGCCCAAGGCTCGAGCGAAGTCTGGCTTGAAAACAAAGTTTTTGGGGCTTTTTAAGCGTAAGGAACATACCTTTAAGAAACCAGTTGATAGTGCTCCTTGTCGGCCAGCTGATGATAGTAAATATTCCCCTCCTACCCGTTCTCGTTCCTCTCATTCCCCTCCTCGTTCTTCACAGTCAACTGCAACAGAGACTCCACTGGCAACGATCATCAGCCTTCAGCTCGCCAGTGGTGCGTGGAAAATGTCAACATCCCTGAGCGATGTTATCTCTAAAACCACAGAAGAGATAAAAGATGCGTGTCCAGTGTCTTGTGAAGGTGATATGGAGTCAATCTGGGCGACAATTATTGCCTTGACGTATCTGCAACTTCGCCAGTTAAATTTCAAAGATGAATGGGAGTTGATTGCCCTCAAGGCTGAAACATGGCTGACAAAACAAAGTCTTCCTCAAGGATCTTCCATACAAGATTTACGAGAAAAAGCTGAAGCATTTCTAACTTAAATTACAAAATTACAATAAAGAATGCTTATAAATAATCTGACGAACACGTATGAACCACTCAAGATAGCGTAGCATGAAAAATGATTGAACAAATCGAAATAGCGTAGTGTGAAAAATGAATAATTTTGTAATGTAATTACAATTTTTGATAGTAGCATGTACCCAATATCGTAAAACGTCGACTAAGAAAGTGTTTAAGAAGTTATATCACCAATATTTAGCGAAATATATCATTTTTTTATGTTGCACAAACTCGTACTTCTTAATCCAAACAAACAACTGTATTGATAAAGATAAAGAGGTTACAGTAACAATTGTTACAGTAACAATTGTTTTGGTTATACAGACACTTCAAAATTAAAAAAGTGGCAAATTTTTCCCCAAAGCAGCTAGATATTTTGCTAAAAGGACGAGGTCTTAGATGACTTCACCATTCAAAAAACGTAGGGTAATATGTTGCAATTTTTCATAGGTTATCAGATCTTTAAAGAAAGCCATGCAACCAGCAGTTACCAACACCCAAGTCTCATACACTACTCCTGCTGGTGTGACAGTTACTTCTGTACCAAAAGGGTCTCTTCCAGCAATTTTTATTGGAGAGCGTTTGATAGTTTATGCCATCTTTCATCACAGTTCACCTTCTTCTGAAACACAAGAAGGAACGGTTTGCCTGACTGGTGATTTACTCGGAGCAAAGGTTGAACACAACATGAGATTTCAAGTTCCACTGGCGGTGACGAAAGACAACGTGTCCCAGGTGTCAACCATTCATCATCTTGCTGCTAAAAGGTCCATCAAGGAAATGGAATCGAGCAATGACAGCAGTCCAGAAATAATCCAGCTCAGTTGTGATTCAAATGTGATATCTTCCCAAACAGCATTTATCGCCATTGATGAAGAAAGAAAGGAGGCGGTGAAAGGAAGCCTGCAAACCTGGGATATTCTGCCTGATGAAGGTTTATTAAAAAGTTGTGGCTTTTCAGCCTCCGGCATGGGTCAGCCTCGAACGGCCCGCTATTTTTCCGCTGCTCCAATGCGCAAGGCTCGAGCGACGTCTGGCTTGAAAACAAAGTTTTCGGGGCTTCTTAAGCGTAAAGAAGTTAAAGAACTCACCTTTCAGAACACGGTTTATAGTGCTCCTAGTCGGCCGGCTGATGATAGTGAATATTCCCCTCCTACCCGTTCCCGTTTATCTCATCCCCGTCCTCCTCGTTCTCGTTCCTCTAATTCCCCTCCTCGTTCTTCAGAGTCAGCTGAAGCAGAGGCCGCACTGGAAATGATCATCAGCTTTCAGCTCGCCAGTGGTGCGTGGAAAACGTCAACATTCCTGAGCTCTGCGATCTCTAAAACCACAGAAGAGATAAAAGATGCGTGTCCAGTGTCTTGTGAAGGTGATATGGAGTCAATCTGGGCGACAATTATTGTCTTGACGTATCTGCAACTTCGCCAGTCAAATTTCAAAGATGAATGGGAGTTGATTGCCCTCAAGGCTGAAACATGGCTGACAAAACAAAGTCTTCCTCAAGGATCTTCCATACAAGATTTACGAGAAAAAGCTGAAGCATTTCTATCTTAACTTACAAAATTACAATAAAAAACGCTTATAAATAATCTGACGGACATACATATGAACAAATCGAAATAGTGCAGTATGAAAAATGATTAATTTTTGAATGTAATTACAATTTGTTTGCACCATAGTTCAGCTAAAATGACTTTTAGCATTGTAAATGAAGGATTAAGAGCCATTTTCAATTCCCAGAGGTGCTTATCTATTACACTTTAGAGCTGTATTAATGTTCTGCATATTTAAGTGGTTGCTTTTTTTTGGGACACCCTGTAGAAGAAGACCTATACTTCTTATATAGGTCAGTGGATGTAAGCAACCAGCTTTAATCAGGGAATCCTGTACTGTATTCCATATTATCTTAGCTTAGTATTATTTATAATGTAATCTGTGATAACTAAGTATTCCTACTAACAATATTATATTACACGATTTAACAAAAGTTGTTTTTAAATTAACAATTTATTCGACCACTTTTAACGAAATTAGTCAAACACTTTAAAGTTTAGAAAGATGAAAAAAATTGACTAACTTCGTAGAAAAATGTTTGTATATGTATATATGCGCACCAAACATGCTTGCAATTATACATAGGACCAGAATTAGACCATTAAAACAGCGTGGTTATCCATATCAGGTATCAAAATATTTGACATCATAACCAAAGCATGGTTATATTGTTTAATGTTTGTATGTGAGCACCAAACATGCTGGAAACTTTACATTGGACAAGCATTTGATCATTAAAACAGCGTGGTTATCGATATCAAAATATTTGACATCATAACCAAAGCATGGTTATTTTGTTTAATGTTTGTATATGAGCGCCAAACATGCTGGAAACTTTACATTGGACAAGCATTTGACCATTAAAACAGCGTGGTTATCCATGTCAAAATATTTGACATCATAACCAAAGCATGGTTATATTGTTTAATATTTGTATATGAGCGCCAAACATGCTGGAAACTTTACATTGGACAAGCATTTGACCAATAAAACAGCGTCAGTGGTTATCCATGTCAAAATATTTGACATCATAACCAAAGCATGGTTATATTGTTTAATGTTTGTATATGAGCGCCAAACATGCTGGAAACTTTCATGGACAAGCATTTGACCATAAAAACAGCGTGGTTATCGATGTCTAAATATTTGACATCATAACCAAAGCATGGTTATATCGTTTAATGTTTGTATATGAGCGCCAAAATGCTGGAAACTTTACATAGGGCAAGCATTTGACCATTAAAACAGCCTGGTTATCCATTTCAAAATATTTGACATCATAACCAAAGCATGGTTATATTGTTTAATGTTTGTATATGAGCGCCAAACATGCTGGAAACTTTACATTGGACAAGCATTTGACCATTAAAACAGGGTGGTTATCCATGTCAAAATATTTGACATCATAACCAAAGCATGGTTATATCGTTTAATGTTTGTATATGAGTATGAAACATATGTAATTTTTGTCGGATGTGGATTTAATTTTTCTGTTTAGGCAAAACACCTCCAGCTTTCAGAATGAACTGTAAGTAATGCAAAATGTATATTCAAAAAACAAAACTGATTGTATATAGCGATATTCGTGATTTGTGGTGGAAATTTTGAAGACGTTTACACATTATCATGGTGAAGTTATCAGTCGTTCTCGGCTTGCCTTGTTGGCATATCAGCCCATATACCCGGGACTCGAGCTTATGAATCAATTTTTAATGATACCATTCGCAATATTTTAGGTGATGGAAAGGGAGGTGGTGTGGGGCCAAAACCAAAGCAAAAACCCAAGCCAAACCAACCACACGCCCGAAAACACCACCATTACCAACAACTCCAGCTAAAACTGGTGTGAATGCTAAAATTCACCACGGGCGATGATTTGTTTTGGGCTGATTCAGGGAATAGAAAAAGCCTTTAAAAAACACCCTGTTTCTCTCTGTACAGACAAGTTGGGGTGATGGGGTCGTAAGTATGGTGTGATGTATTCATTATATCAAAACCAACAGACAATTTAGAAAACATATATAAAATAACATAATCTCAAGATCAACAAGGTTTCACGTATCTATCACACAGATACAAGTAGAATACCTATTTCGACTTGAAACTTATCTCACTGTATTAAGGCATCCTATAAACGCCGATATGTTGTGATTTGTGACTGTAGGTTCTTCGAGAAGTGTATTAGAGGTGGGTGATTCGGCGATGGAGGGGGAGAGGGGGTTGATAAAATATTTCCTTCGGGTGGGGTGATAAGTTATTTCCTTCGGGTGAGGAGACATAATTGGGATTTGGGACCATCACTTAATTCATAAATTCATACCTTGCAAAGGGTGTGCAATGGTAATGACATTCGGCTGTTCACTACAAACTTTATATCTTTGTTATGTTTTGGTTAAAAGTCATTTGCAGCGCTTTCATGTTTCTTTTTAAATTACGCTCCCTGTCGGGTGCATCGCCCGGCGATAAATGTGATATATGGTTACCGTTTATTGAATGTTCCCAGTAATATGATTCGAATCATTCGATCATTGACAGACGTCTATTGCAAAAACATAATGATGTAAGAATTATTTGCTGAATCTCTTGCTGTTTCAAAATCACACCGCGCACGTCCAGAGTTTTGCTGTTGAGAAAATTTGTCTTTTTAGAATCATTTAAACTATTAGCGAAGATTAACGAAATGTTGTTGGAAGGTTTATTTGTCTGCGGTCGAGAAGACGCAATTCCATTAAAAAGTCTTTCCGTACGAGCGTTTCTTCAAGGTTATGTTGTTGGCTTTCGTTCAACGTTGACCTACGAAAACAAAACATCAAACCCGCTCGAAGTCTTCTTCCGTACGCCTGTCGATGACTCGTATGCTGTTGTCGGTTTGGAAGCTATTATCGATGGTAGAAAGATCCAAGCTAAAGTACAAGAGAAAGAAAAAGCGAAAGAAATGTACAAGGAAGCAATATCACAAGGAAAGACAGCTGCGTTTGGAGAAGAAAAGAAAGGTGATATATTTAGTTTGGTGCTGGGAAACCTTCCCCCAGGTGAGAATGCTGTGTTGCAACTAACCATGGTGGGTGAGCTTGCTGTTGAACCTGATGGTGCTGTGAGGTTTGTTCTGCCAACAGTTCTGAAACCACGGTACACACCCCTTGGAAGCAAAGACCCCCTTGCACCAGAAACGTCTACTTCAGGAAGTGCCACAGTACACCATGCAACAGGACCACAAATATATGAATTTGAGATGGTGATAAATGGTGCTCCTAGCATTGCCGAAGTAACATCTCCATCTCATCAGCTTCATGTTGAGTACACTGGTCAGAATATTAATGTTTGTTTGGCTCAAGAAAAACAGACTGATATTGTGATACTGATTCGATCAAAAGAAGTACACAAACCTTTGGTAATGGTTGAACCTGGTATGTTGAATGGTGAAAATGATTTCCAGAAAAGCCCAGCAGTTATGGTCAGTTTCTTCCCCGAATTCAAAGGTGACAGTTCTTGCCTCCAAGCTGCTTGTGAGTTTGTGTTTGTGGTTGATCGTAGTGGAAGCATGGCAGGGGCCTATATCAGAGATGCTGCACAAACCCTCTTGCTTTTCCTAAAGAGTATCCGTGAAGGCTGTTATTTCAATGTGATTGGTTTTGGAAGTCAATATGAGAAGCTATTTCCTGAGAGCGTTCCTTATGACCAGAAAAATCTGGAAAAAGCAGTGCAACATGCAGAAAACCTTCAAGCAGACCTTGGTGGTACGGAGTTGTTTGACCCTCTAAAATATATTTACAGCCATGACCCAATGAAAGGCTTACCTAGGCAAGTTTTTGTTCTCACTGATGGAAGTGTCAGTAATACAGAATCAGTAATCAAACTTGTTGCAAATAATTCAACTAACTCAAGGTTTGTTTTATACATTTATATTTTCATTGAAGAATCATATACAAACTCTATATTCTTGCCACTAATTAATGTCAATGTTCCAGAGTCCAGACCCTGAGATTTACACACCAGGAGCAATTCTTGATTCAAGAAATTATTTTGTTTAAGTTATCGTTTTAAGAAATCTTTTCCATTTTAAGATGTTTCTCTTTTGGTATTGGCTCTGGAGCATCAAGCACACTTGTGAAAGGAATTGCAGAAGCAGGAAAAGGTGCTGCAGAATTCATCACTTCAGGAGAGAGAATGCAAGCCAAGGTCAGAGCAAGTGTGCCTTTAAAATAGTTTTCAAAATTATTAAAATTTAATTTGCTATAAATGGCTCTTGCAGCTCAATACTTTACATTATTTTGACAAATTATTTACTCTGAATCTTGACTTGTTTTAGAAGAATCACTTTAAATCACTTTTTGTAGGTTTAAAATGTTTGCTTAAAATTTGTTTGAGAGTTTCTGGTAGAGATCGACTTGCATGTTATGATAATGGTTTGACATCCCTAGTCATCATCTTAAACCATATTAGCACAAATTGTCAGTAAAACTTTGAGTAAGAAAACTACAGAGCTTTGCAAAACTATTTTGAATTACGAAAAGCAATTAAGATTGCAAGACACTTTCATAATAAAGACACAGTACAGAACTAAACTGTCGTACAATAAAATTCAAATACCTAACCTAGTAAACCAGGTAATATTCACATGCTGTTGAATGCAATAATCTAGCCTGCAGAGAACCAACCATCTTTCACTGCTTGTGCAGGAAAAGCAATTATATGTTGCACCTTTCAGGTCATCAGATCTTTAAAGAAAGCCATTCAACCAGCAGTTACTAACACCCAAGTCTCGTACACTACTACTGCTGGTGTAACAGTTACTTCTGTACCAAAAGGGTCTCTTCCAGCAATTTTTATCGGAGAACGTTTGATAGTTTATGCCATCCTTCATCACAGTTCACCTTGTTCTGAAACACAAGAAGGAACGGTTTGCCTGACTGGTGATTTACTCGGGGCAAAGGTTGAACACAACATGAGATTTCAAGTTCCACTGGCGGTGACGAAAGACAACGTGTCCCAGGTGTCAACCATTCATCATCTTGCTGCCAAAAGGTCCATCAAGGAAATGGAATCGAGCAATGACAGCAGTCCAGAAATTATCCAGCTCAGTTGTGATTCAAATGTGATATCTTCCCAAACAGCATTTATCGCCATTGATGAAGAAAGAAAGGAAGCGGTGAAAGGAAGCCTGCAAACCTGGGATATTCTGAGTTTTCTGGATGATGAAGATGAGTATTGTTGGTTAGATCATGAGCCCGAGTATGGAATTATTTGTTGTAGCTACGAAGTCCCCAAATTGAGCTCCCTGCCTCGTGAAGATGTGTATGATTTTTGTAGTTACGAAGTCCCCAAATTGAGCTACCTGCCTCGTGAAGATGTGTATGATGTCTACGACTACAAAGTCCCCGACGTAAGTTCCCGGCCTCATGAAGATATGTCTTGTTGCTACGATGTCCCCGGCGTCAGTGTTGTGGATGATGGAGAAGATTGTTGTTGTTACAGAGACTCCGACGTGAGTTTTTTGCCGGATGAAGATGCGGATATAGGAAGAGATTCTTCCTCCCCAACCTACGACGCGAATTTTGGGGCTAAATCCGCTCCCCCCAGGCCCAAGGCTCGAGCGAAGTCTGGCTTGAAAACAAAGTTTTTGGGGCTTTTTAAGCGTAAGGAACATACCTTTAAGAACCCAGTTGATAGTGCTCCTTGTCGGCCAGCTGATGATAGTAAATATTTCCCTCCTACCCGTTCCCGTTCCTCTCATTCCCCTCCTACCCGTTCTCGTTCCTCTCATTCCCCTCCTACCCGTTCTCGTTCCTCTCATTCCCCTCCTACCCGTTCTCGTTCCTCTCATTCCCTCCTACCCGTTCTCGTTCCTCTCATTCCCCTCCTACCCGTTCTCGTTCCTCTCATTCCCCTCCTACCCGTTCTCGTTCCTCTCATTCCCCTCCTACCCGTTCTCGTTCCTCTCATTCCCCTCCTACCCGTTCTCGTTCCTCTCATTCCCCTCCTACCCGTTCTCGTTCCTCTCATTCCCCTCCTCGTTCTTCAGAGTCAACTGCAACAGAGAGTCCACTGGCAACGATCATCAGCCTTCAGCTCGCCAGTGGTGCGTGGAAAATGTCAACATTCCTGAGCGATGTAATCTCTAAAACCACAGAAGAGATAAAAGATGCGTGTCCAGTGTCTTGTGAAGGTGATATGGAGTCAATCTGGGCGACAATTATTGTCTTGACGTATCTGCAACTTCGCCAGTTAAATTTCAAAGAAGAATGGGAGTTGATTGCCCTCAAGGCTGAAACATGGCTGACAAAACAAAGTCTTCCTCAAGGATCTTCCATACAAGATTTACGAGAAAAAGCTGAAGCATTTCTAACTAAAATTACAAAATTACAATAAAGAATGCTTATAAATAATCTGACGAACACGTATGAACCACTCAAGATAGCGTAGCATGAAAAATGATTGAACAAATCGAAATAGCGTAGTGTGAAAAATGAATAATTTTGTAATGTAATTACAATTTTTGATAGTAGATGTACCCAATATCGTAAAACGTCGACTAAGAAAGTGTTTAAGAAGTTATATCACCAATATTTAGCGAAATATATCATTTTTTATGTTGCACAAACTCGTACTTCTTAATCCAAAACCAACTGTATTGATAAAGATAAAGAGGTTACAGTAACAATTGTTACAGTAACAATTGTTTTGGTTATACAGACACTTCAAAAATAAAAAAGTGGCAAATTTTTCCCCAAAGCAGCTAGATATTTTGCTAAAAGGACGAGGTCTTAGATGACTTCACCATTCAAAAAACGTAGGGTAATATGTTGCAATTTTTCATAGGTTATCAGATCTTTAAAGAAAGCCATGCAACCAGCAGTTACCAACACCCAAGTCTCATACACTACTCCTGCTGGTGTGACAGTTACTTCTGTACCAAAAGGGTCTCTTCCAGCAATTTTTATTGGAGAGCGTTTGATAGTTTATGCCATCCTTCATCACAGTTCACCTTCTTCTGAAACACAAGAAGGAACGGTTTGCCTGACTGGTGATTTACTCGGGGCAAAGGTTGAACACAACATGAGATTTCAAGTTCCACTGGCGGTGACGAAAGACAACATGTCCCAGGTGTCAACCATTCATCATCTTGCTGCTAAAAGATCCATCAAGGAAATGGAATCGAGCAATGACAGCAGTCCAGAAATAATCCAGCTCAGTTGTGATTCAAATGTGATATCTTCCCAAACAGCATTTATCGCCATTGATGAAGAAAGAAAGGAGGCGGTGAAAGGAAGCCTGCAAACCTGGGATATTCTGCCTGATGAACATCACATGGTGACGTCTTGTTACAAGCCAAGGAAACTTTGTTCTGTGGTCTCCCGCCCTGTGAATGATTCATGCGTTTACGGGGAGTCTAATACAAAGCGGCTTTTTAAATGTTCCAGGCCTATTTATTCCCGGGCAACTTTATCCCGGGCAGAATCAGAACAATTCTCCATACCTACTATCCAAGGAACAACTCATTTCCCGCCCTTACCCCGTAGGCGTATGGTGGTTACCCGCTTCTCAGAGTCTCCCTGTCCCCCTCCCCCTCAAATGGCTATGGACGAGACGCGTTCTTCAGAGTCAACTGCCAACTGTTCTCGTTCTTCTAGTTCCTTTGAGTCCCCTCCTCCCCTTCCTCCCCGTTCTCGTTCCTCTCATTCCCCTCCTCGTTCTTCAGAGTCAACTGCAACAGAGACTCCACTGGCAACAATCATCAGCCTTCAGCTCGCCAGTGGTGCGTGGAAAATGTCAACATTCCTGAGGGATGTTATCTCTAAAACCACAGAAGAGATAAAAGATGCGTGTCCAGTGTCTTGTGAAGGTGATATGGAGTCAATCTGGGCGACAATTATTGTCTTGACGTATCTGCAACTTCGCCAGTCAAATTTCAAAAATGAATGGGAGTTGATTGCCCTCAAGGCTGAAACATGGCTGACAAAACAAAGTCCTCCTCAAAGATCTTCCATGCAAGATTTACGAGAAAAAGCTGAAGCATTTCTTTCTTAACTTACAAAATTACAATAAAAAACGCTTATAAATAATCTGACGGACATACATATGAACAAATCGAAATAGTGTAGTATGAAAAATGAATAATTTTGTAATGTAATTAAAATTTATATTAATACGATGTAACACTGTTTTATACTAGAAGGAAACCTATACTTATATACCTCTTATATAGGTCAGTGGATGTAAGCAACCAGTTTTAATCATGGAATCCTGTAGTGTATTTCATATTATAGTATTATTTATAATATAATCTCGGTGATAACTAAGTATTCCTAGTAACAATATTATATTATACGATTGAAAAAAAAATCAGTTTACTAAGTTTTGAAGTGTTTGACTAATTTCGAAGAAAAATGTTTGTACATATGAGCACCAAATATGTTTGCAACTTTACATAGGACCAGAATAAGACCATTTAACCAGCGTGGTTTTCCCACGCTTACCTACCGTTTTCCGGCTTATTCGACCATAGTCGAGTATACCTACTGTTTTCCGGTATATTTGACCATCGCCCTTCACCAAGCTTCCTGTTTTCCGGCCATATTCTGGTATATTCAACCTTACTTCAGTTTCCTAAAACTGCTTTGAATTTTGAAAGCCAGATGTTGTCATCGGTGACTAATGAATAATGTTGGTGTGATCAACAACTAGCGATGATTATTTTCGATAATATTTATTATATAATCAATAGCAATGATTGAACTTTATTTTCCACGCAAGATAAAAAATCGTTTTCATCGTGTAATCATACACTATCTCATCATTGACGACGCCATATGCAGGATCTCTTTTATTACACAACTGAATTATTACCACTAGGATATAATAAAGGTCTTGAGTTATATAAAAATTATAGTTTAAACTACTGAAAACTACAGGCAAGACACCTTCATATTCAACTATATATGCTGTATTCAATAATATATTTAATAATTTGGTTTGATTAAATATTTGCACGAAGCCGTTTGTGAAGCATAAAATAGCATTCATTACTTGCACTGGAATATAGAGCTTTAGCTCCTAATTCTTGGCAATGCGCAATTGATACATTAGACGTCTTATAGTTCATCGTATAAGGATGGCTCCACCAGGATTTACAACACCTTTCTTGTGATCAGGTTTGCGTCTACCGCAAGGGTCATGAGCTGGCCAGTCGTGTTCCATATTGTGTTCAAAATCGTAGAAGACCGACGAAGCGGATAGGAAAGGACCATACTTGTGCCAAGCTATCTTTTTCGGTGCAATACCGATGCATTTCGGGGCCACGTTCTTGATGTTCTTACAATCAATCGCACCAGTTCGGCCTGTCACCAAGCTCCCTGTAAACAGAAGAAGATATCTATAGAACTTTACTTTACTAGTTTACTCAACCATTCTTGGGTCTCATGTAACGTCGTCAATTTGAAATGAAGACATGTTAACCGAAGTAAAACCAGACTTTTTCCGTTTTTTGTTTTTTGTGATGGCTTTGTGCTTCGTATAGTAAACTTGTGAAAGTTTGTGTCAGTAGCTCACTCGATCCTGGGCTACAGAATTGTGGAAACATTTGTGACTGACCACCACTCAAGTCACTGATTAAGATGCTTTATTTAGCTTGAGTTTTAATAAATTAACGAGTGTTATATGCAATACAGGCATGCATATTCAGGAATCTTTACCTCCATTTGGTTTGCAAACAATCCAATCGTTGATATTTGATTTAATCATAAATTCGGTTCCAATTTCTCGCCATAAGTTGAAATCGACGGCACCTGCGGACCATTCGTCCAGCGGAGGAGTGGTGGAAACAGCAACGCTCGCCTCGCGAACTGGCCAGTTAGGACGGGGGGTGACGGCGTTTGATTTTGAATAGAATTTTTTGTAGTTTGTGAAAGAGTAACTGTAGACTAGGGTCCAGCCTCCTTGTTGTGTAATCATGTCGCAGTATACCCCAAATGCATCGTGGTTAGGCAACGGTTTTATCCAATAGACGCCCGAGGTTGAGTTTGGATTGCGAGATAAGACTTCCTGGCATGACTTCGGGAGATTTTCAGTCTGACCTAAATAAGAATAGAAAGGTTATATAGAGATTATATTTAACACTTTACCATTAAACTTTATATCGCACACACTCACTTGCTTTAAGTCGATTTTCTAAGTCTTTCACTTTCCTCTCGAATTCTTCATTGGTGTGTTTTAACTCTGAAATTAAGGTCAACGTTTGGTCAGATCACATTTATGACTAAATTAATTTCGTGTTGTGCCGGCGGTTAGCAATTTTGCTCTCAACTCAAATAATAACCTCTGAAAAGACGTGTTATCTCTCCCTCGTCCACCACAATCCTGTTCAAAATCTTTTTGTTCTGGAACAAAATGGGAAAAATGACTCAAAAAAAGATCAATACATTCTGGTGCTTATTCTGGTAGGTCTCTATTGGTCATAATATCCATGTCTACCTGTGTTTCTGTGGAGATTGCGTCCCATTTTGAGCCATTCGACAGATAAAGTTTATCAACGTCTTTGCTATAGGATAGTAAACCTTGTATAGAGGGTAAATCTTTAAGATCTTTCTTGTTGGTTACTTTAACAACCTGGCAGAAAGAGTCATAGTTTGTTCAAGTCTGACTGAGAAAAGACTGTAGAACGGTTAGCGAAGCGTTAAGCTAAGTCTACTCCTATTAATGTGACCCTAATACTCACTCCATCAATGATACTAGGAACACCTTTCTGTGCACAAGTTCCCTAAAAGAAGAAGAAAAAGTTAGAAAACCTGTTCTTTCAATGAAAAACCTTCAGAAACCTTCAAGGCAATAATCTACTTTATGATAATCGTTTCATCAAGGAACGTACTTGACGATTTTCTTTTCAGATCAAACGACACCCAATCCTGTGTCAACTCCTCTCTACACCCACCTTAGTAACAATTCCAGTTTTCCCATTGATGAAATGCGTTTCGGTGATTCCATCAGGCGACTGAATTTCAAACTCAACACATCTGTTCCAGACGGGTTTCCGTGGAGGTGAAGTGCGTACCCAGAACCAAGTGTGTGCGTCCCTAGTCACGGTCCCACCGTTCACTCCCTGGCAAGCTGTGGAACAGAACTCTCCAGTTTCTCCTTCGGGACCAAAACATGCACAACACTAAAGAGAAAACACATTCAATGATGTGATGAGTTTTTTTAAAGTGTCACAGACAGAGGAATTGCTCGGCTGTTGAGAAAAAATCCATCAGAGAGCTCTGGTTTACTGGCACAATGCTCTTCTGATATAGTTCACGTCGGTTCTAGAACATATTTTTCGGATCAAAAAATGTAACTGGCCCAATAACTTTATTTCCACACATCATGTCTGCCTTCAAAGTTCATAACGATGTAACTCATTACCTGACCGTGTTCACAGCCAACGAACGCCGTAGCTTTATTGATCAACCCAGATCTTGGGGAAGATGTACTGTAACTGAAACGATACGAAAGGCGGATGAGCGGCCGTTTTTAAGTATTTCTCAAGCTACATTCTTCACTGAATTAAGCGGGAATGGATACCTGAAAGAGCCATAGTTGTCATAGCGAGTTGCGTCCCCAGAAAGATAGGCAAATCCCCGTGAACAAGGTTTGCGGAAGCACTCATTCATTTTTTGCTGAAGTAGAAAACAAATGTAAGATTCAGCCAGCTTTTTAATACCCGATTACACACACGCAAACACCCTCAATATCCATAGCTCCTGGATTGAAGCCAGGAGAGTATTATTATTGATTCTGATTATCCATACTTACCCAGCCAAGTTTCGATGGATATGTTGGTCCGAATTGGGAACAGTTGAATTCCTCGGTGACGATTGTGTCCGTCATCAAATCTTTCACGTACTCAATGTCCCCAATACCTGGGTAATATACGGAACATCCTCCTCGACCGTTGATGAACAGTTCTGATAGAGGCCGTGGAGTTGAGAAGTGATACAACCTTTGGAACACAAGTTGTTTGAAGGATTTAATATAAGCAAAGGTAACGAAACAAAAGCGGTTGCTAGATTCGTGCGCACGGTGCATTTGAGGGGACTTCGTATCATTTTTTTTTGAAAAGCACTGCGATTGATGAAAACGCTTCCTTACCAATCAGCTTTCGTATCATTCATGTCCATACTTGTCGATATTTGAACTCTGAATTCCGTTATTTTTATATCGCCAAACGAACTGGACCAGTGCGGTTTCTCGAACGGAGAAACTGGATCGTTGTTGGATGATAGTTTCCAGGAAATTGGTGAGTCTGCGTAGCCAATCAGCATGAAGCCTCCCGTGTTCGTAGTAAAGTCGCACCAGACCTGTGAAGAGAAGGAATGGTGTTCCCATTGAGTTATCGAACCAGAACGATGAGCCAGAACTTGGAAATGGTAGAAGATAGAGTGCTCGAACAAGTATTGAGTTTATTTACCTTCGTTTTATCGGGAAGATTTTCTGAATTGATCCAGTAATATCCATTCTTCGCCTCTTTGTTCTTCTGTGCAATATCAGAGCAACTAATGGCCGGGTTAACTCTTTCTCCCAGCGATGAAAAATATTCTTGAAAAAAAATATTATGATCATTATTATGTCCTATCAGTTATACAAACAACCTCCCCTTTCTCCCTTGTCCCTCAATGACACCAATCCTCCCTTACTGTCAAGCTCTGTCCAGATGTAGTCGGTTTTATGTTTCAGGCAAACCAGAGTTCTCTCTTCGCCTTCTTTATCCGTCACAGTGATTGCCTGCCGTGCCCGTAAAGGCCCGCATTTCTCGGGCTCGTCCTGGATATTACTTTGAGGGGTTGTTTGAGGTCTTGCTCGGCTTTTGCTTCGACGTGATTTTCGCCTCTTTTGTCCCTAGATTTGCAGAGAAAGAGCAATATTAAAAACCTCTTTTAGAGTCAACATGTTTATGTCTTCATCCAATCAAGCAACGCCTGTGATAAAACAAGTAAACAACTGCCTAAAATAGACAAAACACTTCTCGACGTTTCGACCTGAGGGCCTTCGTTCATACTAACTCTCCTGACGGAGGCCCTCAGGTCGAAACGACGAAAAGTGTTTTGTATATTAGGCAGTTGACAGTTGTTATACCAAATTTGATGCTAAGTTGTTTGAAGACGCTGACACGCTGCTCCCTGGTTACATTTGAACGTATCCACCCCTGTGATAAGTCTAAATCACGAAAGATTCCTACAGCGAGTTTGCGAGTGGTTTTCAACGATTAGGGCATGGCAAGGAGCCAGTATCAATAACATGCTTCAATACTTGACTACGTCGCTGTTACCATTCTACGTTGCTAACCGAAGTAAATCCTTTGCAATATCCACTCTTAAATAGTCCAGAAATCCCACAGAAACTAAGTGTAAGCTATGAATGCCAAGGGCAAGGAATAATATGAGCTATAATCCTCATAGTATCGCACGATATGGCGGTGTATCGATTATGGGGTTCAATCACACCATCCTGATCTACAAGACAAGTTTCAAACTATTTAGCACCAACGTAGGCCTGCAAAGGTGCCCTGCCTGTCAAAAAGGACATCAGCCTGCAAACGTATCTTGCCCGTCAAAAGCGAGCAGCTCTCTTAGGCGAAAAAGCCTGAAGGTTTTAACACTGCTGACGAATACCAGTATCATATTATGTTATGATGTACTTACGTGACTTAGCAACACCAAAGCTAAGATCAATATAAAAAGTAACTTCATGCTTTCAGCAAATATCTAGACACAAACAAAATATATTTTATGTAAAAATCTGCTACATTTATTGTGGAAAAACTATATAATCAGAAGATATGTAACAGAAACTGACATTGAAACTGTTTCTGAGAATCCCGTTACGAAAGCCCCCGTAAAGTTCGTACTACGAAATATTTATTCAAAACAAAGCGGAATTGATGACGTAAATCTAACAAGGACGACATCTCTTGCCCACAATACGTTTTCTAAATGTAACTCGTGTAGTTACACTGATTGAAATGGAATGTTGAATCAAAACCAGAAGAGAAACAGTGATATGTTTTTTTCCTCAAACAATTTCCACTTTCGATCCACGCCATTTCACCTTCATCTCTGCTGTTAATCATTACTGAACATTATTCGTCAGCGTTTTTACTTGAGAGTTCCGATAGAAAATGCCTTTCCGTAGAAAGCCCCAGTGTAACACACAAGGCCAAGCCACTGACCATTTACAAACGATAAACTATTAAACACAGTCATTGATTAAAATCAATTTATATCTCATTACACTTTTGTCGACGATGACTCCTATCGGTGGCTTTACCTTAAAAACAATCCCTTTGCCGGTTAAATTCATTCAAAAGTCCCTAGGACTCCTACAGTATTATGTAGAGAAAACAACACAAGCTTACCTCTAGTTAAATAACATGTACTTCTATACTCTATCCTTGCTTTACGTTTTCATCGACAGCACAACGAAGCTCTGGCCAGCCAGGCTTGATTTCACAATTTTCACACACAAATATGTTTGACACAACATTTTAGCATATCCACATCTGTGATGTGTAGGCATTGTTGCCATATATATCCATAGGTGGATACTTCAGAGCTCCAAGCAACCAGTTTTGTGTACAATACAATTTTGTGGTGAAAAATATCTGACAATTCTTCAAATTTCAAGTGCATAATGACGAAATAGATACTTTTTTTATAAATCGTTAAGACTTTTAGTTTGAATTCATTCACTGCACAGACGAGGGGAAGATATTATAAAATTCAAGATTTGATTATGATAGGGTGGTTTCAATAAAAAATTTGGATGAAAAAACACCGTTGTGTTGCAAATCATTCTCAAGATATTTTTAATAAGTCGGCCAATTATTTTAATATCGTTGTCAGTTTCTATCTTTCTTGTTTTGTTTTGTTTTGTTTTGTTGGTTGTGTCTATCGCCCACACCAATTCGCTATAGGCTTGGGAAATCGCTGAGTCACTGTTCGTCCCAACTATTTAAGTACAGTACTCGATCGGTAGGGCAAATCACGCAAACGATCGCTTGACAAAAGAAGACTTGCTCAATATAAATGCATCACTTAGACACGATGTTAAGACCGTCGCATGTTTTTCATACAATTCATGCCTTGTTTTTGAACAGCTCTAACCCAATATTTCTATATGGATACATACACAACTATTCATACCTCCGGTCTAATTTAATGCGAATTCCACAGCATGAAACTTACTGTGATATCTTAAATATATACATATACTTCTCAGGAATGCATACATGAGAAGGATAACTTTATATTTAAGTATATTTCATTTCACTTATATTATTTGGTATAAGGCGTGATAATTATACTTTATGTTATACTAAACATGTTCGTTCAAGCTATCACACACTGTTATATTAGTATAATTTCGATTTCCCAATTTCACTTCATTCATTTTTCGAAGCCTTATCTCGATTTAAGCATTCGACTGGCATTCAGCTTATAGATACATGGCAATATATAACTAGTATATATCGTGATATAGGCAAGCAGTTCTATGATTGTACAGCAAACAACTGAAGGAAGTATTTTTCTTCTGCATCAAATCAATGCTATTTCCTTTCGTCTGAATTCACCCAAGATTCACAACGTCATCTATTGTCGGATTTCGACTCCATTTTCCGTAGCCAGGAAGAATTGAAGAATGCAAAATAACTTCTTCAACGACACTTCTCTACAAAGAAAATATTTATTGTAACGCTTATTTAAGGATGGTTTTACTCAAAGTGGATTGAGTGTGAATATCGATACTAGGTCTAAAGATCTGGACGCCTTTTTCAGAAAAACCCACAAAACACAAGCACTCGTTGCTTCGCAAAATCGTAAATTTATAAAAGCACCTTAAATTTTTGCCATTCCTGTTGTTTTTGTTGCTTAATATACTGTTTCTGAAGATCCTCCTAAATTGAATGAAGGATAAAGATAAAGACTAGAGAGCATGTACGATGAGGAGGTAAGCAAGCACTGTGTGTTTAATCATGTCGGAAAGACATAATCACCTCGTTCAAGTTGTGGTCAAGAGCTTCATAACATTGTGTGAGAAGAGACTTTGTTACCTCGTCAACATCTACAAAAACAGTATTGCTTTCATCGTTGTAATATATGGCTCGGGGGGGAAAGATTATTACCACATACACCATTTTCACCATTATATAGCAACAATGTATGTATATACCAACTGCCTAAACACCAGCACTACTAACCGTAGCTTATTGCAAATAACCAAGTTACCATAACCTATGATTCCACCAAAATACAACACTAATATTTATTTCCACTACACACTTCTTTATCACCACGACCAATTCCTATATACATATGCACCGACAATCAACTGCCCCAGTCATTATTTCCACCACAGTGTGAATTAAGACTGTGACATACCATTAAAATCATGTTGTGAAATCACACCCAAATGAACGTGGGTTGCAGTGACCACGGAGTAAGTTATTGGTTGTTTTCGAAGGACAGTGCACTCTCCGAACGAATCCCCAGGTGCCAATGTGCCGATGATAACTTGTTTCTGACTACGATTCTAAAACAAGAATATCCTAAACTGAATCCAAGTTTGATCTATATATACTAGATGAATGTAGTTTGGACGCCTTGCAGGAGAATCCGATGATCAATAGGGGGTGCACACTACATCTAGCTTAGTCTGTGGGGGTGCAGGGGTGTGTGTTAAAATTTGGGTATCAATTCAAATTTGGCGGGGGGTTATGTACGAAAATCAGTGCCCACGTTCTGAGTATATTTTGGTGTATTTGGAAGTTTTACAGTCTTTCTGAGCCTCTGACAATCTAGGTAGTCCACCTTATGATCTCATTTTTATAAATTTTTGAAAAAAATCCAAAATCTCTGACAGCTGGAATTTGTACCTAAACCATGCCCGGGAAATGGAGTGTACCCCCTAACGAAACCACTCTAGATCCATGATATACCTTCGTTCCATCTCTGTTTGTTTTGGCAACATCGACAGATCGCTTCAGATTGCAAATGCCTTCACTGATGAATCCGATCACTCGGCACGTCTCTCCCTCGTTTACTAGAACTGAATGCATCAAAGAATTCTGAGTTCCGAAATACTGTCGTCATAATGTACAAATTCCTGGGAATTACAATGGGTTCCGAGCAAGATGGCTGCAAGCTATATATCATAGATTCCGGCCACGCTTGTCCTCGATAGATGGAGCATATGAAAACAATGTCAAATCCTAGTTTGAGGCTTTGAGCTCTCTACAAAATTAACAGCAAGTCTACAACGCGATTAGAGTTTTAATTAAACGTTTTTTATTCGTGTATAACATGCCACACACCTGTTCCTGGACGAAATCGCTTCCAACGAATCAAGTCTACGATCTTTCCCAAAGCGACCTTGGAGCAGTTTTCAAACAACCGACATGACTGCATTAGTTCCAAATTCTGGTTCGTTATTTTGCTGTCAACAAGCTATAAAGTGTTTCAACAAGACTTAAGCATATGCATTACTCAGGCCACGTACGTTTAGTTGTTCAGCTCCGTGCACACATTGAGTATATACCTGTTTCATTTTCTTAAAATCTCTTGCCGAAATTTTAACAAATTCACAAGGTTCCAAAGTAATCACGGACGACATCCTATGAAGAAAGATTGCGTGTCATTTGAAAATCAGCTGTTTTTTTCACCGAAAATGTTCAACCGTTATACCTTGTATGATTTGGTTCAAAATTGTTTTCTGTCTCGACAGGATGCAACGTCCCAAAACATTGGCCAGCAACTAACTGAAAGGTAATCAAAAGATTGGACTATGCGTCGTGTACGAAAACATCTTCCGATAAACTTTAGTTCTGAAGTCGTTTTCTTTCCAAAGATGAAAGATGAATACCTTTTCCAAATCGGCGTCAATTTTGCTTTCTGGATCCTCAGTGATTCCTGGCAGAGATTTCACTCTAGGAGACTCACTCAAAGTCCCTACGTTATTTTCACTGCATGGTCCTACACTCCCTCTCAGTATAAGATACAGTTCGTTGAGGCCAAAAACTACAGCGTGGGACAAAGAATTTAGACTTTTATTTCGGCTTAAATTACCTTTCTGCCAATGAGAAAAAAATTGTACTTCTGATATACCTGTGTAGCCACTGTCATTCCATTTTTCTAGTTGGACAACCGTGGAAAGCTCTCGTAAGATTTTCAAGGGAATTCGTGACGTTAATTCGGTGAAATATTGCAAGTGATGGTAAATTGCTTCTTGGTCTTCACGGGTGCGTTCAAATGGTCTGATTTTGGAAGAGAAAATGAAGGGAAAGATTGTGTTATTGTTATCTCCAAGCGTTCATCTTTGTTATAACAGCGAAAAATGAGAATACGTACAATTTTCGTAGAAGCCTTTTCAATGCGTGTGATTTAGAATGCAGTATGCCATCCCTCGTTTGTGTAAGGTGTTGTTTGTGAAGCCTGGAGAGGTGTTCAGTGATATTGTGACTTATGGAGTAGCTGTAGTTTGCGCAGTAATGAGCTGGACGATGACCTAGGACAGTTTAACAAAAGACGTTGTTGTAGAAAAATACGTCATAGAAGATATAGTCGGAAAAAAGTTGAGAATTAACAAACACAAATTATGATAATCTTTTCAAGTACCATGTGGTATTTCTACATCATCATTTGGATTATGATCCAGTTTCCTGGAAAGAGAAGATTGATGATTCACGGTTTGCATGGTAATATGGTAGTAACGCTTTCTGATTACTTTTTTTCGCAGTACAGTACAAATACTTGATGCATGATATTTCGGAATTACCCGTTTCCAATTGAAGCGTGGGGTTTGAGGTCAAGAGCTGGTAATTTTTCTTCGGACGATTTCAGAATCGTAGAGTAATTTCTCATGAACGTGTCGTGTGCATCTTTGGACGAATTGTTCCTTCTGTGCATAGTTTCAAATGACAATCAAGTTCAGAAAAAATACGGGACAATTGATTGACAAATTTTTTGTTAATCATCACCTATTTCCAAGCCCTTCGATTGAGCATAACTGTTTCAAGGCTGAGTAACTTATCTCAGGTTTCCCGATAATTCGTGGTACTAATGAAGATGAAAAATAAATATAACATTAAATACAACAATACAAAATAACATTGTTATTCATAACTTATTAATATTATCTTATGGTTTAAATAGGTACAATATTCATTCCAACATATTGCATTTATGGAAAACAATTTGCTGTTACGATATACATGGATAGATATTCAATGAGAAATGCACCGTTCATGGATATTTTATTCGTATATTATTAGCTTACATTTATATGAAGTGTTGACATTCTCAAAGGTAAATTTGGACTTCGAACCATAACTGGCCTTCATTTTTGACCATCTAAGGGCACTTGCCATCAAAGGAGAAACATCGACGAGCCAAATAAGAGATAAATCGCAAAACTGTTTATATTTTTCCAAACTATGTTTACGTTTAACACGTGTATATAAAAGGTAAACAAACCCGTCGTCAGGGGGTTGCTAAGGTCGTTAAGCTGGCAACCCCCCCCCTGAACTGGCAATATGGCCGTCAAAACAATGTTAAGAAAGTTTTAAAACAGAAAAAAAGAAGTGCTTTTTGTCGACAGTACAAGAAATGAACGAACAGAAGTCTGCTGATGAAGAAAGAGCTGCATTAGAAGAAGCCACTGTAAACCTTAAAATTCATATTTGCAATTTCAGTTTTGCTCAGGCTATCTTTTTATACATGATACATGTTTCATGGTTTATTACAGTATATGAATTTATTAAACTAATATTTCATTACTATCTATTACAGAAATATGTGGACGAGCTGTATGATCTTCGCGATCATTATTTTGTGAAAAATGGCGTCGAGAAAGCTTCGGAAAGGACAAAAGAGATCGGTGAAAAAATGACAGAAGTTAAAGAATGTTTAGACAGATTGCTTGGTTTGTATTTTCGGTCTTCCTATTTTTATGCATTTCTTTTCAAAAAACGTTGCACCAAGTACTGTTTTTTTAATGCAAAGTGTTTCCTCTCAGGTATGTGCAACAAGAAAAGTCAGTATTTTTACCTTCTTGGAAAGACATTGAATGTTATGCCTGCATATGACCCTCAAGCACAAGAAGCATTGTCTCGAGCAGTGAAACTTGATCCATTGTTGGTCGATGCTTGGAACTGTCTCGGTGAATGTTTGTGGAAGAAGGGAGATGTTGAAGCTGCAAGGAATTGCTTCACCGGTGCCCTGGAGCATGTAGGCTGAGTGGCTTTTGTCATTATCTTGTTTAGATTTTTTCCTAATAACTCACTGTTCCTCTTTTGTTTTGCAGTCAAAGAATAAGATGTCATTACGAAGCCTTTCGATGGTGCTACGTCAACTTGGAAAAGGTATGAAAAAGTACTTGCAAAACTCGAATCTCATTGAAGGAGCCAGCAAGGCATGTTTAATCATAGTCAGACTTACCTCATCACAAACCACTACTTGACAGCTCAATCCTGTTTCAGATTCCCGGGAAAGAGTTGACAATATCAAGTTGAGTGTTGAGAAAGCAAAAGAAGCAGTATCACTGGACATCACTGATGGTGTTTCATGGTGTAAGCTCTATAGCCCATTGAAACTGTGAACAATCTCTTAAATGGAGTTTAAGTGATTCATATTGAATTATTTATAGATATTCTTGGAAATGCATATCTTTCGTTGTTCTTCAGTGGTGCCCAGTCCCCTAGCATGCTCAAGCAATGTTTGGCCGCATACGCACGTGCAGTAAGTACCATCAGAAAATTAGACTAAATTCTCAGTTTTTTATATTGTCTGATTGCATATCATATTTTTTTAGGAATTGGACACGGTTTCAGCCTGCAATCCTGATTTGTATTTTAATCGTGCCATGGTGAGACAACTCACAATATCCTTTTTATGCTACTCGTACTTTATGCACTGTAGCTTTGATGTAAGACTTCAAAGACATTTCATTTAATTAATGTAATTATTGTCCACCTGTTTGTAAAGGTTTACAGATATCAGGAAGAATACAAGCTTTGTCTGGACGGTTTTCAAAAAGCTTTGGTGTATGACCCAGCATGGGAAGATGCTATCCAACTTCAGAAACAACTGCTAAGCTACCTGCAGAATATTTCTGATCTAATTCAGAACAAAGTGAGATATAATTATGTCATATAATAGCTGAAGCTAGAAGCTACATGATACATATGTACTTGGTGCATTAGAAAATGTCTAGTATATACTATATGCTGACATGTTAATAAAATATGTAAAATTAATTATGATTTTTTATATTTTTTTAATATATTGCAGGGTAGGCTGAAGGCAAAACGTCTCAATACGATGATGAGTTCCTTGAAGGAATCAGATCTTGGTCCATATGCTGGAGGAAACTACACAAGCAATTCTGGCCAGACGGTCACTTTGGAACAAGTCATGCTAAGCAGTTTGAATGTTGGTCTCAATGCAAACAAAGTGATTTCAGGAAAAGTTGTTGGTATTGTTCCTTATGATGAACCTATACCATTGTGAGTATCAACTCGATTTGATGGCTTATGATAGATTGTTTCCACAACAAAAAACAGTTGTCTGAAGCAGACCAAATTAGCTTTTTTGAAGTTAATTTTTTTTACAAATTATGTGTTTGCAGCACATTCTCCATTGTGGACAAGGAAGGAACATGTTATCCTGTGATGTTGTATAACTTGAGAACTGGATGTGGCGTGATTGTGGGTGATGCAGTTGCAGTACCTGAACCATACGTCCAGTCCACAGATTTCCAGGAAAATGATAAGGTATATTGTGGTAGTTATCCTGCATTAGCGAATCCCCAACATGCTTTGTGATCTGACCTTAAAATGGTTAGCCTATGGTTTGGCGCACAGTACATTACACAACTTTTTTTTCACAAATTCCATCCTTTTCCCACCACTTTTAGATTTTCAAATTCCAATCTATACGTGTTGACAGTCCACTAGTGTTGGTTGTAAACAAACGAAAACTTGGCAGAGATAAACTCTCACCCTCAGTATTGTCCTTTGAAGCAAAAAGCGAGTGACAACATACTCAAAGAGTTTGGTTCATGTAAGTGAGATATGTGCCCATGCAGAGTGCTGTACTGAAATTGTAAAAAATGAGTTTCATCACTAACATCTATTACTTTCCAAATTTGGACACCTTTGTGTTGCTCATTGGCCAAATAGTTCTACACTGTGTTTGAAACAAGGCAATGGTAATTCATGTCACATGGCAGGCACCCAAACAAAGCCAAGGTTCTCATGCATTGTAATTCTCCTGTATCATTTTATGACACAGACATGCATCTACTTGCCATTAAAGACCTCCAATGAATTATGACAATTACATTAAAAAACCTGGCTATAAGCTGTACATATAATGTTTATACACTTTTACAGATTTTTCAAAGTAGCCGTCAGGCTCTGATTTCCAATTAAAATAATATGCACATCCTCAAACTGAATTTACATATTTTAATATTGACTACATATCATTTGTATATTTATCTTGACGATTTTTCCTGCGTTTCTTTTTACCACTTACTTTCTTAAACAGTTGCTCATTATTTTGTGCTAATGGATTGCTCTCAAATGTTTCCTTTAGAGGTTCTTTAGAAGCCAAATCAAATGCTTTCTGTTTCTGCTGTTCGCTGTGCTTGATTACAGCAAGATTTTGAGCATTCTTGTATCCTATACGTAAATGAACAGGCTTTTCAATAATTTGATATGCATTCAGTCCTCTCTTTTAGGATGACCAAAAACTTTAGCAATTATCGAAAACTTTCTTTGTTATACACACCTGCTTTGAAGTTTTCCATAAAACCAACAGACTCTGCACCAGTTTTTGAATGGTCTTGCATTTTAGGGATACCGAAAAACCTTCGAACTACTTCTGTCCGTAGAAAATACATTTGTCCAAGAGAGAATGCATTTGAAGTCAGCCAGTAGGTAAATATGGCCTGGATCGGAAAGAGAAAATGATATCAACATTGCTGCTACCTGTATTTGCCGATATCAAAGTCTTGCTAGTGTATAATTCCAAGGAATAACAAGAAATATCATGGTTTTATGAAGAGAATAAACATGGAGAATATGAGAATCTTACAGCTGGGAACTTGGCTGTTATAGGAATCATCAGGATTGCCATAACACGGAAAACTTGTTTGATGTTTTTAAATTGTGGATTGCTCAAGCCAGCCTCTGCACCAGCCTAGAAAGATGGATCAGTCTGAAATAAAGAACTGTGTACATACTTTTGAAACTAAATTCTGATGGTAAGTGATTCCAACTTCGTAAGTCGGTAAAATGTGCTGTATACAATCACCTCAATAGTGAGCAGCATTGAAGCACTGCAAAGAATTGGCAATAGAAAGTATGGATCAGGAATAGTGAGGTCTTGAAACCACAACAGGCCACCAATTTGCATAGATTCAACAGGGAGATTTGCCATGCGCCGTAAACCAAGAAAGAATGATACAAATATCGGGATTTGGACTAATGGGATGATCAATGACTAGAGAAAATAATACAATTTTAGTATGATGTGTTATTATGAGGTAGTATAACTGAAAGCTGTATGCTGCTTGAAAGAAGCAGAGATCTTTTCCGGATCTTGATGTGAATGCATTCGTTTCTTTTTGACATAAACTAGCTCCTTAAACAGTTGCACGTTACCTTTAAAGGATGGCATTTATGTTTCAAAAAAAGTGCTTGTAAATCTCTTGATGCTTCTGCCTGTTTCATAGTATCTTGTTGATTAGCCACATCTCTCATACGTTGGGTTAAAATATCCAACTCTGGTTTAATATTGTTCAACTTTGCTGCATTAGCCTGGCCTAATGCCAGGAGGGGCATCATTAGCGTTCGAAATGCAACAGTTGTAACTACAATGGTTCCCCACCACGGCACTCCAATACCAACATGAATGGTCTCCATAGCTTGTTGGATTAGACCTATCGGGCTATTTCCGCCTAGTCCAAGGCTTTGAAATGTTGGTTCAGAAATCTGTTGTGCAAGATTGGGAATGACCTCTGGGTCAGTTAATATGGGCCCTGTATTTGAAAGAAACAGATTAACCATTACCAATTACCATGTTTGTTTATCGCCAACAAAATAAAATTGTCTGATGGTATCATATGGGTACATTGCTAATGGACCATATTTATCAACAATTGACAAAGTGTGGTTATTAAACTGACCTATTTTAAGATCATCACCGCTGGACATATATCTTGCCAATGTTAGACCAATAGAAGAAGCATACAATTGCTGCTGGTTCTTACTAAAGTTCTTGTGAAATTTGAAGTGGTTTTCAATGCTTGAAAACTAAGATATTAAATAAATTACGTATCAGAAATTGGACTAATCTGGCTCCAAGCTTATATATGGGGTTTTCGATGCATTCATGTAAGTATGTAATCCTGCTTGTTCGGGCATTTGATTTCGACCTTTAATTTCGGTATATTACATCATAAAAGGCAACATTTTCTTAACCGTTTTTTCCCTAGTTAAAAGCCATTATCACTCAGTTCCATATACTAACTTTTCTTCGCCCTACATAATGTACAAATCCTGTAGTGGCGTGAGGAAATGTACACAAATACTTGTTAATATTGAGAAATCGTGCCGCCATCTTGGAGTTGTCATTCGAAAAAGTCGAAAAGATGGCGCACGTTTATCGCACGTGAGAAATTTTCCGGTTATCAATTATTCCACTCGGCAGAGATTCTTAACCAATCAGAGGTCAGGGAAGATGAAAATCAGCCAATTGCTGATGACTATTGCTTGGAAGAATTCGCGCGAAAAGCAACGTTACGGCATGAAGTAAAAGTTAAATTGTTTGAATTGTTCTTGTCTTTCTTTATCAAGACCATAAAAAGTCAGGTAAAAATAATTTTAATGATTTATTTACTTCAAGCAAGAAGAATACAATAATAACATGTAATAACCTAATAACTACCAATAAAGGTAATATCTATAAGCAATTTCAGTAAATAGCAAATAGTTGTAAAGCAAATAAATACAGCGAAATGTTCAGTGAAACGAATGGCAGGATGCTATACGCGAATCCCGAAGTCTGGTTCCATTTGACAAGCCAATAATTTGATAATTTAGCCATTTAAGTCTTGTCATCTTGATGTAAGAAATCAAGGTAATTTCTAACAACCCTAGAAGAAAATAAACGAGAAAACAAGTTCAGATAGGCATTTAAATGTTAGGGATTTTATTATATATGTATATATATTATATTTTCAAGCTATTTAACTTTTTCGCGTCAAGAGCCAAAGTTTGAAGTGACAAAATCTTGGTTGATTCGGGGTGAAAATCAAGTACAGTTGTCAAGAACTTAAGAATCTAGTCCTTTATCTTGTACTTACTAATTCGTCGATAACTTTCTGAACTTCAGCCACCGGGAGGTCGAGATGCGAAGCAACACTTGCAGCTGGTTGTCCCCAGTCGCAGGCAAACGTTTTAATTTGCGCCTTCGTTTTGTCGTCAATACCTGGACATTTTGGTAGAATGGTGTTGCAATTTGAGATGACGTCATTGACTGCTTGTACTGGAAACGCGATTTCAGTGGCAATGGTACTCGCTGCTCTCTTTTTGCATATATTGTCCTCACAAATCCTCTTTTTCATATTCAGGTCCTCCACAATGCATTTTGACGAGCAATTGTTTGCAATAATAAAGCGTACAGTCTTGAGTGGCTTTTCAACATCGTCCATTATATCCTGGATTTTCGCCGATTTACAATAATGCAGGTGACAGATCTTCTTCACATTTTTGCTGGAAACTTCGCAAATCCCACATTCTTTGACTGCATCTGCCACCTGAAAAAGATGTTGGGGTTATGAGAAAAATGTTCTGATACAGTGCCGTTGTATATTGGAATCTTGTAGTAATACATTAGTCTAAGTTTTATTGTTAATGGCTGGTTTGGATCTTGTAAGCAAAAGCGGCCTAGCATAACATCTCGCTTTTACGACAACTTTTCGATCAATGTCCCTCTCAATGACAATGCCATGATTTCACGCTCAAGACAGTACTCAAATAAGCCTGATCATGAGTAAGGATTATTTCAACATGATTCCTCGGAGATACCGTGAGTGTTGAAAAAGTGTAAAATATTCAAATGATAAGTTAATTACCCGACTTTCTTTCAAGGTAACCCTCCCTGCGATTTTAGCGTTCGTTTCGTAGATGCAGTGAAAGAAACAAACGAGGTTTTTCTTCTGAGGACTGAGAGGGGGACAGGTGGGGAGAATGATTCGGCAATTCGGTATTACGTCATCAACAGCTTGCTTGGGGTAGTCCACTTTCTCAGCGATGGCACTCGAAGTTAATCCTTTGCATTCACTCTCTTCGCAAATCTCCTTTTTCACGTCCACGTCGTAAATGATGCATTTTGAGGAACAGTTGTTCGCAATGACAAACTGCACCGTAGGTAGTGGTATCTCAACATCGTTTACTATTTTTGTTATGTTCTTAGATTTACAGTAGTGTTGATGACAAATCTTTCTCACGTCTTTGACCTTGACAGCGCATATCGGACAATGAGCCTGGATTACCATTTCTACCTGAAGAAATATGATAAATCAACGGTCATTGATTCCGAATTTACTGAAATGGCTTTCTACTCATTTCAGTTTACTGAGGGTGGATAAATCAAGAAACATTGTTTCTGAAGGTGGACAATGGACAAGCCAAGAATGATTTTTCCTTCGTCTTGTATTCTGAGGATGGCCAAGCCAAGAGTGATTGTTTCCTAGTCATGTTTCCTGAAAGTGGACAAACTACCTAGGTTAACATGTACATCAATGTATGCAGTTACCTGGCTTTCCTTCAAGATGGCGTGTGGGGCAATATTTGGAATAGTTTCAAAGGAGCAATACAGAGTACACGTTGTTTCTATGGACTTGGGAGTGATCTTTGGGTCAGGACATCTTGTCAGGAAGTCGGCGACCATAGCAGTTGTAAGATCCTGTGTATAATTTAGGAGTTGCGAAACGATGGTATTATGATCGGTGTAACCTTCATAAAACTTATTACAAACACGGAATAAAAAGTCATCACTGTTTAAGAGACAGTTTTCGTTCCATCCCTCGTGTTCTGCAAACTTTTTGAGGATTTTCCTGAATTCCTTCATGGAGGTGTATGGTACTTGTTTATCGTTCACACAATCTTTTCGGTTTAACTCGTTCTTCTCGACCGCCACTGAGTGGAACAAGCGTTCAAACTTGTCTCTGCCCATTCGGCAGTCTTTTAATACAATGTTTATAGCGTGTAGTTTGTCTCCCAGACAGTCATATTTATATCCAACGCTTTTCAAAGCGTATATGAGCGATATTTCAAGCTGCAATGTTCTTTTCACGCCAGCCGCGGCAATGTTGTCGATGAAATACTGGATAGTATCCGCCGTTGTGGCGTTCGCATTTTCAGCATTAAGAGTGAGATTCTTGATTTCTTCCAGCCAATCTGTAATATTTTCACTCGTCAGGATATCTTTTACTTTATCCCAAACCTATGGTGGATATTAGTATAACACATTGACATTGTGGATTAATATTGAACGTTATCGGTATTATCACAACGTGGATTTCTTAAGCCCGGATGAAACGAGGACGCAAGTCATCGCAAGTGTTTGCTTGTGCTTGCTTGGTACCTCGTTTGACCGGCTACTTGCGATGACTTGCGAAGACTTGCGGTGGCTTTTGTCTATCGTTTGACGAATCTCACGCAAGTCACAGCAAGTAAACTTGCGATGGACTTCCGCGGTCCTCGTTTGATTCAGGCTTTAGCGTCGGACCGTTCCTAACTTGAGTCGGTTACATACTTTACCATTGTATCCAGGTGATCCCGCACTCATAACTGTATTTTAGCCAATCAGCACTCAGAAAGGTTGTCGAAATAGAAATCTATTCTGTAGTTGTAGTAATAGTGGTAATTCTGTAGTATTTACTCGATCATATCTTTTCTTATTGTTTATGAAACTGGTCGAAATTTTGTGATTATTTTTAGTTATAAGAACTATAGCTCTGACATAAATTTGAGACCGAAAAAGTAGATATTAAGTTGTACCTCGATCTTTAGAATAATGCCATGTAATTCATGATCGGTGCGTTATTTAACAATTATTTGCCCTTTGTAAAATTATACTAATAATCGATAACCTGAAAGCTTAATGGCATGAATTGGTCAATTACCTCAACTTTCACCTGTCTCTGGAGTGGTAGAATTTCAGTGACTTTAGTTTTCTCTATACTTTCACTCTGTACTGCCAGATCGTACGCTCTATCTTGCATTTCGTTGGCTAGCGATTGGCAGGCGTCTATTTGCTTCCATGTACTGTATATACTTAGTACTACATAAGATAAGTAAAAGGGAGTACGGATAAGATTTGGAGGACATTTTTAAAGATTGATTAAATGGAGGCATTGTCTTGAGTGATGGTGATAGTGGCGATGGTTTTGAACCTGGTGATGAGCCTAGCCTGGTGGTGATGAACCTGGTGATGAATCTGACCACGTGGTGATGAGCCTAACCAGGTGGTGACGAACCTGTTGATGAATCTGACCACGTGGTGATGAGCCTAACCAGGTGGTGACGAACCTGTTGATGAATCTGACCACGTGGTGATGAGCCTAACCAGGTGGTGATGAGCCTAACCAGGTAGTGACGAACCTGTTGATGAATCTGACCACGTGGTGATGAGCCTAACCAGGTGGTGACGAACCTGTTGATGAATCTGACCACGTGGTGATGAGCCTAACCAGGTGGTGATGAACCTGATTATTAATCTGGTGATGAACCTTGTGATGAACCAAACTATACTTTCTGCTAAGCATCACTAACCTGTTACTGCAACATTAATTGCTCCATTTATTCGAGGTCCCCATTTGCTTGGTTGCTTCTGTGCAACCTGAGCCTTGTACTCCATCTTTGCGCTTTGTCGAATTTGTTTATCGACCAGTGGGTTTTGAATACTCTTCACAAACATGTCCAGTTTGACAGCTCTAGCCTTAGAACTGCCTGTGAGAGACTGTTTTGCTTTATTTATAATATCAGCCCGCATGTGATTGTACATCTAAAAGTTGAAAACACATTACATGAATCAAAGTTTCATCAAGATTTCACAGTGGCCTGTATGTATTTTTGTTAACAAAAATGAGCTGATATATCCCAGGTTCAATTTCAGGTTCAAGTTTGGAAAGGTGACAGCAGTTTCCAGATTTCTTCAGTCTCTGAACGAAGATATTATATTAAAAAGACTCACTAAGTATTCTAGCACGCAGAAAGACTAGCTTTTACACCTGTAGGATATTTTAACATCTCACCTTGTTGATGGCGATTCTTTGTTTCATCATTTCCACCATTTTTGCTCCCAATGGCAATGCAATGCTCAGCGCTAGCAGACCATCGTCTTCCCATGTCCATTTATCGAACATGCCTTGCACTGGCCCTCTTCCAAGTATATCATCAAGACTGAATCGGTAATCTCGCAACAACGACTGCAATAAAAAAGCAGCCGATAATTTTTGCAGTGCTAAAAAACTTGCTTTTTGAACTGAATTTTCTTTTTATTCGTCCTTCTTTTATTATTTATCAGATCTTTATTATAAAATAAACTTATTACCTTATTATATATTTAATCGAAATGAAAAAGTCCCACTCTCATTATTTCTGTTATATCTTTCCAGATAAAAGACAGTCAATGTTCCCCAAGTTTTAAGGTTATTTGCACCACCTGCACTGGGCCTGCAGACGTTTGTTAACGCAAAACGAATAAGTACTGATTTATTTACCTGGATTTCCTTGGTTCTGTTTAAAAAGTTATAGGTGAGGTTTCTATCCGTCTCAATCATTTGAAACATAAAACGTTCAACCTTCCCATTGATATTTTCAATAGCTGTAAATATTCTCTTGAGATCAATATTTGCGCTGATTCCATCTGTCGCCAATTGGTACGCTAAAAAACGACAAACACTTTTCATTTTTGTGTCATGAAACTTTCACTTTCTCACAATCTCGTTCTCTTGGCCTTGGGCTTCACTCTATATGAGACGTGTATCCCACCATGATATAGAACCGATTGTCACCTCTTATCTAAAACCATCCACCCCTATTCTACCCCACCCTTACCCCACCCCTACCCCACCTTTACCTCACACTCACCCTTACCCCACTCTTACCCCACCCTTACCCCACCCTAACAATGACTTTTCCGTACTATCCAGTGCTAATTTATCCATGACATCCAACTTCTTCTTTAACTTGTCTTTCTCTGTTCTGATATATGCATCATTTACATCGGGCGTTGTACAAACATCGGGACAGTTCACATAGCGGCATGGTGGTGTTTTACAGCTAGTTGGTTTAAAATCGTTGCATTTCGTTATTTCTGTATAGATGGTGACTCCAGTGCTTGCTGCGAAGCTCAGTCCTGCCCCCAATCTGAAAGCGTTACCCCAGGCACCTCCTGCGGAAAAGAAAGCAATATCCATAATTCATTAAGGCAAGTTGCTCCTCGTCTTATAACTTTCGACGTCTTATAACTTACGACGCCACTGACTTACGCTTTTCTCTGGAATGAACCTCTACTGATTTGGGGATCTCAGAAGCTAAATCGGGTGAAAAAAGATTTTAGTTGAGAAATATGAAGGTTTGTAGTGGGGAGAAGGGAGGCACATCCATAAATTCAATTATTTAACTTTTACCAAACTGATTTCGTTTGGAAGCGTAGCCAGCATAGTGGCGTAGCCAGCCTGACAATTTGGTCATGCTATGCAAATTTCAAGTCATTAGAATTATTCATTTCTTTAAAAATTCATTGTTTTCACAGTCAATGAACACCAAAATATTAGCATAGCATGACGAATTGTCAGACTGGCTACGCCACTGAAGCCAAATAATGAATAAACATTCCCCCAATAAGTATCTAGGTAATTGGCCTGGCCCAATGCATGAATTTCAAATTATGATAACCACTGCACTCAACTGGGATTGGCAGAAACAAATTTCACAGTTTCATGCCTACCTTCACGTTTCTTCCTGTCTTTCTCTTCGTCTCTCATTTCGACACTTCGACTTTCCAAAAAGTTGAATTTATTCAGCACTAGGAATATTGCTAACAACGTCAGCGCGATTCGAGCCATCTCAGTTTTGTAAGTGAACCTTTTCTCGATTTTTTTTCCTACCCTATCAAAAGATCAAAAGAAGTCAGACAACCGAGCGATCCACTTATATTGGTAACTGACTTCTCTCCAAGACAACAACCAACTAGCAAACTCCCAGTCGTAATGGGCAATTATGTTTAATATCGTAAATATATATCAAGTGAGGGGAACTAACTGTCAAGACCATATCAAGAATAGTTCTTTCCGGGCCGTTCCGGTTATATTGTGTTCGAATCAAATCACATCAAGTTCCCTTGGACTTGGGTTTAGTAAATTAATCTGGGTTGTTCTAAACTTCTCCTCCTCGAGGATGGAAAATAATGCCGTGATTAACTGGAAATCAGAATTATGAGTTACTTTACTAACTGAACAAAGATAACTACCCTTACCAGAACCACCTTCCTCTCTCTTAATTTCCCGATACTTTAGACTTCCTCTCGATTCTTTAATTCAACGTTGCTTTCTTCAAACATGTTGAAGGTGGCCTTTTTATACGCGATAACTGTCCTGTCATACACCCGGAGTGCGATAAACATTCTTGTATACGCAATTCCGTAAACAAGGGTGTTTCAGGGTTACCTACGTAATCCATAAATGTAACAAACGGTTGCCGTAAGTGGCAACCATTTCCGTGGCAGTTCACGAAACCCAAAAAAATTTTATACATTCAGTTTAAACATGCATTTTTTAGTAAAAAAAAAGACGCCTAAGAACAAGTTTTCCACCAACTTCATTTGATGGATTTTGACATTTTGTTTTTCAAATGTTTTGTCCATGTTGCGTGATCCGATGTTGTTCATTCCCAGCATGACATCCCCCATACAACCTCTCTACGTCATCTCGTGACAAACCGTCAGATTAGAGAGCTTACGCAAACAGGACTGGACGGCACCTTTGTAATGGCGTGTAAGAAATGGCGTTGCTTCCGCTTTTGCTAATCTTTTTTTTTTATTTTTTTTTTATCTATGCATTATATGGTTAGCAAATGGTTGTATGCATACGCTACCGCGTGCTGGCATGATAAACCTCTACAAACACAATAATAAATGCATGTTTATCCATTATCTCCGTCATGACGGCAGTCCAGTGGGTGAGGGGATCTTTGATTCTCTGATGGGATATCCTTAAGTTGTTTTTTTCGGCGGCGCTTCATTGAACTCCGCAGCCCTTGAAGCACTGAGAATATCTACATATTACTATAATTATCATATTACCATGGCAGGGTCAATATCAAATTTGCCTGAATGAATTGTCGCAGGGGAAGTAAGTTTTGCGATACGAATAGGATGGTTTGCTAAATTTATGAAGTAATAATTTAACTGCTAGGTGTTTTTACTGGCTGAACTAGGCTAGGTTAAGCTAAACGTCTTCTCTTTTAAATATTTTTAAATACTCTTAAGTGGCATTTGATTAATTGAATTCATGGGACAAAACGCGCTCATGCACATTACATTATGGAAATAAGGTTCCCCTGCCTAGGAAAAGACTGGATTCAGTGTTCAGAGTGCAGGCTAAACGAAGAATGTTGCTCTCTTGTCACATGCACTCACACCAACGAAGGCAATATGTAACCTGTGCATGTAACTTTTGACTTGTTAGATTTTTTAATTTTTTATGAACCTTTTAAGTGACATTAAGCTAGCATTGTTGAAGTAAATCACAACTTTATTGATAATTTTGGTTTATTATATACTGTCTCATCTCGCCCCACACCATCGGGGTAAGATGAGACATAGACAGTCCGTAGCTTTTTATGTATAAATACCAGAATACTTAACCAATATGAAATACTTTGCAGTATTACGTAGATTTAAGTTTATTCGACGTGTTAAATATAAAAAAAACCATCTTCATGTGTTTCCTTGTGTTTTTATGGACGTTTAAAGCCTTAAGTGTTTCGTTTTGCCTCGTATTACCCAACAAGAGACGCACTAGTAATGATCCAAGTTGACTGTATTATTTACATATCAAATATGTCCTTGTTGCGTGATCCGGTTTTGTTCATTCCCAGCGTGACATCCCCCATACAACCTCTCTACGTCATCTCGAGACCAGCAATCAGATTATTTCCGTCATGACGGCAGTCCAGTGGGTGAGGGGATCTTTGATACTCTGATGGGATATCCTTAAGTTGTTTGTTTCGGAGGCGCATCACTGAACTCCCTTGTTGCAACCCTAAAGCACTGAGAATGTCTACATATTACTATATCATATTACCATGGCATAGTCAATATCAAATTTGCCTGAATTAATTGTCGTAGGGGAAGTGAGTTTTGCGATACGAATAGGATGGTTTGCTAAATTTATGAAGTAATAATTTAACTGCTAGGTGTTTTTACTCTGTTGAGCAAAATGCTAAGCCTATAAGGGGAATATTGTGGGGCAGATTTGACCGGTAATAAGTCCATTAGTGAACCAATACATTGGAATAAAATTATAGAAACAACCCATTCTAACTTTGTCCACGCAAAGTTCACACGTAAAAGCTAAAATCTAATTTGTTGTATAATCGCATGCTACAGATTGAACAACGTTATCCTTTAAGCAATTTTTATCCATCTTGCAAAATATAGTGTTAAAACCACCACTGTGAAGTTAGCCGCGGATTCGGCCTCAGATTCGGCCTCAGATTGGGCCTCAGATTGGGCCTCACATTCAACTGTGTTCAATCATTCAAAAGTAGAATTTGGTCATTTAATAATAACAGGTTTTTAGCCATTTTTTCGTTTAAACTTTATAAATACGAAGATGTATAGCTTATTTATGCATTGCTAGACTGTAATTAGAACAAAGCAGTCGATTTTATACAGATTTACAGAGTAAATTGGTTATTAATTTTGGGCACTGTGTGAGAAGTTGTTGACCCGCATAGATATGGCATAAACTAAAATGTTTTATTGCAATTCCTGTGTATACGTCTATATTTTACAGAATAATACGGCCTTACAAATAGCGTGCATCGTTGGGCTGCACAGTCACAACATACTCGGGATTATTTGCTTCCTTTCTCAAATTAAAAATGTCCTTATTATATAAATACAAAAGACTTAACTAGTATATAATCCTCTCACCGACGCTATCAATGTTACAATTTGCCAAAGTCAGTTGCTGCAACAGGAATTAGCGTAGATGTGCATACAAATCAAACGTACTATTGCCATATGACAAACAATGGTCCAACGAGGTTAGGATTACAAGTTAAACTCGGCGCAACTTTCACACGCATATATAAGGCGCTATTATACGAATCAAGATCAGGTTACAATTGAGAAAAGTACTTAATATTTAGAGGATGGTTTCTTATTAACTGTCCATACAAATGTTCTCAAATTTTAGCATTCAGTACATTACTGTACGATCTTTCTAACGACACATACGTTTTTGCGGTAAAAAGAAAAAAAACGAGCGTTTTTGCGATACATTCGGCTTCCATTTTTGACGTATTATTGCGTAATAATGAGAGCACAGAAAAACTAAACTATTGTAATTCTGAAACAAAAGTTGTAAAATTAAATATACTTTCCAATGGGTAAATGAATATCAAGACAGAATGAAGCAAAAAAATCTATGTAAGAGACATAAAATGGGCTATTATACGAATCAAGATCAGGTTACCATTGAGAAAAGTACTTAATATTTAGAGAATGGTTTCTTATTAACTGTCCATACAAATGTTCTCAAATTTTAGCATTCAGTACATTACTGTACGATCTTTCTAACGACACATACGTTTTTGCGGTAAAAAAAAAAAGGAGCGTTTTTGCGATACATTCCACTTCGATTTATGACGTATTATTGCGTAATAACCAGATGACAGAAAAACTCAATTATTGTAATTCTGAAACATAAGTTGTAAAATGAAATATAATATCCAATGGATAAATGAATATCAAGACAGAATGAAGCAAAAAAATCTATGTAAGAGACATAAAAGGGGCTATTATACGAATCAAGATCAGGTTACCATTGAGAAAAGTACTTAATATTTAGAGAATGGTTTCTTATTAACTGTCCATAGAAATGTTCTCAAATTTTAGTATTCAGTACATTACTGTACGATCTTTCTAATGACACCAACGTTTTTGCGGTAACAAGAAAAAAACGGGCGTTTTTGCGATACATTCGGCTTCCATTTTTGACGTATTATTGCGTAATAATAAGAGCGCAGAAAAACTAAACTATTGTAATTCTGAAACATAAGTTGTAAAATTAAATATACTTTCCAATGGGTAAATGAATGTCAAGACAGAATGAAGCGAAAAAATCCATGTAAGACATATATAAAACGGTATTATACGAATCAAGATCAGGTTACAATTGAGAAAAGTACTTAATATTTAGAGGATGATTTCTTATTAACTGTCTATACAAATGTTCTCAAATTTTAGCATTCAGTACATTACTGTACGATCTTTCTAACGACACATACGTTTTTGCGGTAAAAA